TAATTCACCTTGCACCTGTTCTATATGTCGCTGAGCAGCCCTTGCTTTACACCAAGTGGTCTCACCCCTATGGGAACCCTGGGAATGGGAGACTTCAATCTCTCATTCAAGGCAGATTCCCCTTCCCATTATTGGGAAGGACAGGATATGTCCTTGTAGTCCCAGCTTGCCCTCAAATCGAGTGGCAGATTCCCTTTTGGCTTGTGGGGACATGGTGGCATTTAGGGATGTTGAGGGAAATGGCAGGTCATCTCAGAAGGCAGATGGGTATTTTAATAACCCTGCCAGAGATGTTCAAGGACATGATTGTCGCAACTGAAGATCTGTCTGAGTATTAAAGAAAAACCACCCTGTGTCTTTAAAAGACTTTCACAAATCTGTGCCTGTACCAGTGCCATGTAAACCTTTCCATATTAAACATAATCCAGATATTGAGTATGATCCTAATGAATCAACTGCAGGATATTTCCTGATATTTCCCCAGTGAATTCAATAGGAATGCATATGATGCTTTTGACTGTTATCCCTTGGGTGTTAACATGTCTCATAAGAATTTACCAAAGGGTGAGTCAATTTGGATGTTAGATTCTGGTGCATCACATCATGTGACACCTTTTAAAACTGATTTCCTTACTTTTCAAGAGCTTAAAACTCCTTCCCTTGCATCTGCTGCTGGGTTAAGTAGAGTACAACTCTTGGGTGAAGGAACTGTGGTTATTTGCCTTGAAAATGGGCAGAATTTATTGCTCCATAATGTGGTTTATAGTCCTTTGTTCTCAAAGCAACTATGCTCAAGAAATGCGCTGTTGAAAAACAAGTATCACAGCACTGCAACACTTACCAACGAGGTGATCCAAGCACCAGACAGCCAGATTGTCCTTGAGGCATGTTTAGCCTCACTGACTTCACCATTACACTGGTTTGTGGGTGTACCACTTCCACCTACCAATGCATATGCGGACCTTTGCCCTCTGGTTAGGACTTCACTGGAGACTTCATGGCATAATCATCTTTGTCATCCTGCTCAGGTTATTCTTTGTCATCTCTGACAACTGGGTCTTCCTGAAATGCAAATACAGGGGGCAACTTCTTCCTGTAAAGGTTGTGCTCAAGGCAAATTGTCTTCTGAAACCTTTAAACCTTCTTGGAAACATGCAACTAAACCCTTGGAATTGGTCCATGCCAATTTATTGGAATTACCAGTGGAATCTTATTTCCACTCAAAATATATCCTTACTCTTCTTGACAATTTTTTGTCATTCAGCTTCTGTCTCTACCTCCATAACAAATCCAACACTTATACAGCTTTTGCCAATTGGATAGTGTCTGCCCAAAATCAGACTGGTCACCATCTTCTTACACTCCATTTGGATTGAGGGGGAGAATTTATGGGTTCTACCTTTAAAGTGCTCCTCTCTACACATGGTATTACTCATCAATTATCAATCACTGACCAACCACAACAAAATGGTTGAGCAGAACAATTTAATAGGACTATTTCCAAGAAAGCTGGAACTATTCAGCATCATGCATGTGTTCCAAAATGCTTCTGGAACTTTGCCTTTGATTGTGCATTACACGTGTACAATCAAACTCCACTCAAAAGGATTCTCTTCAAGACTCCTGCCAAACTCTTCTTAGGAAAAGTTCCTGACATTTCTTATTTTCACACCTTTGGCTGTAAAGCCTTTGTATGGGTTCCAAAAGAACAATGGAAAGATAAACTGGAACCTCATGCTGTCAAAATGATTTTTCTAGGCTATGAGCCAAACACTAAAGGATATCACTTCCTTAATGGTCAAAAGATCATTTTGTCTTGAACAGCAAAATTCATAGAAGACTCTTTTCCTTTCTGCTTGGATTCTAAAAAGACCAATACCTTTGACCCTGGTTCTGAAAGTGACTCATCATCCAAATCATCTTCCAACTCTGAAAGCCTTCATTCACTTCTGGATCCTGATCAGATCCAACCACCACTTCATCACTGGCAACCACCTCATCCTATAACACCACCAAACCCACAGCAGACTAAAGCTGTGACCAGCCTAGAGCTTCTGGTTCAAATCAACTGATTAGAAGAGCACCTGCTGCTGTACCATCAGTCAACCCTCAAGTTCTTCATCCTCATGAACCTTATATTGTTCCTGGTGACTCCCAAAATATTTGGAGAGCACAACCACAACAATCTGAAGACCAAGAACCACATCCTAAATGTTGTTTTATCCCTGTTTCCTGTCCAGGAAATATTTATGGAGATAGACCTCCAGTTCAAATAGAAAGGGATATTCAACAAAATCAGGATCAAGCTCAACAATGGATTTGTAATGCAGAGCATAATATAAGAGAAAGAGAAGAGGCTTGGAGACACTATGATGAGGAGCATAGACCACCTTCACCAGTCTTGCCACCAGCAATGGTACCTCCTCAGGTTCCTCGTCAGTGGACTGAACATCCACAAGGAACTACTCCTCCATCTCCTCAATCTCCCTTAACTCCACTTCCTGAATCTCCAAAAGGAATGCTGGATCAAGAAGCTGAGATGCATCCTTTTGAATTTGCACTCACTGCTCACATTAAAGAATCACCTGAACATTATAAAGATGTTTTAAAAGTTGTCTCCTGATTTACAAAAGAAATGGTTCAACACTATGAAGGACAAACTGAAATCTATTGAAGAAAGACAAGTATGGACTTTGGTGGATCCTCCTAGAGATCAGAAACCAGTCAAGTGTCGATGGGTTTTCACTATCAAAAGCAATGGTCACTATAAAGCTTGTCTTGTGGCAAAAGGCTTTACACAAGAATTTGGCACTGACTTTGAAGATACCTTCTCTCCAGTGGCTAGATTCAAAACTGTTCAAATCTTGTTAGCCTCTGCTGCCCAAAAGAATTGGGAAATGGAAGCCCTGGATGTTAAAACTGCCTTTTTATATGGCAATCTTGATGAAGAAATTTATATGGAGCAACCAGAAGGTTTCAAAGTTCCAGGTCAAGAGCACAAGGTCTATTGGCTGCTTCAAGCCTTATATGGCTTAAAGCAAGCAGCACTTGCATGGAATAAAGCCTTACACAATTCACTTCTTCATATGGGCTACATATGCTCAAATGTGGATGCTGAGATTTATATTTATTCCTCAAAAGCTGGTATAGTCATTTTCCTTGTCTATGTTGATGATGGATTATTCCTTGGATTGGACAAATGTCTTCTTAAAGCCAAGAAAGAAGAGTTTATGAAGAAATGGGAATCCTGTGACCTTGGAGAAGTAAAAGAATATCTCAGAATTCAAATTCATTGAGATCAATTGAAGAAAGAAGTTTATCTTGATCAAACTCCTTATGTCAAAAAGGTCATTAAAAGATTTGGAATGGAGACTGCTCAAAATGTTCGCACTCCACTTCCATCAGGATATCAACTGGAAAAGGCTCCTACCAACTATCAGGCCACATCCCAAATTTGCTCCCAGTACCAGTCAATTATAGGGTCTTTACTCTATATGGCACTTGGAACTCATCCAGATATTGCCTTTGTGGTTATTTGCATGTCACAATATATGGCTAATCCCACTGAGGATCATTGAAAATAAAGCCTTGCATATAGTTCACTATATTGCTTCCACTCCTAAACTTGGGCTTTATTATTCCTGGACTCAAATCATGAATTTTTGGATTTGCTGATTCTGATTGGGCCTCTAACAAAGACACTTGTCATTCAACTACTGGTTATGCCATTTTTCTTGGCACATCTCTTGTTTCTTGGCAATCTTGGAAACAGAAGACTGTTGCACTCTCTTCTACAGAAGCCAAGTATATGGCTTTCTATGCTATTTGATGAACTTAAACTCAAAACTGAGAAGACCATTCTTTACTGTGACAATATGGGTGCTTGCTTCATTGCTGAGAATCCTGTCTCAGATGGACAATCTAAACATATAGATGTCCAATGGCATTATGTATGCAAAAGTGTACAGGAAGGTTTGTTCAGTATTGAATATGTTCAAACTGACAAACAAAAAGCCAATGGTCTTACCAAATCTTTGACATGGCAAAAAGTTGAAACAAATCACTCATCAATGGGACTTGTTAATATCCCATTTTAGAGTGAGGGGGAGTGTTGGAAATATGATAATATGTCCAATGTCTAGATCCCTCTAGACTTACATGTTTTGATACACATGTTATATCATATGACTTGTCTTCATAATCAGCTCCACAGTAATGTCAATATGACATCACTCATTGCATCATATTCCATAGCATTCTCTGCTATTCCTTACTATATGTAGTAATAGTTTCCTTATACATTACTGGTCCATGCATACAGAAACATGTATATAAACTCAGGGATATTCTCTCATAGTCCCTATCGAATTTTACATTTGTTCTATTGTTCTCTCAAGAACAAGAGCCCCTACAAAACCATTACTCAAAACTATTTGCTAACTCAATCAAAAGGCAAGTGCTCTTGTCTCATTGCTCTTTGTACCGTAGCCCGTCCTCTGTGCAATACATCAGGAAATTAACACTTTACTATTTTTGACCTTTTTGTGACTTTTTGGGAAGGAACCTACTATCTGTACTTTTTTTTTGACCATATACAGCATTTTGAAGAATGAAAAGAGAACAGAATCTATTGAGACAACTAAGTGATGATATATCTAAGCCAAGAAGACTAGAAAATGTCTGAAAATTCAGAGATATTGAGCCATTGGTGTGATGCACACTGTCTGAGAGAAAAATCACAATATCTCTTTGGAACCTCCATCAATTTGAATGTATGTGGTATCTACTGAAAGCTATGAATTAGGTGGTTTGAACAAGACCAAAATCAGCAAGAAAAGTGCAGCCATGCCTGCAGGACATGGGTAATGATAGTAGATTCCTTCCCAAAAAGTCACATTAGTCACAAAAAGTCAAAAATAGTAAAGTGTTATTTTCCTGATGACTACAACAGTGAACCGGTAGCGCCATGGATCATCCTCCGTCGGAGGTATGAAATCAACGGACTCTGTTCCATCCTCGTAACTTTGCACCGGCTGGCCAGAAACCCACGCTCGTCGCTCGGGAGGGTAAAGGGCAGATACAAGTGGTGTTGTCAGAAAGGTGAGCGTCACAGCCTCAAGCACGAACATCGAAAAGACCGTTTGGGAGAAAATCCCTGCTTCCAATCCCACATTCAGCACAATCGGCTCTACCAACTTACCCTAGTGATATATCAAAGATACCCGGAACGAAAGAGGAAACCGTACCCTCTGCAGCTCATCAACGAGCCAACTGTACTCGCTTCTCGCCATCCAAAACCGGAAAGTTTAGTTGCTAAGGTGCATCCACCAAATTTACCCGTGAAAGAAAATAGAGTGATCGCAATCGTGCAAGCCCACGTTATACCTAATAAACAGGTAATGAACTATAGCAGTACATATGGAACCATCAGGGGCCACAAACCATTGTTGAGCAACCTGAGATTAGTGTTCGAGCAGAAAGCGCGAAGTACTGAATATACGAGGAAAAGATGCTACAATATGGTCGTAACGAAACTTACCAGAGGAAGAAAGATGATCGATACCATATCTTCCAGTTTCTCTGTTAGAGTGACTGCAAGTCCACCTTCTCTAGGAACGACAATCCCAACCAAAAAGGCCCCTGTCCCCCAGCGCCAATTAGAAGTGAATTGCCAAGCCATAATAAAAACCGAACCGAAAATCGCATTCACGCCCGCAATATCAGTGAAAAAGGCCAATCCGCACAGCAGTAGTATCACGACCGTCACGTAAAACATGGTAGGACCGTTCTCGACACTCCCTGTTTTTCTTGCTAGCCAGAGCATTGCCCTTTTGACCGGTCATGGTAAGAAAATCGCAAAGGCGACACAGATCAGTAAAGTCAACATAGCTGTAAGTCCGGAGCCAGCGTTGACAAGGGCGATACTCAGTGTCAGTAACGTCCACCCAACTATGTCATTGCCGACCCCGGCAAACATAACAATTTCAACGGTGGTGTCAAGTATTTTGAGCTCCGTGAGGATACGACAGAGTACAGGGAAGACCGTAATGGAGAGTACGCCACACCGGTAAACAACATGAAATGCGTGAATTGCACCGAGGGATCGATGAAGTGGTGGTACAGAGGCGATGAAAGTGCCGAGCCCAGCCAAAGGGGAGAGCGATTCCCGCCAGGGAAACGACAGCCGAGAGGCGTGCATTGCACTTGACGATACTGACATCGATTTCAAGACCGACGAGGCAGAGGAAGCGACAAAGACCGATGTCGGCAACGAGGGAGAGATACGGTAGGGAGTCCTCGGGGAAAATGTATTGCGTAAACCCTCATATACTATTCCGAAAGCCGTCGGACCTGTAAGCGTGAACGCTTGATCAAATCCAGTAACCTACCGAGGAGAAACCCACCAAGAACCTCAGCAATGACCTTGGGCTGCTTTATTCTTCCCAGAACAACTGGGCCATCATGATGTTCGCACCTGACGTGACAAGTACTCCTCGTATCTATACACCCCAGCACGAGTCAACCATCGCTCACCAACTTGGATGATCTATAGCCTAAAAGGACCCGAGCTGTTGTATGCTGATGGATCCTCGCGAATCAGAAGAGCATGCTGCAGGGAGGAACTTCCCAGTGTTCGAAGAAAAGTACGGAAAGACTTGCTGACTACATCACTTCCCCTTCGGCTGCGCGTGTGGTGACTGTCTTAAATCGCTTGATCGTAGCGTTTAAGAGCGCTGGCATCACAAATACTGAGCTTTCTGGCCGGTGCGTGATCCTCGTCAGGCCGTTCAGCTAGGCAAGTGAACGAAGGTAGCGGGGCCAAGTAGCACAATGTTGTTCGGATCCCTTCATTTCGATGTTGATGGCGTTGGACGTCACCGAACATTAACTTCATCCCAAGAACCGGAAGCTGTGTCGCTCAGGGGCCAAGCCCAGACTTGTCCCTTCCAATTCGTCGCTGGTGAAGAGTATTCAATATTCAATATTCACTAGACATCGGCCTATGGCATTTGAGAGCAGTACTATGTCTGACAGTCTTGACGCCTTTGAGGGAAAATTTGTTCAGGTATCTTCCCCACCAGCTAAACTGCGTGCTAATAGTTCAAAATTCTCATAGTGCACTGAATTTTGGCGGTCCCAATCGTATGCATTTTGACCTTTTCTATTGTACGGTAAGCGATATCATTGCGCATTACATGAAAATCCTAGGATTGCTTCGAGGACGGCGGGAAAAGCAAACCATCATGGAAATCATCACCGCGTCCCCGAAGAGTCCCTAAAAGTCTTGTTCAAAGTACTAGTCTCCGCGCGGGGAACCTAAACCTCAATTGCAATTGTGGAGAATTCCTCGGGGAACAATCGGAGGGCACAAACACCATTTGCAGGACGAGAACCTGGTGATCTGCGCGCATATCAGATGTGGTTTGACCCGATTCCCTTCTGAACGATGCACGGGATCTCTGCCCACCAAGGCCAACTGCCTCCCGGCGACCATACTCTGACACACACAATCCAACCGCCTTGCGAACTTGCTTCTGCTGATAGGCCATTCGGCCAGATCTACGGTTTTCGATCAAACAGGAATATCAGATTGCACGTACCTGGACATTCATGCAGTCAATCTTCCACATTCGTATTTCCTCACCGTTCCCGACCTTACGGCGTTCTGTTGTTCGGCCTGCCATTCATTTCCGTGTCCTACAACAAGGGGGAACCGAATAGAACTACATGAACATCACAAGTACCTCCTTGGGCATAATGGTAAGGGCTATCAACTATGAGAAGCAAGTGGAACTCAGTATAGCACTACGCACAGGATCTATAAAGAAGGAAAACAATTACAGCAACTCTTAACATCTCACAGCATCAACAAAGCATACCCACGTGTTGTGTCACATGCCTCTCATCTCGATTGAGTTGGAATGCAGGGATCGCCGTCCAACGGAGATCGCCTGCTGCCTCGAAGCCTGCTTCGTGGGCTTTGTATCGTCTCCCTGAGACTCACCACAGTGGCCGCCCCTGTCGCACACGTTACTGGCTAGAGGCAGAGCCTCACGAGCGCAGCTCGAACGTGGGGAGGAAATCTTCGGAGACGGGAGGAAAGATAACTGATGAAAAGATGGTAATGTGTACGGCGGTGGATCGCCATTGAGAGTCGAATCACAAATAGAACCAGTAGAGTACTTGAGGTCGGGAGTGGAATCCGAATAATAGGCAGCGGGCATCCATGATACGTCCGTCGTCCGCACTTTCTCGGGCTTGCTGGGAGAGGGAACGATGCCGCATTTCACAAGAAGAGAGTCGTTCATAGGTGATACAACATGAAAAGGGTCGTGAGCTACGTCCAGTCGGATGTTCAAACGAAATCAGCGCTTTGGTCCCGGACATGGGCGTACACCGTTTACCTCGTCGTCCATCAGTGCATGCGCTTCTACAACGCTTTCTCCAGATCCTCGGAACGATCCAAAATGCGAGCAAACAAATGATGACCAGACAGCCTACGCTCGTCTGTGTTTGAACTTGCTGGAAAAAATTGACATGATTTAAAAGAGAACTCACCCGCAACCGCGATCAAGTCTTTAGCACAAACGGGTACGGTGGATGAAACCAGTTTGCATTGTTCGCTTGCGGGCGAGTCCGAGCTGCGAGAGAACAGTGAACGCGGCAGATACATAGCGCGTTGACTGAAAGAAATTGACAAGAGGAGAAAATAAGACGACCGTGTAGAGGGTAGCGGTCCTAAGGAGTAGATGGTTGGTTGCGATAGCACCGGACTATGCTGTTATGGAGGGTCTCTATTCCCAATGTGAGAAAAATAGTGGGTTGAGAACGGACACAAACTATTAAGCTTCGGTTTATGATACTCACGGGATGTCAGCCGCCTCCGTAAAAGCAGGTCGTTACCTGTGTATGGCTGCGTGGAGATGCAGGGAATACGATGTTGAACCTCACCTCGCCACTAATTATATCAGTCCCCGTGTTCGCCCGCTGGTCGCATGGGATGACGGATCAAGGCTGTGATCCAGCGGGAGTCCGTCGCACACGTTGTACTGGCGACAACCTCGAGGTCGACCCTGTCGACTGACTCGCCTCGGCTACCTAATTTTTGCACATGTGGTGGGCCTTTTCCAGAACTGCCTCCGTGACAAGCGGATCATCCACCTGTCCAGTGCTGGCTGGGAACCCAGCCTGTAGTACTGGAACAAGATTTAGAATTCAACACCTCTCTGCCAGAGTGCACACAGTCCCACCAATATGACACTCGACAGATAACCAAATACCCAGTGAGTAGCCCCGCAAATGCCAATATAGCCTTGCTGAACCACCTTTGGACCAGGCATGGCAGTGTCACACGAGATGGACTACTACAGCCTGGTGAACTAGTTATATACTGGAACATTCTCTTGCACGTCTCTTCCGTGCAGCAGTAGCTGTGATTCGGTTGTAGATTCGATGATCCAACTAAGGACAGCCAGCTTTCGAGGAGATACTTGTCATGTGCATCGACACGTTGCAGTGATACCTCGTGTCCTGCCACTCTGGTCATTACTCACGTGGCCAAGGCTTCATGTCAGTGCTTGCACCCCAAGCTCAACAGTTCTCGATTCTGATACACCAAATATTTGGTGTTGAACTTGCGATTGAGAGTGGTCTGAAACGGTATGTGACCATACAACCACCAGAAAGCCAGATGCCTTCTGTAATTGCCGCTGATACTAGAGTGTGCGATTAGCTCCCCATACCTATCGATAACAAGGTAGTGAGCATTCTAACTCTCCGAGACGTAGCCGAGCCTGTCGATCGTCCAGATGGTAGCCTACAACATCGTATTTGCCGGAGAAACTGGAGTCGGGAAGAGCTCCCTTATTAATCTTCTCTTTGATCTGGAAGTATCCCCGACGTCCAACGACATTCTAGGAGTCACAGATGAAAGGAAACGATTCATCGCTGTCCAGGATGGGGATGTCTATCGCCTATGGGATACACCCGGTTTGAACGAAGGAACTCACGGGAACGTCTTAACACGCCAAGCCATGAAAGAACTAGAATCTCTTTTCAAGGAGTTAGAGGCTGTGGGCGACGTCCATCTCCTCGTATTCTGTTTCCGGTTCACCAAATATTTCACTACTGGCCTCCAAAGAGTATTCGAATCCGTCATGGCTTCTATACACGGTAGTCAAGTGCCTATCGTTGCAGCTGTAACGCATGCGGACGAGATGAGGCAGACTCCGGAAAGCTGGTGGAACCTAACCGAGAGTCAGCGCCAACAAAAAGAGTTGATATTTGCAGATTACGCCTGCGTATCAACTTTGGAAGATGAGGACTATCCTCCGACACCGGGAAGACGGGAAAAGGCCAAGCATGACATGTGGCGGTTGATCAAGAATCGTGCCAAACCATTGCTACCAGACAACTCCCTTCCCAAGGTAGAAAGTCGTACGGTTCAATTGGCCATCGCTGACATCCCAAACTTAGGAGGTCAATGTAATTCTTTTTGGACAAACGGGAGTTGGGAAGAGTTCGGTCGTGAACTTGATCGCTGGTCGGCCTGTTGCCGAAGTTAGCCCGGATGCGGAAGGTTGCACCATGAGCTCTACAGAATACCGGTTCGTAGTGGGAGCACACGATTTCCGCATCTGGGACACAGTTGGTCTTGAAGAGCCTGCAGTCGGAATGAACACATATTTCGGAGCCATATTGAAAGCGTTGCAGCTGATCCGTGGGGTGGCAGCTGCCGGTGGGATCAACCTTCTCCTGTTCTGTATGCCAGGTCGAAGGGTCACAAAGACTGTCCAAAGCAATTACCGGTTATTTTATGAGATGCTTTGCGAGAGTAAAGTTCCCATTGGCCTAGTCATAACCAATTTGGAACGGGAGAAGGACATGGAAGACTGGTGGATGCGAAACAAGAGAGCTCTTCACGACCACGGCATCAAGAGCGTTGGACACGCTTGCGTAACTGGATTGCCATATCTTCCGGAGAAATATGCATTGTCCAGAGCTGCAATATACGGCTTGCTGACGGACTGCGACCGTTTCGGGAAATATATCATGCCCCCTGAAATTTGGTTCAAGAGGGTGGCGAGGAATATGAAATCGCTTGTCACGGGTGGAAGCCTACCGAAAGGCGAGAAGCTTACACAGGCGTTATTAATGCGGGGTGGGTTGAAGGAAGATGATGCTAGGCGATTGAGAAAGTGCCTCGAGGAGCCTGAACATGAAGGTACGTGTTTTTAAGCAGCTACCGCGGGACTCCTTGCTTTCTAGACACAAGATGGGAATATGTATGACGAAACTGCTTAAGCTTTGCGTGGCACAGAACCTTCCTGACCATGTAATGCCAGGTACTAGCGCACTTTGCATGCGGATCGATACAGATGCTAATCGACTTCCCTCCTTTTACTCGTCCACCTGTTCTTATCCATGACCTCACCTTCCATCTCGTTATCTCCTCCCGACGTAGCGATATGCACTTTCGTCTTACTTGGGGGCCTTCAGCTGCCGAGGTATATACAGTTGCCTTTACCTTAGCTACTTATAGTAGCGTAGTCTGTCAACCTCATCATGTAGTTGAACGCATACCCAAGTGTCTGCGTTCAGATCTAGAGATTGGAGCACTCGAGCTTCCTCCGCTACGGAACATGGGTCACCTGGGCAATAGTTGTATGTATCGTGTGGGCGGGTGTCGTGAGGCCAAACCTTAGCCAATGGTTGAAAGCGAAGTGCCAGCGTTCCGTCCATACTGGTATACATCCCTCCGACATGACCTTCGCGCACGCAAAGAGAAGGAAAGAGGGTGGCGAGCTGTGAGTACCGTTATTGTTACTAGCAACTGGCAGAGCATTCGTTTCATCTTAGGGCATTCCGAGGTTCCTCCCCAGTAGTATGTAACTGCCTGATAGCCTCATCATCAAGGGAGCCAGATTTTCTCCGTCTCCTGCGGATTATAGGCTATTGGAACAGAATACTTAAATTTGGAGAACTTCCAAAGGCTTCTTATTGGTAAGACAATAAAGCAACCAGTCGGAGATCTAACGACGTGCTTCTGCCAAAGGACGTATGATTTCAAAGGTGCGTCAGCGCCAACCACTCCAATGTCCCAGCGGCGTAGACGTGTGCACAGCCACCGCAATTTTTTTCGGAATAAACTGACTTAACGGACTTAGCTTCCTTTGGGCACAACGTTCAAGATGACTTCTTGTACTGTATGGTACGCACCATCCCATGCAAGACCGACGATCACAGGTGTTTGTGCGATAGAACACTCTTGCACCCATTTTCGACGTGTTCAATGTTGTATGATCATCACCGTCTGTGCTGGAACAGCAAGTGCCTATTCTTTACTAAAAGGCAGGACGCCTCCTGCGGTCGCTGCCTGATGCGGATCCAGTTGTATAGAGCTCGACCTCAGAACGCTCTCGATTCGGACCAGGGACAGGTAACGGCCTCCAGTAACTAATAGCAGCAAGGTAGTGAGCATTGGCACTGGTCGGGACGTGTCCGAGTCTGTCCATCCCTTGATGGTAGCCTACAACATTTTATTTTCGGAAGAAACCAGAGCTGGGAAGAGCTCGCTTATCAACTTGCTCTTTGGTCTGGAGGTATCCCAAACTTCCAGTGACGTCTTAGGTCTCACCGCCGAAAGGAAACGATTCGTCATCCTTCACGATTGGAACGTCTATCGCTTATGGAATATGTCCGGTTTCAAGGAACGACCCCGACGAATCGTCCTCCTACGCTAAGCCGCGAGAGAATTAGGAACCCTCTTTAAGGAGTTGGAATTTGGAGACGAAGTCCATTTCATCGTCTTTGCTTCCAATTTGCCAAGTTTTTTTTTTACCACTGGCCTCCAAGGGGTATACGAGTCTGTCCTTTCTTCCATCCGTGGCACCCGAGTGCCTATTGTCGCAGCCTTAACTCACACGGACGAGATTCCGGAAGGTTGGTGAAATGGAACCGAAGTTCAACGCGAGCAGAAAGGAACGAAATCGAGAAGTTATACTTGTGTCTGCGCTGGATGACAAGGATAATCCTCCAGTGCAAGGAAGGCAGGCCAAGGCCAAGGATGACGGGTGGCAGTTGATCAAGATGCACACTAGACCATTGCTACTGCCCGACTCCCTTCCCAAGGTAAGGAGATATATGGCATGGTGCGACTACACGAGTATCACTCACCTCCCTAACTCAGGATATCAACATCATTCTTTTGGGCGGGCAGGAGTTAGGAAGAGTTCGGTCGTGAACTTGATCGCTGGTAAGTAGCTTTGCACCTATCAGACGCATCTTCTTAGGATGTCGACGAAAGACTCAGCACTAGCATGGGGATTACAACCCATCGCACGTACTGCCTGGATGTCTGAGCTACAAGGTATCTCGTCAGGTAAAAGGCAGAAATTTTTGCAGGGCAGGACGAAGAATGGCTGGAAGCCCATCGAAGATCTCTAAGGTTACACGTGCGAAGTGTGAGGCTATTCCAAGCGCCCTTCTCAAGCGCTCCCGCAGAACATTGAAAGCATTTTTCAAGCGGCTGGTTAATAAGCTTGGGACTCTCCGCAGCGTCAGATCCACTCGGACCAAGTGAAGATGTCCGCATCTGATAACTTCCCTGAGATAAGTAGAACATTGAGGTGGCCAAATTAAGAACACCCTCCTGCAGCGTGTCACTGGGCCCCAGTAACGGCCATAGCGGCCATGCGAAGGGGCAAAATCTTCGCCCCGAGGGCTTTATATCATGGATATTGTCATCTGAGTCGAGTACCCAAGTATCTCGTGTATCGTTGGCTATTCCGTGCCGTGTTCTCTGCCATACCAAACTTCGCGGCCCAGACCCGACAGTTCCCAGGTTGACACACAGGTTCTCGCGGTGCGATTCGGCTTCTCCAGAGCATTGTGGAGCGATGGTTGTCCATTTGTTCACCTAGTAGCGATAACGTACTTTCTATGATCAACATTCAAAGCTGGGTAACAGGGATGTCAGAGTGTAAGCCCTCGAAGCGGACTGAAGGTACTGACCAGTGACATCCAGGTGGTGCCTTACCATGATTGTTTTTCCAGATAGTAGCCCGAAATGACATATCCGCCGAAGAAAGCGCAGACCGGAAGAGTTCTCTTACCAACTTCCTCAGTATCATACTATCAAAACGTCCTGCGACGTCTTATGAACCACCTACAAAGGGCAGCGACTAATCACCCCTCAGGGTTGGGACGCCTAATGCCTACAGGAAAGGTCGAGAGGCATACTAAACCATTGGTATCGCCCAACTCCACTCAGAAAGTAGGAAGACGTACAGTTCAATTAGTCACCACCTACATCGCCAGACAGACAGACAACGGTCCTTAAGACGGTCGTGAACCCAATCACCGGTGAGAACGTTGCGGGCGCTAGCAATACAGACGCTGATACCTGCCACACAATACCAGTTAGAGCACATGACCTCCGCATCTGAGATACCGCTAGTCTTAAGGAGCCTGCAGTTGGAAGTCGCTGCCATACTGAAAGCACTGCAACTAATCCGTCGAATGGCAGCAGCCGGCAGGCTTGATGTCCTCCTGGCCAGCTCAAAGGCTCGCAGAAACTGCCCGAAGCAATTATGAACCGTGTTACAAGATGCCCGCGAGATGAGGACATCCAGCAACCAACCAATGTGAAGCGGAAAAACGATATGCAGGAATGGTGGATGCGAAATGAATGACTTGAGCATGATGAACGTTGGCACGCCTACATTACTGGACTGTCCATGCTGCCAAGGCGGCCGGAAGGGACAACTGATGCACATAAAACAAGTGCAAATAGTATAGGCGCCTCAGTGGGTCTTCCTACCTGGCGTCTACTGTAATGGTATGGGCAAGGGTTGTCCAGCACCCATCCCACTAATACCTGCGGACATCATACGGGTGATGGGTCGGTCAGTCAGCAGTAAATACTCCCCGATGGCAGTTGTGGACGTTGCTAGACACCTCTATTAGGATCGAAAGACCACCGCAAGTATGCTCAACCTCTGGACACGGCACTCAGCGTCAGTACGTGGCAATACCTAGTACGCACAGTGCGATACGACACGCCACCTCATGCAGGACAGACCGTCACAAGTAGTTGTACGATGGCGGGCTCTTTCACGTGTCTTCTTTGCAGCAGTAGCTGCGTTTTGGTCGTGTATTCTATCGGAAATAGCAGTGCGCTTTCACTCTGGAGGTATTAGACAACATCTCGATCGACACGTTGTAATGCCTCAGCCGCCTGGATTCCTCGTGTCGTTTCGACCATCGCGAACGTGTACACATTGCTTGTCCCCATCCCTGTCATCCAAAGCCCGGCACTTCTCAGTTGTCATACTGATTCTCTTGCATAGCGACCCAGTTTGCTTAGTACGTCGTGGAACGGTGGGTATCCGGTCGTTCGCTGGAGAGTAGGATACTGTCTGTGCTTGTCACTTAGAGCTGATTGATAATTATATTTAGTTTAAACAGTGTGCTTTTTTCCAAGCTGTCAAAGCGGGCTGAGGGTACCTCTCATCCTGGCTCTCAGAGGTCCATCATTTAACTCGACGCTCTTCCAGATGGTAGCCCACAACATTGTATTTGCAGGAGAAGCCGGAGTTGGGAAGAGTTCTCTGATTAACCTACTCCTCGATTTGGATGTATCTGAAGCCTCCAACAACGTCTCAGGGGGTACCCGCGAAAGGAAACGATACATCGCGATTCAGGATCGAAATGTCTATCGTCTATGGGATACACCTGGTCTCAACGAAGGCACCCAGGGGAATGTCCCACAACGCCGGGCCATAAAAATACTGGAATCTCTTATCAAGGAGTTGAAGTCGGAAGATGGAGTCCATCTCGTCGTGTTCTGTTTCCGATTCACCAAAGTACCAACAGCCGGCCTCAGAAGGGTATACGAGTTCGTCCTCGCTTCCATTCATGGTATACAAGTACCTGTCATCGCGGCAGTGACACATGAAGACGAGATATTGCAGATATCAGAAGATTGGTGGAATGGAACTGAGGTCCACCGCAAGCGAAAGGGGATGACGTTTGCGGCTTACGCATGCGTGTCTACATTGCAGGATGTGGATCATCCCCCGATGCAAGGCAGGCGAAGCAAGGCTAAAGATGATATGTGGCAGTTGATCAAGACACATGCTAAACCATTATTACCGCCCAACACTCCTCCTAAGGTAGGAAGGAGGACGAGTCAGTTGGTCGTTACTCACTTCCCCATCTTAGGAGATCAACGTAATTCTTCTTGGGCAAACAGGGGTCGGGAAGAGCTCTATCGTGAACCTGATTGCTGGCCAGCACATCGCGCGTGTTAGTCCGGACACCGATGTCTGCACTATGAGCTCCACGGAATATCGGTTCGAGATGGGAGCGCACGATTTCCGCATCTGGGACACCGCAGGTCTTGAGGAGCCTGAGGTCGGGGCAAACGGATACCTCACTGCAATAGCAAAAGCGCTCCAGTTAGTCCGTCGGTTGGCAGCCGCTGGCGGAGTCAGCCTTCTCTTGCTGTGCATGCAAGGTGAAAAGGTCACAGGAGCAGCCCGGAGCAATTACAGGCTATTTTACGAGATGCTCTGTGGGAGATGTGTGCCAGTTGGTTTGGTCATAACCCACCTGGAACGGGAGGACAACATGGAAAAATGGTGGGAGAAAAATGAGGAAAACTCTCGATAGATATGGCGTCAAGAGCGCTGGGCATGCTTGCATCACTGGGCTGCCATCTTATCCGGAGAAATACGCACTGTCAAGAGCTGCAATATATGGCCTGCTGACGGACTGCGACCACTTGGGGAAATACACGATGCCTCCTCATATCTGGTTCAGGAGAGTGGCGAGGAACATGAAATCACTTGTCATGGGAGGAAGCCTACCAAAGGGAGAGAAGCTGACCCAGGCGTTGATAACGCGGTGCGGTTTGAAGGAAGCAGACGCTGGAGAACTCAGAAGGCTCCTTGAAGAAGTTGATGATGGGTCGTCATTAGCGGTTACAGCATAATATTACCTTCCATACCCACCATACGAGTGTGGGCCATTAATTTATGCGCGATCTCGTGGAGAAGACGACCTTCCTTAGAGTAGCCCTAGCAGAACGATCAAAACACCCTCGATATTGCTCAGAAACACACGATGCGGTCTTCGAATGATTTACGAGGCGGGGTTATGGAGCTCGTAGTGGTCGACCTTTACGGACATCCTGAGTCGTTGGTCGTTGATCAAACATGAAGAGATGGATGTTCACAGTGGTCCATTCAAGATGCTTAATGACGAGTGTTCTTGCCAAGCCTCTAATGCTTTTTGACATTTATTTGCTTGAACTAATTCTTGCTGATACCCCGACTCGCATATGCACTTCAAAAACAGTGCTCCGAACTAACGTGTCACATTTCCGCATGCCCGTCGTCGGCTGACGCGCTCTTCCAGACGTCCAACTCTATAACACTAGGTGTGCCCGCTCTCTGTTCACTCTTCCATGTGCAAGAGCATTTCGCCGGTAACCGTGAATCTGTGCTTTTGTCGGCAATAACTTCGTACATCTGCGTGCGCTAGGTGCTCCGGCACAGAAATGGACTGACCCAGCAATGGCTCTCGGCGTATAATCAATACCGGGTGAGTGGGCTCGCAAACCCCAACGCTCAGGCTGATATGGCCTTGATGTTGAACCACCCTTAGCCTAGGACCGTGACCCTAGTCACAGAACGATAGAAAAACTGCAAGTATTTTACCCTCTATACGTGCACTCAACCTAGTGACAATTCAGAGATAGACTGACACAGGTGAACCGGTTGTGCCGTAGAACACTGTCTTTCATGACTCTTCCGTGCAACAGTAACTAAGGTCGGATGTAGATCGCAAGTATCCCGCTAAAGGCAAGTGCCTTCAAAAACACGCTCGTTATCTCCATCCACATGTTGCACTGATATCTGGGCGCTTGGATCCCTCGTGTGCCGCTGACCGTCATTCACGTGCCCAACGTTTCATGCCAATACCCGTAGCCCAAAGCTCAATGTTTCTCTATTCTGACACACTGATTCTCCTGGGTTGAACTTGCAATTGCAATTGGTTCGTGCATTCTGAGCGTTTTGAAACGGTAGGTAACCTTATCCACCAGAAAGCAAGGGGCTTTCTGCAACTGCCGCCTGCAGCTGACATCTTCAACAGTTAGGACGTGTCTGGGCCTGTTGATCGCCTAGATGGTAGCCTACAACGTTGTGTTTGCGGGAGAAACTGGAGTCGGGAAGAGTTCCCTCATCAACCTTCTCTTCGATCTGGAAGTTTCCCCGACGTCCAACGACATTCTGGGAGTCACAGACGGAAGAAAACGATTTATCGCCATTCAGGATTCGGACGTCTATCGCCTATGGGATACTCCCGGTTTTAACGAAGGGACTCAGGGGAATGTCTTAACACACCAAGCCACGAAAGAACTAGAATCTCTCTTCAAGGAGTTAGAGTCGGCGGATGGAGTCCATCTCCTTGTATTCTGTTTCCGGTTCACCAAGTTTTTCACAACTGGCCTCCAAAGAGTATACGAGTCTGTCGTTGCTTCTATACATGGTAGTCAAGTGCCCATCGTTGCAGCAGTAACACATGCAGACGAGATGAGGCAGATTCCGGAAAATTGGTGGAATGGGACCGAGCCGCAGCGCAAACAAAAAGGGTTATTATTTGTAGATTATGCCTGCGTGTCTACTTTGGAGGACGAGGACTATCCTCCGACACTGGGAAGACGGGCAAAGGCGAAGAATGACATGTGGCGGTTGATCAAAGGACATGCTGAACCCTTGCTGCTGTCCAGCTCCCTTCCCAAGGTGGGAGGACACATGACTCTGCTAGCCATCACTGACATTCTCGACTTAGGAGGTCAACGTGATCCTCTTCGGACAAACAGGGGTCGGGAAGAGTTCGGTCGTGAACTTGATCGCTGGTCGGCCTGTTGCCGAAGTTAGCCCGGACGCGGAAGGCTGCACCATGAGCTCTACAGAATACCGGTTCGTAGTGGGAGCACACGATTTCCGCATCTGGGACACGGTCGGTCTCGAAGAGCCTGCAGTCGGAATGAACGCATATTTCGAAGCCATATTGAAAGCGCTGCAGCTGATCCGTCGAGTGGCAGCTGCTGGCGGGGTCAACCTTCTCCTGTTCTGTATGCCAGGTCGAAGGGTCACAAAGACTGCCCAAAGCAATTACAGGCTATTTTACGAGATGCTTTGCGAGAGTAAAGTTCCCATTGGCCTTGTGATAACCTATTTGGAGCGGGAGAAAGGATATGGAAGACTGGTGGATGCGGAACAAGAGAGCTCTTCACGACCACGGCATCAAGAGTGTCGGACACGCTTGCGTAACTGGGCTGCCGTATCATCCGGTGAAATACGCACTGTCCAGAGCTGCGATATACGGCTTGCTGACGGACTGCGATCGCTTTGGGAAATACATCATGCCGACTGATGATTGGTTCGGGAAGGTGGCGAAGAATATGAAATCGCTTATCGTTGGAGCGGGTCTACCAAAGGGCGAGAGGCTGACCCAGGCATTGGTAACGCGCTGTGGCTTGAAGGAGGATGATGCTAGACGATTGAGAAGGTACCTCGAGGAGTCTGAAGGACACGTTCTTTGAAACAGCTACGGTGGAACCCCTTTCTTATCGTAGCAGAATTACCGGAGGGTGAGAACCTAGCCCAGGCGGTAACGCGCTGCAGCTTGAAGAAAGCAGGCGCCAGACCACCCAGAAAGCAAGTTCCTTGAGAAACGCGGATGGCTGCTCTCCACACACACGATACGATTGGCTAATGCGTACCGCTTGGCCGCCTTCCTAGATTTTCATTCGCGAAGAGGATAAGCTCGCCAAGTTAAAACTTAAAGCACTCGAGGAGCCCAGCAACGATAGCCGGACTTTATGAATACTGTAACACAAGGATCACCCACTGACAAAGTCCCGCTTGTCAGCCTAAGCAAATCAAAGAGCGGAACATTTGGCCTTTCTGCTGTAGGACCCACCGACGAGGGATATCATGATGCATAAATAGTGACTGCAGGACACATCGTCCGGGAGTATAGTCTACTATGCTCGATCTCGGGGAAAAGGCAACTTTGGTGCTCCGGGCTGCAGCTCTTTGGCAGAACGAGATGACCTAGGTGAATCAGAGTATCTCCGATGAGTTTCTCGGAATTTCGCAATGCAGTATAATTGAGTGATTCGCAAAGTACTTGATAATCGATGATGAGATGAGATGTCGACGGCTAGTCCATCACATTCGCCGTCGCCGGCGATCAGTTGACATACCATCATTACCACCGGTAGGATAGCTTGACTTTCCCCGACTTTCCTCACGAGCTTTCAAAGTCATGTGGATCAAGGAATATCTGGTGGCTTTACATGGGGTAGTATGAGCTTGACATCTACCATGTCTACGGTCACCAACATGCAGACTCACCCATCCGTACGAATTTCTGCTTGATACCCCGACTGACGTATTCTGACCCTATACCGCGAAAAACAGTACCCCGAACTAACCCGTTACCTTTCCAAGTACCCGTCGTCGGCCGGTGCACTCTTCCAGACGTTCAACGATATAACGTTGGGTGTGCCCCCCTCCTCTCTCTCTCTTTGCGCCAGAGCAATTTGGTAACCACGAATTTGTGCTTGTATCGTCCATATCGTTGTCGTACACCTTCACGCGCTGCGTACCCCAGCCCAGAAATGGACGAACGTCGAACTTGCAGACTTACCCAACTGTCAACGAGCTGCTATTAAAGGTCTCCGACCTTCGTCTGTGAGCTCCTTCCGCGTTCACGTTGCCGAGTATTATTAACAATGGTACACAGGACGACGGCGAACTCCCGTCTACGTGCGTAGTCCTCCCCTGCTCCCTCGCCGAGTCAATCAGCACATCTTAGTACGTTTCGCTCTATACTGTTTTTGACTGCTGATGAGAACGCATCTAATCACTGCCTATTATAGTTTCAGTGCTGCGTTCACTAGCTTGGGCGAGAGCGCGTCAAAACAAATATATCTCGCGATTTGCGCTGAAGACTCTTCTACTGTGTACTACAAAATCAGCAAAGGGATTGTTAAACCATCTATCTAAACTCCCGCATCACGCGTAGGCGCATCGTCTCAGCAGCCGGGCCGTGTTACTAGTCGACTGAAAAGACATTACCACTTTCGGGCAGAGATATGAATAGTTACATAACATTAGTGTACATGAATGCAAAAGCATTTGTACTACAATAAATGAATATGCTTGAAATATTGAGATACGCCAGGAGCATACAAACTGAAAACGAACAAGATCCCCAGAGTCATATCTTCCAAGGGGACATCAATCATGGGCCCGATCATCGTCAAATGTGCGAGGAGCACTCACCCTAATGTCCTGGCGTCTCATGCAAAAACAACACGCACCCTGCTCCGAGCATGTACACCAATATGCTGGCATACACCGGGAAAGCACGGTTGACTACGAGAAGGACTCCTCCTACAAGGGGGGCTATCATTCCGCCACTAGATAATAGGTTGGTGAACCGGTGACGAACTGCATGGATGGTACCCACATTCGGGACAGAGCAGTGGCTATCCCACATGCCGTTCCGCGGACTCCGGTAGAAAAGATCTCCGGAGTCCACCTTGTAAGGAAAGGTATGCACTTAGTCCGGGCTAAAGTTTCTTAGTATCCACTCACCCATATAGTATGGCGTACGTTGCCTGTCGGGTCGTTGAGTCAGCATGACTAGGGAGAGAAGAAACTAACACTGACAGTTGAGCACAAACTAATCCCCAGCGAGCTAGCGCGAATCAAAAACGGGCCGCTAACGTTGACGAATAGAAAACAGCAGATGGCAGTAAGGATTGTCATCCCTACTAGCGATCCTTTTCGTCCTAGCGAACTCTCGACCAGATATGCTCCAAGCTGAATATTTACGTTAATATGAGTAATAAGCTTCCGCAGCGCACTTACGATAGCCCCGGGACATCCGCCCAAGGTGTAAATGACCACGTCCGATAGATTATCTTCCAATGATCTCGACGTCTCTTCCCTTGATGAGCTAGTCTCCAGGAGTTTTGGGAAGAAGACGTTGAACATCGTATAAGCTAACGCGTGTCGGATTAGCAAGGTCCTACTAAGGCCTGGTTATGCGCACCCAAAGTAAGAAAAGACCACGCTCCCCACACCAATATCGTTGTTCTAAACCACTCCGGACTCAACACTAGCCGTATGCGGTCCATCCACTTTGTCAAAGCACCCCTGCAATGCATCCCTATCTGTTCAACCACGACGATCGAGGACGTCCTCGACCTTGAGGGTCTCCCTTGTGAGTGGCCCCTAGGCATGACAGTTCGCCTCTGCTTGGATTCTGTATCCACGGCTGTTTGCATGGGCGCTCTGGAAGGACGGACGTCAACGTCCCCTCGTACAAGGTCGTGTCCCAGTGGAGGAAACTCCTCTACGGGTGCAATGAACGAATGATAGTCCAATGTATTGGATGATTCATCTGTTGATCGGTAGCCTTTCACACCTTGGTCACCACTGGGTTCAACAGGAGTAGAAGTAGCATTGCTATCTGCAACAGCAGTAACGGGGCGAGTGGGGGTCTCCGAAACGCTGGAGGACGGCAAGAATGGTACGCGTTCGCCTGAAGTTGCCGACCCATTGACCTCTGGCTCGGGCGGGTGACGATCGTCTACGTCATCTAACTCGAGGGGGAGTTCTGATCCATTAAAGCGCGAAATGAGCTGGAGGTTTTCGAGTGCTTCTTGGTGTCGTCCTGCTTGAACGAGGTATCGGGGCGACTCGTGCAAGCGGAAGAAGAGTATTCGAGCCAGGAACAAGGACAGGGTCTGGGTCCCTCGTCAGTGACACTTCCAAAGAAAAAGCTGAGCAATCAACCCACGATAAGTCCGAGAGTGACAAGCATGTATTGCCAACCCCTATTGTCAGTTGACGGGTCACATGATTGATTCGGTAAACAAGAACGACCCGGCATAACGATAAGGCCAACGAGCGCGGAGACAACGGAACCGATGGAGAAGAAAATGGAAAGTGCGGTGACTAAATATTGCTTGTTCTTTGGCATGTGTTCCGAGAGAAGCGTGCCATCTGTTGGCAGCGAGCCCTTTCCAGGTGACTCAGTAAAACCTGCGTTGAGGATGAGAGACCAGATTGCTTACACCTACTGCGCTCCCAAGCAGAAAAAGAAGCACGCACAGTGCCCAAAACGAAGAGGCAAAGGGCGCCAGCATACCGAATACAGATGTGAAGAACAAGGTAGCGTTGAATGCAGCACTACGGCCCAGGACATCTGAACATGTTCCCCAACCGACGGCGCCTAGCATCATTCCCGCAAACATTGATGACGAGAGTACTCCGATATAGCTGTCAGGAACTATAGACACGAGGTGAAGGTGACAAGACTAGTCCAGGCGGTTTGAGATACCTGAATAATGTTGCTGTACCCTTGGAAGGATGATTGCTGTGGCCTGAATCCACATCTAGACAAGACGTCAAGAGCAAAGGACACTTCTAGAGTCCACGACTTACATTGTCTGCGAGCCATCCTGTTGTTCGGGTAAGATTCCACGTCAGTACCCATGGTAAACGAAATAATAGCGTCGCGCAGTAATACGCGGTGTTCACGTAGACGACACTCACCGAATCCACATAATGATAATAATGTCCATTGATAACTCCCTGCGACACTGCGCGTGAGTTAGAGATCGAATACGAAGCGTCGACACTCACCCATTCCGATGCGATCTATGGTCTTGTCTAGTCGAGTTCTGCCGTCATACTCGAGGTCGATGCCCTGCTCAACATCCAGATCCCCCTCTGCATCATAATCATCATAACTCATGGTCGTCTGAGATTTTGACTCGGTCCAAGAGGTAGAAGGATCAACAGTCGCAGGCTCCATAAGTGGGCGGCGTCAGTCAAGTTTTTATGAGGTTCGAGACCCAGACTTCCTAAATGGGATGTGGGGCAGGAATTGTCTAGTGGCCGATAGAAACGTCGACCTACGTACTGTAGGGATACTTTCAATGCAACCACCTAGTGGTCGGCGAGGTAGAAGGTGACAGAGGCTGTTGAGGCGATGGGGTGTCTGATTATTCAGTAGATATACAACTTTTCAAATGCCGGCGCCACGAGCACATCGCAGATTCCTAACTCGTGCTGATGGCATGGATGTGTGTCATCAATACAATACGCAAATCGATACCCATGCGACCTTCGGTCGTGCAATTAAGTGCCACGATAATACATCAATACACATGTTGGTCACCGTATCAGCGGTTCACATGTGGAGGCAGTAATTTAAGATACCGGTGAAGGTTTGTGTGTCAAGAATATGATAGCTTGCGCCAAGAATGGATGCGACGTGCGATGTGTCCAGCCCACTCCTATTCCAGCGTCGACCAATATAGCCTAGTTCGTGATAGCTTGCTTCGTGAACCTTGGACAACAGCTTCGAGATAAATAAATTCGCTGCCATGCTGCGTCACTGTCCGGCGTAGTCTTGGGAGAGTGGTCTCTTGAAATGGTATCCGCAAGTACACCTGAATGCTGGATCACGGGCGGCCAGATCGTGAGTACATAGTAATAGTCGTTCGGTCTGGCTGTCACCGGCGAAGTAAAAGCAGTATCCTACATCCACAGCACAATTATATGTGCAATTGCAGATTCTCGTCCAGCCTCGAGACGGAGGGGTATAGCCGGCGCCACGACCGGTAATTCAGTCAACAGTTCGCAAACCCTTGCGCCTGTAGCTACCAATGCATTTCTTGGTCGCGTTCGGGCCCACACCACCTATGCATAGGAGTGGAAACCTATCCGCATTGGAACTACCAACCTTGCCAGAGTAATCGGGGTTTAGGGAGGAATTTATGTATATGGGCGGTTGGTTAATAGAATGGCAACAACTTCTGCAAACTTCACGAAAAAAGAACAGAGCACCGAAATTTTGGGATTCTGTGGCGTTCACATCACAGCTGATTCGGCCAGCAACGCTTTCGCCAATTGGTGGCACAGGATCAACTATCAAGGGCCCGTCGTCGTCTAGTAGATTACCTGTTGAAATCCTTTTCGAGCGTCATCCGAAGGGATGTGTAACATGTTCGATAAACTACAAGAAAATAACCAACAGAAGCTTGAGAAGATCGATGGTGTCATCATCACTCGGAGGCCCAGAAGTTCGGCGACCTCCCGAGAGACGTCTTGGTCGTCACGTGACCGCATATTCTGCGTTGTTCCTCTGAAGGTTCCTACTTGAGTTGTCTCTGTTGTAAGTCTCTGTAGCACTGACCAATGTCTGTATCGTCCGGAACCAGCTCTCCAGCACCTACGACTCCAGTGTCCTCCCTCATATCTCTGGCTTCAACAGCGACGAAGGCGCTAGTGCCACCAAAGCAGAAGCCAGTCAACATCTTTTCAAACGACGGGTCGTTCTTGGAGCGGTTCCAGCGCAGTAAGAGGGTAGTAAGGATCATCCGTGCGTTGCGATAACAAACCAGCGTTACTCACAAAAACCCAACCAACACAGGAGGAAGAGGAGAAACGGAAAGCAGAACTGGCACTCGCAAGGTGGGGTCTTTCCTCATTATACTCATGTCTCGTTGCTTATATGCACCTGGTTTCGTCCATGCAGGAAAAAGGGAATTTGCCCATAGATTTGTTAGTTTTTCGATGAACCCCCCTCTCGTGACATCCCTCTGACCATGCATATATTGTACAGAAAAACAGGGGCAAGCGTCATTTCCCTCCCCCTGATGCTTCTGACGCTAGTAACGACCACTGATGAACAAGAGAACCCAGCAAAGAAGCCCAAACGTGGTGGTACTCCTCCACTCAGTGGGTTGGCCTTTTTCCCTGTTGCAGCGCGTATCAACTTACAGCATCGGCATTTTAGCAAACTACCAGAAGGAAGTCCACTAGCCTGGATAGCAGGATCCTCAAGGATACCGGAACTGGCGTCCGCCCATTTGTCAAGTAGGATCGAATAGGTCCGTGAGTGGCCACGAGTCCTGTTTTGTCTAGGCAGGCCAGGGGTCCGTGCTGATACGGTTGCCACGCGGGTGGTTGCTTCGCTTCTTTCGCTCACTTCTCTCGCTAGTTTGCCTCTTAGCCCTTGGTGCGACTTTATTATATACCACCGTGGAATCGTAATTTATCGAAGCAACTTTCGAACGAGGCCAGACAACTACCCACCTATGTAGTGTTTGGTACATAATACAAATGATCCAGCTACCCAACAGTCCTACTGAAACGTTGCGGCTATTATACAAGAGAATGAATCACGTAGTCTTACAAAGGTAAGAAGGAGCATGAATGAAAATGCAATTTTATGTGGCTTTTTCGAGTACACGGAATATCTGTCACCCTGTCAGCACACGCTTGAGGGTGCCAGGTTAATCCAAACCCACCTTGACCTGTCCACTCTTGAGATCCTCCAGCCGATAACTCACAATCTCCACGCTCTGCGTGGCCCTCGTCAGCCCCGCATTCGTCTTGCGCACGAGTCTTCGGAAGAGACTCACCTGTTGGCCGACGTGTTGGTTAGCCTGCCACACTCTCACCTTACTCTTTTTCGCCTCGAATTCGTGCACGATCCCAACTAACGCTCCATCCCTCTCCCATGCCGACAGTCTGGCTGTAGGCATGCAGATTTTTATGTCCTTTCAGTTTCGCATCCCAGAACATGATCACGTCGCCGGGCATAATATCTGCGACGCGACGCTGTACCGTCGCCCCCGTCTGTGCATATATCACATACCCACATTCCTCTGGATCGGAACTTTGCAGCGCCTCGGGCACCTGTGCAAGCACCGCACGCACGAACCCAGGGTACGAACCATCTCCAACGAGTGACCGCTTGCTCTTCTCAAACAAGTCCGACGCAGCTTCGACGACCTGCACACCGATTTTGCCCCATACAACCATCAGCTCTTCGGCGCTGACAACCTGCTGCTGGTCGATACTGGACGTGCTGCGTCTGCTCGACGATGCGGCTTGTTTGGTGGGACTGCAAGAGGCCGGGTTGGATAGGGCAGGTGCTTGGGGAGGTGGCGGAGGGGGGTGAAAATGCACGGCTGTCGAGTCGTCGGACCAGCCGGACGATCCGAGGTCACTGTCAGCGATGAACTCCGCACCCTGAGGAATTGATGGCAACTCCCACTGATTGCTACTTGCAAGATCCTCGGGTGGGTCGATCGCAGAAGGCGGAGGTGGAGGTGGTAGTGGGACGGAGCGGGAGGGCACACGCGTCGGTCTACGTGGGGGTGGGACAGGCGTTTCTTCGCCCTCAGGTTCAGGCTCGACCATTACGTATTCGGATTGGGAAACCAGTTCTTGGGATGTGCGTGTGCGAGAGGAAGCGATCGGCATATCTGTATTGGTAGAGTAGTCCATGGAAGACTTACGGGAGCTTGCCACCGACCCGGCCGTCGTACTCGCGCGTCTGTTCAAGAGAGACGCAGGGACACCCGGAACTGGCGGACGCATGGGGGGCGAACGAGGAGGAGGCCTAGGTAGCGCATCAATAGGTGCCGACTTTGTAGCCACGCGACGTGCAGGCGGTAAGGGCGGAGGAGGCATTCCCTCTTCTCCAGAGTAGATGTCCTTATCCGAGTAGAGCACTTCCTCGGGTTCACTCTCCTCCGCTTCCACTTCGACACCCTCTTCAGACGTCCTGAGGCTACTTTGCTCTGACTCGACGTCGAAGGGGGGAGGTGGCCTACGTATGGATGGGGCACGTTGGGGAGGCGGTACTGGAACAGGAAGGGTAGCATCCTCACTCTCACTGTCCTCTTGCTTCGAAACAAGATGTCTTGCAGAAGCAGGTGGCAAGGCTGCAGCAGGAGGGTGGTCACCGAAGCGAATACCCCCTATGGCAGCGATCCTCGCCATAACCCGCTCCTTCCGTGCTGCCTCGTCTTCATCCTCGTCTGGTTGTACGTCATCTTCCTTAACTTCAGACTCAGAATCGTCATGGGGGATCGATGTTGGGGGCGGAGCGGGTGGCATTGGAGGTCGGGAGAGGTGGTGCATAGGCGCGGGTGCACCGAAGCGGATACCACCGAGACGAGCCATGCGCTCGGCGATGGCGCGGCGGCGTGCCGCTTTGTCGTCGTTTTCTAGTTCCTGTCCTTGAGTTTCTTGAGATTCAGAAGCTGATGCTGTTTGGCCAAGTACCCATTCTCAATGAAAAGTAAAAAGAAGGGTGAACGGTGAGGTTACCTTCGGGTTCCTCGCTTCCACCTACTCGTTCTGATACCAGTACTGGTAATGTTGTGATGATAGGCGGCGAAGTTGGCCTTCGCGTTGGCCGTAGCAATGTTGGCACAGGCGGGGGTGTGGGCGGAGTCTCGATCGCAGGTTCAGTCATTTTGAGACTCGAACGTCTGGGCGGCGGAGGCATAGAACGACGAGGCTGGATGGGCAACTCCCCTTCAACCACTTCAGGGACTATCACAGCGGGCATGAGGGCATTATCAGATAAGATATAACCCAGTGGCACATACCGCTCCTCACAGGAGGTGGGGGGATTGGCCTGGGGGGAATGTCGGGCGACACGGCCCTATCTTGCTCATCGTCTTTCAAAGACTGTAACGCCGTCCTCGATGGAGCGGAAGGGGACACCAACAGAGGCTTCGTACCAAAGTTGACAGGAGGCGGAGGGATCGGTCGAGTGATACGTGGGGGGGCCATGTCGTCGTCCTCCCCCTTGCCAGCTCCAGTAACGTATCCGTCGTCGTCGTCGTCGTCGTTGGCGCGGGTCTCCAAGGCAGGTTTGTTTTCGGGCCGGGTGCTAGGCACAGAGCCCCTGGAGTTTATATCCGCCTGGCTCGCCGGAGCTTGCCCTTCAGCGCCTAGCTCTGCTTCCGCAGTCGAAGCGAGGGGTTCGCCCAGGTCGGCGCCATTGCTATAACTATCATCAAAAAGTTGATCTGCGATTGCCTGAGCGGTCCGCTCCTCGAGAGAGAGCCGCCCAGCCTCATGACCTAAGGGGCGGCAATGAAACGTGCTGTTGTCCTTCCTCATCGTCGTCGTCGATCCCAGTGTTATGGTACAGTACCCTGTGGGTTACCCGATCTCCGGCTGTTGTTGTAGATTCAAATTCAACTTCGTGTTCGTCTGAAACTATACATCATTAACATCCAAGAAGCTAATGTACAAGATGGAGCAAGGAAATTAATATTCACCATCACGTTCGACATGCACTGCGTTCACTGCTTTCGCCTTCGCCTTCCATTTTTTCGATATCCGCCTCTACATTCCTCTCTTCAACCTCAGCAGTAACGTGACCACGCTCGAATTCTTCTTCGACTTGATGGGCAGCGGGAGGAGCTGCTGCCGCAGGGGGTGAAGGAACATACTCTCCAACTTCCTCAGTGTCCACATTCACTTCCTCCTCGACATCAAATTGGTTTTCCTCGGAATGAGGCTCCTCAATGGAGGTGCGGCGCGGGATCGGAGGCGGGCCAGTGAGGGGGTTGAACGCACCCATTTGTGCGAGTCTGGCAGCAACACGCTTGCGCCGAGTTTCGTCATCTTCTTCGTCCTCGTCTTGTCCTTGTTCCACCTCTAGTTCCTTTTCTTGCTCTGGTTCAAGTTCCACATGCACATGAGAAGAGGGTGTTCGGTCAGATGGTACGTAACCATGCTCGTCATCAGCTGTCATATTTGACGAAGAGCCTACGAGAGATCCTTGACCGCGCACTTGAAGCTCTTGCGTATAACCTTCTTCGTCTACGTCACCCTCTGGCTCATTGACGATTGTGTCAAGTCGCTCCACCAATACCGTTCCAGTACCGTCTTCCCCAGAAAGGAGTGTATCGTCGAGCACATCTGCAGGCTGGTTAACTATCCCGACCTCATGATGTGCCTCTCTCGCAACCAAAGCTCCGACAGGTGGAGTGACAACAAGCTGCTGGGAGGACTCCACACTGGAGGCTTCAGCTAAGGGTGGTGGCGAAGCGGTAGCGATCGGTTCTGAAACTGATTGGTCCGAGCCAGAAACTGGGACTGGCACCTCAGGGAGCTGTGTCGATGGCGCAGATTTGTAAGTTTTCCTGCGAGGAGGGGCAGCACGGCGGGGCCCTGCAGGGACTGGCATAGCTGCAGGTGTCCGATTGGAAGAAGAGGATCCGATGCTTGCTTGATCAGAATCTCTGCGTTCAACGGGTGGTGCTGAGATGATTTTATTAGCTTGGTCGCATAGATAAGGTGGCGTATGATACGCACTACATTCTTCTGTGGTCTCCTCCTTGGAAGGTGATCCGACTAGCTCACGAATAAGTGTTCCGACTGCAGCATTGCAACGATGGTTAGTAGACTGAGAGTACAACGAACGGATGAGTACCATCTGAGGGTAGATTGGCTTCTGATGCTTCGACGTTGCTTTCCTCCTGTTTGGGCTCTGGGGCAGGTGTTGTGGGTTTGCGCACGACAGGCTTAGGAGCAACGATGGGAGGGGCCATTCCAATCCTTGCACCCCCAAGGCGTGCCATCCGAGCGGCAATCGCGGCCCTGCGCTGCCTTTCTTCTTCTTCAGGGTCAAGGGCTGGTCCGATCTCCTTCGGGCGGGGGGGAACTCCTCATCTCGACCTCGTTCGTCTTGGTAAGGCGCCGGATGGTGGGCTAGTACTGCGCCTGTATGGGGGCGATTGCGACGAGGCGCGACCCGGCACACCCTCGTCATCAACGGGCGAGGGCGATACCACTGGTGGTGGCTTCCACTTGGGCTTCTCGACGGCGACGGGTTTGACAGGGGGTGGAGCAGGAGCACCAAATCCTCCCTTCCCCTGGAGCGCTGCCATGCGTTCCCTGAGCGTCCCACCCCGACTGATGCTCTCCTTCGCGTCTGAGGCGGACATGCCTCCACCGACACCTGCGATCTTGGACGCTTGATCGGGAATCGTAGGTGGTGGGGAGGGTGGTTTAGGTTTCCATTGAAGGTTTCCAGGCTTTGGGCGTGGTACTGGTGCAGCCACGCCCGCACCTGGGCCCGGGGCTGAGGCTGCAGGGGCATTCTTGTTCTCGAATGCTGCGATCCTGTCGCGCAACGAACCTGGCTTGGGTTTGGTCGGTGGCGGTGACTCGTTAGACATCGTTTCACTACACGGGTTCAGCGACAGATGTGGTGGATGGCTGGAGAGCTGTCCGGTGTCTGCAGTACTAAATACTAGTGGTGTTACACCGCAGGCTCATGCTAACCTCCTGTTTCTCACGTGCACGATAAATATCAGATCAAATCATTACCCGGTAAATGGCATCAGGTGAAAGTTTGCAGCCTCTGGACGACTATTCGTGTACACTTATGACGGTGTTGGCCATGGGCGGCCTGTAATTCTTATTCCACCGTCACTATAGCTATCTCAGACACGATACACCGTCAGGTGCTATCGGCGACGACTCATCAGTTTTCACGCCATTGGTAGTGGCATTTGGTACACCTAATAGCCAAGGACGATCAGCAATCCGGTCCCAAAAACTGCGCTCAGCTTTCGACTTACCGGTAGACTAAGAAAACGCAGCATTTGACGGTCAACATGAATTAGCTGGTCGGCTTGGACAGTACGACGCACATGTAGTCATTGGCTCGTCTGCAGACCTGATCTGCAGCTGATAGAAGAATGCCCTCGAATTGTTGCATTTGTCGCATGAAGCTAGCAGACATGAAAGAATCGGGCAACGGCAGCCAGCCGGAAGGAAGAAGTGCGTACCGTCAGTAGAATCTGCATGCTTCCACATCTCGTCACCACCCAGCACGTCATCCACTTCCTTGCGCTTCATGCGAGTGCGGGAGGTCATCTGCCTATGGGCCCACGTTCAAATCGAACAGAACGAATCATAGTAGTTGCCAACAGACCTGTTTTGAAATCGGGAATTCATAAGGACAGGTATTACAAGCCCATTTGTTGTAGCCCGTCTCGGAAGATATAACGAGCAAGTTCGCACAGGTTGGGCAAAAAAGCATTGCAACAAGCACACGGTATGGTACCTAGGTAGTGGTAACGAGCGAGTATTTACAAAGGGGTGTGGGTCAAAGAAAGGTGTAAGAGCGCAGCACGTGATCGCGATCTGGTAAAAAGTCTATCACAAATCCATTGTTCACAAAAAAGTCCTCAAGAGCTCTGCTTAGCAGGAGCCTGATAGAGCTGGAATACGCCGGCGATGAACCCGGTCACTGCACTTCCGTTGAATGGAGCGGTCGTCGACCCATTCAATGCGTAGTACATCGTCACACCACCTCCGAGGTCCGTAAAGTTCCCAAGTGAATTCGCCGTGGTCAGATTAAACGCGTACGAGATGTTGTTCGTCGCGGGACACCCAGGCAACGACGCGTTAATCATTCCCATGACAGGATTGACGGAAAGTTGGTAGAGAGCTGTGTCATCTGTCACTGCATAGGTCACGGAGGTGCTTTCGAACGTATCCGTTGAGCCAGGGAAGGGTATAGCGCGTCCCAGATACGCGGCTTCGTGGACTACGAGAATGGTGGCGGTATAAACAAATTTGGAAGTACATTAATGATTTTAGAAACTCACCCGTTCCATTGCCTTCTTCTATTTGATAGAAAATATGGGTATCGTAAAAGCTCTTGCTGTATCCCCAAGCAACTGCAGTGCTATATTTGTTGATGTAGGGGGGTAACGCCTGTTGGGAGAACGTATGCTGCAAGACGGTGAGTGCATCAAGGCTTATGTTCTGGAGATCAGGCGTCGCCAGGTACCCAGAACTGAATGGTATGCATCAGCTCGAGTTCTCTGGAAAGATAACACGGTCTTACGAGTGTCCACGAGGCACTGGAACGGAACCATACACAGCGGGATCCCCAACGTTACTCAGCAATCCATCGTAATACCCAACATTCGGATGGAAACTATCCAACATCGCCCTAGAAATCACAGATCACGCACCGTCTCACCAATAGCAGTATGAGAAGCTTACGAGAAGGTATTCAGCACCAGCGTGTACCCGTTCACCCGCAGAGTCACGTTAAACCACTGGGCAGCGCTGTCCCACTTGAAGGAATTCGTCCCGATCATAATCTCGTTGACACCCCCGCTCTTGTAGGTGAGCGGACCAGCGAGGGTAGACTGGACGTTCGTGCCATTGACGTTCCAAATCAGCACATCAATTTTTCCGACGGATGGCGACGTATTGCTCATGCTCTGATCTCCTTGAGACCACCTCAAGATGATCGGGAATGTTCCGTGGCTGAAGAAGTCCCAGTGCTCCCAACCCGAGGCCGAGAAAGGCTGGATCTGGGGCAGCGTATCTGCGCTGTTCGGGACAGTTACATTGGACGTGTGGAAGGAGCCCGAGCAGTTGTACAAGTTGGTGGTCTTGTAGTCACCATAGTCAGCTCCTGGTTGGAAGCCTAGGGCAGACGGGAGACAGGCCACAACTGCGAGAGCAGACAGCCTAGAGAGCCGACCAAAAGGCATTGCAGAACGAGGAGCGGGCAATTGGCGGCCGTTAGTTGAAGTAGGTTTTATACTGAGATTCGGAGTGATGCCAGACAACCTAAGCACCGTAATATGTCCAACATAAAAAAAGATACTCTATTTGCGCAGCTTCTTCGCTTCGCGAATCAACAAACGTGGCACCCTCTATGTACATTGTTGAGAGCGCCAGAGTAAAAACAGACATCATTGGGTGGAGTTCCGCAGCATTAATGAGTGCTAGACTTCTGGGCCAACCGAAGCAAGTTTTACATACTCGCCTGCGGCCACTACTCGGAGTGGTGTCCGACCGTGTTGCAGTCTGATCCCAGCAACCCCCAAGTCTTAGTGGGAGAGTGCGGCTGAACCCATGAGCCAAGAGCAACCAAGGGCGATCTGCAGTAATCAAGGCTATAGGTGGTTGATTACTGCTTTCTACAGTGTCGTCAAGTCTCTACAAAACCATGGTAAAACTGATGCAAAAACAAGGCATATATACTTGTGATAATATGTCACTACCCTTCCAGCAAGCGATGATTGGCGACCGGTGAGCGACAGTCAGTTTTTTTGAGGTTGTTCAAACAACATCAAAAAGCTTACGTGCACTTCGTAAAAGTGGCAACAAGGACTTGACATGAACATGGTATATGACATGCCCTATGTAGAAATTGTTCGGTTCACCTTTCCACCCGCAACTGTACTACGAGCATAGGTAGGAACAGGTGGAAGCAAGCACGAGGTTTGGGACAATTTGGGAGTAGGAGGTTGCAGGTATTAGGTCATCGCCAATCCGCCTCGGTATAGTAACTCACTATTATGAGGGAGACTGGGCTGGTGGACAGCATGAACAGTGACGTGAGAACCGACGGCGATTTGGTTATGGAAGGCGCGTGTGAATGGGAATGGGCTTCACAATACTAACCACTAGTCATCATTTGCAACAATACCACATTGATGGGCGCAAGCTCCTTGTCGGGCAACTGATCAGCGAACTCTTCACTGTAGTGTGCCTTGCACTTCCCTTCTTCTGTTGCAGGCAGGGAAGGAGAGCAGAAGAGGCTGAAATCATTAAAGTCATCTCCTGCAAGTAAGTGGGGAACAGCAGCAATTTCGTGCATAGGATTGTTTGATAGAAGAGGTACATCTTTAATTGTTCAGCATAATGACCACATTTTGTGACCTGACTACACCAAGATATCGGAGGTGAGGTGGTGAATACGAAACTTACCTGAATTGTTTTACGCATATTCACCGAAGGCAAAAGTCGCGTTATCAGCTGCAGTGCGATTGGCTATTGAAACTTCGTGAGTCTACGTAAACCCTCCCTGCTCACTTCACACGTACCATAACTGAGGAAAACACTCGTCTATTCGGCCATCGAGTCAGTGATCAACCACCCCAACGTTAGGGCACCCGTACATGTGGGGGGTGACTATTTCCGGCCTACGTGTATGGCACACATTCTGCATTCAGAAAAAAAAATCCCAATTTTTCCAGAACAGTGCCAAACATTCCCTGTGAAAGTTGGTCGGTGCATGCGGTGATTCGAACAGGCTGCTACCATGATGGAAGCACCCTTCATTGGATCTGTTGTCAGCACCCCTGGTGTGCTATACGGCGAACCCCTGTAACAATGAATATCACATAACCCACAGTGGACAACCGCATGCTCTCATTAATATATCAGGCAGGAAACTTGGTTTCCGTACATTCTGGAGTTTTACCGCTACATTCGATAAAGTTCAGAGATTCAGCTAGTTGGTATAATAGATCTCAACTTACATGATCATGTAGAGCGACACCAACAGCATGCAAGAATCAAGTTGTGACTTTGATCCCACGCCACAGATCTTAGCTTTGCGGAAGCCTTGATCTGGCCGACAGAACCTTCCCCTTCACAGGAGTCGAGGACCAGTCACCGAGCAGCCCAACGAAACGGATCAAACGGATCAAAATGATGCAAGTGCCAACAAGCCAACCTCTAAATATACGTTCCAGATTTGACTGCACGAAGCTTGAGCAGAGAACACTGTCGACCATGCCGCAGAGCGACGTTAATATCAATCCTGAACAATAAGAAGTTCAAGGGAGATATGACAAAACAGCTGAAAGATGCTATTCAAAGACACGAGACAACCAGGGTGTCCCTCACCGGAAGACCAGAAATGTCTATTGAGACGTCTCGGAGCCGCGGATCTGTCAGAATTAATCCAAGTAGCCTTGGCGTCATACGGAGAAGGGGTACTTATCTAAAACGATCGGAAGGCCCAGAAAACTCAATCACCATGGTTCAAAGGCTCGAACGTCATGCATTTCATGCATCAATATTGCCGTAAGCAACGTCTATAGTGTATTCAATCCAAATAGTCTGTTTCATTACGTTCCCCTCTTCGGAGCAACCAGCTAAGAGTCGTTTAGCAGTGGCGCCTCATAAACCTGATACATGCCGGCTATCGTCCCATTGACCAGACCTCCATCATATGACGCGAGTGTGAAACCCTGCGACACGTTGTAGTACGTCGTCTTGCCACCGCCGAGGTCCATGAACTCTGTAATAACATTCCCCACCGCCACACTGAACAAGTAGGAGGCGTTGTTCGACAGAGAACATCCGGGAAGTGTTGACACGATCGTCGCTCCGATGGGATCAACGACGAGTGTGTAGGCGGAGGGATCATCGGTAACAGCATACAGCCCCCATGTGCTTGGGAATTCACTCTTCACGACCGACCCAGCAATGGCCCTCGAGAGATACGTAGCTTCATGAACTACAATAGAATAGCGATTGTGAAACCATGATTAGGATTAGCACGAATGAACACAGTCCGGGAAGATCTCACCTGTGCCATCGACTTGTTCCACTTGGTAAAAGAAGTTGGAATCATAGTACTGCGTGCTGTATCCCCATATCATTGCGGAGCTTAAGCTTGGTGACGTATGAAGGTAGGGCTTGCTGCGAGAACGAATGCTTTAGGAGTACGAGACCGCTAACTGTTATATTTTGTTTGTCAGGAGTTGTGAGGTATCCAACACTAAGCGAAGTCAGTCCACAGGTTCATCTGCGGGTAAAGTCTCTTACCTTTGTCCACGAGTGACAGGGACAGAACCGTACAAAGCAGGTCCGTGACTGCTCAGTAGCCCATTGTATTGCTCGACGTTAGGATGGAACGTATCCAATATTGCCCTGTGGATAATAAATTATATGCAAGTTCACGGACACCGACACACGAGACTTACGAGTAAGTATTCAGTACTAATGTGTACCCCTCCGCGCTGAGCGTCACATTATACCACAGGGAATCAGAATCCCACTTGAAGGTGTTATTACCGATAGTGATCTGATTCACGTCCCCGCTCGTGTAGGTGAGTGGGCCAGTTACTGATGTCTCCACATTTGTTCCATTGACATCCAGTATTGCGATCTCGATCTTCCCATTAGCAGGCGTTGCATCAGCTTGACTTTGGTCGCCTTGAGACCACCTCAAGATGATAGGGAAGGTCCCGTGCAAGAAGAACTCCCATTGTTCCCAACCTTGGGAAGAGAGCGGTTGGATTTGGGGGAGAGTGTCTGCGCTGTTCGTGGCAGTGAGGGCAGACGTGGGGTTTGCACCAGAGCAGTTGTAGAGATTGGGGGTCTTGTATTGGCCATAATCAGCCGACGGTTGGATGGCCAATACGGAGGGCAGGCAAGTGACAGCGAAAAGAGCAGATACCCTGGAGATCCAACCGAGAGACATCGATGTATGGCGGACGAGGAGGTCGGGGTTCGACGCACTCCGGAGGCCGTATGTTTTATAGTGTTCAGTTAACTCCCCTAAACCCCATGAGTGATAGCAGGGAAGCGGAACGCTTTCGAGCCGGTAATTCCGGCTAGTAATATGTTCTTGCAGTACATTGTGAACCTTTGGAGGTCGCCTTTGCCAAGACCGGGACGGGTATGATTAGGAGTTGTATGCGATGAGTTAATAATTGGCACCGCATGACAGGTCAACTTACCGTGTAAGGATAAGTCCTGCACCTCTTACATACGTAAGAGCACCACGAGGGCCGGTCACGTTTTCAGCCGTACTTACGATAAGTAGTATTCTTTCATATCTGCGATACACAATATCAGCATGCGGCGCAGTAGTGAGGCATCCGCTGCGCTCGTATTGCGTGCACACGATGGACACATTGTATATCGCAGTGGCACGCCAGTTGTGGGCGAACCGACTCCGACGCACTATGGGATTCGGGACCAGAGGCGCTGTCACCGATCATTCGAAATTAGAAAGAGACTTGCTCTAGCGTGTGTTTGTCCGGCTTCGAGGTATTCGGCACTCCTCATCGGGTAATTTGTTCAACGGATGTGAATATACGACGAGCGGTATGTGTAAAGATCTGGCAGTTGTTGCTGATTTGGCTTAAAAGTCAGATCTTGCCAACACCAGACTGCAAGCATCTGCAAAACTACCCGAGGGAAGTGAGCAGGTTATACCTACCTTCCGTTTGGAAGTGACTTGTCGTAAGACTCGCTAAGACACTTGTTGGCCAATGAGAGAGCTCGCTCAAGTGCGGAAGAGCTGTTAACAGCCGCGTCGCGTAGCTGTTTCCCAGATGAAGATGCACAAGTAATATATTCAGTATCCTGCCCATTCGTGCATAGGCATCTGCAAGACGGTCGAATTACAGCATGCGCTTCAGGACAGTTTTTGAATTGTTTGAGAGCTCGGCACGCACTGTTACCGATGCTAAGCGCTCTAACGGTGCTCTTAGAGCACTAAGCGATTTGCAGATGCAGTCAAACCCAAATTTGAAGGGGCAGTTGCAGGGCATCCGACTACCACTGGAGGGCTAAAACATGCTGGAATACCATAAAGTTGAATAAAAATTTCCAAATAAGGAAGGTGTGCCGCGATGCCGAGCTTCATTTTGTACCAATTTCATATGGACAACCTGTCCATACCCTTGAATAAACCTTAATCTGTAAGGGGGGTCGGACCCCCTCGAATAGACTTTAGTTAACTGCAATAAACCCAAATTACCATATTTGAAATTTGACCACTCACACCTCACGCACGTGCTTATGTCAGCATCAGCTTGCTCGCTCAATGCCCGCTCGACGCTCCATCAATGCCCTATCGTTGCTGGATCCAACAATGTTCTCATCCTTTTGTTGTGCTGGAGGTATCAACTGAACTGCTGTGACATGCCAGTTGATGGATGCTCACAAATGGAGCAGTTACCATGTGTAAGTACATGAAGAATTGCATGGACAGGGTGGCAATGGTGCTGACCCTGCTCTCTAGCTGGTTGGATTTCTGTCAGTCAATTTGTTTGCAATGCAAAATTTGCTCAATGTTCATTGCTTTCTGATACTCCAGAAAAATTTAGGTCTGCTAAAGTCTTGGGTGATGCTGTGCAACTAGCTGTGACAGTTCATCAAACTCATCATGCTTGGGCCAGTGGATCTGGCCCTCTGGCATGTTTCTGAGTGTTGAAAGAAGGATTGAGAGGCCAAATGTGATGTACTGTGAAACTGTGGCAGGGATAATGGCAAATATTTGTTGGAGGCTGATTTTGTGCATGGTTGAATTCAAATAGTGTAGCACAAGGCCAAGTGCACCAGCAGCATTGAGAGACCTGCATGACAGCCATGGATTGCCAGTAGTATTGGTATCATTTTGAGGGATTGGGATGTGATACCAGGCTGTAGCAAATCCAGAGGTGAGGATATAACCAAAGGTTTCTACATCAAATCCCATTGTTGTGATAAAGGCCTGGTCATCCTGGCTTTCATAAAGTTTTTGCCAAGGTGTACTGATGTGTGGATTGGGCAGCAGCTGTGAACAGTGAAGGTAAAATCAACTCTCATGATGGCTATCAATACAGAGTTGCTCCCCAAGTTCTGCTGCAATGACCATGGCAGCAGCACATAGCCCCATCTGATAAGACTCTTCATCCTCCACCAAAGCTTCTTCAACAACTACAGGAAATGAGGTGAGAAGATTGTTGAGATCATTGTCAAGATAGGTGGGATCAGACTCCATCATAATGGTACAAAATGATAGGGGGAGCCTTGATAAATAACCAAAATAGTTTATTCTTTAGCCCTACAGTTTACTCCAGCACATAAACAATTATTATTATTATTATTAAGTTCAATCAAATTTGGAACTCCGAAATATTATATTCCAACATATTCAGCCCACAGAAAGGCATCCACTAATCGATAAACAGCATCGGATCTTGAAGCTTGAAGCCTGAATATTTGAACTATGAACTCCACTAGTGTACTTTTGTGGACAGGCCACTACGAAGTACGACCAACGAATGATAACTGTGAACCTTCATTCTGCAAAACGTTTAGCGCTGAAACAGCAGGTACTATGTATAGCGCTTACCACTTGCCTGACCGAGTAACAGGTGTTTTGCAAAAGGAATTCCTGTCCGATCGGCTTACAATGGGCCGGTCAACTCAAGTGGAGCCTATGATACGTAGCGGACTTTATCGGGCTGGTTCATCCGGCCGAAAGAGATGACCACACGTTTTGCGGTGGATGCGAATAGACGTTGTGCCATCCTGACTCAATCCTGAGTGGTACGCTAGTAGGTAATCGTTGTGGCAGTGAATCCAACTCGGAGATTAGTGTCAAGTTGAAAGTGCATTCTTCAGCGAGCTTGCGTAGCGGTAAGAGCAATTGCAGCAGCTCACGAGTAGATGAGCTTTTGCTGCGATAGCTGATAGCGCTGATGCGCCAGCTGGCGGATATCTCCGTTCATTCAAATCGCCACTATCTCGAGTTTTCATTATTATACTTCGCAGACCATGACAGGTATTCTCGAGGTCAATTTCATAGACAGCCGTGGCGTTAGAACTGGAGAATGACACTCCCCGCTCAGATATAGATGGGCATGTGCTTATCGATCGGACGTGGTGTGGGATTTAGCATTCTCATCTCGTCTACTTACGGGCCTTCGTTCAGCCGTCGTATGTACAACTTGTGATTGTTCAGGTAAATTTAGGGTGCTTGAGCGCGATCGGCGATGTGAGGTCGGATCGCATGATCTTATGCGTACCAGTGCAGCTGACGTCGAACTCATATGTACGCAGCAACACAAATTTCATTATTAGGTACCGTGTACTCCTGTGGAGCACTTCCACGCGAATAGACCATGGAAGTCTGTGCTGTTCGCTTTTTGAGCGCACTTGTGCCGAGCTCGGTCCGATCTGTACTTCTGTGATTCATGGCTCCATCGTCACAATGTTGCAGAAACAATGTATAGAAACAGGGCAGGTACCGAGTACTAATTAATACTCAGGTACATAGGTCTTCAGCGATATGTCTATGTGGTACGACCCTAAGACCCACGGTAACACCAAGGTTCCAAGTCAAATAACGACCCCCCTACCGTGCTACTCCTCAATCAGCTACTAGATCAGACTGAGATGCGTCGCAGTTACAATATCGCGCCGCCCCTCAACTCGTCGGTGCGTCATACACCACATACGCACCAGCGACTGTCCCGTTAGCGATACTTCCATTAAATGGTGCAAGCGTCGTCCCGTTTAACGCGTAGTATGTTGTCCTACCGCCTCCGAGGTCCGTAAACTGCCCGATGACGCCACCCGTTGTCATGTTGAACGTGTAAGAGATATTGTTCGTCGACGCACACCCGGGCAGGGAGGCGTCAATTGTCTGTTTGGTTGGGTCGATGACAAGCTGGTAGAGGTTCGTATCATCAGTCACAGCGTACGTGTCCCACGTGCTTTCGAAGTCGCTCTTCACGACCAAACCAGCAATAGCCCTCGCGAGATATGCAGCTTCATGAACTGCGATGACATGGTAGGATCGTGAGTCTGCAAACAATTATCATTTATAAGGGTGCCGATTTACCTGTTCCATTTAGTTCCTCTATGTGATAGAAGACATGAGCGTCATAAAACGCGGTGCTGTATCCCCATACGATTGCAGAGCTGTACTTCTTGACGTATGCCGGTAAAGCTTGTTCGGAAAATGTGTGCTTCAAAACGCTAAGACCATCCAGGGTGATATTCTGACTATCCGGCGTCACAAGATATCCAGTTCTGACGGAAAGTCAGCCGATCCGAGAGATTGCGGCAGAACTATTCGCCTCACATCTGTCCACGAGTGACTGGGACTGAACCATATAAACCAGGTCCGCCAACACTACTGAGTCTTCCATTATAATAGCCAACGTCGGGATGGAATGTGTCATGCATGGCTCTGTGGGAAGCAGTTTAAATCCCGCCGGGCTTGTCAATGAGACTAAACTTACGAGTAACTGTTCAACACCAATGAATACCCATCTACCCCGAGAGTTACATTGTACCATGTGGATGCGTTATCCCACTTAAGGGAGTTGTTCCCGATCCAAAGCTCCTTTACATCGTTATCCAAGTAGGAAAGTTTGCCAACCACGGACGTCTGTACGTCCGTTCCATTGACGTCCAATAAAACTACTTCAATCTTGCCAACGGCAGCTGCTGAATGAGGTTTACTTTGATCGCCATGGGACCACCGCAAGACAATGGAGAAGGTGCCATGCATGATGACTTCCCACTGTTCCCAGCCCGAAGCCGAGTTAAGTTGGATCTGGGGGAGTGTATCTACACTATTCTTGGCAGTGAGGTTCGACGTGGGGAAGGATCCCGAGCAATTGTACAAATTGCTGGTCTTGTACTGGCCATAGTCGGCGCCGGGCTGGAAACCCAGTGCGATTGACTGGCAGATGGTTGCAAGAGCAGCAAATGCCTTGAAAATCCGTGTGGGAAGCATTGGAAGCGACGGAAACGGGAGGCAGAGATTGCATGATCTCTACGCCTTAAGACCAGCGACTTGTGGAGTGAAACGACGTCCGCATTCTGACCGCTGAGGGGCAATGCTACCTGTCCGGAAACCAGGGACTTTGATTCATGCTGACATAGCCGCCTATTCAAAGCATACCCGTGGGGCTATGGCGTGTGACAGGCCGGAGGGTATGCTGTCTATGAAAAAAAGACGTACAGCCTTTCAGGTGTCTCTCAGGGTGAATGTCCAATAGGGGCCTACGTCGCTGGCTGGTGAGAGCAAGAGGGGTAGCTTTGGGGCAGGAGTCTCTCGTTGCAAAAGCGCAAATGGCGTTCACTTCTCTGTATATGACCCTCGGGCTACTCGGAGGTGCTAGTGACTGGTGAAGCTTGAAGGTTGTCACATTGGTTGAGGCTGTAAGGCCCATCCAGCAACGAAAATTGTAGTCCTTCGTTAACCATCGAATTGGCCGTGCCAAGGTACGCAGCATATTACATAATCCAGCGGCGTGCCATGTGGAGCAAACGTTTCACTGACTGAGGACAAAGGGTGGTGATAATTCGAGGCCGCTAGAAAGGTGGCTCTGTTGCGGGCCACCATCAAAGGGTGGTACTTGACAGATTCGAAGCTTGTGCGCCGCGGGCCTGCCTGTACACGGTATGACTTCTGCCAACTCTGGGCCCTCCTGATGGGAAGTACGTAGGTTGCTTGTGAGCGTCTAAAGTAATGGTCAACCTGCTAGACAGGGGCTAATAACCGTCACATGGTATGCGTTAGCCAACCCTGCCTGGGTGTTCAGGGACAAACGTACCCGCTGCGCCATTTAAGCGGATATTTTTACAGATGCGATTGACTTCGCATTGTCACAACCAACGAGTGAGGATGTTTCCCTCTCTACGATGACATGCGAACTTGCACCAACCGGCCCTTCCCATGGTTGCTCAGAAAAGCTTCATCAAGGCGTCCTCTCTATATTGGCTTGGGATAATGAGTTACGATACGATCGGTGCCCACCGGAACCGCGGCATATCCATCCTACATTCCATCATGGGTTCCTGTGGATATTCTTTTTACCCTTCAAATGGCACATACGCCTCCGCGGAGTAATTGTCATTATTTCGTGCCTCTTTTGCTGTCGAGTTGCTCTGTTTCCATTGCTTTAGGATGACCACAGGAACTGTGTCCTAATGACCGTATGTAACGCCTTGCCTTTGACTGCCTGATTGTCATGATCGCAGACTGATTAGCATCCGGTTAGGAATTTCACGCCCTTGTACACTTGGCTGATGAGCTGTTTGCACGTTTCGAGCAAAAAGGGAGACCTTCAGACCTTAGCCTTGTAGTTATTCACTACCGCTCAGCCCTTGCTCTCGCCTCCTCGGATCCGACACTCTCTAACGATGTTCGCAGCAAGCTGCTCAGCAACCTGGCCAACATACTCTCTGTTCGATTTCAGCGCTGCGGCGACGTCGCCGACCTCACGCAGTCCATTGAGTGTTATGTGGCTGCGCTGGAACTGCGTCCCCCTGGCCACCCAGCCAGAGCTAGCACTCTGGCTAGTTATGCCACTGCTTTACTGCTTCGCTACGGCCAACTCGGTGTCGAAGAAGACATTGAGTTCGCAATCGAGCATCTCCAAGCCGCATTAGAGATTTTGCCTCCCACTGGCCCCAGTCGCCTCATGTCCTTGATTAATTATGCAAGCGCCTTGTTTTCCCGTTTCCAATACACTGAAGATATCTCGGATCTCGACATGGCTATTAGTCATTACCATGGGATTTTAAACACTTGCCCTCTTGAAAACAAAGCTACCGCGTGTTACAACCTCGCTAATGCTCTCCTATCTCGATTTAAAATCCGCCATGAGGCTGTCGACCTCAATTCTAGCATCGAATATTCGTATGTCGCCCTGCATGCAATGAAAGAAGGTCATCCTGATCACCCATTGATCATTACTGGCCTTGCAACTGGTCTTATTAGGCGGTTCCAGTTGCGTGGAGGTGCCGCTGACCTTGGACCCGCCATTACGAACTTCCAGCTGGCTCTAGACTTGCGTCCACCCGGGAACCCGACACGCTTCTCCGCGCCCAGCGATATTGCTGACGCTCTCGTAATGCGCTACAATCATAGTGAAGAGTTAGTAGATCTCCAATTGGCCATTGACCATTACCGTGAGGCGCTGCGCCTACTTCCTCCCAAGCATAAGAGCGAGCCGATACTCCTCGATAACCTTGGAAATGCCCTTTTCCTTCGCCAGATTAGATTGGGAGACCTGAAGGATCTGGACGAGGCAATCGAAAAACATCGTCTCGCGTTGGATCTCTGTGCAGGAGATTCAATTAGGGTTGTCTTGATGCTAGAAGCCTTAGCCAACTATCATGACGTCCGGTTCAAGAGGAAGGAAAATCCCGCAGATCTCCACTCTGCTATTCATTACTTCAACGAAGCCCTCTTGCTCGCCCCTGCTGATCACCCCCACTACGTGTCAATCTTAAACAGCATTGCTTTGTGTCTAGGAACACGTTTCCAAGCTTACGGTGAACTCGCCGACTTAAATAGGGCAATTTCCTGTTGTCGTGAGGTTCTGGAGCTGCTATCTCTGGGACATCAGCGTCGGGCGTTGACGTTGCACACACTCGCCGAGGCTCTTCTTCAGCGCTTTGAAGAGACAGGGGATGAATTTGACATCCAACAAGCCTATCTGCACTGTTGCACCTCTCTAAGCATGCGCATTTCAAGCGTGCCTGAACGAGCCTCCTCCGAAATACTGTGCTCGGATAATAAGGGCCCGGTTCCTCCCCTGGAATGACGCTGAAGATCTGGAGCCTGTTTTCCGGCATCTCAGGAGCGCAAAAGACTCCTGCACGGCAGACGACCCACTCCTTCCTGAAGTCCACGCTGAACTGTCAACAGCATATTTTCTTCGCTACATTCTCACACGGCGGCCTTCGGAGCTGAAGCAAGCACTGGGACATCACCAGCTCAGCCTCGCCCTCGCAGAAGGCGCCTCATCCCCTGCGTTCCGTGCTTCAATGCAGTGGGCGAGGGATGCAGAGATATATAACCATTCGTCGATGGTCGATGCATATCGAACTGCCGTACAATTGCTAGGATCGGCTCGTCCTAGAAACGAGGTGGCCAGATATCCGACAGTCTTTGGTGGAGCGCAACGTAGCCAGGTTGGCTGGCGATGCTGCGTCAGGTACGCTGACTGTTCCAGCAGCCTGCTGAGGACCATTGGCATGCTTGAGTACGCAAGAGGATTGCTGTGGGCACAGCTTGTGCGGGTTATGACAGCCCTGGATGACCTGCGTGCTATGGGTGAGCCGGGCGTGGGATTAGCCAGTGAGCTGGAGAGGTTGAACTGCAGAATTGGGAGCGTTTGCATCAACCGCGCCAAAAAAGTCTAGGCCTTTGCTAAAGGCGAAATACGCTGTGATTGATCAAATCAGGCGGAAGCAAGGGTTCAAGGATTTCCTTGCCCAACCGGAGTTCTCTCAGCTCCAGAAAGCAGCTAGCGAAGGACCTGTTATCATTACGACCACTGGCCAACGTTCGTGCGATGCCCTCATCGTGTGGCGTGCAGGGCCTCCAGTTCACGTACCCTTACCCGACATATCCCTTGCTGATATATCGCTCATGGCCTCGAAATTCGAGGATCTCACCAAGGGTACTGGTCAAGTACCTTGCAGCAAAACCCGCGAATACCAACTTGCTGAGCTCCTGTCTGACCTATGGGACCAGGCTTGTGCATCCTATCGTGCAGCAGCTGATTCCCCATACACCAAGAGGCTCCCGGTTGTGGTGGTGCCCTACGGGTAAGTTCTCGTCAATACCCTTACACGCGGCAGGTCCGTACCGTACGAGTGAACCATCCCTGTCGCACATATACGTGTGTTCGTACACATCTACCTTATCTGCACTTGCGCAGAACAGGACATCTGTCACCCAATTACCGGTCCGCCGGACCACGCTGACGTCCGGCATATCTGGATTCTTAAAAAGTAAGAAATCAAAGCAGTCTCTGCTGCACCCAGACACTCCTTCGTCGTCACGAAGCGCGCTGGCCACAGTTGTTGCAATCGGGCACCCAGATTCCGAAGGCACTGACGACCAGTTCGACTTCGTGCGGAACTGCATACCACCAACCGTGCCTTTTAAGGCCATCGAAGGGGAGGAGGTATCGCGGGTTACGGTTTCCAATTCCCTGAAGGAATCCAGCTGGGTGCACTTTGCGTGTCCGGTAGTGCATGACTCCTCGCGGCCGTTTCGAAGCGCTTTCGAGATGTGGGATGGGAGTTTGACGGTGTATGACATCGCGCGCATTCGACCGAGCGTGGATTTTGCGTTCGTGTCCACGTGTCGAATCGTCAAAAGGGACTCGGATTCGGTTCACGAGTCAATGAGCTTGCCTGCGTGTTTGCAGTACACTGGATTTAGGAGTGTCATCGGCCCGCTTTGGACGGTGGATGCGGAGGTGACGCGACGAGTCGTATCCTGTTTCTACGAGAAGGCGCGCAGCGCTGGAACTATCCATCAGCTCGACGCTGCCACTGCCTTAAATGAAGCACTGAAGATGATTGGGGAAACGGTACCACTGTCGCAGCGGATAGCTTTTGTACATGTTGGAGTGTAATATTTGTTGGGCTAGTCGCTCTAAAGCATCCATGAATAGTACTTGTTGTACACCAGCTTTCGAAATACAAATGGCCCTATTCGTTAGAGGAGTTTGTATATTGAGTGATGCTCTGAGTGATGCACAAGGTATCGTTAGGCAAGATTTTCCCCATGGTAAATGTGAGTGTTGGCATTCATGGAACGAAGGATTTACATAACGTTCAATAGCGGAAAAATCATGTGGTCTGCGAGATATTCGTGTTGTCCATGTCCAGTAGATCAATTATGAGGTTCAGAATCCGGTGTCTCCTTTAACTTTACTGAGATTTCAGGTGCTTCCCTTTTTCACAACCTTACCTCGACGACAAGGATGATGGAAAAATGGAACCGCTATCAACTACACAAGGGAATACAATTCATCGCCTAAAAACACATCAATCCTCAATCTCAAGGTCACCGTAAGGCTTCGCCTTGAAGTACGATTCGTCAAAGTGATGTACTCTCACGAACCCGTCCTCTCCTCCTGAGGCATAGCTTGTTCCAGCGGGGTGTACGGCGATACTGCAATATGCAAAGCAACACATGATATATCAGACGTGAACGTGCCTGACTCGTCGCTCATTGATGGAAGAGAGCCACGTACGTATTGATGGGTCCGAAATGGCCTTTTACACGTCCGATCTCCTCCTCAAAGATCTTATGCCAGAACCGGGTTTCGAATTTACCTTGTCTCAGGGATGTCGTCGTAACTTGCATGGCTTCTTGACCTCCTCCAATGAGAATCTAAAGGGAGCATCCGATTGGCGTGAGTAAAGGTTAGAAAAACTCTGCAGATGAGCGACCCACGTATGGTTTGTTCGGTGCCAACGCTGCACTATTGAGAGGTGTCTCCGTCGAGAACGTCTTCAACACCCGTAGCGTTTTCGTATCATGCAACTATTCATGGCATGAGAAGGTACACACATGTAGAAAACAGGAAACAGGAGAACAAAAAAAAAGAACCAACCCTAGCTGTCTTGTCCTTACTACTTGTAATAAAGTACGTCCGATCCAGAGAGAGTTGTAGATCCGTCACTGAATCCATATGCGCCCGCTCGTTGTTCAAAACTTCTGTCCCGGAAACGACGTCGAAGAGAGCGACTTTTCCGGATTCGTGTCCAGTGACGATCAGGTTGGGTTTATACGTGAATGCACATACAGTCGCCTTAGAGCCGACGGGATGGAACATGCGTTCCGGTTCAAGGGACTCTGTAAACAAAAAACGGAACATAGTGATATCGTCGGTGAGACCATTGTGCTGTGAAGACAGGTATGGACTGAAGGACGTACGATTCGTCCCATCGCCGTCACGGTTGATTTTGAAAACACGGACAGCACCTTGGTGACCCATACGCTGCTCTGTGATGCACACCACTTTCTCGTCGTCATCGCTAAAAGCTACCCGTTTTACAGCTGTCGGGAATTCCCACACGTACAAACATTTGCCGTTGGAAACGTTCCACAGTCGGAGAGTGTTATCTGCCGAACCCGACACCAGATATTTTGATTGTGCTGGAAAACCCGGGGATTAGAAATGAGTGTAGTCCGGGTCGTGTACGCCTCGGAAAAAGAAGGACGGAGAGTACACACAGTCAACGTCGATCGTCCATATCGTCCCGTTATGCCCATCGTATGTCCCTAGTCGCTCGCCATTATGCGAGAACCAAACGTTGATAATGTGGTCTTTTGAGCATGAAAAAAGGAGATCTCCCTCGTTGTTGAATCGGATCTGCGTTAAAGAACGCTCGTGGCCTACGAAAGAGATCATAAATCTGTACTCCACACATGCCTTCTCATCAGTTTTGTGCTCACCTTGTAGCAAGATGGGTCTCTGAAGACGATCAATATCAACGTAGCACAGTTAAAATACGCCCACTTGCCATGGTTTTAGGGCTAACTCGCCTCTGAATAGATCTGCGGTTTTGGTAGAGAACTCGTTGGTGAAAACGATATGTATGCACAAAATAAAGTAAATAAATAAATAAGCTCTAAAAATCCTTTCGTCCAGACGATCATGCCCAAATTCCCGCCAGAAGCAGCCCAACACCAACGAGTCAAGTTCGGAGGCCGACGAAGTCAGTGAACTCTCTGAAGACTGAACAAGAGGATGTTGCATTGGATGATGTCGCAGACGGCGTCATCGACGAGGATGTCACACCGAAACAAAAAGTCGAAATCGACAACACGGTAAGGTTGTCTGCTCAATTCTCATATCGGCATACTGACTGTGCGGTTGGTCTGTTCATGCATAGGACGCGCTTAGGCGCATACGTGAAACGATCCAGTTGGATCCTTCACTACCGTGGACAGAAACGCTCGTCGTCACGTATCCCGAAACCATTGACGTCGACGTCAATGACGACCTGAACCGGGAACTTGCATTGTGAGTGTCCCCTCCCCTCATGTATTTGTCTCATCTTATACTGACCGACTGTTACATTGGCTAGCTACAAGCAAGCCCTCCACTCCGCCGAACGGGCGCGCGCGCTCGCGGCCAAACATTCTTTCCCATTCACCCGTCCCTCGGACTACTTTGCCGAGATGGTCAAGTCTGACGCACACATGGAGCGCATACGAATGAAACTCTTGGACGAGCGCGCAGGGATCAAAAGGGCAGAAGAGAAGAGAAAGGAACGCGAGTCGAAGAAGTTTGGGAAACAGGTGCAGATCGAGAAACAAAAGGAGAGAGAACAGTCGAAGAAGGAGATGGGTGAACGGCTCAAGTCACTGAAAAGAAGTGCGTTTCGTTGTCTGTTTCACAGTGCGAGAGAGTTCATAACCACTCCATCTGTAGAACGCAAGGGCGCACTTGAGAACGCTGAAGCGGACGGAGAAGAATTCGATGTCGCTGTTGAGGAAGCCATCGGTGACGAACGCTCCTCAAAGCGGTCCAGGAAAGAGGGCGGAAAAAATATGTCTCGCAGTGCACGAGACACAAAATACGGGTTCGGTGGAAAAGGCCGGAGATCAAAACAAAATACGAGGTCGTCTACGGATAGCTTTATAAGTGGGGCCAACAAGAAGGGCAAGGGTAAAGGAGCCGTGAACAAGAGACCGGGGAAGAGTAAGCGACAAGCTATAAAGAACCGGCGATAGTGACCTGTACTTCTGTTTGATATATATCATAGCAATGGATTCCCTTGTCAGTCCGACGTATTACGGCGTACCGTACATCTAAAAATGCACATTCCTACCGAGATGACATGCAAGCCCAGGATAACTTCGTATCCAAGTGGATATAATTGATCGAAAGGGTTCACGCACGACATCTGACCTCTCCTCCACCCACCATGGCAATCGTCGCACCCAAACACCACCCCAACTCCGTCCCCCCGATCTTCTTCCCCAGCTGGACCTCTCTACTCTCTGCAAATTCGTATCCAAGCACCAGCAACGTATGCATGAAACTCAAGTCGAGACACCACTCTGGTCTTCCTTTGAGCTCCTCTATCACGTCCGCGTCGTTACCCCAGTGCTCGCGCCATGAACTAGGTCCCGCACATACTTGCTTTGCGAGCCGAGAGATGACTGAGATGGTGAGAGGGGACCGCGAGCCGTCGTCCGACTTCGTGAGAGGAGTGATACGATCGTAGAAGTAGGATAGCAATAGAATATTCCCTGTTGGGAATGCGTCCAGGAGTGATGGCTGATAGACTCCATCAAATGAGCATGGCTTCAGCTCGCATACGCTGCGGGAAATAGGATCAGCCCGGATCGTCAACACAAAATGGAAGGAAAGACGTACGCGTCCTTGGCCATGACGAGTTCTAGCACCCTGCTGCACGCCTCGAACGCGCCGATATCCTCGCCTGCCATAACCACCGTCTTCTTTTGTCCGTTCCCCAGGGGTATTTCGACTTCCTTCTCCGTTCCGTGTGCCAGGCAAGGATTGGGTATTCTCCGCCCGTTGTCCTCCTCATTATTATCCATGCGTCCCCTTCGGACCGAATCCGTAAACTCCACCAACTGATGCACGCTCCCCCTCGCGCTCTTCAGTCCATAGCCCAAATACGAGTGCTGATACAACGCCCTCGTTCTTCCCCCAAACACCAACTCATACTTGTGTTCTCCCTCCTTCAACACATTCCTCTGCGCCTCGTCCCCATTGTCATCCAAGTCGGCTCCCCTCTCAGGTTCGAACACGATCTGCGTCGACCCGCCTCCCAGGTCCAGCACGGCATAGGGGGACACGCCGGCGGGCGAATCAGCTCTGATCGTATCCAACAGATAATTCGCCGTAATCCACGCATACACACCCTCGTCTTTCCCGTCCATAATCACCACGCCATCCCGTTGGGGAACCACGAACCGGTATCGTCGTTCCAGATGCGTCTGCACAGCCTCTAAGATCTCCCCACTCCCCTGAACACCGAGGAGCCTCAGTCCAGCCGTCGCTTTCACAGCAACAGGCGTACAATTCCACAATGATTCTGGGACGACGCGTTCCGCTTCTTGAAGTAGCACATCAAGACTCTCGGCGGCTGCTTGTGGGTTCCCAGCGTAAGACGACAAACCGGGTTCAATATGCCTGAAAACTTCGTATTCGAATGCAGGTGTAGGTCCACAGCTGTGAAATTTGTAGATGTGGATACGCGAACCCGTCGACCCGGCGTCAATCATGAGTGCGTATTGCACGAGCGGTGACGAAGTCGAGTGAGGCGTCGTACAATGCACCGTTTTCAATGGGTCGGGATCCGTTTCTGGCGACGTTGGCACGGAAGTTGGGTCTGGTGACGCAGGGAGAGCCGGGAATTTGGGTGGTGTCGTATGCGTGATGCCGCCGTGGTGCGAGTCGGGCGGTGTCTTGGTGGTGTAAACATCTTCTGGAAGGGGCTGAGGAGTCGCTGGATCTTTGTTGTCGTCCTCGTCAACACCAGTCGTATCATACTCGAGTCATCAACTCACCAGCGTAGAGCTCACCTCTAGGACTAAAGAGCCAAACGAGAGTAATAAGAACCGTACATCCTAAGGCAATCTTCTTCCATTGTATTTTCCTGGTAGCATGAGCGGGGCCTACGCCGCTTTCGAGTCGTTCGTAGTTGTTCCTTGGCGTTCTGGAGAACGCGGAGACGGCCATTGTTTTGTGTCGAGCACGAGGCTCACACCCAAGGTCGACGGAGGTAGCAAGGCCAACTGAACGGTGTCCACGCGCTATGGCTGTCAAGGTTGCCAACGAGATGCCAAGTCGTCGACGAAAGCACAACTGTTCTCAGAGGTTTTCTCAACACCGCACCATCCTGAGTGCTTCTGACAGATGTATGTATGACCGTTCACACGTTCACGCTTAGTTTGTTACAACACCAAAACACTCGTTTCATTCATTCGTGTTCTAATATGCAAAGATATAGGGCATAGGACGTGGACAGACGTTCTTAGCTGTACTGCGTATTCGAAGACAAAGCGAAAAGGATGGGGGGTGGGGGATACGACGATGCTCCTGGCAAGTGAAATAGGAAGTAAATGATGGTGGATGTATTCGTACACGGAGCATCGAAGTGAACGCCGCTTTAGAGAACAATTCACAACCAAAAGACAAAAATGGTATCAAGCTTGTGTGGCACGCAAGAAAAAGGAAGAATGAAATCAGGAGAGCCCAGTCACCCTCGACTATAGGTCAGGGCCCAAGTCTGGAACAGAAATACCATGACTGAGGAGAAGCGCGCAGTAGGTCTGCGCACGGTTCTTCCAAGTTTCGCTCTCCGTCCTTGTATCGTTCAACACTTTCTTCCAACTCCCTCTGATACTCCAACTTGCGTTTCCGACTGCGTCGGGCAGCAATGGTGTTTTGGCGACGCTTAGCCTCGATCGCTTCCTGTTCGGACATCGACGGTCCCACATCTTCAGGTAGCTGATCTTCTTCGTCTCCAAACGCACCCTGGCGTGAGCGTTTACGAGACCACACCGCAGGGACCGCCTTCCGAGAGGTAGCAGAAGGAGTCAAGTACTTGCGAGGCTGTGTCGGAGCATCAACGGGAACTAGATCATCTGGTTTGACGTTCTTGCGGGTACCGGTAGCAAGCGTCTTCCGCCTGGCTGGGGCGGGTTGGTGTATGTTGCTCTCGAACGGTGATGACATTGGCGAGTCGAGGTAGGGAGTAGCAGGGGAAATTTGATACATAGCCTCGAGGTCGGGCTCCGTGGCAAGAAGCTCGGAGTGTGGCTTCGGCTCTTCATGCATGGCATAGTCTTCGAAGAGAGGAGGAAAGTCTCCGAATGAATCACCAGCGAAGTCCCCAAGCAACGGACTTGTGAAAATGTCCGCGTCGAGATCAGTAGAGCCGACAGCAGGAGTAGTGAGCAAATCATCCGCAGGGGAATCTAGCAGCGGCGAAGTCAGATACTCGTTCAGGTCATTCGACGCCTGAAGCTCTGGGGTGCCTGACAATTCCGATGCCGCCGTCAGCGAACCAACAAAATAACCGACTCCAGACAACCAACCATTGAGCGCCTTTATTATTGTCTGAATGGCGTCTGCATCCATCACCTCGCAAGAGGGTGGGAGAGGCGCAGTGTCCTTGCGGACACTGGCCACGCCATCATCATCAGGCTTCTGGCAGAGCATAGCTAAATAATTCGAGCAAAGACTGGTAAAATCTGATGGATATGAAAAATTGTTTTCTGGTGGTACGTTTGATTCTGGGTCCGTTCTACGTGGAGTAGTGATAGGTGCACGAGGTAGACATTGGGGTATCCCATAGTGAGCGGCGAGATCCGATACATTGTTAAAGACCTGGTTGGAAGACGTCCGGGGACGTATAGATGGCTGATTTATCGCAACATTGCGAGCAGACGATCTTGAAAGTGGAGAACTTTCAAGTGGATTGAGTGGAGATGAAGAGGGTTGACCGTTGTAAGACGATGGACCTGGACGACTCGGAGACGAATCGCTTAGCAGTCGCGCTCGGCGAAAGTCATTTTCGCTGGAATAATATGGATACGATGGATGTGAAATTGCGGAGTGGGGAAGCGTGTTAGGGCTTGGGTCGGGACCAGGCGACAACGTTGGAAGCCTGGGAGCTCTGGAACCAAGTGGGAGTAGAGTCAGCGGCGGGTTCACAGGAGATTGACTATCGTGTGTGCCCGTGCGCGGCAAAAGTTCAATGTGACTCGATGAGCACTGATACTGCCGTGACCCCGAAAGATGCGCCGATGTTCGTGAGTGCCAAGAAGGCGACGGACGAGACAGATCGGGCGACCCTTGGGGCGACGCAAGATCGATGGGAGATGTCATTGCTGACAGTAAGTACAACAACGGCGCAAACACGCTCTTTTCGAATTTAGAGGGAATGGATATCGGTTTGCGCACGGTGGTGCCGGGCAGACAGAGCACACGTAGGACACAATGAAACAAATGCAAATTGAACGGTGTCACTCACGGATAGCTTTTGTAAGTGGTTGAGATGAGGGCGCCTCAGGTGCAGCTCTCCTTGCTGCTCTCAGGTGCCAGTGAGCTGGTGATAGTCTTGGGACAAGATGAGAGGCGGACGGGGGGTGACTCGATGCGGGTCCTTTATAGGGTCAAATTTTCACCGCCTTTTTTCAATCTCAGACGAGGACAGACACAGCCACCAATGGACAGGCCAGCCAATCAGAAGGCGACTCTGGGGGTATGACTCACCCACCCCTTCGCGGAGATTGAAAATACGCTGCATCGGCTCCCCCCTGCCGCTGTCGATAGGGGGGCGCGTCCCCAGGCTGCCACGCAGCAGCCTGTGCCCGCAAGCTTCAGGCACTGCGGCTCAGTGTGCAAAGTCAAGGTTTTGTTCCACTGCATTCCGCAATGTACTCGTCGACGGCGACGCGTCACCCTCTGGCATACGTGGAATGTCGCGTTCCAATCCCATTGGTCAGCCAATGCCGCCCGGCGTTCAGAGAATCACCGGCGGAGCATATGAGTCATGCGTCCAAGGCACTGCCTTCCCCCATTTATTCACGAACTGCTGTCTGTTCAATGGAATGCTTTGCCGGTCCCTGTTTGTGTTGCCGACTGGTATAGGCTGACGATCTTTCCTAACATAAGTAATAACTGATTCCACAGCAGCGAAGGCAATGCCCCCTTACAAAGGACAAGGTAATATCTCCTGGTGATCATCATCCAGGACTCGCCATCGGCCTGGGAACTTCATTAAAATAAAGATGTGTAATCGTACGAGTTGAAGGTTCATTCTCACTGGCAACAGCATATGTATTTCCCCCACACCGTCGGGCGTCGGGAACTATTGGTTTCCAATGCTGTACGCCAATAGCGACACATGAAGGAAATTCTCCATACGATCGCACCCGTGTATTCCTGTCCATGCAACAAGTGTTCCCGGTCCCCGGATGCACTTTGGCCACAGCGTAATATGTTGGGGTACATAAGGGCGATTCTCGTGCCCGCTCCGACTCCGTCATTCAAACTTCTCCACCCTCTTCAAGCAACTCAAGTCTCTACCTTCCTACAGCATGGGCCACCACCACGAGAGGCACCACCACGAACAGTATCACGAGACGCACAGGGGCGCATATGAAGACGTAGGTTTAATATACATACATTAACTGAACCCACACCGATCAGTGGACCCAACAGTTTCACAGAGCCCCTCATGGAGCCAAGCTCTCTCATGAACTGATCGCCGGTGCAGCTGCCTACGAAGTACGTAATGTATCACTAGCAACAGGTCTGGAAGGACGCCAGCTGACTAGTATCGACCCATCTAGGCTATGAAAGCTTACAACGATCACGTTGCAAGGACAGGACATCCTGCTAGCCACGCCAAGGCCAAAGAAATCATGTGGGTTCTCGTTTATCTTCCATAACATGCGTCTGACATGCCATGCGTGTTTAGTGCAGCCCTGGCTGGGATGTACGTCGACCGCATGATTGAGACGAAAGGCGTGAGTATTTTTGTCTGCCGACCCCTGGTACCCTTCGACATTCTGTACTGATCCGTCGATAATAGCTCGATAAGTATGATGAATACAGGGACAGACGCCGTCTGAAACACCATGGTACGTCTCAGTTCACACGTTTACAGATCACACTTGGTATTGATATGGCTGTGTCTTGATTCCGCAGCTGAGGGCCGTGGACACTCGTTCATCGAGCAGATGTATAGGTATTGAGTGTGGATGTGTTGAGCCAACAGACATGTCATGGACTTGTGTATGTCGATGACCTTTGTCGGCGGACATTGACGTAGTACCTGTGTATACTCGTTAATATTCCCAAGGACGCTTGGCTTATTTTTCTTGCGATGGACATATGTGAAATGCACGTTGTGAGGTTCTGTTCCGGGTGACTTAGGGGTAAATGTTCCCAGAACGGGCGACCATTCATTCGCTATCAACCAACCTATGTAACTCTGTCATGTACAGGAGTTTTCTCGTCCAATGTACGAATTCGGACCATCTCATTGGAACTGCGCTGCCAGAGCGCCCGACGATGACGAATGCAAACTCGACCCAGGGATTTCAATGTATTCGACCGTCTTCGCACTTCATGCAACAATAGTATACCTGTAAGTAGCACAGTAAAAACCATGCGCCTAACGTACAGGTCTCTTCCATACGACGACCTTCCTGATACCTGCATTGGATAAAAATATCAGCAGTGGTCGTGACATTGAAAACGCTGCGAACTGACTGCCCCTTCCCCTAGGTAAGGTTTACGAAGCCTTCTTGACACGAGGTTTAACCCGTGAAACCTGTCGGGTCATTCATTGTACTAGCTCCTGTGAGGCCCGTCCAGGGGGTTTCGTTCTACCAGACCCGGCTTCGAAGGTGTGCGACGAGGACCGGTACATAATAGTTGGACCTGGTACTGAACCATATCATTCTACACCGTGATGCAGACTACTCACTCAAAAGTCACGATGCTGGTTTGGCTTTGAGGTGGGATTGTTGTCCATTGAATCCGTCCCAATGTACCATATTCCACGCTAAATGACCAATTTGACGAACAACACTGAAAGTCCGATCCTTCTGCATCCTGACAAAATCCGCTGACCGAAGTCAACTACGGAAGTATGCATTCGCCCATATTTCTTTGCCGCACATACGTTCCCGTCTGCTGCCGTGTCCGTTTCATGAAGGCTATGTCTTCTCCTGTCCTCTCCCGCCCTTTTTTTAAAAAACCTCCTGGCACGGGTGCATTTCTGTCACCCCCCATTACAACCGCGTTAGTTAATTGCTTCTATTTCTGTGTCGGTGACACAGCACAGTACACGTGTTTGGAAGCCAATAGGATAAGTGCGTTGTATATTGGGATAAGCCCAACAGACGCATAGCCATACCGGGTGCAATTCCACGCAGGATAGAATCGCTCGTGTCACAATGGCGTAGCTATCTTATGAGGTTGGTTTTCCCTGTCATCCTCTTATCCAAGCTCCAAAGCATAGAGCTGAACATGTTTTGTCCGAATCAGGTCTATCGAATGATCAGCTCTAGATATCAGCTCCGAACGCGGACTGGATAAACTGCCCCGCATCCTTTTTGTTGCACGGCACAGCACCGACTGCCAAATCTGCTCCATCAGTTGCATCCAGTGAGCAATGATTGCGGGCACGTGTGCATCCAAATTCTAGATGGACCGGATGCAAACCTGCCCACAATCCCGGTTAGCGATGTTACCACGGGACGGACTGCGGAAACCGGAAAGATATAAGAACCCCCTCTGGCCACCAGGGTATCTCCATCGTCCCATCTTGTCTGATTACAACCACACATCTTTTTTACAACTCGATTCAACATGGGCCATCGTGAGAATGAGGAAGCATACAACGCGGTAGGCATGATCGACCATTGATCGCGGAAACGTACTAATGCGGGGGATCTCTGTTGTGCATTTCGCATATGCAGGTGCAGAATGCCCCCCATGAAGCCAAGCTTTCTCATGAGCTCATTGCTGGAGCAGCCAGTTTCGCTGTGGGTAATCGAATCGTTTGATCGGGAAGCAGATCGATGATCGTGTGTGCAGGCTATGAAGGCATACAATAACCACCTTGAGAGTCAGGGGAAGCCTGCCAATCACTCCTTGGCCAAAGAATTGCTGTGTGTCTCTCCGATCCCTTGGTTTTACATTGCTAATGCTTTGTACAACTTGTAGTGCTGGATTCGCAGGAGCCGCTGTTGATCGTTTAGTTGAGACTAAAGGCGTGAGTATTACATGCCATTGTTGCAATTCTTGGCTGTCCGCGTGTTTATCTTGGCCATGATCCATACCACCAAAGCTTACCAGGTTACTAACAATGCTATGATTCCACAGCTCGACAAGTACGACGAGTACAAGGAGAGGAAGCATCTTAAGGAGCAAGGTATGCTTTCCTAGAGTCTCCGGATATAACATCGACTCACTTTCTTGGGACAACCGAACAGCCGAAAGGCACGCGCATGGTTCTCTCGAACGCCACCACTACGAGAACTGATTAGATAGTTATATGTGACTACTGGCAGCTCTGTCATTGTGGATGTCAATGTATAAATACCGAATGTCCTTCGAGACATAGGAGGAACTGTGCACTCAACTCTTTACTACTTCGAGCCCACTGATTCAAATGGACCTCGTCGCACTGGTGTTTGTCGTCCACCTAGGTAACCTATCACCATCGGTTGTCTGATTCAGAGCTTTGAACATCCTCTCTAAGCCTGGGGCCAAGGATGACGAACAGAACATTCCCTCGCCATTGAGGATTAGCATTGATCTGCTTATGTCTACTCCAGGTGTCGGTTCTTGGAGTGCTAGGTTAGAGGAACGGTATATGCTGGCAAAAAATCTGGCATAAATTATGGGGAAATGCCATTGCAACACTGAGTGAATGGTACAGTACCTAACATACATACTACATCGAAAGTGCCGACCTATGCTGTTATACTCTCTCGGTCCATGCGTCGTCGCTTCCGTTCTTGCTCCTCCAAGATAATGCGTTCTGCAGCTGACAATGCTGTTACAGGCCGCTTCTTCTCGCTCGACTCAGCCGATTTGCTGGTCACCGCAGACCTGAGAGGATTGGGGCGCTTCAGGGGATTCGCCTTCAGTGGGTTGATATCGGGCTTGATACCGTTCAACTTCAGTCCACCTCCACCCGTGGGCTGTGACCTTGCCGATTGGTCCAGCTTCAAGGACTTTGGTGCAAGGCTGAGAACGACTTTTTCAGTGCCCTCGTCTCTCTTTAATCCCAGCTCCTCTTCAGGAGGACTTTCAGATCTCGAACCCTGTGCCTCCTCTTGTTCCTTGGCCCGTTCTATCTGATCCGCGATCAAGATCCGCTCGCGCTGCTCGTCAGACATGGTCGCTCGTTCCTTCTGGAGCGTAGCCGCTTGCTTAGCGAGCGCTTTGGGTGAGCTGTCGATCCATGCCACCCACCATCCCTCGTCCGTCTCGTCCACGTGCGCAATGCCCGTCCGACCGAGATGTTTGACAAATTCAGTGAGTGTTACCCAGCGAGTCGCATTCATGTGAATGTGTTCTTTGTGTTGGATAAACTCCTGGTATACTCTGTTTGCGAACACTCTTTTGGTGCCAAATCTGTCGATATACTTAGGATTACGAGCCGACTTAGTATCACTTGAGCACACATGCTCACCGTCTAGACAGTAGTTGTACAAAATCATGCTGAAATTGCGAGGAAAAATCTGCGATATGTCTGCCGGCATGCTCGCCAACGACAAGCATCTGACGGAGATGCGCTTCTGATTGTGCGTGACATTTAAATCCATTCTCGTCTCTGCATTGCTTCTGGCAGACTTGACAGTACCATCGCAGGCGCTGCAGACCCTTCGCTTTCATCTTATTTGCCAAGTATTTTGGCGTGCCGACTGTCATGGGGTTAGCCCAGCTCAAACCCAAATTCAGAAGACGTACCTTCTGCGCGAGGCATTCTGGGCTAGTAAATAAGTCGTTAGGTTCGTTACTGGTTAATGGTGCTGTCGATGATGTGGGCTCTGGCAATGAGGAATTTTCCCACGCCATTTGCACATAAGACGGACATGCGTCACGTGACCCGCCAGTAGGCGATGACGCTACGGCTCGCTGTTGGCATCACACGACATGGTCCTCAGCGAGAAGGCAAAAGGGAAGCAGCGGGCTGTCGATCCCGAAATAAATGGTCCACCTGACTCTCGAGACCTGACGATCAGGTTTACAGAGGGCATACCGGACCTTATCCTACACGTAGTGGAGAAGGACACGGTACGAGATGTCAAGTCCAAGGTACGCATATCGCGGTTCGTTGACTGACCTGGGCTATAAGGACACGGTTTCATGAACCAGATAGCCATTGAGAGCCCTCAACTTTGTGGCCGGAGACTCAGACTTATCCACGCAGGTCGCCTGCTGACAGATGGCATCCGTCTGCATCCCTGGCTTACTGCGCTGGAGGAGAAGCAGCGTCGTGTGACGCCAACGAGCGAGGAACCACACGCACCAGTACAATCATCGATGATAACATGGCTGCACTGTTCTGTCGGCCCAGTGGTTGAACGGGGTACGGAGTCGGAAGAAAAGCCTCAGGTGTGTCCTGCTCGTGTTGTCTTTCAGGCTTCGGCTTATACGCGAGGATGTGTAGGTGGCACAGATACAACCCTTGAGAGGTTTTGACCGTTTGGCAACAGCTGGGTTTTCAGAGGAGGATATTGCCCATTTCAGGAGACAGTTCCATAGTCAGTCTTCTGCCAACTACCTCGACCTGACACTGGAAAATGATGACGATGATTGTGCGTCATTCCGTTCTCACTTCTACCCGTCACTGATTGGCATCCTTGGAAAGATGACGAACACGCTCGTGCACTCGAAGAACAATGGATAGACTCGCTGGACAACGCGAACAACTGCACAGCTTGCCCAATCGTCATCGCAGGTGATGCTCATTCGGGGTGTGATCCTTGGATTCTTCTTTCCCATTATTCCGTTTTTCTTTCTGCGCTCGAGCAAACCTGCAGTGTTTTGGGACGATGGCACACAAGTGGAAGCGACGGAGAGTGTCATATTCTCGTGAGCGCCCAAATAATCTTGTGCTTTGATTTTCATTGACGATGACGTGATCTCATTATAGGCGCAAGACACAGGTTGGCATCGTGTTTGGGTTCCTTGCGAACGTTCTGTTCGGGACGTGGAGATATCTCCTAGATCCTTCCTGAGTCCAAAAACGCGTTCGACGTTTGTGTTACCAAGATGCCGCACACCTGAACAGTACCTGGAACACTTCTCTTGATGGTGAAAAGTGGTGATCTAATATCCTATTCTAGTTCGTGGAATGATGTGCTACGTGTTGTTACCTACCTCGAGGTACCTTTCACTGAAGTTGTAGGTCGAAGTTGTACTAGTTAGGTATGCTTGCCCATCGGCGAGGTGTCAATCAACGTGCAAGTACTATGCGTATCAAAAATGACAGAATCCGAATGGATACCCAAACCCCTAGTTGTTAGACTCCTTACTATAATGTTGTCGCTGGAGGGGCTGCAGTTCAGAGATCTCAACGGTTGCCGAAGTTGGTGGCCCGCTATCCACCACAGATACTTGAGGTTCACAGGAAAGCCGAAAGCAGGTGACAGTCAGAAGTCGAGCGACAAGACTTGTGTAGGTCCTGTAGCCCTCCCAGGTTCAGATTCTCTTGCCTGGTGATTTGTTGGAGAGTTGTGAATGAATGAATATTTGTGTGGATGGACAGCCAGATGATAGAAGTATGATTATATGATGATCATATCAACGGCACGGGATACGCATGCCCGGACTTTTTTCCCTGATACCAATCAGCATCGGTTCTTTGTCCAAAACGACTCACGACCTTTTCTTTGTGTCTCTTTTTTCTGATCGACTCCCTAGTACAAGAACCTTGTTTCTATCTTCCGTCTGACTTGACCTGCATTCCAGGTAGACAAGATGGATTTGCAGGCTCTCGCTGATTTGTTCGCCACCACATACAATGCCGACCCCAACGTCCAAAAAGCCGGAGAACTCCAGATCCGTAAGGTGCGACTCAATGGTCCATTTCGATTCTTCTCCTGTCTAAGCACGAGGACTCCGGTTACCAGATCGGTGCCCAAGAAGGCGTGATTTCCGCCCTCCTGGAAATCATCGCATCTGATAAGGTCGATCTGTAAGTACGCAATGAAAATAATCATGCCTCTCTTCGACGCTCTGTTCGCAGGGCCACTCGTCAGGCGTGTTCTGTTTACCTAAAGAACCGCGTCCATACTTCCTACTTCATCGAACCGTCGCGTCAGCGACCCGAACAAACCCCCATCGCACAGTCTGATCGGGATGCTCTGAAATCGTCCATCCTCCGTCTCTTAGCTGCATCACCGTCGCGCGCTATTACCTTGCAGCTAGCAGCGACACTCAAAAGTTTGATACTTTATGACTTCCCAGACACGTGGGCAGATTTGCTTGAGAACGTGAAAGCACTCTTGAACAGTGGAGATATCCGCGAAGTTGGCGCGGGATGTGTTGCTGCTTTGGAATGTGTTCGTGCATTCAGGTAAGTCCCGATTCCTGATACCCACCGATACGTTTGTATGACTGAACTGGGTCGTGTTATGGATTCGATGACAGATACACCCAAAGAAAAAGTATCCTCCCTCATGTCGTGGAACAACTGTTCCCGACTCTTGTTACAATCGCTACGGGCATGCTTAACACTCCACCGAGCTCTGCCCAGGAGATCCCAACGATGCTGCACCTTATTTTGAAGACATACAAGTCGTCCATCTTCGTCAACTTGAGTGCCCATCAACAGAGCCCAGAGTCGCTAGTTCCATGGGGAAGACTCTTCTTCCAGATAGTCAACCTGAATATTCCCCCAGAGGTTGTTCCCACAGACGAAGTAGAACGAGAACGCTGCGAGTGGTGGAAAGCAAAAAAGTGGACATTTGCTACGCTCGGAAGACTGTTCCACAGGTCAGCACTTACGTTTTCAAAGTCTGGGCTGCAGCTGAGTTTGTGAAGGTTCGGAAATCCTTCCCAACTTCCATCTCCAATGAAAAAAGAATACGCAGCATTTTCCCAACATTTCGTGACTTCGTTCGCTCCGGAGATCTTCCAGCTATACTTGGTGCAAATCAATCTTTATACCTCTGGACAGGCGTGGTTGTCGAAGAAGTGTTTGTACCACATTCTCTCCTTCTACACTGAATGGTATGCGTGTCCCCTGCCAAACTTGACTATGTCTCACCACTTCCCAAGCATCAAGCCAAAGTCGACTTGGACCTTACTGAAACCACAAATAATGACACTTGTCAGCAGAGTTGTCTATCCCCAGCTCTGCTTCAACCACTTGAAGCAGGAGCTATGGGAATCGGATCCCGTTGAGTATGTCCGAGCCTCCATTGGTGGGTAGATCCTTATTCAGGGACTATGCGTTGTTCATGAGTGTGCTATCTTAGATGAATGCGAAAATTTCTCCTCCCCAGTGTCTGCAGCGGTATCATTCATCTTGTCCCTTGCTAGCAACAGAACGAAAACAGCATTCCGACCGACGCTCGACTTTATTTACAGCGTTCTGAGCTCGTGCGTTTCACCGGTTGGCATTTATAGGCGAAAGCAACAGGCCCTGACCCACGTTTTGCAACAGCAACCCTTCTCCTCCCGAGAAATTCGGCGCGCTGAGCATGGCAGCCGTTCTCGGTCCGTTCATGATGAGGCATCCAGATGTGAGGGGAAACATGGAGCAATTTATGGTGCAGTATGTCCTCCCAGCGTTCAGCGCGGAGCCATACTTGCGAAGCATCGTGAGTTCTACCTTTGGCCGCTTCGCTGCCTTCCGGTGCTCATTTCCGCTTGCTAGGCATGCGACGTTCTCGGTACTGTGGTTAAGAATGGCATGCAATGGGCCAATAACGAGGTGCGCAATCTTAGTCAATCAAGGAGCCCCCCTATAATTACATTTTGCCCCACGCAGAATCTTGAGAGCCACTCGCGTGCAGTAGCCATTGCACTTGATGACCCGGAACTTCCTGTCCGCGTTCAGGCTGCTTTGGCCCTTACCAAGATGGCGGAAGCCTATGACTTTGGTGAGTGGTGCACCCCGGAATTGGTGCTGCATCGGCTCGACAATTTGTGTAGTTCGAGACGCCATTGCCCCGCAAGTCGGGAAAGTCATTCAAGGTGAGCAAAACTCACCTACTTTCTCCCTCCGCGACGATAACGACGCCGTTATCTAACAAAGATCTCTTGAAACTTTCTGACGAAACCGACCTGGATGTTCTCAACAATTCCATGGAGGCTATGGTTGAACGCTTCCAGGACGAGCTGCTCCCAGTGGCGACACAGTTAACCGGAAGACTGGTGTGTATCATGCACCGATCTTGTCAGAAGAGGACAGTCATGGGTTTTTGCAGTGCGAGTCTTATATGCGTCTTGCGCGGGAGGGTCTCGCACAACAACAGAGTGAAGTAGTTCCTGATAGCATCGATGTCGACTCCTTGTTATCCGATGCAGAAGACGACAAGGTCTACGGAGCTATGGGTGTTGCGAAGACCATTGGCACAGTAGATTACCTCCCTTTATCTTTCATGATGGTGGCTATGACATTTTATTATCTAGGTTGTGTCTGCGATCGAATCCGCTCCCGATACTTTGACGCAAGTTCAAGAAGTTATAATTCCGATCATCCGCTTCACACTCGAGAACAAACTCATTGGTACTGTTCACCTGGCCTCCAAGATGTAACCCGCTGCTTAATTATGTATAGAATTATTCGACAACATGTTCGATCTCGTGGACAGTCTCACATTCAGGACCCACTCCATCTCGCCTAACATGTGGCCCATCTTCGAGCTGATCTACGAATTGTTCAAGTCTGATGCAGTCGATTTCTTAGACGGTGGGGACCGCCTTGTTATACACTGGGGACCGCTTCTTAACGTTCTACGTTGGACAGAGATGCTACCTTCCTTGGACAATTTCCTGTCATATGGAGCTGATGTTTTCAAAGGACGCCCTGATTATCGTGTCAAGGTCTTCGACATCTATCAGACCGCCATGACTAGCCAGCACCTAGGCGACAATGACAGAATTAATGCGTGCAAGTTAGCAGAGTCTATTCTACTCAATCTTCAGGGTCACGTAGACGATGTGAGTCTCCATTATGGTCGCCCTTTAGACACTACTTCATGTTTGTGTCCACCTAGTTATTGCAAGGCATTATTCGGACCGCCTTTGACAATTTGGATGGAGGAAATGGCTACTCTTTCAAGCTCGCAAACATGGAGGTCCTCATTAATACCGTGTACTACAATTCTACGGCTGCATTGCATCTGCTGGAGAACTACAAGCCCGGTTCTTCTCGCGTGTTCTTTGACAGATGGTTCGCTATCATCAATGTCGATAGCAAGTTGCCTACGGTACACGATAAGAAGCTGAGCATCCTCGCGCTGTGCAAATTGCTTGAGGTCGATATCTCCCTCGTCCCTGAAATACTCAAAGGCGGCTGGCCTGGTATTGTCACTGGTGCTTTGAATATCTTCAAGAGCTTGCCTCAGGCGGTAGCGAGTGCGTGCTTTCCATGCGTTACCTCCTTGTACTCAAACTTTTTCTCTTTTAGAGCGTAAAGCCCTTGAGGAGAGGCTCGTTGAGGAAGATGACGATGACGGCGAAGATGACTCCAAGTACTTGAACCTCGAAGGAGAGGAAGACGGTATGGTCTCTGCAGGTTATTTATCTCTTCCTGTAGCTTACGACCATTAGATGACGTTTGGGACGAAGATTCTGCGTACTTGGAAATGCTGGCCGCTGAGGCAAGTTATTCTTTGCCGTTCGTCATTGCAGTGGCTGATTTTGTGTCACCCGTAGGGCGCGCGTTTGAGGGAAATCTCCGAGAAGCGCGCTGTCGATGTTGCAGACGTATCCGATGTTTCAGAAGAGTCGGAAATCGAAGAAGAACTAGGCTTCTTCAGCTTGCTCGATGCCATTAACCCCTATATCACGTTCAAGCATGCTCTAGAAAGTCAGTAACGTGATGCTGTACCTTGATTTGTCGTTGAAGCAACCCCTCTAGATTTACAAAGGAGGAACCCCGCACTGTACCAAGCTGCAACCACGATGTTGACCGTCGAACAGCAAACCGTTCTGATGGAAGTTATGACAGTAGCCGAGTCCCAAAACACCACAGAATGAATTCGAGCAAGATTGTTCACGACTTGTCACGATGATTTGATGTAGCTAGCCTTTTTTTCTCGTCACCCTTCATTCGTTTCCACGATACATGCAAGAATAGTATGCGGAGGGGGGTGACTTTCGACTTAATGGTACTAGGTTGCTCTGCGATAATTATCACGGGATTAGCCATCAGGAACATACTACCTCCAGCAACGACCCTGTCGAGATAACCATACATTGGCCAGCTCAAACATCGTTTGCCGCCGTACCCACGGAACAGCGTTTGTGAAATGGACACGACGGGTGTGTGATAAGCACAAGCTTACATGGTGCTGCAGACTTACTCACCCATATGGACAACTCGAGTGCCAACGGAAATAGTATCCAAACTTAAGTACGAGGGTAGTGTGAATGTAACAATAGTTAACGCGGGCCGTGTCACCGTAGCGTGTTTCATTTTACACGCCGCAACCCCCCGCGGTCGTGTTAGGATCACGGCGTGCACGACCGATAACTGCAACCGACGAGTTAACAACTGGCTACAGTTGTCCCATTCCAGTCCAAGATATGCAGTCGTCTCCTGTGCCGAACCCAGAGGGCGCAGCGGCCAAAAATGGGTTCAAGGCGCATCTCATGTGAGCCAACTCGCACGCATTGTATCTCCGGAAGAGTACGGCGGATTGGATTTAAAAAAGTACAGAGGGTCGTGGGCCCGTGATCCCAGTAACGGCCGTAACCGACTCCTGAACGTCAAACTTTGGGAAAATGAACAGAGAACAGTGGATCCTCATCCAGAATGAACGGACGGCTGAAACTATCCCGGAAAGGGAGAATTCAGGGGAGGGAAAGGCGAGAGGTGTCTTTCGGTGGCAACCAGAGTACAGCCTCTTCGGTAAATACTCAGGGTCGAGACTCGGTGTAATACTGTCTTTCCCGGCGTCTGGATGGCTGTGTTTCTGTTGAAGGTAAGTTATTTGAGCCAATGAGCAAGGCACTTCATGATCCACCGCTGTTAAATGTCAGATGATTTTTACACACGGATTTCAGAGGAGACAGTAGTTTAGGAACGATTATGCATCTTCCGACTGACGATGGCCTAATCCTCCGCTCCCATGTCTGAAACAAACTTACTGATCAGGATTATATCGCTTACCGGTATTTTTTAGGGAAGGAGGGGGAGAGCATGATACCCAACATTGTGGCTCTGATACACCTCAACTCAGGTACTGTGAAAACGGGTGTCCGTTTCAAAACGATTATCGGCGGCGAGACGAAGTAGATGGGGCTGTACGAATTCTCGACCTACTGGGCTTCTTGCTCAACTGAGGCACCACATCTGCGGAGCTCGAGCTTTTCATGACCCTTTCTCCACTTTTGTTACTATTTCCTGATTGCCAGTGTCCGAACTTCCTCCGAATCGCATGGGAACCGCTTTCGAGGTACTCAGCTCTGGTGACAAAGTGGGTAGCGAAATCAGCCGATCTGACAAATTCGAGAGATGAGCGATATGCTTCAGTTATAGCGCTGACCAATAATCCATGTTAGTTGATAGGCTGTGTGCGGTGTACCAAAAAGCGTATATGACGAACTCTTTGGAACGGTATATTTGTATGTCGTACTCGACGGGTGCAAGGCTGCGTAGTTCGCTCATCCTATAAGGATAGTTAAACCCCAACTTTACCGTCACCGATGACGGAGGCTCACAATCGCTCATGAAATCCAGGGAATATGGTATTGCCGCCGATCAAACCTATGTTCGCCCAAAACATACCCTGGAGATCTTCTGGCAGGAGCGAAATGGAGGCTGCGATCATGCTGGATAACCCAGATTGTTCTAGTCCTGGAAACCGCAATAATACAATGCAGAGCCAAAAAGGTAGTGAGTCGATAAGGTTTTATAGAAATGCGGCGGAGCGCACCGATATCGTCGGGGCGAAATAGGAGTTCTGGTATGGTAAACCGTTCATTCTCCATGACTAGAACTTGGTCCATAGGTGCCAGTTCGTGTCCTGGCTCCTTAACTGCGCCAGCCTGTGTTGGTCACGTAGTTAGGTAATATGTACTCCTGGGCGATTTCACTCTTCTTCGCTTTCAACCTTGGAAGTTTTCCGGCTGACCAAGCTTGACACCATAGAGACAGTTGTGACGTACCGGCATGTCTCCAGGTCGGCGAAGAAATTTGAGGAGACATAACAACAGGATTCTTTAACGTGATTCACGATGTATGTCTCGTCCATCATGTTCCATTGTCGGTAAGAGATCACTTCTTTTAACTGATTGGTGAGGAGTTTGCCGCCGACATCCAACCTAAGCGAATGAGGCATTTAGGGGAAACAAACATGCCCTATGCCTTACCTCTTGACAGCATGCCACTGGATCTGGTTGTTGATGATAGGGACGACATGCGTAAAGCTGAAGCCGGAGTCAACAATCAGACTGCACTCCGGCGGTTGCAACCCTTCGACTGCAAAGAGCTGGCCATATGGAATCATCGCAGCAGCTACGGATCGAGCGTCCCGTAAGAGAAGCAATCGGATGAACGCGGAGTCGCCCACTCCTTACGTGTGCATCTATGGTACGAAAGAAACTCGTATTCCTCGAACACGAATTGGTCGTAAATGTCTTGTATGTTTGGCAAATTGAAATACGGCTCTGTGATCAGTAAGGAGGATTCGGAAGCATTTACCTGATATATGCAAGATAAAGTTGCGCAAAAGGAAAGAATTTGCGAGTGACACTGACGGACAAGACTTCTGACGAAAATAGGCCGTCCCAGATGGCCTTCTGCGCATCCCAGTCAACCAGGTAACCCTACCACACCTTCAGCTGACTAGAATGACGACAAGGGAGTCCCGAAAGCGTAACAAGTGAGATGTACCTTCTCGAAGGGGAGACGGTAATGAAGGGTGGTGTAATCTTTGCATCTTCCGATTTCATGTCCTACAAATGTCGCCTTGTCCCCTTTTGAACGCACGACGGCGTTTGGGATGAGCCTCAAGCAGATGGTAAGCACAAACGGGGTAGGACGAGCACGCCAGTTTGCGTACCGGACCTCATCATCGACCCCAAGATCTGTGCGCACGATTCCGGCTTTGATTGTGGAGCCACCGTTATCCAATACGACGGTCTGACTAGCGGCCGCCATCTTCCAGTTGTGACGGTCCTCAGGAAAGCCGAAGCCTTGAACGATGACCGTGGGAATAATGCATGTCCCCCCTAACTTGGTCATGCAGGTTCCGCGAAGGACTCCTTGTCTCTTGCGCTGAGCAGGAAAGTGTAGGTGCCAATTGACGACGGTACCCAGCTCATCTTTTAACAGTAGCTACCTGACATCTCTGAAGGACCAGGCGTAATAACTAACACCAAAACGCGCATTCATAACGTTCCGACCAGTGAGCGCGCTTCCCCGAACGAAACCCACAGAGCGAAACTCTTTTCACGCTTCCATTCGTCGATCACCATGTGTGTCGCCTTCTTTACGCTGGAACACCATGACTACGCCCTGTACGCTTTGTCATCCCTATGTGAGTTATGTCCTATTCAATTGATCCCCAATATGCTGGAATCTGGATTGCCTGCCATGTCAAATGCCAAAAAGTATCCTGTGCAGCAATCGCGACGAATATCTGTCCCGGCCCACGGAGTTTGCACATTTTCATTCATTCGAAACACAGGGTCATCTGCGCCACGGAATATTACAAGATCAACAACCAGGACAGTGTCCGACACAGCACTCGCAATACAGTGACACCGTTGTGTTATCGGGCATTGATGTCCAAGCCGGTGGTACCTGGCTTGGCCTTGCGAAGACAGGAAAATTAGCCCTGCTGTACGTTCATTTCCCCTTCCCCAAATTATTACCAGGGTTTGTCACGCCTAGGGGATTTGTTTACTTGTGTCATATGCGCTTCCTCCGTCCTAGGAGGGGCAAAAATTTATGCCATTCACCTTCGTCATCGTTTATCCGATACGGAGAGCTAAACTCTCCGTACCGCGTATTCGAGAACCATAACATAATAACCGATATCTCGTCACGTGACCCGTGATTTCCTGGTATCGGCCCTCATTGAATAAGCCCTGACATACCTTTCTTTTCGGTCGGTAGGACTAACATCACCGAAGACACAGCCCTCAAGTTTCCCCAGTCAAGGGGTCATCTTGTAGCCTCGTTCTTGGCAAACCCGCCGTCGTCCCTGACCGATCTGACGGATATAGAACAATATCTTCGCGGGCTTGTTGGTCCTTTCGACTTGACAGACGAAGGAGGAGCGCGTTATGCAGGGTTCAACTTGCTTCTTCTCTCCCCTCGAGTCACCTGTTCTTCAGCTTCGCCGTCCCCGCGTGACACAAATTCTGATCACCCGGTGGGAACGCACGTGCCCCTCACGAGCACACCAACGAAGTTAGTCATCTCCTATGAAGCCTACCTTGCTACGAACCGTGGCGCCAGTGGTCAGATTACTTATCGTCCCCTGACTCATGTCGAGAGGCAATATGGCGGGCTGTCTAACGGGTCAGATGGGTATGGTGGAAAGGAATGGATCAAAGTGAAAAAGGGGTTGGAAATATTACGGACGGTCGTGAAGGTAGCGGAAGATTCGAAGTATGGATCATGTGCATGAGAAAGAAGGTGGCGAACGAAATGTGAGATACGGCAAGGGCCCGGACCATTCGGAGGATAAGATAATTGAGGAGTTGTTTGAGCTCCTTACGTGAGTGTCTCCGTTCCCCCCCCTCCTCCTTTGAAAAGTTTCTTTCCGTGGTCCGTTTGAATTTTGTTCGTTTCTCTTCTGTCAACTGCGTTCACTTTTCTGCATTTGTTGTTATCCTTTCCATTTACCCTTACCGCTCCTCCATTCCGAGTTGCGGCGAGAGATCTCCAAGTCACATCTCATTTCACGCGGTCATTCATTCTTTCGTCGACGAATCGGTGGTAAAGCACATTGTTTGTTTCCACCCGCCGCCTCCGGCACTCGGCCCCCAATTGCTTCTCTTCCCTTTACTGGTCCTACTGCATCACATAACCTCTCCTTCTCTTCCCCCGCCCCACTCCCCTAGTTCTCCGGTCCTCACCCTTTATTTCCTGACTGAGGCCACCGGTGTGGAGCCTGAGTCCCATCCCGCTGGGCATCGACTCGGAATGCGCGGTCAATTACGCGTCATCTATGTACCGCGGACTTTCTGTCAGGCAGTTACACGATGCGGTGCTCATTCTTGTAAATATCCTCCCTTTCGAGGGGGGCGCGGCTCGACCGTACGGAGTTGGGGAATTGACCATCGTGATCATATTCTTGTTGTTCCTCCACTTCTCAACCCAACTAACTAATCAATCCAACTCATCCGCCATATGCACTAACTCCCCTTTCTTTCCGTACATGACCAATGCATTTCATCAACACCGGTGCCGTAACTGCAGTTGGACGTCCCCCACACCCCCGACTTCCCGCGCCGAACTATGCAACACAATCCAGGTCGATCCTATCCTTTTCCGTCCTGGTAACATCGGCGCTGGTGCGGCCACGGATATCGCGGATGCGAAACGGAGCGCTGCGAGCTGCACGGCCACAGCCATAGATGAAAACACCGACGGGAACAAGCTTGCTGCAGCAGCCGAAAGGATACTACGCAACAAGGCTCGCCACGGTGATACTGGTGAAGCGGACAGGTGAGGTTGTGTTCATCGAGCGAGATCGATGGATGTTGCCGGACGAAGCCAAATCAAATGCGGAAAGGAAGCAAGGCAGTGAATGGAGCGGGGATAGGAGTAGGCAGGGAGAGGAAAGAGGGGAAAGGAAGCCTGTTCTTGCGTCGACCTTGTCCTCGGCGACGCAACGTGTGTACAGGTTCAAGTTGGATATGTAAGTCAGGAGTTATCTCATACACAAACCAAGTTTCGCCGTGTACGTACATGCAACGATGATATATGATACCGCGATAACAACTGCGTCGTGTTATCTCAAATAAAGTATATACCACATGCCAATTTGAATGAGATCAGGTCAAACACGTACAGACTTTTACAACGTGTAACAAGGCCGATGATGACCTGATCACATCACGCTGCACGCCTCCCTCGCCCAAGCCAATCTCAGATCGCACCGCAGAGCTAATTACTGTAGTATAATTGCGCTGACACTCGCCTCAATGGCACGTGGCCCGCCGCAAGAGATAGTGAGTGGAAATTTTTTAAATTAAGAAAATCAGCAGCAGGGTGCCCAGAGTCAATCATTCTATGTCTCTACTCATACAGCCAAGTAAATTGTTAGGTGTATATCACGACTTGAGTTACAGAAAATTAGAAACAAAGCGGATAAAGGCGCATCTATTAAGAAAGTCCATATGCGTACACGTCTGCTTCCTTCCGCAGGCTAGAAGGTGGAGCTTACAATCCAGTAGCAGGAACGTCCACACATCACGGTCATCAATCCCCCCTCGCATCATGGGGTCGTATCACGTCGTATATACACGTGTGTACCATCGGAATACTGGCGCGGGTATCGCAGGGGCCTTGAAGAATCGTAGTCGAGGTAGGAAGTGAAATGGCACTTGAACAACATCCCGCTAGGTGCTCCCTGCTACGTGGCGATAATCCCGCCATACATCCCTCCGCCATCTCCTCCAACACCAACACCCATACCCACGCCGACGCCAACACCCATGTTGACGCTGACGCCCGACATCCCAGAAGAGACTTGCAAAGGGAAATAAGAATTGTAATTCCCCCATTCGACGCCAATAGGTGGGCCCGTGTTTTGTTGCCCACCGTTGGCCCCGCCAACGGAAGATGACCCTGAGGAAGGTGACGACGGTGAAGACCCTGAGGCGGAAACCGAGCCGGAAACGTGGAAAGGAGTGCCACAAGCCGGTGAATGTATTTCGCTATCCGTAGGCGTAGGCAGTGTACCGTATGGGGGAGAACCGTAAGGTGACCCTGCGCCTGATGTTGATCCTCGTGCCCCCGAACTTGAATTGGTCGGGATACCCGAAGCCGGAGCCGTTGCCTAGACATAAGACAGGACGAGGAGTCCGTCAATGACAGAGAAACGCTGACTGTTGATCTGCGAAGGAGGAAGAAGAAAAGTTAGTAAATACGTCATGGCGTTGTCCGGGACAGAACTACACGTGGAGGAAAGCGAATTACACATGCCAACACCTCGTGTACGTGACAGGCATGCCTTGGCATACAAGTCATCACACAGATAGCCGAAGCGAGACAATGATACGATCAAAACAAGCAAAAGCGAAGGTCGGCATCAAGTTCGGAGCGCGCATATTACACCTCCGATGACGGCGAAAAAAAAAAAGTCCAAGATACTCACTGCACAACACCACTTCAATTCGGATAGCCTCTTGAACAGTAAACATCCACTGCCGTCAGGATCACCGTGCTGACCCGGATGGCGCTGGTGAGAGGAATGAGGATGATGGTGACCCAAAGCAGCTAAAGCATTCTGTAATTGGTGGACCTAATGAGACCAGCGAGGGACTCGTGCGGCAGGAACAACAGAACTGTTGTTGGTGCTGGTGATGCTGCTGCTGTGACTGGTGATGGTGGCTGTATTGACGTTGTTGGGAATGGTTATCAGGCATCGCACCACAACCCATTATCATACGATGTCCCATGCTGTTGGTGATAACTTGAATGTGGATGATAAAGACTTGACGACGATGAGGGGGAGAACCCCGTGGCGTTATACGCGGTCGGAGCAGGAGGGGAAGGTGTAAATCTGTACAGATGAGGCTGGGATATCTCTGCTGGAAGGGGTTCTGGCTTCACTTGTTGGCCATTGATACCGTTGTTGTCAGCAGGCAAAAGACCCGAAGATGCACGTGCACGGCGAAGCTGAAGGCCGTTTTTGGCTGCACGGGAGTGCCATCTCTCTGATGGATCGCCTGCCGAGGCGTCAGCCCAACGTGGATGGGGTTTGCCTGAGGTGTGACAATGGTTGGTTTTACGTATTGACGCGTGGGAGGGGGATGTGATTGTGATGAGAGGGAGGCGGATCATGCAAATGTGAAGAATGTTGAGCACCGAATGGAGGATCACAATAACAACGTATACGCACCACGCAACTCGCGCACGAGACTCTCGAGCTCAGCGATTCTATTGCGAAGACGTGTAGCTTCATCTATAGTAGGGTCGTCCCTGTTCCAGAAGGGGGAAAGTCAGACGGAAAAGAAAAAAAGAAAAAAAAAAAGGAACACGAGGAGCACACACGCACCTCAACGCAGGATCGTCTATCTCGTACACGCAAAGGCCCGTCTAGACGAGGGTAAGCGGAAGAGAAACGCGAGGGAGGGAGAGTGTGCGCACGAGGCCGAGCTGTATGCAACGCTGGCATGGGCGTTTTCTGTCACACTGGGTCCAATCGTCAGCGGGCAAGAAACCAAGTACTACGGAGGTGATCGGACCTTGCGTTTTGATGTGTGGCAGTTGAGGCAGGACTGTGTGGTGCGGTTTCGCCTGCGCTTGCGGTGGTCTGTGTCGACGGTGAAGTCGAGGTCCATGATCTCGCCTTTGAGCTGGAGGGGGGAAGTCGGCAGAGGTCATTTGAAATGTGTGGTGATAAAGGGAAGGGGGAAATGGGCATGGCGAGGAGGGGAGGGGGCAGGGATTAAGTAACTTGAGGGAGACTACGAGATCTGGGATCAAGACTCGTAAGAGAACAGATCTCGTTCGTGACATAAGCACAGAAAACGTGTGCAGTGCTAATAGTAATATACACCTTCCTCTTTTGGACAATCCCATCAAGGGACGACTGCCAATTAACCCCCCCGGTGTGACCTGTGACCGACATATTTGTTGTCAGCCTCACAGCTCCTTCCTGTCAGTCGACGCCCGTCGTCGACCACCTCAGGTGCCTGTCGTGCTTGTCCCTTCCTGGAACACATGCTGTATGGGCATCTCATCAAACGGGTCTCGCTCGTCAAACAGAAACCGAGCAACGGTGACGACATGGGGGTCAACTCACAAAGAGAAGCTCCGAAGGCATCCTCTTCCTGTCCATGGCTACGATTGGGAATTCCGTGTTTTTCTAATCGAACTTTGTTTCCGCTTTCGTAGATAACTTTGGGGTCATCCTCCTTAGCATAATTATCTTACCATTCAATTATTCCTCGATCGGACCCAATCAAGGAGCGTCATTGCGTGCCTGCCTGTGTGTCTCCGTCCCCCGTGTACCATAACAGAGGTCTTCGCATGTGATCATATCCGGCGTGATGAAACTGCACGCTGTACACCGGCGTTCGTGTCATCGCGTCCCAGTCCACCATTTAGCGACTGGTATCCTGTTACGCCGCCAGTTTGTAATCCGCCGGGAAAAAAAAAAAAGTGTGAGAGAGGCAAGTCAAGATCCCTCCGCTGCATCCGGTCGCTCTACTGCATTAGTAGCCAGTTACCGCTACAGTCCAATCTGAGGCATATCAACGAACTTTCCAACCCGTGGGCTCCGACTTACTTCCTCCGTACGGTTACCCTCCCCCCTTCTCACAGATCTCTTCCGTTTGATACCTCAGCAATATTGTGATCTCGACCCCTCACTCCTTTCTGCCGGTCCCTGCTCCCCCTCGCGCCGGTATCCAAATGGAGACTGACGATGACCCAGGTGTACTCCATCCCAGTCTCAGATTTGCTCCTCCCCAGCATCATATCATCGGGTAAACTACCTATCGCATTCCCCTTCTCCACCTACTCGGCACCACACTCACCCATCCCACACGGTATTAGCCATATCCCAAATCAACACGTTCTTATCAATCCTACCAGTAATGCGGTAATACTTGTCAATCTAACTTCGTAACCCGGCTCCAGGAGTTTCACACCCGCATCACTTCTGTGACGGTGAACTATACACGCACAGCGCATATCCGGACTGAGTGCTGAATCCTGATGCCATGATTGCCCATCACATGCTCAACGCGGGGGTGATGGCCAAGTGTGATCGGAGGCATGTCCACTGCAAGTCAGCGGACATGATAACAAACGAGTTATATATTCGACCACGTTGACACCCAAGGTCTTGGCCCGTTCCCCCTCGCCCCTTGGATTTTGGCTTCAAGCTTTACGCCGCTGCCAACAACGTTCAGTCGTCGAGCACGAGACGTACATATGCGGGCCTGACAGAATGTGTATCGCATGAGCATGCGCCACCGCTCGGCACGCCACTCCACTTCGATTTCCTGAATTCATATCGATACGAGTCGCCGTAGATCCGTACGCGTGCATGTCTATGGCTCGTGGCGTTCGTGCGTGGATAGGTGCGTCAAGCCTATCTCCTTCATCCACGCTCCATTCGAAGCATGACTCAGTCGATGGAACCCACCCTGTGAGTTCTTTTTGTCGGACACTGCCGATCCTCATGGTATCTCTCGCGCCCATTTTTCCGTCTTCTACGTGCGTGATCTGATATGCTCAAAGCAATGCACTTTCCTTGCTGGTCACAGTGAGTTTGCAAAAGTTCCGTCGACCTAACTCGCCTCGACTCTTGGGGGCATTAAGGCACGAGGTGTACAATAACGTATGTAACATGATAAGCTGTAAGGGTGGGCGTTGGCATGCAACAAGGTAAGGAAGCAGTTGGATATGTGCATCATGAAAGTGGCCGCCCGGAGACGACCGACGAAGCCAACTATAAGGAAGCCGGACGAGTTAGCAGTCACAGTCCGAGCTCCTCGGTACTCTTCCATCCTCAATCCCATCGGTCTACACCGGCTTTCTGGGGGGAAGGAAGCATTGCACAGCCTGAAATATCTCTTCGTCTATTTGTGAGCTTTGCTTTCTTCCCCTTCCTCGAGCGTCTGCCGCCTTCCCACGACTTTTGCGTCATACCAGTACTCAGGTACCTCCAAAGTCAACAATGACACCCGCTGGTGCGTCCTCTCCGAAGAAAACCTAAGAAATTCTCCCAGGAATGCTGCAACACCGGTCGGCCCGATTTCTCCCAACTTGCTATATAGGAGTACGTTTGCCAATTTGCTCATCGCTTAATGCCATTCATCGCCAGGCACTTGGAATACAACAGCGCTGAATTATATTTACATGCCCTCTTTTGCCTTATGAATCACACTTGGCGCTCCGTCGCACACTCACCAGGGTCAATGCTTTGTCTACCTCCGAGGACGCCAAATTATTCGGCTGGTCAATCGTTAAACCCACACCGATGGCAGGCTGACCAAGAACATGCGATGATAGCGGGGATGACAAACGTGTCACGCAATACGGCTTGTTGGGTGCGTAAGGATCAGTATGCTAGGCATTGAACTTCGCGAGCTATACTGTATCTCCGTGCCACCCCTCTCACGGTCTGTCACAAGGTTAGCAAATGTATACACCCGCACCTCACCATAACACCATGGGTGGTGACCAATAACGCCGGCGGGATGGTACCCTTCGTTAAATTGTTTCACCTCAGTAAGGCGTGTAAAAAGGGTTCTATATTGGCATGGCATGCGATGGAGCGCAGAGGACAGGTCGGACCATCATAAGCAGGCCCATCAATCCGTCCGTCTCATGCCACCCAAAATCACCTCATGTATATATGTCTACGTTTAGACCAAAAACAATGTCAACGGAGAATCTGAACCACTTGATGGGGTCGACGGCTTTCGTACTTTTCCTAGAACACTGTCACACTATCTTATCCTCCTGTCTTAGTGGCTATGTATGTAGACTAGCGGTGATGGTGTCCCATGGAACGTCTGTCAATCATTGGGCACGCAGGTTCAGTCAAATCGAAGCTGACAGTCCCCGAAGGACCAGTAGCCACGTTGCTGGCACGGGTATGGTAATACCACTTGGTGTGAGAATTCTTACCGGCATCATTAGTGCTGGACGGGCGGAGGGGTTGAGCAAATCAGTGGGTCACGATGACCTACTGATATGACAAGCCGAGACGCCGAAATCCTCAGCTTGGAACGTCGCCTCCGTCGGGTGTGACCAGTCAAATGAATCAGAAAAAACTCAGAGCGTGTTGCCGCAGTCATCATGATCTCGAGGAAGTGGTTTAATAACTTGCTTGACGACCGAGCTAGCCAGACGTCGAGCCGAGATACCTCGAACGCGTTGCTAAATGAAACGAAGTTCCTTTTCGGCTCTGTCTATGGTGTTTAGTATTTCGTATCCGGCTCGAAAAAGCGGGGTGTTATGTGCCCGTGACTCTCTGGATCCGAGAAGACAATGTTGACGTCAGAAGAGGGAACAACTGTGGTGTGACGTGTTTCCAAGCTATCAGCTGATGGATAGATAATCTGCGGACTATGTTTACGGCCGTGGAGCTACGGACGAACCCTTAGGGTCCATCATAAACTGTAGAGATGCAAATGGCGTACCGTCCTCTTCTTTCGTATGACCACGCGATGCGGATGAGCGTATGCGTGCTCGTGCATGCATTTTGAACTCGAAGATGAATTACGAGCTGGGCATATCTTGATGAGAAATGTGGTTGGGGCAGGTCCAGTCGACTCGGTGCCTCGCTGGGCAGAGTGACATAACATACTGTCAAAGAATACACATATATTGAACTTACTAGACTGCCAACACAATTCATCGTTGAAGAGGCCCTGAGAAGCTCTTGAGATTGGGGTTGCCTCCTCTCTTGATGAAATAGGTTCTCACATTCGAGAAGAAGGTTTGCCAATGAACACAGGGATCAACGTGCCGTCAACGCTATCACGAACTCAATGAGCGGTTGGTTGAGAAGAAAGGGCTGCGTTGCTTCCAAGAAGCTGGTTGGTGCAAAGCTTACGTTGTGGAAGAGCCGCCAACAGTGCTCATGACGTGGGACGGGCTTTGGGGCCGCTTGCCAGTGAGTAAGAGAAGGTCTGATTCAATCTGTTCCAAACTTGAGCCTCGACCACAGTCTAGACGCCAGGCTCCATCACGGTGAGAACCGCAACAATACCCATATTGTCGGCGGTCGTAAAAGCTGACCCGCAATCTGCAGTCCGTCTTCCTACATACATCCTTCTGCAGGCACGACAGGGTTACCAGTCACTCGACCGGCCTGTTGACCTCGTCCGAATTCTACGAAGAACAAATACTAGAATGGCCTGTAAGCCATGCGATTCTTTGGCACGATATGAATATGTGACGATCCGTTCTTGTACACCCCACCTTCCCTATCCATCCAGCGCCGCCGGACCACTGGTGCTATCATATGAAAATTAGTGGTTGCAACAACCAGACAGGTACATGCCACACGGTCATGTCCGCTGGCTGGCGTAATAAGCCTGCCTGGCTTGTTTTCGATCATCGAAATCGCATTGATTGTGCATCATATGTTACTAGCCGCACATGTTTCAGGCTGCAAACCTGAGAGTTCACCATAGATAAGTCCCCTCTCTAACTCGGAAATCCAAGCATACTTGAACGGGAATGTTTGTGTTTGTGGACTTTGTCGGGAGTCACAGGCCCGTGCTGCCCTTGATTACCGGTAGGTGTCGGGTATGCTTGACAGGGGGAAACAAATCTGGCGTCTTTCTGGAGGTGTCTGCAGGGCCAGAGACAATCAGTTATTGTACGTTCACCATTAGCTCTACTAGGTGACTATCATGATGGCAGTCTAGCAATCGACACCTGAATAATAGTGCGATCACAGCTGCTTTTGGAAATGGACCCCAGCCAACTGCACCGCTGCAGCGGTGGCTTCAATCCGCCACCGCCACCGGTAACTATGCATCACCGGCGGATACTTACCAATGTTGTTTGAGGTGCCACATGCTACTTGTTCCCTCGGCTGCGGCAGCTATTGTATCACAGCATCTCAATTACAGTGCTGCCTGTAAGACCACAATTGACTCGAGATGTGCAAGCAATACGTGTGACCTATTAGTGGTGATGGACATGAATATTGGGTCGAGGGGGTCAGTCTGATCGCAAAAATTAGGGTGTGACAGGCGCTGACGCTGACTGACAGGCGCAATCAGATCCCGAAATCAGTGAGCCCGCGGAAACAGTAGTACCGATTAGCTTTTAATTTATGCTTGGCCCTATGTATGCGACTCGAGCTCCCACCTCTCGTGCATGTGCGTTGTACCCAGCCAACTAACCATACCCTATTGTACGTACGATATCATCCATGGCACGAGCTTTATCGTTTACTTTGCACAGACCAGTGACAAGTACCACCTGCTTTGTGCAAATGTGCTCATTGACACAACAAAGCTAATGCTGTGGGGCTGCCCTAGGGCGATATCTAGCAATTGCCTGATCAACACGTGTTATCAGTGTAGTAGTGGAGCCTTTGCCGAGGGATGTCTTGGCCATGGTGATGCGGATAGACTCGCGGATAGGCGAGTAGATACTGTGCTGGTGGACAGTGATCCAGCAAATAAGCTTGACACTTGTTGCAATGCTGCAGCCTGCATTTGCCACAGCATGCCAATTCCTGCCCAGTGGCAGCAGGTGATATAGTATGCGATCGTGCGCAAGGCCATGCCAATCACAAGTACGTTCTCCCACAAAGTATGATCCGCTTGATTGGATCCTGTGACATCCTGTCCTCCCGCCACTGTCAATTCTAACATCATGCAACAGTGGAGTCATCAATGTGGAACACGATTCACGCGTATCGCAGTAGTAAGGGGTGACTGCCTTAATCCGAGTCTTGCCCCCAGCCGTTGGATTTTGTTGCATACGACACAGGTGGATGTGATACACATAGGGGCAGTTGCATCGGAGAACGATTCTACGTATTGCAGGTACTGACGTGCTGTGTCGACGAGTAACCAACGCGCAATCAGCCAGCCGAAGTGCAGCATTAATGCTAGTCAACAGACAAGATTTGAAACCGCACTGCCATCGACTTGTGCAAGGAGGGAAATGAGCGTGAAATGCTCCCGTTCAATGGATCTTACATCGGACCGTTTGCTCGGACTGCATCGAATACGCTCATATTCAGTATGACGGTGGCGAATGTCGATATGTAGGTATGTACAGTTACGCCATGGAAAACGTTGAAACGTGGAGCGAAACATTTTGGCGCACCGCCCGCTGCTGTTCCTGCGCAGTCCATACCCGTACTGACCCGGACTTCCGTACCGTAGTGGTTAGCCCATGTGTCCCGGTGTGCCCGATGATCATTCGCAGGAATCATTGAATCAAAATCCACGAACGACCTGGGAATGACCAGGCGTGAGATAGAATGAACCTGCAGCAAGTCGCCAGAAATAAATCATGATAGGTTAATTGGCCAAGGCCGTCGATCCTCCGTTTGCTCACGCAATTAATGGAGATAGGTCGGCTAGTCAGGCACGCGCGAAGCCAAGATGTTGAGATGAGTTCAACACCGTAGTACGTGGATGAAGCTGAATACGCTACGCACCCTTCGGTGTCAGATAACCTGGGTACCGTGCCTTGGAGGCGGTGAGTCCCCACTTTTAGCCGCGCCCGGGCTTTTTGCCAACCTCAGTTGGCCCGGCGTAAATTATGGAGCTTCCTAACGCGCACTTTGCGTTACATGTGTGTACCTCGTCCAGACCCTATCTAAACGAGAAAACCGACTCTCGATCACGGGGGAACCTAGTACCATGTGGTACGCTCATAGCTTGCTCCACGGGCGGCATATCTTGTTTGATCGCTCACACTTCCTTTCTTGTGGGGTATCTGCCAATTACGGTTAAAGCCAAACGACCCTGACAGCCTCGGTGCACTGACAACCATTTATCGAGCGTCCACGGCTCGGGCGCCGCATAGGGTTGATTGACAGGATTGACAGGGGCTACGACCATCATCATTGACATCGGCGGATGACAGTAAAACTTCAACTCCACCAACATTGTAGCGATTGCCAAGTAACAGCAACTACATCACCAGAAGACTTGCCATACGCAAGGTCGCCACCTTGGTTTGGCCGGTCACTTGAAGCTCGAGTTCGGTGACCGACATTCAGTATTTGGAACATAACGGAATGGAAGGACCGATGCGGTTGCCAAGAAGATGCTGTGTCGCGGCGATATACACGCCGATGGCTTGGTCTTGGCTAGATAATATCCGATAAATATCCATTCCACAAAGCTATACGCTGCTATACACCCTCCTCTGTAATGAATTGTTGTTGGATGGGCATCTCGGACGGGAGATTTAAAACAGATTTCTGACTCGATTGTTCATGCACCCACGAGGACGCATGTGCCAAGCCATCTTGGGTGTAATATCGCTGCCTCCCCAGGTGTTCCGACCGTAATGATCGGGTGCATTCACGAGCCAAGCAAGAGCTACTATTGCTATTAGCCCCGGCCAGAACTGAGAGCTAATAGTTGCATCGCATTCGCCATCCCTTGGACGCGGGTCAATCATAGGGCTTCGTCAGAATGCCGAGCCGGGAGCACCAAAGATAATTTTCTGGATTGCGGTGATGCGTGGTCTACGGTGCGTATGCCAGAAAAAATTTGCATGCGGTGGTTCGGGCTGGGCCCTGCAGAAGATTCAAGCCCGATAATGTTCCATGAGACAGGGGAGCCACTCCTTGGGTTGATTTCGTCTGGTTCTTTTTGTCCTACCATAGTGACCACATGTCATCAGCAGTCAGGGCAAACGAACCGTCGTTGAATAATTAGCCGCAATTGCTGTAGCAACAGCAGAGTAATATTGTCGGAAGGAACACCGTCTCCGTAATGCGGTAGTTACAAACCTTGCACCTTGCACACTATACGTCGTTAACCCTGATGTTCTCCTGGGTTCTCCAAGTCCAGAAACATAGTGGGGAAGGTGTTATGCCACTCTGTTCCGGACGTTACCATTGCATTTGTCTCCTGTGATTGCTACTGGGACATCTTACCCGCATGGCAAACCGCACGTCGAACCTGCATGTTCGTGCGTTCCGCGAGCAAAGTGTCATTTGCCAGTTCTTGCGCTGATTATTCTCTGAGCCCCAAATTTTGTCCCCCCGCGAGAAGAGGAAAAAACAGGCATAACATATAGCCAAAAGGTTGATCACGCTTCTCAGGGCTCATTAACATTGGGCAAGCACTGGGTATTCGCGTATGCACCCATCTCGCGCGGAATTGGCGATAATAGGTACGCTAGTCGGGCCCATGTGGCCACACGGAAGAACGGTGAATGATCGATGACGTAGCCTGTCTTAATGACGAACGAGACACCGGGCCTGTGGATATAGCGTTCGACTAGAACCTTGCGGACCTTTGAAACTTCTGGTCAGACCTGGTCATCCATGAAAATACGGTTGGGGGTGCAGTGGGGTCATCTATCAAATTCAATAAACATGTGGCTAGTATATCGTGAACAATTGGGTCAGATCGGCACAATGTGACAGATAGTATGTATACCAGAGCAGCCATCATGGTCCCGTTTGGACGTCCATTCTCCGACATATGCGGACCTTCGATCTGACCCAAATCCAAGCGGTTGGGTTCCTTTCATCAACTACAATTCGGGATAACACTCTCAGATAAGGATGACAAATACCTTTGTGACAATGCAGTAATTCGTAGGTTATCTGGTCCTGGAATTCGTAAGCGAGGGCGTGCGTACCGTTTCGATTGATGCCTGGCATTCTCCTGTCTCATCTCAAAATGATCCACATAAGCGAAGACTGTGTCAGGGCTGGGAGGGGTATAGGGCAGACGGGAGCGTGATCTGTCACTGATTGGAGGTAGATAAAAAAAGAACGGGAAAACACGGTAAACGTGAGATATCATTGAGAAGGAACCGGCCAGTGCGAGAATATGTCATTGAAGATGCAGTTCATTGTGTCCGACCGGCAGTTTAGCGTAACGGGCTACATAGGCAATCGATCCGAATAGATTCGTGTTCGCCATTCGAGACTTGTCTGTTTGACTAGTTGGTCCGTCGTCATAAGTTCGTTAGCAGTTCGCTTCGTCATCTACAATGTTTTACTTCCTTGCTAGACTGGATTTCGTCTTGATCGGTTTGTATTCGGATCACGGACAACGCCACTGTAGTAAACATGTTGTGCAAACATATGCACGTCCTGTTCTTGTTGAACCCCTGGTAATCGCGGGCGTATTACGTGCTTACCGGAACATACCGTCCGCCGCCAGTCCCTGTTTCGCATCCTGACCGGTATCGTGTGGTATATGCGGTTTGGGCATGCCAACTTGGTATATGGCATTCGTTTCACCAAGTGAGCTTAGAGCGCGGGATGCCAAGTGTCGAAAGTTGGCGCTGGAGCCTGAGCGTCGACGGGAACTCGGCGTGGAAATACAAAGAAAGGGTGTTATCGCTTCGCAACTATCATGCAAACGTAGTTCACACGAGGAATACAGTGATCACTTGCATCAGAATATCGATATGGCACGAGGGTGTACGTACCGTTTGAGTAATGGTAACCAGTTCTGTGAAAACGGTCGCTGAGTCTGTCGAGACCGGAGAGGGGTGAGAAAATCTTAAATACTCACGCACACGCGAGAGCGGGCTTGCAAGCAGTCCTGGAGGATGTTACCATCAACCTGGGCCGAGTGTGCTGTGAGTTTCAAGGGCCGGAGAGTGCCTACTCGGAATAGCGATGAAGTGTCAGATGAGGCAGGATACCGCCAGTGTACCATTCCTACTGCTCCACGGCGGAGTTAGAACCGGAAAGCTTTGTGTATGATTGTGCGACCTACGTAGAACCTTGAAGAAAGTACGATATGAACGCCTTGGACACCGCCGACGGAATGAATATGATGGCATTTCATTCAGTCGCATCTACAGTCACGTATTTTCCACAAACACGGGCCTGGAACGGATTCATTGGAAAGCGGGGGTGCCTTAGTCTTGTCACGATCGGGCTCTTCGCATATATCTTGCGCCGGATGTCCATGTTTATGAGTACTGTTGGTGACCAGTGATACTTACATGATTGAAATGGAGTCGCAGGACATGAGCATGTGCTGGCCAAGGAATTTCCTGATTAGGGAAACGACGTGGACACATTGAACGTGCATGTAGGGACTGGGGAAGGCGTGCATGTCGTTCCCCATAATCTAGCTTCCACTACGACTGGCACGCAAAAGTCCTGGGGTACAAGATGCTTTCTGAGACAACGGACTCTCCTACGTCTCCGCTGCGGGACGACGATGACGTGATCGTCTCACCTCCAGAAGCGGAACCTCAGCCTGGAATTAATGGAAACACCGTCAGATGTAAGTACAGATACACCTCATTGAAGATGGTCTCCTGAAAACGCCTTTCCGAATAGGGTACGATGTAAGTGTGACAATTCATCTTCTCCATGACATGCTGATGCAAATGTTTGCCGCAAGGCTGACCGCACCGAGCCGTATACTCGCATTGCACCGTTCCAGGAGCGACATGATACTTCAGTCGAGTGCGTATCATGTATCCATCTTGTCGGCCAACCTCTGAGGAGAGTGCAGATTTTTCTACAAGCCCATCACCCTCACGGCCCTCACCATCGGACTGGCTGCACTTGCTTATATCGCCATGACCCAGGACGTCCTCGAGGAAGGACGAGACAAACGGCGCATGTACGTCCTCTGTCTCACCCCTATTGCCGACCATCTCACCTTCATAAATGCAAGAGGGGCTTACGCTGCACTTGTGTCTTTTCTCATGTTCTCTATGATTCAGTTCAGGGACGGGCCTTTCGTACGCCCCCACCCTGCATTTTGGAGGGTTGTCTTGGGCGTAAACCTCCTATACGAACTTGCCCTCGTCTTTCTCCTCTTCCAGGATCTAGATTCTGCCAGGAGTATGATGACCCTTCTAGATCCTTCCTTGGGCGTCCCACTCCCAGAAAAGAGTTACGCTGAAAATTGTGCAGTGACAGTCGATAATATATGGGTTAGTCTTTCGGTGCCCTATGTTGTTCATGAGGAACCACCGCTTATCATTAGTTGTTTCGGGGGCTGCCGTTGGGATATCTCGATAGGATGCCATCGATATCTTCTGCCTCGCCCACGCTTTAGGATGGTTCGGGAAGGCAATGATACTACGTGACTATTGGTTCTGCTGGGTGTGACCATTTCCCTTCAATTTCCTCGATGGTCTGTGTATGTTTACTTGGGTGTGTGTGTGGGGGGTAGATCTTGAGCATCGCCTTTGAGCTTGCCGAATACAGTCTCCAACACCAATTACCAAACTTTGCAGAGGTGGGTCGTTCTAGGCTTGTACGGCTTCGTGCTCAACAGTCTCCAGTGTTGGTGGGATCATGTGAGTAGGCAGCCTCGTGATTATTATACTATTTGCAGATCCATTTCTGTTGCCCATAGTGGGTGCTCGATGTCCTGGTCTGTAATTGGCTAGGAACATATTTGGGTGAGGAGCTTTTGCACATAATGACACACAACGGAGATGCTGATAAATGTATGTAGGCATGAAAACATGTCAATATCTAGAAGTCAAGGTGCGGTGCACTCTACCCCGACGGCAGCGTAATCTTTCCGTTGGTCATTTGGAAAATAATGTGCTGAAACAAACTTGTGTGACGTTGAGTACAGCCGTATGAGTGGCGTGGCCTTCGCCAGACACGGGGCTTGCGATCCAAGGCACGACGTGTGCTAAGCCAGTTTTCGCCCCATGACTGGACAGCTTTCAAATGGGAAGGCACGGCCTCATTTTATCATTATACCACCGTCGTGTTGTTGCTTGCAGTTTTTCTCGCTGCGGAACTCAATCCGTTCTATCTCAAGGTTAGTTTCGTGTGGTGTTTTTTTGGAGGCGTTCTAATGTTGCCTAGTCTCTGTTATGGTTGGATCCTGACCACCCTTTCGTTATACTCCGACTCGCAGGAGTCTTCCTTTGCGCTTTACCGGCTGTGAGGGAATTGTATCAGTATGTCAACGATCCCAAGTGAGTTTGAGTTACTCTGGTGTCACGTTGCATGTACCAAACATGGCCATACTTCTAGGAAGGCGAAACGCATGGGTCAACATTGTTGGCTGCTGCTGGCCACGATCCTCACTGAGTTGTTGGTGATCACCAAGTGGAGCAGGGGTCTGTTTGAAGAGCCCCTCCCGCGATACGTGCGATGGGCGTGGACGATTGGCGGCATACTTTTATTGTTGTATCCAGCTATCAGGGTGAGTGGTTTCTCCTCTTCTTTTTCGCTGGGATGACGTAATCATATACTGGGCGGTATTGGCTGGGATTGTGACGGTTGCGACGGTATGCTGACGTGTAGTTTGGTGTTCCGAGTGCGCGGAGATACCTGCGGAAACATAACCGGAATCGGAAGGCAAAGTCGGCGTGAGTGCGAGTTTAAGCACGCCTTGCTGGACATATATGTAACTTGTCGAATACTCTATTTCGTTCCCTAACATACTATGTGCACCGCTACTTAAGTTCGTGGAAATTCTGGTCAAGTCAATGAAGTCCTGGAGACAAGGAGAATGTTCCTATTGCTTATTACATAAGCGCTACTTCATCAGTCAGCTCTCGACAGTCCGGCTTGCTTCTCTCCACGACCATCTCCTGCACCAACCCCGGTATCGTCAAACGACCAACTCGTTTTGTGACATTCGCTGTTTTATACGGCGTGCTGAATAGCTTGTCATGGATAACAGTAACCATCACGGCAACAGCGATTCTAGCGAGCACAGTCGCACACACATCGCACCCGGATTTCAGATTGGAGCAACCTTTCACAACGTTCTCCGAAATATCAACAATGCGCTCAACCAGACCCTTGCTGATACTCAGATCAGTGCGAGAGAGGATCAGTTGATGGAAGGCATCGTAGAGGATTCGCCTAATCTTGACTCTGCCACCGCTCGAGTAATGGAGGCACCCGCAGGAGCCCCTGCGCAGCTCCCGTCGTCTGCATCTGCATCGACAGGGTGTTCCATCCATTTCAGAAGAACCAGTTCGTTTGCACCCCTCGGAAACTCAGCGGGCGGCGGTAGAGGAAGAGCAAAATGAAGTCGAGGATGACTTGGACAACGATTCTATGCCAGAACTGCGCTTCTGTCTCTGACTCCTCGGAGGAGTCAGATAGCGAGAGCGTCGGTCTCTATGCATCTCACTATATCCCTCAGAGTCTGCCCTCCGTTGACCCCATCCCTTCAGGCGCTGCCTAATGCCACCGCAGACGGTAGCGCCGCCTCAGCATCCCGTCAGCCTGTCGTAGAAGACGATCATGATAGTGCCTGGACGGACGTAGAGGACGATCTCCCTCCTTCAGAACCTATCACAGGTAGCAGACGTGCACGAGTAGAGGACGATGTCGATGAAGCAAGGGATCGCAGACATCCATCAGAACGTGTGGGTGACTCTTCTTCCGGGGCCTCGCCTAGCGAAAATGCGAATCCCAACACCAATTCACGACAACACACTCGGCGGCAATCACCACATGACCAAAACCCATTTGGCTTCTTTGGAGTACCTACGAACGTAAATACGTTTACGTTTGGGAACCATGAGCCACACTGTGGAGCACACTGGTGAGAACGCTGTGCCCCATCCTCTTCCTCCATCATCACTTCAACGGGATGATGGCATACATCCCTAACCCACAGCCCACTTCGAACCCCGTTCCTAATTCTAATCCCAATCTCAATGCTAATGGAAATGCACCGCCGCATGCGCGCGTGGTTCTTTTGATTCCAGGTTTTGCGTTCACGATTCCACTTGGACCCTGTACCGATGCCCCACGGAAATGCACGTCCTCGCGCCAATGACGACGCCGAGCACCAGGGTCCAGCTCCAGCCGCGGAAAATGGGCCTGCGGCCAACCCACTGCACCACTGCTCGGCTCTGACCCTAATCAACCAAACATCATCGAGTCTTTCACGGCGTTGATGCAGGACTGGCTTTTCTTTGGCCCTCCCGAAGGGGCAAGCGAGGATCCCGAACGTGCTAAGAAATTACTCTCTGGGTTGGAGGTCGTTCCGACTGGTTTGGTCAAGCGACTAGAAAGGGTTGGCGGTGCGCCAGGTGGACACGTGGATGGGAAGGCTGCGTCGAATACAGCCCCCGGCTGTGCGATCTGCTGGGACTCTTTATTGGATGTGGAGAGGGCTTCATTTGACGAGAAAGAGAAGGGGGAGGAAGGTGTCAGTGATTCAATGGTAACTGAGCCCGCTCCCGCATCTGGTCCGTCGGATCAGACGGCTAGTACACCCACGTCCTCTGAGGACCAACGGATTATTGCTCTTCCATGCGCACACGTCTTCCATGCCTCTTGTCTCCTGCCATGGTTTACGCGGGCTAAACTGGCTACCTGCCCTACGTGCAGGTTCAACATTGACCCGGAAAACTTGACATATTCCCCGCCCCTTAGACGCTGGGTACCGCCCGCTGCCCCGTACTACTCTTGCTCAACCAGGTGTACACCGCGCACAGGACAGCGCCTCCGGGCTCCGATGCTCCACCACGACAGCAACAGTCAAATCCACCTACCTCAGATACTGCTGGGCAAACTGGCCCGCGACCTGCTGGCCCTACTGGTCCAGGATTCAATCCCTTTACTGGAATGCCGGGCTTCCATGTTTTCCCGTTCCCTGGTTTTTCAATACCACTTGGCCCTCGCCCAGCTGGACCTGCTCCACCGCCACCTGGTGCCACTACCGGACCAAATGCTCCACCTGATGGCCAGCGCTCTCGTGCACAGAGTCTACCCAATATGAACGACAATCGGCCGTTCCCACCGCCTGGTATGCCTATTGATATCTTTACCATTGGAGTGGATATGATTGTGCGCCCTCCGCCGTACGATAATGATCATGATCATGGGACAAATGGCGGTGATCATGCTGACGAAGCCGCAGGAGCACGAGATCAGGGAGATCCTCCAGATAATGGAAGGTCAAATGCCTTCGCCCAGGAGATGAGAGAGATGTTCGATGTGTTGTTGCACTCGACGGCGAATATGATGGCCGCCAATGGCGCACCTCCTGCAAGTCCTACCGATGCTACGAATGGTGGGCCTCACCCTCCCCAAGAAGCCATGGGTACTGCCCAGCCTCCGCCCCAGCCTGGTCAAGGTGCTGGTCCATCTGGTCCTCGACCCACCCAACCCTTTGCGGGCTTCCGCCCTACGCGTCCGATGCCTCCTCGGCGGGAGCGAAAGCCGTGGACCTTGCCGCCACCTCCAGGGCCCTCGTTACGCCAGCGAGTTGAACAGAAAGAGCGCGAGCAGGGTTTAAGATGTTCCGATACATCATGCGGGATCGGTCCGTCAGATGACGAGCCTTACCCTCCTCTCTCTCACTTGTCAATGAAAGAGGTATCGATACACAAGCAAGTCGATGGGGCTATCGTGACCTCCGGCGCGGTGTGCGCGCATAAGTTCCACCCTGCCTGTTTGGTCAGTGCTGAACGCGTTGCGGGATGGGGTGGAAAAGAGACGAACGATCCCATGGTTGAAGTGTCGTGTCCGGTGTGCAGAGCCGTCGGATGTGTGACGCGGTCAGAGTGGGAGGAAGGTATTGTTGCTCTCTAGATTAGAGGGGTGATGTGCAGTCGTCTTTGCGACGGTTTTTCCCATATACGAACGATTTCACCGACTGGCCGTGAGTCGCCTCGACGGCCCTCCTCATGATGCCGTCCATCGACCGCTCCGTTGTTTAGGCCTTCACGTATGTTTCTCCCTCACGACGGACTGTAATGATTTTTTCCGAGTCATATCATTCCATTCCAATGTCTCATTGTCTTGCTTTGTCACTCCACCTCTCCCCTATCGACCATTGATAATTCGCATAGTCTTGATTGTCTCTTCACGACATACCGTATCAAAGAATTCCATTTGTAGTTTGTTCTGTATCCACGAGCTTAATAACAAAAAGCAATGTTATTTAGTGCCCACTCCGTCCCTTTTGTGATTCAGTTGTCGCTCTGCCCTTTGCGATGTGCATTCGATTTTTCGGCTGGCGAGTAACGAGGGGACTCTTAACGCTCCATACAGCAAAATCTAAAAACATACTAGCGCACATCTAAGAAACAGTATTTCAGTACACATATTGTGGGAATGCAAAACCAGAGGTCAACGGGCGATCTAACTACTGTCGCATTAGTCCTCCGCTCTAAGCCGACAGCTTCTTCCGCAGGAGGCTCTTGAGTGTCTCACCGTCCTCGGCAAACTTCTTAATTCCTTCATGCAACTTGTCAAACGCCATCTGATCCTGGAGGAGTGCCCAGCGGAATTCAGGTTCATTATCGATGAACGAAACCTTGGGCAACGGTTCGGCTTGAGCAGCTGTGAATGTGTACGTGATGAACGGTATTCCATGACCGAGAGATAATAGAGGCGACGTCAGAGAAGGTGATTGGTGATGAGAAGAGTCGTGAAAGAAGGAAATGGCGAACGGATATTATCGGGACGAGATAAGTAACTCAAATAATAAAACGAGCGAGGGGTAAAAAAAGGCACGCGGGGAAAAGAACTTACCAGCCTGGGCATCAAGCCTCTTAGGAACGGGATCCGTCGACTTCTTGAGTTCTTCCAACAATGCAGGGGAGATGGTTAGGAAATCAACCCCCGCCAATGATCTGATTTCGCCGGTCTATCGGGTAGAGAAGAAGATTTGGGGTGAGAGGGGAAGAAAAAGGAAATTATTGAGAATGGATGCGAGGTTCATGTGATGCATGGGGAATGTAAGAAGTGGTGCGACATCAGCGGTGGGAATAAACCATGAAAAAGTAATTGAATGCGTACGTTACGGAAGCTAGCACCCATGACGATGGTCTTGTAGCCATGCTGTTTGTAATAGTTAAAGATCTTCTTGACCGATTTCACACCAGGGTCCTCGTCCCCTTCATAATTCTTTCCGGTTGCCTTCTTGTACCAATCAAGGATCTATGGGGACGTTTAAGATGAGCACGTGCACGTACCGCGTAGAACTCCGAACAGAAGTCTACAACTCACACGTCCCACGAAGGGTGAAATGAGGGTGACGCCTGCTTCAGCGCAGGCGACTGCCTGACCGAAACCGAAAAGGAGGGTGAGGTTACAGTGAATACCGTCATCCCTTTCGAGTTCTCGGGCGGCCTGGATACCCTCCCACGTCGAAGCGATCTTGATCAAAATCCTCTCTTTGCGGATACCGAGTGATTCATAGAGAGCGATGAGTTCCTTTGCCTGGAGAAGATGGCAATATTTGTCCATCAGGATGATGGTACATGAGAGTTTATCAAAACAAAGACGGGGACCTTTGCTTTGGTGCCTTCTTTGTCGAACGAGAGGCGGGCGTCAACCTCCGTGGAGACCCTGCCCGGGATGATGGCGAGAATCTCTTTACCAAACTCAACGAGCTACAGTGCGGTGTGTATACAGATCTAATCAGGAGTAGATAAAGATCTGGGCGCCGTTAGCTCTTACCAGGCGGTCCATAGCGGCGTTGGTCTGGTTCTCGAGACTGCCGCCTTTGTTCTTGCCGTACTGGACAGCCACGTCGATAAGGCGAGCGTAAGCGGGCTTGTTGGCGGCGGCCAAGATCAGGGAGGGGTTCGTCGTGGCATCCTACGCACCGAATCTCGTGAAGATAGACCCTATCGGATGCAAATAGTAGTGTACCTACCTGAGGCTTGTAGGCATCGATAGCTGAAGACGATATTATCAGCGGACAATTTCAGCGATGGTTGTATTGTATCGAGTCCCACACTCACATTCGAAATCTCCTGAATCGGACACAACGATGGTGCCGGTCTGTTTGAGTTGGTCTAGCGAGGTAGTCATGGTGTACGATGAGGAGAAGTATGAGTCGGTGCACGGTGTCTCAGCTTTATAAAGGACGTCTTAGTCCGCCGTGAACACTAGATTTCCCCATTCAGAGTAGGCCACCAACGTGTGTCATCCTAGCACCATCCTTGCGACAAACCACTATAGTACTGTCATGCCAATCGCAGAGCACTCGCAGTGAAATTAAATACGACCCTTAGCGTTCTCTGCGTACATTCACCCATCGCAGGAGTCGCTCGCTTGTTGATCTCCTATGCAGCGCGCCGGTGCAACTGACAGTGAGAGATCCGCTCCGCACGTTTGCCACAACACAATCCGTGGGCTCTTTTGAGGCATAATTTCACCGACCGCCTCAAGAGCAATTCTTAACATGGTATTGTTTTAGTTACAGGGTATTTATCGCCAAGTTCGTTATCAGAAGAGACCCACTCTGTGGCGGACAGGTGCCTGGAGATAGTGTCAGGTCGACACTTTGGTCCGACGCAAATGCAGCTCCCGGACACTGTAGATCCGACGCTCCTGAATAATGAGCAAGTCATCCACGGGTATCTTCGGGTTTTCGCGCAGGGCGGCTTCAAGTGCCATTGCTCCTTCTAACAACTTCTTGTTTCCAGTGTCTTGTACGCATTTCCCGGATGCTATGCGATCCGCCGGCTCGGGCAACGTCCCGTCCGACTGTATGTTTACTGGTTGCTCCACAGGTGCGAAAGAAAAAGAAATCCAATTTCTCACTTGGTGGACACTGGGACGTGGTTTTGTAGATTGGATTATACTACCGGGAGATCGAATGTTCAAGATGCAAGCTGTTATCCGAGCAGCCCGGGAGGCGAGACTTGACTCGATGATGAATATTGTAGCAGAGCTGAACACCACTTTGACTGTAAATTTGGAAGTTAGAACCCCAAGGCGTCGATATCGCTGGTTCGCAGCAGCGGATTAAGCTCATTCCATACGATGCGTTGGTGAGTACTCGCGATCGGGTCTGCATTCAAACCAAGCTCTTGAATGTTTTTAGGTGTTACACGAAATACGAAATTCTGGTAGGACCGGGGTTCCTGCATTAACATATGCCACCGTTGCTCCCGACGGTGGCTAAATGGGACAGAATATGATACACCTCCACCATCAATATGTTGCCTACGTAGTTGGGCTTCATTGTCTCCAATGCGCGTAACGAGTGCTTGCAGTGATCCCGTTCATGCGCTGCGAACGTCTGGACATGGGATGTGGGGGGTAAGCTCAAAGAGGCAGGTTATATTTAAGTCGTAAGTTACCTATAGTTGATGTTCCAAAGCAACTTCCAGTGTTCTCGTATCCCCTAAGCCCAAGCAGGGCTTCTGCGGATAAATCCGTACGTCTGCCATTGTGAAGATGTCCCGAGGACCCTCAAGAAATGCTTGCTATTTGTACACTACGTGATACTGTCAACAGAAAATCGCACGAAGCCAGGGGACCCTATCTCTCACCCCCTCATTTTTTTGTCAGGCAGTGGGTGTCCTTTGAAGACCGCAAAGTTTATGGCTCCCTCCTTGACCGGTATCATGTAGACCCGACTTGGAGTTTGCCAGAAAACCTTGTTACGTGACTGCTGGAGATCGCGGAAGGTGCAAATTCGTCTTCGGGACTGGTTGATCCCCCACTGACCACGATTAGCCCGACCGAATGCCTCCGTGCTCTGAACAAAATGCAGGTGAGACAGCAGGCTCATGGAAACTCTTTTCAGCGAGGCTTAGCCAGAACGATTGGGTGAAACGAGCAAGGAATTTGAGGTCTGTCGGCCGATGCCTCTTCGATACCTAAAGTGGGTCCAAGTAGCCTCAATGGTTCACCATTTGCCCTTGATCAGCAAACGGATGAACTTCGACGCTGTTGGGAACCTCGCCAAACCCACTTTGTGAAGTACTGTCTTCGTCCCTGTTGCTCGGCTGACGCTATTAACCACGCCGCTAAATCTGCTCGAAGCGTTAACACCTTCCGCTTTCCTGAGCATTCTACACTAGATGAGTTGGATGTCTTCAAGAAGTATTGACAGGGGTTGCATTGACCACGGGCATCAAACTCAGATCAAACAACTGCATAACGGTGTACAACTACGCCAGACCATCAAGTGCGGCTTGCCTCAAACAGACGATTGACATGTAGAAGAGAACACACAGATATACCATCGACTAGCTGTTGATGCTTGTACTAAAGTCAGCATTTTGCTAACAAAGAACAGATACCAATACCCGTTCCCCTCGCGGTATTAAAACGTACTTGCGCCGAACGACTGTAACCACGCGAATACGGAGCCAACAGGGATGTGCCCAGCCAGGCGCGTGGACTGGTAGAAAGCAGCCCAAGAGCCTGAGAAAGATTACATGCAATTATGCATACAGCACGCAAACATTAATCTTCGCACCTTTTATAACTCCTTTAATTCCAAACCCCAGGCAGCGGACAATACGCTGAGCAAGCCAGCGCAAGAGTGAAAGCAGTGAAAGCAGGGGTGCGGGACCGAACCATATCGACAACAACACCAACATGATAACGAGTAACACAAACAACCAAAAGATCAGCATCGCTGCCTCCACCGCCGCCGCATAGTGGGTGAGTTGTGACTAAAAGGCCATCAAATACACTACGCCGATCGAATGGGACCAATATGCTTACCAAACTCCAGTATTCCAGGGACTGCACGCCGTGTGACCAGCATTTGATCGGTATTCATCAAATTCGTGCCGCCGAGATTTCTCTTACTCCAATCTGATACAAGCATATGGCCTAATTCGAAGACCTTTTGTACCGCTGCAATAATTTGAGGCCACATCGAAGTAGTATCACTTGTTAGGGAGGCACGAAATGTATTATCTAGGGTCGAAATTCAATCGGAGTGTAGAATGTTGAAGAGGAAAAAGATATGACCTTTTGTCGGAGATGACCGGACCAAGCTTAGTCACTAGATCGTCCAATCGGCAGTCACGTGCAACTGCGACTCTGAGCCTCCCTAAGAAATAATCATTGCATGGGAGACTGCTGGTACCTAGTTTTGCTGCCATGCTTCAGACTGACGAAGACAGTCAAACATCCTGACTGAAAGGACACTTGCAAAAACTTGCCAGAGGGAATATCTAGTATAGTGAGTATCTGTACGAGGGATTGCAACGTGAAGTGGGCGAGGCCTGGCGGCTACATCGTATGCTCTGGCCATGCCACGTCACGGCTCTGCTACCAGCCAGTGAGCTTGCGTGCTCGAGTCGTGTCACGATAACGATCCCCAGGACTCACTGGACATAGAAAGCGTTCGAACCAGCGCAGCTCTACGTACAGCTCTCTGCCTCCCCCCTAGCTGTCGAACAGTGTAAGGACGTAAGGTGAGACCTATGAACCAGTCAAGCCGTTCCTTTTTTCACCTGCATGGTTGAACTGTAATCCGGGTGGGTGATTAGAAGTAGTCGACTTCAATCAAGGCTGTACGATTAGTGTGACGAAAGCGAGTTCGTTTTAGTCATACGGGGTTAGTCTGTTCTCGTTGGAGGGAGTCTTTCGGTCACTCAGGAAGAACCGGCCGGAAGTGCCTGTTCGAGATAAACTCAGGTCAATAGCATCAGTACCTACGACCTTATATACGTTCAGAGTGCGGCGGGAGACAAACAGGTGACTAAAAAGAGAGACACAAAGGGAAAGAAAGAGAGGAAAACAAGCTGCTAAATTCCGAGGCGTTTGTCGGTCGTGTGTGATTGTGATTCGTTGGTGTCGTAGACGGATGAAACAAGCGCGTGGCACATACCATATTACTTTCGCTATAACCCTTGGTCCTCCACCGCACCGACCGCAAGTCTGCAAGCCGGTGGCTCCCCAGCAGCTCTACTGGTCAACGTGTCCATCTGAGGCTGGCCATGCCCGATATCACGGACGGAGAATTCGAGGCAAGTCCAATACGGCTACTCGTGGGGATGAATACCTCTTACTACTCCGTCTAGTCCCTCATAGCCGATAGTGCCACATCGCACTCGATAGCTTCGTTATCCCAACTTGCAACGTTTGCAATCAATGGTGGCTGCCTTCCTGCTCAATACGAGCGGCTGTCTACTATCCTGTACGGCCATCTCCGGTCCACAGGGCTACCGCAGTTTACACAGAGTCTGGAGGAACGCAGACTGGGGGAGCTGCAGGTTCCTATCTTGTCTATGAACACCTTGGGGGTAACCCTTCCCTTATGGCTGGCTTGCAACGAGATCTCCGATCGTCTCCTCAGACGTCTTCTGCGTCACTGGCAGGACGTCCGCCAATGGATCGTCTTTTTTCACGATAAAATCATTACTCGGTTGGAGGTCGATCTGGAGCTCCGAGTGTTATGCAAGAAGTCTGTTCTTGAATACATGGGTTTGTTGCAACACAGTTTGGTACTGACCTGGTCACAGCACATACCAGCAGACAAGGACCTCATGCGTGTCATATCCAGCTTGTGGCTCCTCGAAATCAACAACCCACTATTTTCCAGCTGGTGTTCCACGTATACACAATTCCACCATCAACGTGATTCCGCCATTTTCAACTCTGCAATCCTCATTGCACATGAAATTGATGTCAAGGTCGACTGGGCTAACATCATGGAGGTTTTCGGAAACGATTATGATTATTTCGCGCACACCGCTGTCGCGCACCTCCGCTATGAATTATCCCAAGATCCCCCTGACATGGAATGTATCGCATGGGATGTCCATGTCATTTCAGCCCTTGCCCTGATTGCCAACCTCCATTTGGCCCTCCTTAAGCAGGGATCTCTCTTTGCTTGCCTCGACGTGCTGAATTTTGTTGTTTCTAACTCGTGGGAAGGCGACAACAGGAAATACGCAGCACGTTGCATCGCTAACGCAGCAGTTTACCTTAAAGAAGGACTCGAAGACCTTGACGGGGTGCCTCTCGTTCTCACGCTTCTCCGCATGAATCTGATCCCTACCTTACTCAAATGCGAACCGCTTCTGCCTCTAGCAGATAACGATACAGCCCGCGATCAGCCCGGGCAGCTTCTAGGCAGGATATTAGCATCCTATACGATTTATCGTTCCGTCCTAAGGAGGGTGATCCCGCTTATCGAGCAAGTCCAGGAAGCAGGTGAAGATCGGCACCTTCAGAAGGGGTCGTTATTATATGGGGATTGGCAAAGATTCAAGGAGGTGGTGCGCGAGCGCGCCAAGATGTTAAAACCTGATTACCCGACCCCACATACCGTCCAACACTGTCATAACGAAAGGGTTCGTGAACAATCGCTCCCCTGTGAAAGTTCCTTACCTTAGTTTTGCAGTGCTCGAGAGTGGATCCCCTTGGGACCTTCAGGCGTTGTGGAGGGTGTTTGCACTCGTTTTACTGCAGTAAAGAATGTCAGCGATTCGACTGGCAGCAGGGTAAGCATAAAGCTTACTGTCAGAGAATCCAGGAACGTTACGTTCGAACGGGTAAGCATTTTCGACCCGCGAGACTTTCCCCGAGCACTAAGACGTTGTCACTCAGACGGACAGATGTTTATGACCTCCTGTAATGACTTTCGGTTTTTCGAAAGCGTCATCATCGCCGAACTCCGAAAACATCAGGACCGCATCATCGCGCACAAGCTAAAGGTCAACGTCGTAGAGTTCGATTTTACCAAGGGTGTGACGGATGTCGTCTTCGACTCTCTACGACTGGACCCTAAACCGTTCAAGATCCTATGTCCTTGTGAACAGTTTTCGCATGACAGATGGGAATCGCTCCTGGTTAGGGCGAGGAGGTCGCGAGAGCAACTGGTTCTCGTCAGGGCGTATATACCTGGAGGAATGTCAAGGAAGATTTTGTTGAGAGGCTATGAGTTAAGGCGTGTCCTAAAGAACGACTGGAGTGTTGAGAACAAACTGGTCTTTCCTCATCGCCTTTGTTTGACCTTCACTTGCTGTGGCCGACCTTCGGACACACGGTTAGAAGGTACGAGCGGGAAGTGCCTGAGGGAGCGACGCATTGGACATGCGTGACTTTTCTGTGCTTCTCCTTGTGTTGTATTCGGAATGGTGTACTTCTGCAGTCGTGTCTGTAGCTTCGAGTTCTTTTGTCCGTATTCCCGAGACGCAGCTCCACCACTTTTGAGGTAGCCAAGTCCTCTTGACCGTATTTCGTTGCTGGATTATCTATCTTTGTCAGAATGGTCAGCTGTGCTCCTGTCGAGCTCGAATGAAAGGAGAACCCCTAAATCGTCCTGTCGATACGGGGAGCATAACATTTCAGCGTTCTGTGGGGATGTGGCCAGCTCCCCAAAATCAGACAGTAGAAACATCTTTCTCAGACACTCTGGCCTTGCCATGAAACATGATGTATTTTGATGCCGAAAAAAGCCAGACAGCGAAAGGCGGACCTGGTGTGACCGAGTCTATGAACTACGGGAACAGGAACGAGCATTATTGCAGGCAAGGGGAACCGGCGTCGGGGACGGAGGAATATTGCCGGGGCACTTGTTTGGGAAGCATAGCAGGAACGCACAAGGGACTGAGCACAAGTACGGGGAGCTGGGAGGTTGAAACCAAGATGGCCAAACCCCAAAACGCTGCCATGGAATAGGTCATAACATTGCAACGAACTCATTGCAATCCTAACAAGAGACCGCAATGGGAATCCGCCAGCGTTCGAAATGATTTAACATCTGGATACACGTCTTCAGTACACCTCCTTGCGCATGCAGGGGCGCTACATCAGTCCGAGATCCAAAAACGCAGAGAAAGAAGAAAGGAAAAAGATACAAGACGAAAGTTGTAGGTAGTTCAACAGTCTAGTATCATCTACCATGTCGCATTCAGAGCGAGAGCTGGTAGTCATACTCCTCATGCACGCTCTGTGCAATCCACAACACAACTGCTGAAAGCATGAGCGCCACATTTTGCGATACGTTGGCGTAGCCGTAGTAGGTGTATTGTTCTGGGTAGTCGTGCATGATGTACTTAAGTACCAGCAGCGACTTGGAGGAGAAGCGGAAATCAGAAGTGGTGCCACTTGGAAGAATATGAAAAGACGCATACCACGCTACCAGCAAGTCCTCCTGCCATAAAGGCAAATCCGATAAACAGGAAGAGACGTGCCCGCCAAACTGCGCCAGGATCTCCAAATCCGTCATCACCCTTTATACGGTCCTTGTCAATGAGGTTGATTATGAGCATCCCAAGCAGCGAGCAAATGCCCGGTACCCAGTCGACGAAGGCGACATGAACAGGGGGCGGGATCTGTGGTTCGTCATAGGGGGGATGAGCATGGGCCGAGAGTATGGCAGCGTCGAGAAACGTCCAGTTGGCAAGCGCAAACTGAAGAAAAGTGTAAGCGGTGGATACGAATACGTGAGATTGTTGGCAGGTGACGCCGTACCAATGCCCCGGCAAGATAAATTCCGATCGTACGTCTGTGTTTTCCTAGATTAAACTCTGGGAATGGGTTTCAAACAGACCCTACGGGGATCGTAACTTGAACGAGGAAAAGACATTCTGCAAGACGAATGGAATGCATCAAACGACCGGAAACGCTGGGGGCACTGCGTTCAAATTACGTAATCACGTGTGACTGACCAGCTTGCGGCCCGCCTTCGACCGAATGTTCGGTCTTTGACTACCTTTTATGGTTCTTACAAATCAGACAGCAGCTCAGCCTTATTGAGCAAAACCACTTCTCATAGTCCTCCCTGTACATACGCTAAACTCTTTACTAGCGAGGCCCCTACCACCTTGCAATGGATGCAAGCCACTAATAAAGCAAGAATCTTAGGTATAAGCATTATGAGAAAATCTGTTGTGCTACTTACCTCAGTTGAGGCGGATAAGCAGACCGCTCCTCGCATAGACTGGAAATCACCAAAGTGAAAGAATTTTTTCAGCAGGACATACATATTCAATGATGCCACTGCAACACCCCCTTTGCCTCGGGCCCATTTGACGCCCATATCAGTGAAGAGTTTGCCAGTGGCACGTATCTCTGCGCCCCCGACCGCTGGCACGAAGCACCTGCTGACGCCGGATGACTGGATGGCCTGTGTCGTCGATTTGCCGCTCGAATTACTCGAACACATCTTATACATGTTGGATCCCTTGGACGTCTCGCGGATTGCTCAGTCCAATCGGTTCTTTCGCAAGATCGTCTACCTCACCTCGAAACTACCAGCGGTTCTGGCGAGGTCTGTACCTTGCCCTGCCGTTGGACGACCCACGAGACTCGGTGACATACCTTGGCAACCCGCGCCTAAGGACAGGGACATCTGCCATGGGTAGTGCGATGGCAATCGAAGAAACCCAAATAGACACTAGCAACGTTAACCCGTCCAGTTCCGTGGAACCAAGCGATATCGATTGGCAAGGAGAGCTGCAAAGAATCATACGTGCACGCACCGTCGTGCGAAATCCACAGCTGTCCCGGAAGGGAGAGTGGAAAGAAGTGCTAACGACGCTACTCGAACTCGCGACGACGCTTCCGCCGGTGCCATTTGCAGAGAGCGAGTGTGCTTCTCGAAATGTCGCCTGGGTGCAGCGTCTCTTGCAAGATGGTGCATTTCTGGATATTGAATCAACGATGGATGATCAAGACGATCAGGCCGGACACAGGTTCGAAAAGGCAGGTGAAGGAAGTGGGATGACTCCGCATCGGGCTGGGAGGGACAACCGGATGCCGGCGTACCAGCGCCCGGATCTGACGGCTGAAGAGTCACAGATGCTGGCGCGACTTCACACATGGGTTGGACTGACACAGAGGGACGTTACTCGGCCCCGGGCCCGAGTTGCATCACGGGCTTTTGTGTACGACCTGCGCAACTTCGGGAGCAAGAACCTGTTTGGGCCGTTCATGCTAGATGGGACCATGCGCGTAGACTGGAAGTGTATGTGGGCGCTCGCACATGTTTATGGAATGAAGTGGATTGAAATGGAAAAAGAAGAGACGGGCGACTACAGTGATCGCGATGTGGATATGGACATGAACAACGAGTGGTACAGTTGCCCGCTAAGCTTGCCATTTTGTCAGAGCGTCATACCGCCGGGCATGAACCTCGATACGGAGCTAGACTGGGCTGGTGTCGAGGGGCTGTGGTATGTTGGGTACTCCTTTCTCGATCACAGGGAATTTTTGAGTAAGGATTTCATTCTTTTCTACTGTCTTCCTTGTGTTGTTTCCCCCCGCCTACTTTCATCTCTGACTGGTCGGGACGATATTCTGACCAAAGGCTCCTGCTTATGTTTGACAGTTTACAATTATTCCTCCGTGCGTATCACACGTTGCCGTCTTCACTCGTACATTCGAGCCGACCGAAATTGTCAACCATAGCTTAGCGATGCACTCGACACATCCATTTTTGAAGGCGACGATGTTCCCGAGATGCATGCCTCCGTGACCATGTACTTCCGTGTGATCAGCACTGAACACGATCCGGACCACCCTACACGCCCCAAGATCAATTATGCCGGTGAACTTGACGGCCAGTTCTCAGTGGTCGGGTACGTCAAGCTCACATCCGACGACCAAACCTGGTGGCATTTTGTACGTGTCGGTTTCTCTGAATTTTCTGGCTTGCATTTGGGTAGTGTTGACGCCTTGGGTTCTTTTCTTGTTGACTTTGGCAGGCAGGCGGGAATGGTGATCAACCCGTATGGAAGTATGCCTCACTACCAGTATGATCTCTCGAGGTTTTTCTGACCCTGACTATTAGTTGCGAGGGGGTTGGTCTTGGCGGTGTACGGTCCCAGGCTGGCGTACTTGGCACCTGGTCGACCGTCTTCCATGACGCTGAAGACCCTGTTGGTAAGTGCATTCTGTGCATCCTCGCACCCACCACTCACCCAGTTTTTTTTCTCCGTTTAGGGCCGCTCTGGATGCGCCGTCAGAAGTTCATTGTGGATTGACGTGAACATAACACCAGTTAGAGGTTTCCAACCACCGTTTTTGTTGGCATCTGTTGGTTTTGTAGGGTCTGTTGTCCTTCGGTACCTGGGTCCGGATCGGGGTTGACATTGATCTATGTTGTAACGATATACTGGTTCTTAGGGTGTAGGTGCGTTGGGTTGTGCTCTGTCGTCCGCATGACATACATTTATTTATATACCCTACACATGTTGTATTTACCTGCCTGCATTCACAAAACTCGTGACAGATTGGTCTCGATACCATTCACTCACAAACACGCCACAAGAAGTATATGAGGAAGCGTTTTAGGGCATTTAGTACTGGTGAAGATATGTCAAAGATAAACTCTACAATCAAGATACAGTGATAATACAAAGTCAAAGATCACTATGCGCAACTGAGAGCAAGAGATCGACGCAATTGTAAGTGCTCTAAGTTCAAAGTTGAATTTCAAATGTCAACCTTCCATCTTTACACACACCGCACTTCACGCTCTCCATATTCTCTACGACATAGTGCGCACCGATCCCCTCGATCTTACTCCGTTCGTGACTTGTGCAGACAGCGATCACCGTGGCACCGCTTGCCAGGCCCGCACGGATTCCGCTTGGCGAGTCCTCGAATACTACACAGTTCGATGCTGAGAATCCTAACTCACGCGCTGCAAGTAGGAACGGGTCGGGCGCGGGCTTCCCAGCCTTGAGGCGCTTGTCATCCGCAGTAATGGTGACCTTTGGGGGGGTGATTCCAACTCGAGTCATACACCCGTAGGCTATGAAGAAAGTACAGAATGAGTAACATGCTAAGAGAGACGAATCCAAATTACACACCATAGGTCTTTGCGCCAGACGTAGCGACTGCGTATCTTCCTTCCGGGATAGAGCCCATGAGGCGTTTGACTCCCGGAAGGATACGCACGGACCGGTCGACACCCGCAGCCTCAACCTGCCAGGCCTCAAGCTGGTGCTGGAGCACTTCACTAGACTTAGCTTTCAAGTCGGTGGAAGGGTAATTGTGTGCAGTTTCGAAAGAGAGAACTCCATCTTCTTCGATGACAGGACTTTCGTGGACGGCTACCTCAGGAAGCGCTGACATGGCTAAGCGGCTCGTCAGACGGGTAGCAAAGGAAGGTCGACGTGAGGAGTTAGTAACGAAGGATGGGGAACGGGATGAAGGCAGCGAGCTGTCAGGAGTCATACTCAAATCAGGGGTATTCGCGCCTGATTCGAGAGGGGTAGGCAAACTGATGCCGCCTTCTGAGCAGAGCCCAGTGCGGCAGCCGTTCCCATAGAGGTTGTACGCATCAGCGAAGAAGAGGATGCTCTCCTCGAACTTGCGGACCTCGTCGTCCATCTCGTGCTGTTTAATTTCTGGTCTGAAATGTGCGAGGTTGTCAATGGCACGTTTACCGTGCGTCGCAGCAATGACATAGGCAGGGTCGAGGCCAAGGTCAGTAGCAACCTTTCCCCATGCTGCTTCGACGGCAGCAATAGAGTCCGTCAGAGTCCCGTCCTACGGCGAAGGTCAAAGACTGGATATACAGAAGGTGGTCAAATAGAGAATGCACCATGTCGAAGAGGACGGCATCGGCATAGAAGGTGTGCACACCAGATGATGACATGGTTGGTAAAGAACTGTCGATTTACCAGGAACTGGAAGGCAGGTAGCTGTTGTACCCTACCACAGTCGGCAGAGAAGGGGGGGATTATATACCATTGAACGCGCTATCTCTGGCGCAGGAGATGTTAGGAGAACCATCGTTATGTGAACGAAGATGCTGTCCCAAAGAAGAGAGGGTGGAGCATGGAGCAACAAGTGCTCGCGATAGTTCTGTCACTCATTCGCCATATCATCGGTCATGCATCATGTTTCGACTCCACGTGAAATTAAGCTGTTTCCTTTCCTGGATAACCACCAGGCGAGTTGCGACAAGCACGGTTAACAACCAAACACAACGACCTTATGAGCCCTCCTACAATGCCTGAAACTTGAACCAGTTAAGTAAAAACTTATCCTCAAAACCGCGGTTTTGCGTTACATACACTGATTGACGACCGCCGATCTTATCGCGTAAATCGCTCCTCCAACTCATCCACGTATCGCTATCAACCCTCGAAATGCCAATGCATCCATTCGGGGGCCACCCTCGATCTCGGTAAATCGACTCCCTTGTTACTCGAGCAGGTTCTCTCACGGCGATTGCTCCGAAACAACGGCAAATGGGCACCACCGTCGTGATCAGATAATCACATCCAGTGCTCCGTATGTCAGGGTGAACGTTCCTTCTACGTTCCATATACTTACTGTAATGAATACCGGAAGCCCCAATACCCAATTATCAAATAGTACAATGGAACGTCCTCCCACACCCGTCGCCCCGAAAACCACGCGTCCTAAAATCGCCTCCCATGACGGCTATATGCCACCTCCGAACTGCCTATCAGTTGCATCATGAAGCTGTGCGAAGTTATCTATAGCCGGTGCTCGCCATGGAAGCAAATCATGAAGGAATTTGAGGGCTTCCATAACGCCAACATCCACCGTCCTTCGCACACGAATAGATGCCAGCGGCGCCGACCTGCCTTATGAGTCAAAAACAACTAAAGGGTTGTCCCAACGGCATCCATTCCTATATCCTCGCGTTTACGATCAAGCACCAGGTACTTTCTCATTGCCACACGTGCGTGGGTACTTTTCCATGGAGCCCAAGAAGTGGCCTTACATATATGTATAGCCGCTGGAGCTGTTCGTGCTGCGATCGCTGAGAATTGGAAACATCTCGACGCACGCCCTAATTATGTGGATGCTAATCAGTGATCTCCGAATGTTGGCATGGAGTCGTACCCTAATATTTGTCAGTTGCAGCTTTTCCAACTGACAGCACTTTGATTATGTAAATGGAATTCGGCCCTGCTCACTGCCTCTTGCATCTGTTGCGTTGACCCTTTGACAGCGTAAAGGTGACCTTTCTAAGGCACGTCGTTACAAGTGTTTGGCGGGTCTTTGGTGCTGTTGTAGAGCCACAAATTAACGTCACTCCCGGATACAGCGTATCGCAGGAACCGAAAAATGGCTTATCTTGTCCTAATAGCCAAAAATGCGAATCTTCCCTATGACCCTATCCAAATCCGTTTCGTCTTTTATATCCAGGTCAGGTCTATAGTTTGGTAGGCTTTGCCTGCCACCGTGGTCTTTTGGTGTCCTGGTCAGGGAACTCGACACTGACTCTTGTTTCAAGAGCCAGCTTTGTAGGTTTCCGACACGTCCGCCAGATTCCGCTTATGTACTTGTCACTTCTTAGAAGAACTCGCACAGGATTGAGTTGTCAGCGATGTTTTGGAATTCTCCCTTGTTCTGAGGCTCCACTCTAATGCCCGCGGTTTCCCATGGTGTCCTAGGCTAAGCTTTCGAGATTAGTGATCGAATGATACCTCTCGGGCGAGTTCAGTCAAACTCGGTAAGAGCGTACAAGTCCGAAACGGTCTTAGACAATTGGCCAACCTGTACCCTGAGCTATGCTGATTCTTCAGCTTCGACTCTATGGGGATATTATCATATTTGGGCTGTTGAATGACCCACGTCTACTTCACGTTCTGCTGCGCGCTGTGTGGAGTACGACCGAGATACCAACCCCTGCCAATTCCTCAATGTTTCAGACTTGCGGCTTCGCCAAAAGCCGATGGACCTTAGACATATCTGTTTTTTCCACTTAGGACATGCCCCGGCGTTCCTGTCTACTAGAGTGTTGAAGGAACCAAACATGGAACCGGAATAGTTCAAGGTCGATTCGTCCGTTGAGCAGTATTGTCATCCACTAACGTTTTGTTGTGTCTTTACGAACCAAGTAAATAGTCGTTTTCCGCTTCGATTGAGCTATGTGTGTTGACAGGTGTGTTTCCAACACTAGAGGGGCATCGATCCCAGTGATGGTGATCCTACCAGGTGCCATGCAAGCAGCGTCTCGTCCCAGCAAAATGGACTCATTCTGAGTGGGGTGGGAACACTAGTGCAAAACAAAGAAGAGTGGTTATCATTAGAGTATTCTCTCTTCCGGCTCTGGGCCGTAAAGATAAGCCTACCTTCCTGGCTAATTGGCTCATGCAGACCGACAATGATGAAATGAAGTACGGACGTTGTATGGTCCCCTACTCATTTAGGTTGTGTGGCAGGGGTCCATCCTGGCCTCATATGTAGTGGACAGAGCAAGGTGAAGGCACTGCAGGCTGCCATGAATCTTGCACACTATTGAAAGGTTTAAAGTCCAAAGTATACCGTGGCATACTGCATTACTCGAGGTCTACAATACCATAAGGACCGCGCACGAGGACACTCCCCCCCATCGATGCGGTACAAAAGAGCAGCTACTAGAAACAGGGAACACACGACGTCGCTTCATCGCCATACTATGAACCCGAACGCGACCCTGGCAGTGATGGTAGTGATATATAAACACTTTGGTATGCGTGCAATGCATGATGCATAATATTCGAACAAGACATGCGTGTGAGCAAGGACACGAGAACATAAACACAGCACGGAGCGGAATGAAACGGAACCGCCATCGAGGCTGACTGATGAGAGGGTAGGGTTGCTTTGGGCTGCCTGAGCGCGCCAAAAGAGAGTGAAGAAAAAGAAGACGGTAGGCAGAAAGATTGAATAATGTTACGGAGACAGAAAAGAAAAGAGCCTGAGAATCGGAACAAGAATAGAGGAATATGTTTAACATACTGGATCGGAACATAGAACAACCCACCCCGACAGCGTGCAGTGAAAATTTATCCTACACGATGATGCACGTATAACGGGTCCTCATAAGCAACCTGCCAACTCACGCCAAGTAAGCAAAGAAAAAGAGAAAGTACTCACTTTACGGCGCAAACCAGCAAATCACCAACGAGAGAAAAAGGCGAAGAACGAGATTGCAATGGACACGGAAACAGCTTAGGCTCAGCCAAATATCTCCGTAACGGTTCGCCTCCGCTCTCTCCTTTGGGAAGGCAATGTGATCGTACTCGTTCGGGTGCTCCCAGCACCGACGCCACCAGATCTACCCATAGACTCGCCCTCGCGTTCATCAATCGCTGCATCCAATGACATCCTCGCCACTCGGGACCCAATCGTCCGCCTGCGTGTATCCCTCTCCGTCTCAGACCCCGACAAAGGCGATCTCAGTGGCTGTCGACTTTCCCTCTCTATCTCTCGCTCCCGTATCAGCTCCTCCTCAGCTCGTCGTCTCGCTTCATCACGACTCTGCTGCATCTGCAGTGCCGACATGGATACCTCAGAAGGTCGCGAGAATGTCACGCTAGGCCGTGTAGACTCTCGCGAATCCCTTGAGTCTGTGCGGCTCAATGGCGCCGCAGTTGGCGGAGGCAACGTCGAACTGGGCGTCAAGGATTCAGGAGAAGACGCCGATACTGTATGTGCTGTCACAGCCGTTGTTGGCGCAGAACTCGTCACTGCAAATGGTGGCGCTTGACTGCCACCAGAGCCTCCACTACCACTCCCACTTGGACGAATGGTCATGATGGACGCGATCGACGCCAGAGAAACTTTACGTCTATTTTGTTTTTCGGCCAATGAGGATTTACGAAGAAAAGATTCGGAGGGAAGAATTGGGAGTGGTGGGGGTGTGGATTGGGCAACAATGGCATGCGAGGGTGGACGACCACCAGAGTTCAATTGTGAAGGGCCTGGTGTCGACTGCGACTTGACAGGCGGAGGACCAGGTGTGGAATGCGAGAGAAGAGGCGGTGGCATTCCTTTGCCATATTGTTGCTTCGAAGCAGGAGTCGGGGACGGTTCATAATCCATCGGCGCCGACAAATCCACCGTACCAGGCGTACGCGCAAACGAAACCAACTGCTGTTCACGTTCACGACTTTCTCTTAGTGTCATGAGACGCCTCGTAGTCGACGCTGGTCCCAGTCCAGATGTCGATGTCGATCCCAAGGCTGAGGACAATGCAGAAGCGGGTACTGACGGCGGTGCTGGTAAAGGGAGAGGTGGAGTCATCCTAATCCTCGATCCTGCTCTTCTATCCTGATCACTCCCACCGCCATCCCTTTCCCTCTCACGCAATGCCGAAGAAGACGGTCTCGACGAAGCCAGCTCATACTCTCGATCCCGATGCACGGACGTGACCCTCCGCGATAGATCTAACGAAGACGAGCCCGCACCACCAACACCAATCGGATCCCAACTCTTCCTCGACTCAACACTCCGACGACCATCCCTTAGACCGCCACCACTATCTGGGGTGCGCACATGTCGCATGATGTCATGATGATCCAGACTGACACTCCGCAGATGTTCCTTCCCCTCCCCCATACCTGTTGCGGAACCGCACGCAGAACCAGTGCCACTCGTTGTCGACGCAGCAGAGCCGCCACCACCGGATGTAGAGGCAGAGGCAATATTCGCCATCTCTTTCAACACCTTTCCAACGCCAAGTATGAACCCAGTCAGAGTTCTGACGACCTCATCACTCTCCCTCAGTCCTTCCCTAAAATCGGCACCGACGTCTCTCCATAGCTTCGCCACGTGCATCCCTGACTCTCTTCCTCCTTCTCTGGACCTGTCCCTCACATACTCTCTATCATCCCCACGAAAATCATGATCCTCATCTTCGTCTACCTCGATCGCAATCTGTCTCTGTACTGCATGAGCCGTCCCAGCTCTCAACAGCCCATTCAGCCCTTCCGATGCTCTCACAATCGTCTCAGCTTGATAGCCCAATTCTCTTGCTACCGATGCCTGAAGGGGAAGCTTGGACAACGTCGAGTGGAACATAGAAAGACTTTCGGCGAGGAGGCGAGCATGTTCAGCTTGTTGTTGGGAAGTACCACGTTGGTGTTGGTCGTGACGAGGATAGGGTGAGGAATGTGTGTGGGAATGAGACGGCGCCATCGCACTTGTGTGTCTTCGCAGCGTCACACTCCTTGATCTTTCAAATTCACCCCGCGATTCCGATTCTGTGATTCCGCTTCGCGAGTCCATGCCTTCGCGCAATCCCTTGTTCCATTCTCCAGTAGTCGCCATCGACGTCGCGGGCCTTGAACTCCCCATCCCTAACCTAGAGGAAGACGAAGGTCCGGGAGGCCCAACCCCATCGCTTACGCGCGCGCTCGACGAGGCGCTCGTTTTGCTTCGCTGATCGTCGGGTATCATGTGCCTCCGGGTATCCCTGTCGTGCCCATAGCGGTCCCCATACCGATCATAATCACGATCCTCCCACTCGACCGATTTTCCCGTGCGCGACTTCGATCGATACGACACACCAGCGCCAGTACCCGAAAACGGATCGTCATCCTTGTTATTCACAGAAAATCCATTTGCGGTGGATGATGTAGAACCAGCCAGAAATGGCGATCGTACACTCCGCATCCCGATTCCTGCAGCACGCAAACTCTCACTTGCAAGCCTCCCACTTGTCAATGGACTCTCGGCGCTCCCGCCTCGTGGTGTTTGCCTGCGCCCAGCGCCACCGACAGGTACACCAGTTGCAGCAGCGGCAGTCGCGGTGGATGTAAAAGTAGAAGGGATAGAAGGCGTATCGTCGATACCATGCGTTAAGAAATCGTCTGACTGACATCTCGGTTGATACCGTCTTCCATCATCTCGTACCGTAGAGGACCGATTGAGTCGTGCTGCAGAGCGAGGAGAGAACTGTAGTCTAGCCATGCCCGCATTGGCTGCTGTATGCGACGCTGTTCGAGGTGACAGGTCCATGTCGGCGTTTTCATTGTGGCCGTGTGCACCGTTTCGAATAGGTGTGCGGTAGGGCGTCTGTGGAGGTTCAATCGAAGTCTACAAAGAGACCGAAGCCGCATTAATGTCATCTCTAATGTCAAGACCAGAGATGTCCTCACCCGTCCATCCAAACTCGTTCGTCCTCCATTCCTAAATTCTCGCGGCAAGGGCTGTCTCGAGCGTCTACTACTTGTGCTGGTTGTTGCCGTATCAGTCGGACTTTGGCGGGCAGATGCAACAGCGGCCAGCGCTGTGTCTGTGACATTGTCTCTATTTGCGTAGCTTCGTTCGTGAGCGTGTCCATTTCCGTGTGCATGATATCTGTCCCTCTCTCTATCGGCATCAAGTGGACCGACGGGCGCAGACATCGTGCTTGCCAAAGAGGTGCGTTTTCTGGGTGTACGTGATGGACCGGGGGACGCCTGACGCGCCTTGTCCGGTGAAGGAGGTGCTGAGATACGGCGTTGTCGTGGATGATTAGCGTCATCGTCGTAAGAAGGTAATGTCGACGGCGGTAGTGGGGGCAATGGTGGGGAAGTAGACAGATCCGGCGATGCGGATCGGAAGGAGTTCGAATGGGAGGGTGTAGGTGCACGGAAAGACTCGCGCTCGGTCTCTGAACCTGAGAGGGTATCGGCGTGTCGACGATTCCGATGTGGAAGAGGACGCGGGGTGTGAGTGGTGGGATGTGGATGTCAAAGAGGATGTGGATGCAGATGCGAGCAGGGTTGGAACCGGGTGAGCGAGACATGCGTGACGAGCTGGAAGGCGAAGGTGTGTTGAGTCGAGAAAAAGAAGTGAGTTTGTCGATGGCCTGTACGCATATAGCCATGTATTGCGGTGACAACGGGCGTTACCAAGGAAGCATGGCACGAGTCAAAGGTGAGTTTTCGTTGCTGGTGCGACGAGGACAGACGTACCATGCGATTTCGTTGTGCGAGACTTTTAACCCGCTGCAATGTCCCCAAGACTTCTCCTGTGTTCTTCGAAGGATGCCTGCGGTCTAGTCTAGCGGTATTGTCGTCATCATTTTCGTCGTTGTCGTCGTCAGAAAGAGTTGATTTGTCGTTATGGTGATTAACCATGGTGATGTTGGGTGCAGGACATTGACGTATGCTACCCGTGCTGTTGTCCTCCTTCGTCGACCCGCTCCCGGTCGAATTGGTAGCTGGAGGTGAAGGCAGTCCTCCCGACGTATTTGAGCTTGGTGATGGTGGCGGATGTTGGAGTTGAAGTTGCAGCGACGAGGATGACGACGACGAGCCGATGAAAATGGCAGACAAGGGTCGTTGGCGGGTCATCGACCACTCAAGAACTGAGCGTCCGTTCCGTTGTTGTCGTCGAGGTCAAGAAGAAGGCAGCCGTGGGAAAAGAAAACCGCTTTGCTTCCTGTTGCAATTAATTAAATAAGTAATTGTAAGTCATACATATTAGAGTGAGGACTACATATATTATTAGGGGGCGGTGTTGCCGCCGGGGACCTTGTAGGAGATCCGGAAGGTGCCAAATTGACTCTCTAGCGGTCAGTTTTTCTACATACATTTCAAGCACCAGTACCGGGGATGCACGGCGAGTGCAGAAACCACAACTTTATTTGATCACGTGTACATTTGCACGCGAAGCCAACTGATGTCGATGGCCACCTTGAGGTGAAAGCAAGGTGATGACGAACAAGGAAGCAATGCAGGCCACGACGGAAGATATCTGATCTGTCTGGACGCTGCACGGCGTGATATGCACAAACTTGAAACAGATTGGTGGTTGAACGAAATGATTCAAACAATGCACCACCGGCTCGGCAACCCACTTCTAGCTGAGCGGTGCTTATTTTACATACATAGCATTCAGGAACCCTTATAATTAGAACACACTTGTTCGTGGCCTATGCACCAGTGCCAATCCCTCAACAGCATCGTTTTTGATCATATTACAGTAATTTCTACCGTATCTTACTCTGTACGTGGTCCTCTACGTTTTTCGCATATGTGGCGTCCCTCATGGATTATAAGGGCACTTGGTCCAGGTTACTCTGTCTTCGCGCTGCTTTCTCTTCCTCTCGATTGTAGCATGATGTTCTCCCATGTCTCAGCTCACCCTCCGCGCTGGCTCCTTCTACCTGGTTCTCTACCAGCGCACAGAAGGAATACCAACTATGGATACTACATCCCAATGAATGACGGGGGAAGCATGCTCACGGTACGCCCATACGCCTGAGGCTCTCTCACTCACCTACCTCGCTTTCACACCATAGGAAGTCCCGGATACTTACCCAGCTGGTCTGGGTGAACCCCTCAATATCATCATCTCCGCGTACTCAGACTCGGAGGTCCTCCAGAATACTGTAGACAACGGCGGTTTGATCAATTACTTCCAGTGAGTCATCCTTGCCTCCAGATTTTCGACGGCGACACCGAATCTTAGCGCTCGACGCAGATCATTCGGATTCTCCACAGAATGTCTTGGCCAACACTCAGGAAGCGACCAAGCTGCCAATCTTGGCGATGGAAACGGTTGGCGTACGTCCTGCACCTTCCCCACTTCGCAACACACTCCTCAAATAGGTCAACTCTCATTCCTCTTTCAGTCAACGAAACAGCCGTCATACGATGGGATTATGGCAATGTCACCTTTGGCACGTGCGAAGAGACCATCAACGGAGGAAACCATTTCCGGTATTGGATACAGAACGGTCCTGATGCTGATAGTGGCGCAATATTCATAGGTGCTTCCTACGAGATGCCAATTGCACGTACGTCCCACACCCCTGTAGTATGCAGGGTGTTACTAAATATATAATCGTACAGAACAACACAACGTCATCGTGAACGGGTCAGTTTTCTCATCTTATCTCACCTTTCCACCGCGCTCACTGTGGCTGCACAGCTACGACCTCGGCCGAGACTGGCTCATTGGAAATGCAACATCCCAATCCAGCGTCATCCCCACCGAGAAACTCACTAACACTAGCACCTACTCCGGCCAAACCTCGTTCGGGGGGTACACCTACCAAACATCCGTCAACTACATCTCAGGATTGCTACAGAATACAAGTCAGGGAATTAACCATTATCAGAGCGTCGCTGTGAATGGTTCAAATGCCATTGATGGACTCGTGGCAGTGATGACTGTCAAGGTTTTGTCGAAGCCGGAGAGCTCGTCGACGAGTGGGTAAGTGGCTGACTCTCGGTCTAGGCTGTGATTGTGATTAAACATACACGTGATTCTCACCCGGCGATCCTAGGGCGGAGTCGTCGTATCGACGTATATCACTTCTATGGGCACTAGCCATCCTGGCATGCACGCTAGCAACATCCTCGCTATAATTTCCCTTAATGCCGCCCATATACCCTACCTGCAGTACCCCTGGAGCCAACCAACACACTGCATACCCCCTGTCCCTCGATTCCCGACTTTAACGACCCATTTTAATCGTCGTCGTTTCGTTCGCGGCCTCGTCTGTCGAACGTGTACTCTGAACGATGCCGAACTTCGAACCAAATCCACATGGCTACTTAGATTAGACCCCTGCACGATAAGCTTCCCTACTATTACTTTCTCGTCCCCCCACGGATTATTATCCGTCCTGTTTACGTCGCTTCCTTTCTTTGGTTTACGGTCTGCATTGTTTGCCTATGAATCATATTTTCTAGTAACATACCTTATTTCTGGGGATTCTCACGGACAGACGACAGAACGGACAAATGGATGGATAACTAGATTTCCCACTGTTGCCTCGCTTCATCCCTCGCCTCTCCTCGCCTCGCCTCGCATTGCTCCACTCCACTTCGTCAACTCACGCTCAGACTCCACAGATCGGTTGGACCGGATGCGAAGAACGACTTGACCGGTGGTATGTTTCACTCAACAATCCGATTATTGGTGGAGCCTCTTTTTCTTCCCCTTTTGCCAACGTAGCATTCCCGATGACTGTACCTTATCTGTATATACTATGTAGCTCACATGTGCCCCTTGTGCTGCCCTGGTGGCGAAGACTTGCTGTCGATCGTATATCTGGCGCTTTGTTTCAGGGTTATTTTATGTTACTTACTTCTGGATGGCAGGAAGATGAATAAATGATGTCCTATACATATCCCTTGAGCGGTCAATTTTCCGCGTGGTTCGCCGGTAACTTCTGCTGCGCTCGCAACTGGACAGCGCCACTAATACTGTACTCAGATTTGTGTTGCAGTTACCAAAAAACTAATGCAAATGTTGCTTACGTAACTTACAGCAACCGTTTGCATGTCAAAAATACTCCAGCGGACTAGCAGTAAGCATCTTCCATGGATTCTATTTCCTTCCCTGCGTCGCGGCAGTCAGCACCATCAGGCGCCTAGACACCGCAGCTGTTCAGACATGTTCTCTAACAAAAAGCATCTCATTCTGTTAGTTGGTAATAGGGCCCGACGAGCTCCCGTGCACTATCGATGTCCTCAAGAATAACCTAGATGCAAATTCTGGCCATCCTGTGGAGTTCTTCTCGCATAATATGTTTGCATATAATAACTCGAACACAAGAAGCGAGGTATCATGAATGGGAGCTCTTACTGACCAGGCAGAAAGGGGGCAGGTGAGTCGTAAGAGTTGTAAGAGTAGCTCAATAAGGACCGCTGAGCACAGGGTCCGCACGCTTTGCGTTCATAGATGTTGCAAGGCCGGCCACTGCCGGCGCCATGTGCTGCCACGCACTCTTATTGGAGGTTCTATTCATCGGTAAGTGTTTATAACCTCCACTTTCAATGCGCTTCCGAGACTCGACAGATAACAGGTAAGTCGGTGTACAGGTCAGAACAGACAGAATAAACTCGAAGCACCAAGATACGTGCATGCGACTACTTGGAAAACTCTGTTTTTACCAAGAACCAAACGTGGTCAAATGCTTCCATGTGGTCTAGCAAGGGACGTGACTCGCCTTGCAGCTGGTCTTGCTGTAGCTCGGCTATGATGGGGCTCTGCATAGCAACTCTGTTTTGCAACCTTTTCACCTCGACCTCTAAGGCATCTATGGCATCTATGGCTTTTTTAAGGTTCTCCGAGCATTTTTCATTTGTTTCTGACAGCTTCAGCTGTTCTCTCAGGGGAGAACCTCGGGTACCGATAAGCGCTAAAATCGAAGCACAACATGAGCTTACCAGCACTTGCATCAGCCTTTACTAATAAATCCGCAGATACTTTGCCGTCCTGCGGTGAGACTGACCTGGCCAGCGGAGAGCTAACAGGTTGGAATCTCCTGATCGCAGGAAGATAAGGAGGCGATACAGGTTCAAAGCGGTGACGCCTAACTCACATGGAGCTTGGTGGTTGTCGGAAGCTGCAGCGACCTAATGACAGGTGTGCGATATCGGCTGGCACGCGCATGTCAAGAGTTCTTGAACGTCGTCCTTTTGCAGATCGACCACCACCTAAGATATGAAAAGGAATAGCTGGAAAGACCTTAGTGTCTGCCATCATCCGCTATGGACCTTTGAGCTTGTTGTCTACCTCGCGAACCAGGATGGAAGAAGCGGCGTGATAAGATCGCAGAGAATACTGGAAATCCTCTTCAATGCACCAACCCAAGATCTCGATAGCAAACAAAGTTCAAATTTCAAATGCGCCCAGTGAGAAGGGTGTGGAGTGTACGGTGTCCTTACAGCCCGTGAGCTCCATGGGCTCCTCAAGTCGAGAGTGGTACTGGGTTACCTGTCACAAGTGACACTCACATGGCAGTCTGGGACCAAGAAGTTTAAGTAAATTCGCAAGCGCAACTTCAATAACCCGTACTCGTCCTCTCATTTCTTTCATATCGCAACGTTGCGTGCACGGCGTTGTTGGAGACAGACCTACCGTAGATATTATCGTAGGAACATGTCTTTTTCCTTTTTTGGACATCGGACTCCGTAGTCTCGTACATACCTAGTGCTCGACTGGAGGACTTACAGTCCCTCCTCTGTAGAGCGCGTCGTCCCTCTCACAAGCGTTGCTGACATTGTCGTTCTGCCAATACGTATTGTGCGTAGATGACATACCGTTTTTGCTTGACACATCGGGGAATTAAAAACATAGTCACTCGTTCTCCGGCTCTCCACTAGTACTCCCACCCGTCCGAAGTTGCTCATTGCCACCCCCCTTCGGTGCCTCCGAACACGTGATCTTAAAAACGCTCGTGCAGCTGGACATGCCACAAGTAATTTATCTCCAGGTAAGTTCTCGTTCTTATCTACACTTCCCGGTCCGCGTCGTGCTCGTCTTGAATTTCTCCTGCTAACTGAGATATGATGGTCGACTTCGGACTGGACGGCTGACGGACAGACCCCAGCCCCTTGCACTGTCCTCTGGTATGTATATATCGACCTGCTCAAGTGGCAGGGAACTACTTGGAGGACCGACGACTAAAGTTTGTGTTAGATTTCTGTCTAAAGCGATTCTGCGAAGAGGTCATGATCAGCCAAATATAAGGTTGTATTCCCAAGGAACCTTTCGGCACTATGAGTCACAACGCCTTCCCGCATCACTTGGATGATGGTTGGCTTTTGGCCGTGCCTTGAGTGGGGTATCATTCCGTCTATTCCACCGTTGTCTGAGTCGAAGATCCCAACGACGTCGCTGGTGTGCCTGGACCTTCGTGGGCACAGACAGCTGCACCAACTGGAATCCTTCATTCGGCTGGATGGGTATTTATTCTGGTTCTTGGGTGTCCTCTCAATATTCGCCAACTCGAGTCCATGGCGGATACACAAAAATGACGAGTAGGCGGACACGAGGTATGGAACAATAACACCCTCGCTTACCGGCTGCTGGAGAAGCACCAGGGAAAGCCACGAAAAACACGCGCGCCATGCAGGGACGATCCTGAACTTGGAGCCACACGATAGACCATGACGCACTCGGGACGTTCGGGCCGTGCAGTCATTCTATACCCTTTGGGGAAAGCAAGACGACATTGGAGTCCACCCACGGTGAGTGGGGCGACGAGCTGGAATAAAACTGCGCCAAGGAATCTCCATTAGTCAAGTTGAAGTTCTTATCGACGGTCACATCCTCTTGGGCAGATAATGCCATAGATCGAAGTGTCGCAATAGATTGCGTGATGACCCGAGTGGATAGACTAACATGCCAAGATGTGTGGAACCGAAAGGTATATAAGAGCGATTCCGTCTGTAGAAGATCCTTTTACCCTTGCTCGTCTTCGTCTGGACTGGCCCAATGATTGAATCGATCCTTGCCATGCCTCGACACCCGTTCACGGCTGACATCCTGATATTGCTCTACGAGGATTATTCGCTATTGGAAGACGGCGTCTTGAACATCTGCGGATGCATGTTATTCGATGCGTCTGGACGTGGTGAGATGGGTCGGGAATGCGGATGGCAGACCCTGTGTGGTCTCCAGATACACCTGACGTAGTGAGGCAGTGACGGTGCAATACTATATTGCCGACACGTGCAAACAAGCTGTCTAATATGGTGGGGCCCACCTGCAACGAGTATATAAGTAGCAGACCCCCTCATATTCCTCCTTGCTCAGAACCCTCTTTCACCGACCACCAACACTTCCGCCCTCACAGGATATCACAGCGATGGAGCCTACCAATAAGGCGACTACCAACCAGCCCCAGGCTGCCATGCAAATGAGTACGTATATGTGAGATAAGACGGAGGACTGGGGGTCTAAGCCTGTCTTTCTCCATTGCCAGGCGTTGTGAACCCTGCTCCCGCCAACAACACTCAGAACCATGAGCAACATCACGCTAAGCGTATTCGCGGCGGAGGGGCTGCCAAAGTGCGTTTCACCTCTTGCATCGCAAGGAGACGCGCAATCACGACGATTGATTCCCTTGTCTCGCAGGATTGCTTCCTTGGTGCCATCGAGTGCTTCATTTGTTTCGGTAAGCCTTTGCCAGCACGTGCGTGACCTTAACTGATCATGTCGTGCCATCCCACCAGAATGCTGCAAGGTACGGACATGGCGTTCCACCATCACACCACGTTTGTCCGGCATCCTAAACTGATCCTCTCATTACTACTTTTAGGGAATTTGTGAATGCTGCGCTGACATCATTTGTGAGTCGCGGTTGTGTGAACACTGCGCTTGTATCGCTAATCACCCGCATGACAAGGCTGCCCATGCGAGATGTGCTGCTGAACGAGCACGAGGGGCTCCATGTAACTGACAGTTTATTTGCTTCTGACCTCCACCCTGATAACCCTTTCTTTTTTTTGTATCTTTTCATTATGTCTGTTGACATGACATTTTGGCCTCACGTCCTGTGGAATCAAATACGGTTGTTGTAGCGCCATTAGTTTTGGTGAATTCTTTACGTTGTCTCGGAATTGATGATTTTCCGATCTGACTCTGTTGCGTCTGCCTCGGGTGTTCGCACGTTCAATCCACACGTTTGATCACCGAATGTATGAGAAGAGATGGCGGTAACACTAAGTACTGTAAGCTGGTTCAAAGCTCGCCAAAAGGTAACGTTTAGACTACAAGTAATATTCTTATCTTCCGCTAACTCAGCTCGTGTCGTACGTTCGATCACCTTGTCAACGGATGCTATCATGTGCCACTGCAGCCGGTCACATCGAAGTAGATGGCCAAATCGAGTTATATAAAGTCGATCTATGTCTCACCATGGCTCTGCATCCGATTGTCCCACGAAGTGAAGAGATAGTAAAGCAGATCAACTTAGAGAGACTCTGAGGCTCCTCAAGCTTTACTGACGATGTGTTATTAACGAACTCAGCGGGGTCACTTGTGATCTGGTTAGCGGCGCGTGGACTCATCGTGGGTGCCGTTCAGGATCCGAATCAGGTCGCAGTACTGAAGCATGTCTTGTCAGAAGCATGATCCTTCAAGCTTCAGGTGTCATCTGGAAAACAACCGCAGAACCATGATAGAACCAAGTTCCTGGAAGGCGCGCGACATTCATTTCTTGGGCCAGCCACATACCATCTAGGTAGACCGGCGGCTACAATCTTCTAGCTTCAATACGAACTCACTGAGCCTGGGTCGCCACATCATGCCTTCTGGTTGGGCGAGACGGTTTCGCCCTACTAGGCTTCCGTTGGCTATGGCAGTACTCTTTCCGGAGGACTGCCTACTGAGGTCCTGACGAGCCCTTATGCGTAGTTTACCCTGGTTTTTCCACTAGCACCCAAAACAAACCCTTGCCAATCCGCCACCCGGGAAGTCTGAATCTGCTCGGGGCGCAGTCTAAAGCACAAGTGAGGAACACCGAAAGAGTAAGGGACTAGTTTGGAGGAAGGAATTTAGTGAAGAAACGAAGGACATCACAACGGCAACAAACAGGATGAGGAAGGAGATAGGGAAGGGCCGATGCATGCACTTGCACAACTACCACATAATCAGTTTGGCAGAACAGCTGACTTGATATGGACATATGAAGAAGACTGCTTGGTGGGCGCGATGCTGGTTCAATGTCTTCCGTGTAAACCGAGATCGTAAATAGTTCCTCGATGATGAAACAGGATGTCTTCAACGGATATCACTTAGCCCTACTAGTATTCACTACACAAGGACACATTAGAGCACCATAAGTTAGATACAGAATAAACACAGCAGACGAAGAGAAGTCCGATGGTATATGTCATTCAAGCTTCCTTATCCGCTATCTCGAGCGCATTGGCAAGTTTCTGCAACATATCATGCACACGTGGATTCCTCGGAAAATTTCGACCATCGCCTGGGCTACAGACACATGCACACAACACATGAATCAGGGTTCGATAAACCGTGTGTAGAAAGCTGTGCGTACCTCGCACCGCCATATAGGACACGGGGTACCCATCCCCCGGATTTTCTCCACCCAAATACCTGCGCCCAATTTTCTTGCCACCCGAGATCATACGGTTTGACGGCTCGATGTGCGTTACGCACGAGACGGCGCTGGGTGTAGGATAGTTCGTGTTCCATGGGAGGATCCGATAAGCGGAGGGAGGATGGGAGTGGGGGAATGAATCTCAGTAGCAAGAAGGGTGATAGAGACTCCAAGGTCGTTTGGTTTGTACTAGACGAAAACGACAGGGCTGGATATTATAGTCACTTGGGCGGGTCAGGGGGAGTGGCACGTACGAGATGAGGTAGATGTGGTATATCATAAAGGAACCCACAACGAGACCAAATATCACGCCGGCACATAATAGGAAGAGCTCATGCAGCGGGGTGACTTCGTCCTGTAGATAAGTCAATTGAGTTCGCGCAAGTTACTAGCCTCGTCGCCTGGCTTACAAATATTGACGTTGGGTTGTTGAATGACCACCAGAAAGCTGTTCCTGCGAGATAAGCGACGTGTGCAGAAAAGAGCGTGACGCAAGTGATGAAGTGGAAAAAAGAAGGGTAGGTTCGGTGGCCCTACAAGTTGCACGACGATACGTCAGGTATGGTCAAGTGGGATAAAAGCTGCCTACTTACGACGCACTTTCCCCCTAACCAAGGACAATGATGATCTGATTTTTGACGACAATGAGTACAGACGAATCCTGGTCACTACGAGCGGTCCCTCACCCATTTTCAGCACGCATCTTCCGCAGAGGCTACAATGATGAGTACGCTCCGGTTTCGGAGCCCAGCACTTGCGACACCACTTCAGGGGGGTTATCTCGCCGTCGTCGGGTTCATCTGGTGGCCCCATAAGCGCTTCTCTTAATCCGATTTCGTCTCGTGCTGATATCTGACCGTCGTCCTGTGCGGGATTGTCGAGGCAGACAGGTCCAGGATCTCGAACGACACAGATTATGAGAGAGGCGAAGGATAGGAAAGTGAGTGTGTATGACACGCATAGGTGAACAAGGAATGTGATGGGTTCGTGTAGTGTGCGAAGGTAATGATTGACGAGGACGAGGAGTAGAGATGGATGCGGAGCGACCATCAAAACGAGCAGAACTGTCGTGTCACCGTCAGATACAAGGACGAGAGTCAGCGCTTTGGAGGCGCATGACAAAGACGTACTGCACAGCGGGAAGTAACGCGTCCATCTGCTCTGTCTTTCATCGGAGCCATCGTCTGAGTCGTCGTCCCGCCAGTGTTTTCCAGTAGCAGAGCGCTGTAGGTGGTCAGTGAACGAAAGGAGATGAGACATGCCTCGACTCAACTGCCCGTGTCTGGGCCAAGTACGGTTATTATTAGGGTATGTGGCCAAATATGGCCAAACAGGAGTGCGCTGACTAAGCTAATCAGAAGTAAAAATTTCCTCGAGGGAGGACGAACGAGACGTTGACCCAAAGATCGCCAGAAGAGAAAATTCACAGCTTTGATTCACAAAAAAAGTACCTTACCATCTAGATTTGCAGCAGCCATGGCTATGGCTTCCGAATCATCCGATAAGGTGTTTCACGATCCGCTGACGATCAATCTCCCGAAGCAAACGCGTGCGCTGGTGGCTTTTTTATCAACACAATCGTCGGGTCACAGTTCTCCCACTGAAGACCCTTTTCTTTCGTCCCTCTCGACCTTGTCTGCTGCCGTAACAACGGCCAGAGAGCTGCTTGGAGTGTTGTCGAGATGTTTAGCCGAACCGTCGTTGACGAGTGTCGTTGCTCAGTTGTTCAGACCGTTACTCATTGATTTATGTGCGAGGTGGTTGGAGAGAGACTCCGAGGAGGAGGAAGAGAAGAGATTTGTAGCGATGTGTTTGTTGATTGAAAATCACGAGGAACTATTCCCGTGAGTTTTCTTTTTCTTCCCTTGTGAGGAAACCGTATTAATGGACATATATTTGCAGCGTTTTATCTGCGTTCTTACGGCGACCCCATCTGGATCGTGGGCCGCTTGCTTTCATCGAGAGTGACTTACTCTCGATCCCCGCTTTAAATACCAGCCGTTTATGGAGGCTACTGCTCGCTTATTATCGCCTTTTACACGCCAATCGCCTTTTGCCGTCAGAATTATCATGGCCGGCGTCTGCATTATCTGCACTTTTCATTTCACCGACTCCTCATCCCGATTCTGCAGTCAGGTATTTGGCTATCCGGTGTTATGCACTGCACACCGGTATGGGGGAAGTGGAAAGGTCGAAGCTTGAGCGGGAGGTGTTTGGTGAAGAGGTGGAAAAGGGAGAGGGAGAGTTTGGGATGGCATATGACCCAAGTGGGAGTGGGAAGGAGGTGGTCGTCGATGCCCGTGTCATGCCAGTTTTGGAGATGAAGAGAATACATGAAGTGAGGAATGCGATGATGATACAGTCCGACTTTTATGTGACGGAGGAGAGGAATATATCCCAGCGCATTTCTGAATCGGATCTGAGGTAAGAACGTTTTTTGCAGATGCTATCGTCAATGGCTTATTTTATTTTGTTGCTGTTCAGTCCTTGGGTTGTCAACGTTCATGGCATACTCATGCTCAAAAATTCACCCATACCAAGCCCCCCATCACAAGTCGTCTTCACCCCTTCCGCTGTATCTACGCTGCGGAACCTCGCCATGCACGTCTCTCTCCGTTTGCCTACGCTCATCTCCTCAGCCCCATCATCTGGAAAATCCCTATTCTTAGCCCATCTCGTATCGATGATCTATCCAAATGCCAAGGATCAGATCGTCACCGTCCATCTGGCCGATACTTCTCTAGACCCTCGATCGTTGTTGGGCTCGTACGTCTCATCGCCCACCCGACTTGGCACATTCGAGTGGAAAGACGGCGTCGTCGTACGTGCGATGAAAGAAGGAAAATGGCTCGTTTTCGAGGACATAGATAGAGGGAGTATGGAAGTGCTTGGATTGATCAAGCCACTTGCGGAATCAATGGGACCGGGGAAGTGGATTGGGGGACGTGCGCGCATTGAGGTGCCGAATCGGGGAACGGTGTATGCGGCGGAGGGATTTGCAGTGTTTGCGACGAGATCCGTTTTGTTGGTTAGTGGAAGTGGTGAGGGGACGAAGAAGATGCCAGATCCAACGTTTTATGGCGCGAGCAAGTTTTCGGAGGTTGTGGTCGACGTGCCATCTGTCAAGGAGGTGGGGATGATTGTAAGGGAGAGATTTCCGGGAATTACCCCAATCGCTGGAAGAGCGATCGTGAGGATGTGGATGGCAATCAAGGGAGCGGGAAGCGGCCGCTGTCGTCCGTGCCAATTGGATTGAGGGAGTTGGAGAAGTTTTGCACGCGGATGCAAGGGTTGGTGCGTTCCCTGGACACCGCAATGGAGGTGGATGATGAAGCCGACGAAGATGAAGGTGGAGACGAAGAAGGGATCGCGTTGCCCTCAATCTTTCCAAATCTCGCTGTTCGGGAAGACATGTATTTGGAAGCACGGGATGTATTCTTTGGAGGTGGTGCGTTGACGGGTCCCGCTCGTGCACATCAAGAGCGCGTGGCGTCAGTTATCGCTGAACATCTTGGATTGGACGATGATAGATGGGCATGGGTTTTGCAGGGCCGCGCGCCGACATTTGAAGTCGAGAAGGACGTTAATGGAGATACAACAGGCGTCCGCGTGGGTAGGGCGCGGCTACCTGCTCGAGCAAAGAAAGCAACAATGCCGATATCATCGCCTGCACGTCCGTTCGCGATGCACAAACCTTGCGTTGTGTCTTCTTTCCCGTATCGCGACTGCGATATCATTCTGTGAACCTATTTTATTAACTGGCGAGACCGGGACTGGAAAAACGAGCGCTATCACCCATTTGGCGACACTCCTCCGTCGTCCGCTAGTTTCCCTCAATTTGTCGCACCAGACCGAGTCTTCCGATTTATTGGGCGGGTTTAAGCCCGTCGATGCCCGTGTTCCTGCTGGGGAGTTGTCTGCGAGGTTCGTGGAGTTGTTCGGGGCTACCTTCAGTAGGAAAAAGAATGCCAAGTTCGAGGAGAGCGTGAGGAAGGCTGTGCAAGAGGGCAAGTGGAAGAGGGTGGTGGTCTTGTGGAAGGAGGCGATTAGGTTGGCGAGGGAGAGGATCAAGGGAAAGGTTGCAGAGGGTGTTGAGAAGTATGTGTTTTTTTTTCTTGGCGTACTTTATGCATGGAGTTGACTTCATATTCTTTAGGGAGTCAGGTGTTGGTGAGATGGATGGGCCGAGGAAACGAAGGAAGGTGGACGATAGGATTTTGCAGACTTCTCAGGCTGCTTGGGAGCGGTTCGAGAGGGACGTGGACGAATTCGATATCCAGCACGCACAGGGGCAGGGCAAGTTTGCATTTGATTTCGTGGAGGGGCCGCTTGTGAGAGCTCTCCGTGCGGGTGATTGGTGAGTGCCACGCGCGGATTGGATCGATCCAGATGGATGCTGCAGATTCTGACAATTTGATTGCTAGGGTGCTTTTGGACGAAATTAATCTAGCAAGTTCGGAGACGTTGGAGTGCGTCACTGCACTATTGAGTGGGCCGACGGCGTCCATTACGTTGACCGAAAAAGGGTCATTGGAAGCCATTCCTCGACATCCTGACTTCCGAATATTTGCATGTATGAATCCAGCGACGGACGTTGGAAAGAAGGATTTGCCTCCAAATATTCGAGCGCGGTTCACGGAGATCGACGTCCTTCCACCTGACGCGGATCGCGAGACACTCCTTCATATCGTCCATCAATACATCGGACATTGTGCTGTGGGGGATAAGGCTGCCATTATGAACGTTGCCGAATTTTATGCAGCTGTGAAGAAGCTCGCCGATGAACGGCAACTCGCAGATGGATCTGATCGTCGACCACATTTCAGTATGCGCACATTGGCGCGGGCATTGACGTTCGCTGCGGATGTTGCCCCTTCCTATGGATTGCGACGCGCCCTCTGGGAAGGGTGTTTAATGACGTTTACGATGGTACTCGACGGGCAAAGTGCGAGTGTAGTGACTGGCCTTGCGCACAAACATATCCTTGCTGGATTACGAAACCCCAAATCCGTGTTGTCGATGGATCCAGCGCCTCCCCCGTCTCGTCCCATTGACGACCTCGTGAAGTTTGGTCCGTTTTATTTGGAGAGGGGGCCGCTCCCTGAAGATCCGATGGAGGATTATATCATGACGCCTTCGGTGGAAAAGAAGTTGATCGATCTTGCAAGGATTGTTTTAACGCGACGCTTTCCGGTACTTATCGAAGGTCCGACGTCGAGCGGGAAGACGAGTGCTGTGCAATACCTCGCCCGGCGAACTGGGCATCATTTCATCCGGATCAATAATCACGAACATACTGATATCCAGGAATACATCGGGTCCTACGTGTCTGACCCTGTCACCGGCAAACTCGTGTTCAAGGATGGACTCTTGGTTCATGCTTTGCGTCATGGTCACTGGATCGTGCTTGACGAACTCAATTTGGCACCTACAGAAGTCCTTGAGGCTTTGAATAGACTCCTAGATGATAACAGGGAGTTGATGATTTCTGAGACACACGAGGTCGTGCGACCTCATCCGCATTTCATGTTATTCGCGACGCAGAATCCGCCGGGGTTGTATGCTGGGCGAAAAGTCTTATCTCGAGCATTCCGCAATCGATTTCTCGAAGTTCATTTCCAGGACGTTCCGCAAGCCGAGCTCGAAGTTATTCTTTGTCAGCGGTGCCGGATTGCCCCATCCTATGGTCAACGTATCGTCAGCGTATTCCGCGAGTTGCAGAAGCGCAGACAAGTAGGGCGGGTTTTCGAGAGCAAGCAAGGGTTTGCGACACTTCGTGATTTGTTCAGGTGGGCCGGCCGAGATGCGGTTGGGTATCAGGAGTTGGCTGAGAACGGGTATATGCTATTGGCGGAACGAGCAAGACACGAGGAAGACAGGATTGTCGTAAAGGAGGTCATCGAATCCGTGATGAAGGTTCGCATTGACGAGTCGACTTTGTATGATCTTCGCCGGTCCAAGGAGTTCGAGGCTTACACTGGGTGTCCGGTTCCATCTTCCTCGCAAGTCATCTGGACCTATGCCATGAAGCGCCTCTTTGTGCTTGTCGCGCGTGCTTTACGATTTAATGAGCCGGTGCTGCTTGTCGGGGAGACGGGTTCCGGAAAGACCTCTGTTTGCCAACTTTACGCAGAGGTGATGTCCAAGCATTTGCATACTCTCAGCTGTCATCAGAATACGGAAACTGCAGACGTGATTGGTGGGCTACGACCGGCGCGAAGTCGTTTCTCCCTGGACTCCCCCACTTTCCAGGACGCTGTTGCAGTGCTCGGCCGTGCGGACATCGTAGAGGTGCCATCAGACGTTCAGAGCTTACTTGCTAGAGTAGATGAACTGCTCAAGGCAGATGTTCAAGATTCACTGCGGGCTTCCTTGCAGGACCTACGAAGTGGTCTCATCAAGTCTCAAGCCTTGTTCCAGTGGCGTGATGGTCCTCTCGTACGAGCGATGCATCAAGGGGACGTATTCCTCCTTGACGAGATATCCCTGGCGGATGATTCGGTGTTGGAGCGGCTCAACAGTGTTTTGGAACCTGAAAGGACTATCGTGCTCGCAGAACGCGGAGGGACGGACGGCGAATACCCTGCTATATGTGCTGCAGATTCGTTCAAACTTCTCGCGACGATGAATCCTGGAGGAGACTACGGCAAGAAAGAGCTGTCACCCGCCCTACGGAATCGATTCACGGAGATCTGGGTACCGCCTGTAGATAACCCGCAGGATCTTGCTATTATCGTCGACAACTCCTGGAAGCATGAAAAGTTGAAGCCGTTCACCGCATCGCTTCTGGAATTTTGTCAGTGGCTACGTGCGCGATTGGACGATAAATCTGTCTGTACGCTACGGGATATACTAGTGAGTATGGGATTCCGCTACCTATCTGGATGTGTTGACCATTTTGTTAGGCTTGGGTTGCGTTCTCTAATGCCGTCTTGAACACGCGACCGGAGGATGCCATACATGTGAACGAGATTTTCGTAAGTCTCGCGGCCGCTCTCTCCTCTGCTGATGTTGATTTGGTTTTGGGGAAGCATCATGCGGCGCATATGACATTCTTAGATGGTCTGGGCTCGTTGTCACAGGCCGGAACGTATTCACCGGAGGCTTTGCAAAGCCTCAGAAATGAAGCTGATCGTAAATTGGATGAGCTCGTGCCCCGCGTGCCGAGTTCGCCCTTTGTGTATGATCCTTCGCTGTTTGTGCAACTTGGCCTGTTTGCAGTCCCCAGAGGTCCGGAAGCTGTCGGTATACATGGTTTCAATCTCGACGCGCCTACTACTCGGGAGAACGTCATGCGCGTTGCGAGGGCGTGTCAACTCGAAAAGCCAATTCTACTAGAGGGAAGCCCTGGCGTCGGAAAAACATCTCTTGTCACGGCGCTCGCAAAGCTCAGTGGATATCGGTTGTGCCGCATCAACCTATCTGATCAGACAGATTTGATCGATCTGTTCGGTTCTGACCTTCCTGTGGAGAATGGTGCGCCCGGGGAGTTCGCATGGAAAGATGCCGAGTTTCTGAGGGCAATGCAAGAGGGTCATTGGGTCCTTCTAGATGAAATGAATTTGGCCCCTCAAACCGTTCTGGAAGGCTTGAATGCTATTCTCGATCATAGAGGTACCGTCTTCGTTCCTGAACTTGGCCGAACTTTCGTCCGTCATCCTTCCTTCCGCGTATTCGCTGCCCAAAACCCACTTCACCAAGGCGGTGGACGGAAAGGATTGCCGAAGTCTTTTCTCGACCGTTTCACAAAGGTTTACGTTGAAGAACTCACCGCAGAGGACCTGCTCATCATTTGTCGGGAACAATTCCGAGGTTTTGATGATCAACTTCTGCAGGGTATGATAACCTTTAATACGCTCCTCAATCGTGCAGTTGTCCAACAACGCCTGTTCGGTCGCGAAGGAGGCCCGTGGGAGTTTAACCTCCGTGACATCATGCGCTGGGGTGAACTCCTCCGCGCGTCCGGCATCTCCGATCATCCTCGGCACTTCCTTCGGACTGTCTACCTTTCCAGGTTCAGGGACCTCGAGGATCGAAGAAAAGCGCGAGCGATATTCAATGAGATCTTTTCGATAGCCACCCCGGAACTGCTGGACACATATATGACCCCTCCAATTATATCCTCCTCACATGTTCAAATCGGACATTTCAGTGCTCCACGAGGCAATGTTGTTCTGCCATTCCACCCAACTGACATTTTGCAGGCGCACTCCACAGCCCTTGAGATTATTTGGGCGTGCCTTGCAAGATCGTGGCTTGTGATCGTTACTGGACAACGTGACAGCGGTAAGACCAGCCTTATTCGAACCTTAGCTGATCTATCAGGGAATCATCTCAATGAAGTTGGCGTAACAAGCGCTACCGATACCTCGGATATCTTGGGCGGTTTTGAACAAGTTGATCTGTCTGCTCGAATGGCATCTATTACGACGCAGATCTTGGAATTAACAGAGGACATCATGCGCTCGGTCCCTGGCGTCAAGCATCGGTATCCAGGACAAGCAACTTTACGAAGCGAGATGTCTTCTCCTCTCAGGACCTGGATAACCGTGTTGCAAGCAGCTTCCCAGCTTCTGACCGAACTATCGATGGTGGATTCCAACGACCTTGACTTCAAGCCGCGTTGGCAGCATCTACATTTAGCTGTTCTCGAGCTTTCACAATTGGAAGTCTCTGCTGGCCGTTTCGAGTGGGTAGATGGACCGCTGATCCAAGCAATGAAGAAAGGCCACTGGCTGGTTCTGGATGCAGCTAATACTTGCAATCCTTCCGTCCTCGATCGATTGAATTCGTTGTGCGAACCGAATGGCGTTCTTGTGCTCAGCGAGAGAGGTTTATCACGCGGCGAAGTTGAAGTCCTGAAACCTCACCCAAATTTCCGGCTATTCATGACTGTCGATCCTCAATATGGAGAATTGTCGAGAGCTATGCGCAACCGCGGCCTTGAGGTCTCGCTTGTAACCCCCTTTACCGCGGAGGATCAAAGTCGGGTCTCAGCCTACTACCGACTTCCCGATGGCGTGGCATCGTCACACGTAGAATTTGAAGGGAGACGAAGAGGTGTTCTCCTTGCTCAGGGTGATAAAATCTCCACCGTCATCGCGTCTGTCAACATGTCCAACGATACTGTATCCTCGACATTGGCGACACTTGCACCGATCATAACTGCGAACGATAAATTGCCCTTGTCCGCCATCGTCCCGTTCGCCATGAGGGCGTTCCCTCGCTCAGTGCTACCTCTCTTGCGTCACGTTCTCCATATGATGTCCCCCGTTGGCACCATCTCATCGATATTCGAAGACCGTTTCCTATCAGATACTGCCGCCGCGCTAACTCGGGTATGGACGGAGCCTATTACAGGTATCTCTCAACAGTTGTTGGATGTACTGGTTAGTCTTCGCATGTTACGCGGGCGTACCCCCGCATCCGATCACTATGTACTCAATAGGCTTATAAAACGTAGCCATTGGATGATTTCATGGTCTGCCCGCCATGTTCTCGATGCACGGATCATCAGCAAGCTCACATCCTGAGACTTCAAATTCTGGATTTTTTTGCAGCTTTGGTTATAGACAAATTTGAAAGAGGCGAGCAGATTGCGCTTCCCAGCTCTAGACTCCCGATAGTAGTGACAGAAAGCATTCAGACTATTCTTGTCGAGGTTCAGACTGCTAGCAAGAGCTTGTTCGATAGCTTCATTTGTGGTACAGGCGGCTTCCAGATTGTGAGTGTCCTGGGCTGGCCCATACTGCATTACTCACTACCTTAAAGGGGGACTTCAGTATTTCCGTGAAGCTTCTCGGGCTCTCGCGGCGGCTACGTCGCGTGCTGACAGAGGATGTTTTCGATTACTCCACTGCTCAAGTTCTGGCGAAGTCTATCTCCACAGCTCTGGAAAACCATTCTCACATCTATGACCGTGTCGCATCCGCCTCCACGGCTTTTGATTCAGCTGTGTCGTCGTCGTCTGGCCTCGGATTAATAGCTATTTGGTCACGATTGCGCAACGACAAGATGATAGAACTTGGCCCACTTGCGATTCGGCAGCTGGAATACGACTTGCAGGTACGGGGGTACGAAGGGCTGAAGAGTAAGTGAGCTCCAGTTGTCGAATTGGCTACGCTTTTTAACGTCCCCGAAGCATCCCTTCGCGAGCGTTTTCAAACACTTGCACTTGCAACACTTCCAAGCAGTCTCATTCACGGTTATGAAGATACGAATGTATCCAACCAGATAAAGACTGTGTGTCCGCTTGAATAGGAGAGCCAATTCTCAATGATTGACTCGCCTGCTACGTAGTACCTGTTCGATAGCGTTCAAAACGCAGAAGCAAGTCCTGAGTTGGCTGTCAGCGACCCTGTGTCTCTCCTGGTGGAGTTGCAGGCTATTTGCGAAATGCGAGGGCGGGACGCGAGGGTAGGCTGTAGATTCTGGGTCATCAGTAAAACGCTAATTATCGCCTGGTCAGGTCTCCTCGGTGTCATTTGCAAGACTCATACGGGTAGCCCTTGAGAATTATAACGACCTTCGGCGATTTGTGCCATATCAACATGTAATCTGGACGCTAGAAAATGCCGTTGAAAGTGAGCTTTTTGTTCTTGCACGCCGGATGGTACACAGTTGTGAGCGCATCTTTCAGTACCTGACAACGTTGCGGCCACGCTGCTTACGCTGTGGTTCGAATCACTATGGAATCATGGGCCAATCTTAACGCCAAACAGTAAACAGCATCAGGACAGGCTGGAGGGCCCGAGTATTATTTTCCGTCCCACATTACTTTTCTTCACCTTACAGAAGTGGTTCGTGTATTTACCTCTAACGCTGTGTAACCGTCCGCAGTACACTCACCCTTGATGTCTCTCAGCCAAACGACAGGAGTGTCGCTTTCGTCCCTCGAACAGCATGAACTATCCGTCCAGCAGCACTTACAATTAATTGGCCAACAATGCTACACGCGCCGCTCCCGTTTCCAGCAGCTGACAGCAGTTTTCAACCAAAGTATGGCCATGGTAAGCTATTTGTGTAGTGCATTTGCAAGGTCTAACGTGAGCCGAACAGCTGGCTTTGTCGTTTTCGAGTTTCTTCGATGATCACAAACTAGAGCTCCTACGTCACAGCGAGGGTGGGTTTAGTCTGGATGACACAAAAGCTTTACTCTCGACTTTAGACAACGCACCGTTCAAGCCGTTACGGGAGGCCATACGGCATCTGGCCCCCATATTGACAACCGACGTGGCCGAGGCGCCACTTACAGCGGCTATCGCACACCTTGGTCGATGCTGGGTTGCGCAGAGTCGGGTCATCCTCGATTTGATCGTCCCTGACGTTCCATTGGACCCAGCTGCAATACTGCGCCGTTCTGCGGAGTTTTTACAAGAAGAGGCGCAGGCTTTGACTGATCAGAGCGCCTTGCATTGCCATCTGGAGCGCCGAACAGTTGGGAACGAGACAAACTTTGTTATATCATATCTCGCAGCTCGCGCCCAAGAGTGCACAACTTTACTGCAGTCGCAAACAGGAATCCCGGACAGAACCAATGTATCGAGTCTGAACTTTTTCTGGACGGAAGTCTCCCAATTTATGAAGCAGGTCATCCAGTATCCTAGGATTGACGATTTACTTGTGTCATTGGAGTCCAACAGCGCATCTTCCTCCAGCCGCGAAGATGTGGTTCAGGAATCAATCTCAAAATTCGTGCAACGCCTGATCAGCCTCTACCCTGAATACAATGATATCGTGGAAATCATTCGTCTTGCACTTGCACAGCTCAGACTTGGCCTTCGCCTCGTGCGCCATGCGTATAGTGATGCTGGTACTCACGTTGACAACGATTCCTATGTGGCTTCCTTGGTCGCTTTCCCACCTATTCGCAGTGTATCAACTCTGTTGCAGGTACCAATTGCAGCCGGAAACGGCGTAACCACATCCGAACGCCTCTTGATCGTTGTGGCAGCAGCAGCCGACTACAGGCGATCGGGCGGCCTAGTTCCACCAGCCAGGGTCGTTTTTACGACATATGAGCAGGCGTTTCATCTGTGGAACATCGACCGCGCCCGGGACGAGAAGAGGGAACAGGATCTTGGGTCATTGTATCGCGGAGGCACATTATCACACATCGCCGATGAGGAAGGAGAAATGGAAAGGGAGTTTTTGGAGCTGTTCCCAACCTTCGAAGATGGTCTGGTGGACGCGAGCAGTTCTGTCAGCGGCGCAAAAGGCGTTCCCCATCACCTCAGTGCGGAGCATCGTTGCCAATTACTGGCGCTTCATCTTCAACTTATGGATATTGATGATGCGCTTCCGTATGACTTCGCGAAAACTCGACATAATGTTTTACGGTCCTACCTTGAAACCGATATTATGTCGTCTCCGGATTCGTTAGACCGGGATACGTTGCACCTACAAGTCAGCCTCCTCCAGGAACACTGGTCGCTCATCCGTGACTCCTGTCCTACGAGAATGAGGACAAGCAATTTCTACGTGGACCCCAACGTCTCCGAGGCCAGGAAAGCATTAAAGGTAGTGAGGTCGTTGCGTTTTCGCATCGTTACCGTTCTCCGAGAGTGGCCAGATCAAATGGTCCTCCAGCACCTCCTCACCCGTTGCGACGTCGTTCTGGCTCTCGATCTTAACAGTCCTGTTGCCAAATTGCTATCTGCGCTTGAGAACCTCCTACTGCAGACCGAGGACTGGGAGATGTATGCGCACCTGCGAAAATAGTCTCAGGGACGATCGACAGGCAATCACCGATCTCATCGTTGAGTGGAGGCGGCTGGAGCTGTCATCCTGGAAAGGTCTTCTGGATTCGCAGAGTCAATTGTTTGTTGACGCAGTAGCGGAATACTGGTTCCATCTATACGAGCTCCTCATTCGTGGGCCACTGAATGCTGCTGGGGCGGACTCGGACAATTCGTCTAAGTACCTCCAACAGGTGCCCTATCTCCTTGACGACTTTATGCGAACCAGTTCCTTGGGACAATTCCATTGCTAGGCTCAAACTTCTGAAGAGCTTCGAGATTCTTATTGGTCACATGCTGGAAGACTCTGCGACTCAGTCAATGGCTCTCAGCTCCGTGATGCGCATTGTCCACTTCTCATGGCGATTCTTCCATCTTTATTCGCCGCAGCTCTTGCAGTCCCTTGGGGATCAGCGTCGTTCAGTTGGAGAAGGAAGTTGATGCGCTCATCAAACTCGCTAGTTGGAGAGACGTCAACGTACAAGCCCTGAAGCAGAGCGCGCGCAAGACGCATCACCAGTTGTACAAGATCATCCGCAAATTCCGTGATACTCTGCGGCAGCCCGTCGCAGAGAAACTTTCTTCGCTTTTTACTGAGTCTACGGAAAGTACTTGTCAACCTGAACCGCCGACGCGCCGTGGAATTCATGGGTACCCATCTTCCCGTCCGTACCTACCAGGGACCACGATATCCGCTCCTTCATCGTCGGCACATCTTGGAAACCTTGGAAAAACACTCGAGAAGTTCCATTCGTACATCGACGGACGCATTCGCCAATTCTTGGTCCAGCAAACAGCCCATGATATCGAACAGTTATCCATCAGCATCATACAGAGAGTCAAAGATCTCGCCAGTCAGACCGTTCCCGAAGGCTTGAGCAAAGAAAAACGCGAGAAATACAGGAAGGGTTTATTGACACGCAAGAGAAAGGCGTGGAGCGACTTGCTGAAGGAGCTCAAACGTGGTGGTTTGGCTTATCACATCAAACCAGAGACTGCCAGCCAGCTAGGAGACGAGTCATGGATCCGAGGTCAACCACCAATGCCCTCCAGCAACACAATCGCTACGGAGAAGGGTGAAATCTACTTCGATCGTTTGCGTGGATGTCTTCCTGTCCTGCGACAGGCACTTCTCAATCACCATACCGATGTAAACACTCGGGACCTGAGTCGTGGGGTATCCCTAACTGAATCAGGGTATTCTTTGGCTCTAGAAACCAGGTCAACGTATGTCTTATGCTCCTCCGCACAGCTCTGTGGACCTGACTCTATGACACAGACTTGCCCATACGTTGTCAAACTTCACTACATTCCAGCACCAGATAAGTCGTTTACAGGCTATCGCTGATGCTCCGACCCTTGCGCGCATCGAATCCTTCAATAAGGTTGAGTCACTTCGAATTGCCCTTAGCATTTCCACTCGCGCACTGGAAGAACTTGCTGACGCCATTCGCGTGTTCGGTCAAGCACAAGATGCTGATGTTGCAACTTTGCTTCACGATTGTCAGGCCCTTTGCTTATCATCTTGCACGTCAAGAGATCGCATGGCCCATATTTTGGAGCATAGTCGATACGCCATGGGAGAGATGTTGCTAGGAGGTGAGTTTTATTACATACGCACGCGAGTGTGAATCGAGCTGACCTTCCTTAATAGAGGAGTATGCCACCGTCGTCGAGGCATCTCACTTGCTTGAGGCCCTCCCCACTCGTCTCAACGAGATGATGAACTCTTTCCCTCACCTTGCGCATGTTCTGGTGCCCACCGCTCAGTGGATCCGTGACCAAGGGATATTCTCTTTCCCCGTAATAAGCGCTCCTCACTTCGATCCTACCTCAGATGTAGACACGGTCATCAACACCGTACTCGTTGCAGTTCAAAATATGCTCAAAAGGCTCTCGGAATTATCTGATCCAACAGCTACCGTTTCGAGTCCGGACGAGCCCGTAGATAACTATATCCGTGGTGGGCCTCGTGCAACCTCCCTCTTTACCTCGCTTCTGGACCTCTCTAGTATCACCCAGCGGATATCCGATATCTCTGCGGGCTTCCTCTCGCTACCACATGAGTCCCTTCAAGCCGCATTGAGACGGACACTCCCATTCTTACACTACTTCGTTGACTTTTCAGGCGAACTTCTTGAGAGCCAGGCGAGATGGACTGCAGAACTTTTCAAACTCGACTACGTCGTATGTTCAGTGGTGCACACTTTGGCCACGCGCGGATTTTGCATTCCACCTGAAACCGAGGAAGGAGATGAGACCGCCGGGAGCGAGGAAGGGAAGGAGCTGGAAGGTACGGGCATCGGGGAAGGAGCAGGCATTGAAAATGTGAGCAAGGAGATTGTGGACGAAAGCCAAGTTGAGGGACTGCAAGGGGAGGAAAACGATATGGAGAGAGGAGAAGGGAAAGGGAAGGATGACGAAAATACGATTGAGATGAGCGAAACCTTTGAAGGGGAGATGGAAGATGTAGAGGAGGAAGAAGATGGAGACGGAGAAGAAGAGTCTCCCGAGGATGAGGAGGGCCCAGACGAACAACTCGGCAAGCTAGACCGTGCGGATCCTAATAAGGTAGACGAGAAGCTGTGGGGAGATGAACCTGGAGAAGATGAGGAGGACCAGCAGGAGGATGAGTTGCACCAGGATCGTTCTGGACAGGCCAGTGATGAGTCTAACGTCGTCGCGAAACAGAAAGAAGACGCGAACGGCAACAAGCAAAAAGAAGAAGCCACGAAAGAGGAGACAAAACAGGCGGATGATGAAGGTGAGGGTGAGGAGGAGGAGGAGGAGGGTGTGCAGGAAGAAGAACGTGGATCTCCCAGTGCAGCCGGTGCCCCGATGGACGAACATATTCCTGATGCCAACACATTGGAGCTTCCCGATGACATGAATCTCGACGATGACAAAGAGGGCGGTGGTGATTTTGATATGGACGAAGACACGCCAGAGGTCGAAGAAGAAAAACAGATGGACGAGGACACGGAACAGCCAGACACTAACCCAACTCATGACACACCTACAGGTGATGATGAGACGCATTCGAGTGCCGAACCGCCTCATGCAACTGAGGAACTAGTAAACGAAATGGATACCGATGAGGGTGATGAAAAGCAAGAAGAAAACGCAATCGCCGAGCCTGATTTAATACATGGTGACGGAGATGCAGGGATGACGGATTGTCTTGCCCAATTGCAAGACAGCACTACGAACCCTCGAAAGGAGACCGCGTCCTCGCAGTCGCAAGAAGATATCGCTGGTCAGCAAGCCGCAGCTGAAACTACGCAGAGGTACGCGATGCATGGAAATTGAAACCAAATTGTCATTGACTTTGTCTAGGTCTTCCGATGCACACGCCTCGCAATCAGAGCCCCAGCCCTCAAGTGATCCTGCACCGACTCAAGTCACTCCCGAAGCAGGTTCCGGATCCGGCGATAATCAACCGGGCCCTGCCTACGCACAGCGCGCACCTACTTCTCCACCAGGGCCCGACCCCCTCCGCAAACTCGGGGATGCCCTTAGAGAAATACAGCAACGCTTTGATGAGATCTTCAGTGCTCGTGAGCAGAGCTATCCTCAGGAACATGCTCCAAAGTCAGACGATGCCGAACAAGTGATGTACGAGCACGACGAAAACGAAGACGGCATGCAGGCACTCGGGCGTTCATCTGAGGAACAAGTTGCAAAGCTGAAGGAGCTCACGCTTGTTGAGAGAAGTCCAGAGGAACTTGAAGTTGTTGATATAGACGCTCCTGCGCCAGAGGTGGTTGAAGCCCGGGAGGTAGCAATGGAGCATTTGCATGCCGAAAGGACAGCACATCGGAGGGACGCAGACCTGGAAGGTGCCTTTGCTCATACAGAGCGTGACAAAGCCATTCAAGGTGCCAGTGCTCAACTTCCGGTCGACCCCACCAGAACGAGGGAAAACGAATCTGAATCTGAACCTCCGTCCGTAACCAACGAGGTCGTTCGTGCTGCCCTTGAACCTCTTACGTCAAGCTCCGACGCTGTCGATCTCTCTGCATATATGCAACTGTGGACGCTCTATACGAGTCTGACTATGCCGCTTTCTATCGCGCTGTGCGAGTCGCTCAGGTTGATCTTAGCCCCAACACTTGCAACAAGGCTGCGAGGCGACTTTCGTACAGGCAAGCGATTGAACATGCGCCGGGTGATCGCATGGGTTGCAAGCGAATACACCAAGGACCGCATCTGGCTGCGCCGCGTGAAACCTAGTGCTAGGGCGTATCAAGTCTTACTTGCTGTGGACGATTCTGCATCGATGCGAGGCAGCGGCGGCGGTGCAGTACACCTAGCGTATCAAACTGTTGTCCTCGTTGCGCAGGCTCTCGGACGGCTCGAGGCAGGCGAAGTCGGTGTCGCACGATTTGGTGCAGGTTGGGAACTTGTGCGTGGGTTCGGAGAGGGCGCTCGAGATTGGGGTTCCTCGCCTGTATTAGGTGGACGTGTCCTGTCTGCGCTGACGTTTCAACAACAGCGAACAGATGTTGCAGGATTCCTGGAGGGATCGCTTGGAGTGCTTGAGGCTGCGCGTGAGACGGCTGGAAGTCGGGGTGCTACTAAGGACCTGTGGCAACTCGAAATCATCATTTCTGATGGAATCTGTCAGGAGCATGAACGACTACGCCGTGCGCTCCGCCGTGCAAGAAGTATGCGAGTGCTGGTGGTATTCATCGTGCTTGACGCGTTGAACGAAGGAGGCAGCACATCGGCGGCTGGAGCTGGCAAGCACCTACCTCAGCTGTAAATTCTGCGGCGTCTACATCCTCGGGCTCCCAGTCCTCGATCTTGGCTCTCAATCAGGTGTCGTACCGACAGTCGCCGACAACGGGACAAATGGAGCTAACGATGGAGCGCTATCTCGATTCAGTTTCCCTTCGAGTACTATAGTCGTGTTGAGGGATGTGGAGGCTTTACCAAGGGTGCTTGCAGATACTCTCAGGGAATTCTTTGAGAAGGTCAATGAAGAGTAAAGGGATTGCGATGTTATTATTATTGTGGTGTACATAAGATACTAATACAACTGTGGGTCGTAGCGCAGAATACATTGGGTGCTAACCTGAAGACATGTGCAGCAAGGAGTGGCAAGATTCTCCCTCCAGTACAACATTCAGCACCGCGAGAAAGCTCGAAGGTTGGGACGCGTCAAGTTAGCGATTAGCATTCTTCGAGCCTATCTGCTTCATCTGGGAAGCAGCTACGCGACACGGCTGTTGACAAGCCTTTCGTACTTGAGCAAGCCCTCTCATTGGCCAATAAGTGTTTTACCGAGCGCGAAGGGAGCGTTATGACTTGGTTACGACAAGTCACGTCCGAACGGAGGCATCCATACACTGCTCATCCCCTCGGGTATTTTTGCAGATGTTGTCATACCCTACTCAATGGCGGCTCAACTTGAAGCATCGCCAGATTCAGAGTGGGGCTGGCGCGGATTAATTCGAAAGCGACATTAATGATCGGACCTAGGTTTACATAAGCACACGCGATGGCATTACGTCTCGGCTACCCGTGCTCAAAGGAAAGGATTAGCCTCATCTTACATACGGCCGTCGCCTTGCAAATCGATGCAAGACGACTTCTGTGCAACATCGCTGTGCATTCTTTCGGCGAGTCGCCCGTTGCCTCGTGTGATGCACGTGTTGGATATGACATTCCATCACGTGACTCATACTGTCTTGTACGCGTTATTGACATTTGTTTGTTCAGTGTTCGACCTACCACATTAATCCGCCGACGAGACTGGGGAACTGCAGTCAACCCCCGACAGCAACGACGACCGAAGTGCAGCTGACTGACCCGTGTCTGGTCTCGTTTCTTCAATCTCTTGGCTTGTCTTCCTGTCTGCTGTGTACTTTTACAAAAACACATTCCTAAGCATCCTAACCACACACCTCTCTTCACCAGACGAACATCCAACCTGACGCAGTAACGATGGATTCACCCCCAGACACAAACGACGTATTCTCACTATCTGACCAACTCCTCGCCGAGCGACTTCACTTTGTTAAAGAGGTATCCTTATCTTATTCGCTTCTCGTGCGAGCAACCCCCTTACTGACGCTGCACCCCTCAAGATCGGTTTCGGTAACTGGGGCAGCGTATGGCTCTGTCGTCCAAAGTCTTCGCCTGCAAAGCAGAGAGACGTAGAGGTAGCAGTCAAGCTAGTGCACCGCTCGAAAACGCCCACCACAGCCGCGAGAGTGCGCTCTCTGTACGTCATCCATTCCTAACGCATATATACCCCAGCATTGACGGCAAGTTCGCACAGATGGAATGAGATGAAGATAGTTCGGTCGTTCAAGCATGATCCTCATCCCTCTATCATTCCCTTTCATTCGTTCATCATAACGCCATCCTACGCACTCATCACCATGTACGTGATGTCGTCGGCATATGCGTCCCACGCTGACGCGTTTTTGTTGTTAAGGGCCTACCTCCCCACTCTAGTTCCGGTCGAAGTCTCTGAACCACGCGCAAAAGAGTGGTTCCGATCTCTTCTCTCAGGTGCACATTTCCTGCATACGCGTGGCGTCGTTCATAATGATATCAAGTATGCACACCGTCTCTCCAGTCTATATGCACTTCTAATATATACATCCCAGACCCGCCAACATACTCCTCTCTCAAGCGAACGTTCCCGTCCTTGTCGACTTCGGATTCGCGGAAAAATACGACATGCAATCACCAAAGGCTTTCCACAGCAATTTGACATACGGCACCCCCGAAGTACGCGTCTATTTTGTCACTGTGTGCGCTACGTGATGATTCACTTATCATTTGGATAGTATCTGTCTCCCGAGCGAGCTCGTGGCATGCCTCACGATACGCGAAAATCCGACGTCTGGTCTCTCGGTATAACCTTCTTCGAAATATTGGTGGGACGCACACCCTTCGAGTACGAGGAGGGCGAAGTGTTTGAGAAAAAGGAAGACCTCGAGAAGTACTGGGACCGCACGGTAAGTCGGTTGTGCACCAGTACAGCTCGTCATAGACTTACCCTGTGAAGATGCGAGGTAAATGGGTGGGCAGCTACTCCGTCTCCAATGCAGTGGAACGGTTCCTGAAGCGTATGATCGTTCCCAATGCCGATTTGCGGTGTACCACCACCGAGTTGTTGCTTGATGGTTATTGGGAGAATCCGTCTCCTATGATCAACGGAAAGGCTGGTCATAGTGAGTGCCCCTTCAATGATGTGGATCCAAAATTGACGATCCGCACGGCTACCCAGAGAAATCCGCCTCCACTGGACTCCCAGCTACTCGCTCTCATGTACGCACCCCCACCTTATTGGCGGCGTTACGGGATGTCTCCAAAGACAAAGTCAAGGACAAGGATACATCCATGTCTCGTCTCCTCGACATGTCGCTTCCGTGGTCTGGATCCAGATCTGCGTCCCGATCGTCCGCATCCAGATCCGCTTCTCGTGCTGAGTCTCGCACAGCTTCTCAGAGCACATCGAGGGCGGAGACCGCTACGCCGACGTCGGCCACGCGTTCCAGGGTTCCCTCGCGCGGTAGTGACGACTTTGCGCACTTTACGAAAGAGAGTGCTCATGAGCGATCCCATGCACTTCTGCCATCTAGGTCGAAGTCTCAGCCTAGGCTTCGTACGCTTCCTGGTACGACCACCCGAGGCCAGATACCGGGCCAAGGGCGTAAGCTGTCGACTGTACAGGGGTCTCCTGTTGTGAAGCCCGTCAAACGGGTCGATATGGAGAATGTTGACCAGGATGTTGTTACAGACAAGGAGAATATCGCGTGCGCGCGTTGTTCGAACAAATCCGTGAACGCCAAGTCCCCGAGACTTGTTTCCCTTACTAGGTCAGTGTCATCGCTTAGGAAACCTCTTGGGCCGCGTCAGCCGTCGCCACGATCGGGTGCGGGAGCACCGTCCCTCCCAGCAGTTCCGTCATTGGGCACAGCAGAGAAAGTACGCAGACAACCTCTTAGACAGTTGTCACATTCCCCGGACAGGCGCCTGGTCAAGGACGAGTCGCCGAGTCACCCCTTGGACGGCGTAGCAGCTACAAGGAATGTGTCACCCGTTCATGCGGCGTTGTTCCCGCCCACACCGACAATGACTTCCTCCGTTGCCACCACCTTTGCTTCCAAACAACTCTCTGGAAAGCCGCCTCGTTCGCGTGCGCGTGCGCTAGTGGATCTTACGGGTTTCGCGCGGAACGTTGATCTCAGTGCGCATGGTGTCGGTATGGGTGCTGCTTCGAAACGGCCACCCAAGGTGAAAGGTGGGAGAGCTAGAGATGAGGGAGCACAAGGCAAGCGCGGTATTGGTGCTGGGAATGAGAGTGCTATTGCTTCGCACACGAACATGAGAGGGCGTGTAGTGACGAGGAAGGATGACGATAAGGAAAATCTACCGCGCGTCGCACCGTCTAGCATCCATTCACGTGGAAGGATGTTGAACGACAGGGTCGAGTCGAGGACACCGTTTGGCATACCTGACGCGCAGAATCACAATCAGTCTCAGTCTCAATCGTCGTTCCAGCCCCTCGCAAAGTCGACGCCGAAGGACCGTGATGTGACGGATGTTTCTGTCTCGCTTTCTGCTTTGGCTAACTTATCCATCGGGACGAACGTGACGAAGGGTAGCGTGAGAGATCGAATGATGGACTGGGAGAGGGAGAGAGCGCGATTGAGGGAGATGAATAGGGCATCGACTGTCCTTAGCGGATCCTATTCTGGTTCCACGACGACTTCGGGATCCAGCGACGTCAACGATGCCGAAGATTTGGACTCGGAAGTGGAGGCGGAGGTTGAGGCTGAAGCTCAGGGCCACACCGCTGTTAATCAGCGTAAACCAGAACCAGAAGTTCAGATACCCGATGAAGCAGTGAACATTAGGGTTTCGCACAGTAACCCCGAACTCGTCGGGCGGAGATCGGTGCAAACGATGCACACGACAACGACCGTCGTTTCTTCCGCGTCTGGGTTGGCCACTTCGACTCTGACCGGCGGGTCCGGACCCCCGAATGCCGAGAAGGGTCAGATCGAGGTTGCCACGATCGCCGTGAGAGCGTCCGCACAGATTTTGTCGTCTCGTAATGGACCGTTAACGTTGGATCAGAAGACCCTTGGCCCGGACCACCACCAGCGGGCACGCAAGTCCGAGGAAGTGTTGAAGAGTGTTGATGGTAAGTCCAATTCCCACGTATTCGTATGGGTGTACCCGTGCTGATGTAGGACAGACAGCGGGTTACCTGTTGAAGTGCGCCGAACGAGCGAGTCGGCGTTAAGTGGGTTTAAGCATAGCATCAAGGCTTCTATAGGTGCGACTCTAGCTTTTCTGAGGTTTTGCGGTTGATTGATATCCTAGTGTACAGACAAAGGAGTTCGTCTTTACAAGTCTTCGACGCTAGCTCAGTTGACTGGCCGTACGACCCCAGTATGGTGTCCCTCTCCTGAATCGATTGAGATTGATTTCGAGTCTCGTCGGTCGGGCGAAGGACGATTTAGCTGGGAGAATATTCGGTCTGAGGAGGAGATCGCCATGGACAGAATGAATCTATGGATACAAAGTGTCGAGAGTGAGTCCGAGCGGCATTATTTTTCGTGCGAGGTGTGACTGTTGTGTTGTGGGATACAGAGGTCGTCGAGGAGACACGTCAGAACTTCGCGTCGACAAGTATTGTTGAGCCTACGGCTCTCCCTCTCGTACCTGTCTCCCGCTCGTCTTCTCAAAACAACCGCCTTCGTCAATCCCAGCACAATAATAATAGTAATACGACTCGTTCATCTCGTCTCCCCCGCCGACACCTACCTGCGAACCAAATATTCGCCGAGATGACTGATCCTAATGCACCTCTATCACCTGCACGCGGAGATCAGAGCATGTCATTTTCTTACATCGATGCTCCCGAGTCTTCTTGCCCCGTTCTTCCGACGCTGAGTGTGCTTGGCCAAACGCCTCCGCGTCAACGACGCGCGACAATTTCGACGCGGTCCCCTGCGCAGGAAAAGGACAAGTCCGGGGAAGATGACATGTTGAGTATAGGAACCCCATCGAAGAGAAGAGAGAAGAGCCGTTCGTATGGGAATTTGGATCGACACATCAGGGACGTGGCCAAGTTGGAGATGGAACTCAATGCAGGTGAGTATATCTCCCCCACTTCAATGCTTTTTCTCTCTTTCGAAGTCTGACTTGGGAACCGCAGGTACTCCAGCGAAGCCAACCGCACCACGTTTGTCTGCCGTCCTCGACAGGAGCTTGTTCGTTGCGACGCCGATATCTCCGAGGTTGGTAGAAAATTTGAACGATGACTTGACGGCATCGCCGTATCACGTTGAGCCCTATCCACCCCGCGAGTCCGGCGAACTCCAGAACCTGCCACCTTCCCCTGAGAGGCGTCGTTTGGAGGGTGTTTACGACCGTTTTTTGATGGCCACTACTGGTGTAAAACGAGTTGGCAAGGGATACCAATCCGATAATTTCAGACCCCTCCAGAATACCGCTCCTTTGGATGCCGGCAAGTTACCCGCAGGCCATTCTCGTACATTCGGCGTCTTCGGCACTAGCAAACGTCAAATGCCCCCTCCTGTATCCAGCGATGATGTTTGGTGCCGAGCATCCATCGACGAGCTTGGCTTCACCACCTGCAGTAATGCAATCCGCTCCACGCCACGCACGTCCAAGGATGATAACAAGAACACCGCTGCGCTGGTCCGACGTGCGATCAAGGCGATAGTGCCTGGCAAGACGGTCTCCAGAAGGTTGTCCCGCACCTTGATCGCCTAGATTTCATGTTCTTCCCTAGCTTTCGTTTTACCTCGGTTCTTCTTTTCTCCTTCATTGGACGACCTCACTAGTTCTCCTGGCTGGTCCTTACTCTCACCTTTTGCTCTCATTATATACATTGTCATCTGTCTTTTCTTGGCTCCTGGAGATATGGATCCGTTATACATACCCCATACTTTCATTCCTCTGATTCCGTCGTCTGCTGCCGTTCCCCCTTGCTGTTATCTATTGCTATCGACATCCGTTAAAGCATACTAAGCTCAACCATTCTTCCTCACCCTCAACCTGTCATTTTTTACACTTACACCACATTATACTAGTTGGCAACGAACCCTCATGCATTTACGTCCAGTTATCACTTCTTTTTCCTTTCAGCCCCCTGTTTGCTGGTTACGCTGTCTCGTGACGTCTTGCAACGCTGTCCTGGTCATGACATCCTGCTCGCGTAGTTTACATAAGTTGACTCTGTTTATCCTCAGATAAATCTTATATTTGTTCTCAGTATCTAGTATGTTAGATGCATGAGGTCAACGTGAGGTAAAGCAACTGTGATGTTTTGCATCTTGGGCGTTCTGAGCGTGTTGACTTGCCCCCTGCAATGACGGCGTATTCACGTACATATTCATTGCATTTGACTACTGTCAATCTCTCGTAGATAAGATAACGCATTGTAGCGGGGTCCAGGGTCTCGCACGGCCCCACTCAACCACCACCATCACCATGTGCTTCAACCCCATATCAACGTCTGGCAGTCAGAAGAAATGCTTACATGGAAATGATCTCAAGGCACTTGCCAACTACATGAAATCTGACCAGTGTCAGAAGGTCTTCCTCATGGTAATGTTACAATGCTGTTCCTTTATATGTGTGGCATTTTGGCTTCACTGGTCTTGATCGTAGCTAGGAGCAGGTAAGACACACATCTCCTGGACCCACTTGGATTTGAACGTGGCACCTTTCGTGCAGGCATCAGTACTGCAGCTGGCATCCCGGACTTCCGTTCCCCAAAGACTGGTAAGCATGCCCTCCAGGACCATACCCTTCAGGGTCCACGAACGTTCCAACATCACGACAGGTCTATATGTGAGCAGTCAAGCTTGCAATCTCTGTGCCACATCACGTTATGTATATACGATAACCCTGCCCACATAGGCTAACCTTGCCCGGCTAAACCTTCCATACCCAGAGGCAGTCTTTCAAATATCCTTCTTCCGAAATAACCCTGTTCCCTGTACGCTCCGCCCTCTAATTCCAGCCTATCCTTATCTTGCCTACTCACATAACGTCTGATATCCCATTATGATTCACAATGCTTCGCTGCCACCACCACTGTTGTTACCAACAAAGTCTACACCCTAGCCAAAGAGATTTACCCGGAACGATACCGACCGACTTTGACCCACTCGTTCATCAAACTCCTCCATTCTCGCGGACTTCTACACACATGCTTCACCCAAAACATTGATACGCTCGAACGGAAAGCGGGTGTCCCAGAACACAAAATCGTCGAAGCCCACGGAAGCTTCGCGACGCAGCGCTGTATAGATTGCAAGGCACCATATGAGGATGAGAAGATGAAAAAGGCTATTAGGGAAGAAGAGATCCCGAGATGCGAGGGGTGTGGAGGGTTGGCTAAGCCTGGTATTGTATTTTTTGGGGAATCGGTCCGTTCCATCTCATGATGTTCCGTTCCATTCCAATATTAACGTTCCCCCCTCGCCGTCGGCGTGGACGGACCTTGGTGGCATAGTTACCAAACAAATTCCACAGCTCGATTCCATTGCTTCAAGAAGCGGACCTACTGATTGTCATTGGCACGTCATTGACCGTGTATCCGTTTGCCTCGCTTGTCGACTGCGTTCCAGAAGACTGTCCGCGGGTACTCATCAATCTGGTCGAAGTAGGCGATTTCGATAAACCGGACGATCTGGTGTTTACCGGGAAATGTGACGAAATCGTGAGGGCGTTGTGTCAGGAACTGGGGTGGGAGGACGAACTCGATGAGACATGGGCAGAAACAGCTATGGGTGCCGAGGGGGTCGAAGTGGCTGGTAGTTCCGACAAAGCGGCGGAGGAGAAAATAGAGAGCGAGTTGGAGCAGGTTAGGAAGGATTTGGAGAACGTTCTGAACGTGTCAGAGCCGAGGGCTGGTACCGAAGTTCCAACTGGCGTAGAGGCGATACCTGCAATAGTCGAGGATGAAGAGGAAAGTTGTACCAGGCAGGTAAATGACGTGGATAAGGAGAAAGATGGTGGCAAGCGTGAGCGTTCAGAAGGGAAGTTGTAGAGATGATATTATGATCACATTACTACCATGCTCGTTTGCGACGATATCCTCATGTGAAGAACAGGCCTTTCCAGTTGGCAGCTTAATTAATCTCCAGGCCCGGCTATTATAGGCATCCCACAACGCAACAAGTTGTCATCTTAACCGACCTCGTTCTGATCTGTATCTCCTATCACTGAGAGTCACAGAGTCTCATGCATTCTTCAAGTTTATCACCTTCGACCCCCTGGAAGACCTCCGGGATCTTGCAAAGAGTAACTGCCACCGACTCCATCTTGGGTTAGAACCACTTCGGTTTCTCAGGCCGTGGTGGGGCGTGGTTGAGGGCATCACTACAGTGGGACAAATGTTGATATTGAATGGTTCCTCCCTCAATCAGCGTCCTCAGGCCCTGATGCACATGTCAATCAGTAACTTGATTTCCGGACCATTATGTAGTAGGGTCCAGTAAGGACTAGCTCCAGCAATATATTTTCTCTCATCTCCGAAGGGGGCGTTTTCATTCGCATCTATGTACCACTGTGTAATGCATTGGCAGTTCGTGGCCCACGGATTCGCCCACTGTACTAGTAGAAACATTATCATCTCACCAGGAGATTCTCCTGCGATCCGACGTTTGCCGCAGCGGAAAACAGGTCCGTTGATCCTAACTATTATGTAAGCAGCTTGTCGGACAGTACGTGAACCCGTCTGCCGCCGTCTTATTATGTGTATACGGTCTATTAACAGTTCATTTAACCGAAGTATGTAACAAGTGTTGGCCAATGGCGAATATGCCAGGAGGGCCGACAGCATGATGAGGTTCCCAGGTGGGCCTCACTCTGACAGGATTGCCCGAAAATCTCCTGACGCCGCACGTCCGGTCGGAGCTGTAAAAAATTTCCTGACTCACATATAATCTTGACCTTGTTCCCTCCGTTCATGCCTCCTCAGCTCAACGCTTTCCAACAGATGGGAGTTTTTGTACGCCTGTACCTTCGCCTTTGTTCGTCCATTCTCCTTACCGTAGGCTCGGTTGCACAAGAGCTGATGATGCTCTCGTTTTCTCTAGTCTGCACAGTGCCGCAGGTAACCCACCCTTGAACGCCTCCATTATCTGAGAAAAAAGGTAGCTCAGATAGGAAATTTTTATCTGATTATCCACTTATGGCATTCAGGTACCACAAGAATGACGTTTGTCGATACTATTTTTACATGCCGTCTCCTTTCCTTCCGCCGCCCGCCAAACATATCTGGGCCCGACACCCCGACGGCCGACCACGTGACACACGAGCAGCTCGCGACGTCTAAATTAGCTCGATTCGCGCAGATACCCGCTTCGGAGATCTTCGTGTGAGTTTGTGTATGGGGGGTATGACGTCTTGTGATAATTTGCTGAAAATTTGCACGGTAGCCTTGAACCAACTTGGAGTCCCCTCGGGCTGACGGAGGAAAGTGCTGCAGAAATTCTCAAGCAACATGGTCCGAATATTCCTGTGGCCGAACGCCCCTTGGCTGCCTTGTCCATCCTGTGGACTGCCCTCTGGAACCCATTCAATGTCCTGTTGGTCGTCCTCGCGTGTGTCAATATCGCCACGCAAGATGTTGCCACGTTTGTCGTCATGATGGCCATGGTCGTCGCTTCTACCGGCCTGCGATACTGGCAGGAAATGAAGTCTATGGTCCAGGCCCTCAAATTAGTTAGATCCATTGTCACCAGAGTTCGTGTCGTTCGGCGTGTCAATGGAATTGCCCAAGAATTGGAGATCGACCAGAAGCTTGTCGTCCCCGGCGATGTGATCGCTGTAGCCAGTCAGTCTCACATCTTTGTTTTTCATTGACCGGCTTGCTAACGATGTTTCTTAGGCGGCGACGTTTTTCCCGGGGATTGTGTTCTGATATCATCTGAGGCTTTGGCCGTCGCACAGGCCTCTCTCACGGGCGAACTGATGCCGGTCGATAAGACGCTTCGTCTGATCGCTGCGCCTGAATCTGAGGCGTTCCACCTCTTGAACAACGACAACGTATGCTTGTCCGGAACGTCTGCGTCTGCTGGGAATGGACGTGCTGTCGTTATCTCGACCGGGAAAGATACGTATATGGCTGGTATCGCTGAAGAGCTGAATAGAAAGAGACCGGAGAATGCAATACAAATTGGGATTAGAAAAGTCAGTTACGTTCTGATGGGTTTTATGGCCGTAAGTGGGACAATTAGTACTCCCTTGGGAAGTGATAACAGGGCACTGACGCCTCCTAGGTTATGGCACCCATTGTATTCATAGTGCAGGGAGCTGTCAGCCATGACTGGAAGGGTGCTGTCATGTTCGCCATTGCCATTGCTGTTGGCATTACGCCCGAGATGCTTCCCATGATTGTGGTACGTCCCCTTCTGTCACCGTTTCGCGTACACTAAGCAATGTCTGGAAGACGTCCAATCTTGCGCTCTCCGCCGTCCGTATCGCTAAGAAAAATGTCATTGTCAAGCGCTTCGACGCCATCCAAAATTTGGGCGCTGTCAGGGTTCTATGTTCAGACAAAACAGGCACGTTGACCATCGACTTGGTCAGCGTCTCCACCTCTGTTTCCAGCAATGGCGAACACTCAGAACTCCCCATCAAGCTCGCATACATCAATTCCCTCTTGCAGACCGGAACCCGTAGCCCAATAGACCGTGCCATCGTGGAGCATGTGCACGCGAACGAAAAGGGGGCTGCCTCTGGAGACGGTCATCAAGATAGCTGGCACAAGCATGGCGAAGTTCCTTTTGATTCCACGCGCCGACTTCTCTCTGTTCTTGTGTCTCGTCCTTCCGCAGATGGAGAGGGTCTTTTCATCACGAAAGGCGCCGTTGAAGAGGTACTGGAGAGATGTGTTTCTATGTATCGGCAACAGCAGCAGTCGTTCTCGCCATCCCTGTCCGATTTCAAGCTTGAACGCACAGCGTATACCACATTGACAGAGGACGATCGCCGTGCCATCCTCGACACATCGAAGAGGTTGAATGAGGAGGGCTTACGGCTCGTTGCTGTGGCTTGCAAATGTGCCGCGGTCAAGACGTTCATGACTATCAGCACAGCAGACGAAGAGGATCTTGTCTTCATCGGTTTCGTGAGCCTCTTGGATCCACTCAAACCGGATGCGGCAGATGCTATCAAAGAATTATCCAAACTTAACGTCCAGGTCCGTATCCTTACGGGTGACGCGCCAGCGGTGGCCGGAAAAGTCGCACGCGACCTTGGTCTATTGAATGCACGCAACGTGATGCTAAAGTCGGCGAAGGGGGACGAAGAGGCTGTCGGTGCCATTAGCGAGGCCGATCTGATCGTGACGGGCCCTCAACTCGCCGAACTCTCCAAGGATAAGGACGCGTTTGCAGAAGCCGTCGAGCGAGCTGTCATTTTTGCGAAGCTTTCACCGTATCAGAAGCTTGAGGTCGTGAAAGCGTTACGTGCCGGGGACGGTGGCCGAGCAGTCGCATTTCTGGGTGACGGTGTGAATGATGCGCTCGCGATTCGTGGTGCGGATGTTGGAATTTCTGTGGATTCAGGGACGGAGATTGCGAAGGAAGCTGCAGACGTGATTTTGCTCGAGAAGAGTTTGGGTGTAGTGGCGCTCGGCGTGGTGCAGGGCAGGATCACGTATGTTTCTTTCTGTCTTCCGTGCCTCGGTGCGATTGGTGGGCTGACTGGGTGTCATGTGGCTAGGCTCCTGAACACCGTCAAATACATCAAAATGGCGTGTTCGTCGAACTTCGGAAACGTTTTCTCGGTGTTGGGTACGTTCGATGTGGCAGGGATGAGCAATGACTGATCATGAATATTAATATTTGTTTTATCTCCAGTTGCGTCCGCGTGGTTGCCTTACCAGCCAATGCTTCCACTGCAGCTCCTGACCCAGAACCTGCTATATGATTTCTCTCAGGGATCTATCCCTTGGTATGTCCATGCCGTTGGCTTGTGTCGTGTCGGGTTCTGATCATGTGGGTATGTGCAGGGATAACGTCGATCCTGAGTACTTGGAGACTCCTAGAACCTGGAGCGCACTCTCCATTATCAGGTTCATGGTTTGTCTTGGGCCGTTCTCCAGCCCATTTGATATCACGACTTTCTGTATCAACTGGTACGTGCGATTTATCTTCCCTTTCGAAGTTGGATTCGGGGTTGACGATGTGGGATGGACGAAAATGGACAGGTTCCACTATGGGATCAGGACGGCTGATTCGCCTTTGGTACCGCTTGCGCAGACGAACTGGTTCTTGGAGGGATCATTGACGCAGGTCCGCCTCTTTTCCCCCTCGCATCTCTCATCTCATCTTACCCCAAAATACTTGTTAGCTCTTCATCATCCAATTTCTCCGAACTGGTAAAATCCCCTTCATCCAATCCCGTGCCTCACTGCCCCTCGTGCTGGTCACCTTCGGGATGGCCTGTATATCCATGGCGATTCCTTACATTCCCAAAGTGAATTCGGCGTTGCAGATGAGGCCACCTCATCCCGAGTTTTATGCGTACCTCGTCGGCATCATTGCGGCGTATGCGTGTGTGGTGCATGCGGTGAAGGTGTTATATCAGATGAGATTTAAGGAGTGGCTTTGAGTGTTGGGATTCGGGGTGCAGTAGGAACGGGCTCCGTAGACTTGAAAGTACATAAGATCTAGATGCAATTCGACAGCTGGACGTTTGTGAGAATTCGATCATTCATCGACCCCTGAGTGTGTGCGGGAATTCGTCCGATCTGGCATGTCTCGGGTGTCATGAAAGGAAGTAGTAATTATAAAAGTACGTATCCTGTCGTAAATGCACAACACACCCGACGATGACCTCAGTAGGCGAAGAAGCTATCGACAGCACCGATCCGATTAGTTGCACCAGACTAATCGATGTTGCTTCCGTGACAGAGGTTTGTGCATATCTACTGTTAACACGTTACTACGTGGAGGTTTACGATCACTTACTCTTCAACGCTTGATCGTGTTTCATTGGTGCGTACAGGGAGAAACGGTACTCTATCTGGGATGTGGCACTGGATCTGGGGTTCTCTACATCGCGAAGAGGGTAGGTGACAAGGGTCAAGTTATAGGCATCGACGAGCGCTTGGTATGTTTCAATGGAAAACGTATTTGCTCGTGGACATAGCATACTTAAGCCCTTGCTCGACTGCAAGGACGCCATCGCCCAAGCTAGACGCACTGCTACCGCAAGGGATCTAAGACCACCTCGAGTCGCATTCGTACATGTCTTACAGACGGATGAGTTACCTGTCTTATCGGACTCTGTGGACTGCGTCGTATCGATGTGGTCTCTCCGATCTGATTCTGAGGAACGGCAGGAGGAAGAGAAGTTAGGTAACGAGATCTGGAGAGTGGTCAAGCCAGGAGGGCGTGTCGTTCTCAGTATGAAAGATGTGAGTATTTTCCTTTCAGGACACCAGGATCGCTTCTAGATAGGGGCGCTGGTTCACAGATCCCCGAGAGCCTGCGCTCGAAACTGGTCGTCGATGCTGTGTATAATCATGGTAGCCAACCGGAAGTGGCGATGAATGGTGTGTACATCTCTTCGATGCTCTTCGATGGGACAAGCACTCGATTACGAAGCAGATAACAAAATATTCTATCGTCTGCACGCCGTGAAACCACCTCGCAAGGAGGAAGATGGATATCTTCCCCTCGAATCGGCCCTAAGAGACTGGTGGACCGCATATCCGGCACCGGTATCCGAAGTTCAGCACTTGGATTGCGGGGACGTGGCAAATATGATGAGGAATGGAAGTGAGAAGCAAGGCGACTATGTCGTAATCGATGTCAGGAGGAAAGATCATGCGGTGCGCCGGTTTTCTTTTCTTGTGTATCGTTGCGGTTTGGATTTACGAAACCTTCATGTACGGACAGGGTGGGCACGTACGAGGAAGTGTGCAGTGTCCTGCTCAGACGTTCTACGACGATCTTCCGAGTTTCTACGAGAGGTTTGGAGAGAAGAAACAGGTGGTGTTTTACTGTGGAAGCTCGCACGGAAGAGGCCCGAGATGTGCAAGATGGTGCGTATCTCTTACCCTCATTACGGTCGAACTACATGGAGGAGACAAATGGATCCGTTGCAGGTACCAAGATTATTTGAATGCCAAGGGCGATACGAGGCCGGAGGCACTTGTGATGAGAGGTGGGATTAAGGAGTGGAAGGAGAGGTTTGGGGGGGACGATGGCTTGACAGATAGGGATGCGGACTGACGAGGATAGATGAAGGAGGGGTGCGGCCGGGATGTGCTTGTACAGAGACATCGACAGGCTCATTGGGACCGTCCCTTGCATATCGAATCGTGGTATTATTGTGTACGCGAAAGCCAAAGCAAGTGGTGCTCGCTAAGTACTTTACCATGTCGCTTTTGGATTGCAACGGCATGATACAGAGATTTGTGAAGTGGTTCAACGCCGGCATCGCTGTAGCCGTGGAGAAACGAAAAGAGGATGCGAACATCTTCTGGTAATGTAGACGCAAGTTCCATCCTCAAGTGATACGGTCAACACGATGTCCTCTCCCAGGTCTGCGCAGGGGTTTTGGTAGAGCCTCAAGAGGTCATTCTAGTATACAAAACTACAGGGATACAGCGTCGGGCCGACAGAATCTGATGGTCCCCTCCGAGGCCGCGCTTGCGATCTTGACTTGGAGGAGGCCATCGGATTGTGTCGCGACACACACTTCGTTTGTCGCATTGCTCAGCGGCGCTGGATGAGTGTAGCGAATAACTGCAGGATTCGATGGAGTCTGGGGTAGTTCCTACCGTATTCTTGTGCATTGTAGTCGTGATTCCAGTGAGACTGTAGATTTAGGTGGAGAAGAGAGGAAGCTAACATGAAAAGCTATCGTACACATCCCGGTAAGATTGTTCATCTGTATCATAGTCAGTACAGCGAAAGCAACGACGGATGTGGATTGGATGACGGTTTGTGGGTTATCGGGAGGTCTAAGGGTGGAATGGGAGGATTGAAGGGTCGTCCATAAAGGTTGCCACCTCGTGAGTATGAACTTCCTTGCTTGTCTTGACCTACCCTCACGACGTCCTGATACTGGAACTCTATACATAGATTACTTATACAAAAGTTAATTCCCCATCTACGACGTGGTCAATGCAAGCAGGTCGAGGTCAACGAGGGCGTGGGCGTGGGCATGTGCCTGCCCAACCTGGTCCCAAGAACTCCAGCGATCCTCCAGCACGGGGTCGGGCTCGTGGACGTGCAGGAGGTAGAGGAGGCGAGAGTAGGTGGTGCCCGCCTCGGACGAGCATCATGACGTCCCATCAAGCAAGTCAAATGGACTACATTCCCTCTGTCAGCCGGAGTAGTGGCACAGACAAAGACGGTGACTCGTGAGCACAATGCGGGTTTGGTTGATTGATTGAGGTTCACTGATAGATTCGAGCCTGTAGGTTGAAGGACTTTCGCGTGCAGGAAGCTTATCTGGAGTTTATTAATGGGAAGGTGTGTGCTTAGGGGAAAACGGTATGTTGATGGTGCTGACTGCATCCATTTCTGGATTATAGCTGACCGTGTTTTGGGAAGAGTGTCTGAGCGAACCGGTGTGCCAGAATGAGTCTGCAAAGAGAAAAAGAGTAGAGAGTCAGACGAATGTTCTTATTCTTTTTCGTACGTCCTTCCGGTAACTTTTTTGGGTGCTCGGTGCTCATCCTCATCTTGGTCGAACTGCTGTAGGTAAACTTCGCGAAGGACTCCTATCCTCAGGCCGCAACGACCAGTTCGCATTGGAAGGTTCGTCATGTCGATGGGTGATATTCCAGCTACCCTCTCTCTCTCTATCCTGTGCGTTTACTGAAATGGACATCTCCATTTTGAATGCAGTGTACGAAACGTCGCTTTATTTATCGATCATGTTTGAGTCGTCGGTGGGTATGTTGGATACGACGTCCATACTTGCGCGACTCGTTCCGGGAATGTACACCACCATTGTTCGACCTCTCCAGTCGTCCCAATCCCAATCCACATCTCAGTCCTCTGCCTCATTAACAGCGATACTAATGCTCCTCCATACCCTCGTTATCACATACCCCTCTCAACGAGCCTACTTCGACACTTTGAAAAGCATCCCGGAGTGCATACTAGACAGAAAATCAGAGACGTATGGATGGGTAAGAGCCGTTGCGAGGTGTCTTGGGCGATGCGATTTCGTGGAGTTTGAGAAGTTGATGAGGGGGAGCAGCGTGTTTGACTTGGTGGCGTCAGTAGGCGGGGATTCCAAGCGGGACTCGAACATACACGTCCATTCAACATCCGTTTCCAACTCTCACCTACGCAAGACAGCTCCAAACGCGCAGGCGATACCGTCCCGACATACCCTAGACCTAGCGCGAACAGCTTTCCGAGTGCTCTTGTCCCGCCTCCGTGCTAAAGCACGTGGCCGTGCGTGGGTCGTATTTCGCAGTGCATACCGGGAAATTTCAGAGGGAGATGAGGTGAAGAGGTGGTTGGAACGGTATTTGGCATTGGAGAGTGTTGAAGGCGTTGCTTTGGAGGGGACGGAGAGTGTTCCGGGGACGGGAAAGATCCCGTTTGATGAATGGATAAGGGAGAGGGAGAGGGATGGCCACATTGGAAGGAAGGAGGGAGCAGTTGGAAAGTGGGTAGTGTGCAAGTTGCGATAGGCTATCGCAGTAGTCCCAAGTCCTTAGTGGACCTTCCAATTAGATGTAGTATGGTATATACATGTCCTCTGCGCCTGCAGTGTTCAATACTTGGTCGTATTCTACAGTATCATCCATCTACCGCAACCCCGTGGTATATCAAGGGGATCACTGTATATGTACTTTACCCATCAGATTGGCAAGTTCATCAGCCTCTTTCTCGAGGGCCACCTCTACTTTGGTGGGTGCCGCCGCTGCTTTCTCTTCCTCCTCTTCCTCTTCCTTGGCTGCTTCTATTGCTGCCTTTTCTTCTTCTTCATCCTCCTCTGTGACAACAAGTCTTCCTCCACGCTCTGTAAGTGCCTCCCGAAGGGTATCATATACTTCGTCGTCTTCGTCTGCATCGTTATCTTGGAGATCCAGACGCTTTAAGCTTGAGAGGTGGGTAGAGATGGCGTCAGCCAGGACTGTGACAGACGATACATCCAGATTGTTGTTTTGTAGTTGCAGGTCGACAAGCCTCTTATTTGATCCGGAAGCGAGTTTCTGCAGAATGGACGGGACCTCTCCGTCATGAGATAGCACGCAATCCGACAGATTGAGCGTTCCAAGCGCAGGCAAGCTTGCTAGTGTCTCCGCCCACGCGTCAACAGCCATCAGGCCTTCGTCGGTGTCATCTGTGAACGTGTTATCCTGAAGGTCGAGGTATCTGAGGTTCGGATTTTTCTTCAATCCTCTCGCTAGCTCTCGTATGCCAGCCATCCATATTCCATTTTGGGGCATCCTCACTTCTTCTAATGTTCCATGTTCTCCGAACGCTGCAGCCCACGCAGAAGCCGATCCATTTTCCAGCCTGTTCTGTCCGCATATGACCGTTCTCAAATTTGATACCTTTCCTTCCGCTTTTGTCAACTTTGCAGATTCGCGAAGTGCGTTCGCGATCTGTATTCCAGCTGCAGGACCTAGCCCATTATTCTTGAGACGAAGGGTTTGGAAACGGTTGTGTGTGAGTAGAGGAAGGAGCGGGGCTATGGAGCGTTCTCCGAATGCGTTATCGCTGAGATCGATGAGGGTCAGGGTTTGTTTTGGGAGAAGTGAGGTGCAGAGGTGAGTGAGTGCGAGAGGGATTTCGGAGATGAGACGACCAATGAAGATGCTGGAGAGATCAGCAATCTGGATATTGCGAAGGAGGGGCGTAGGATGCGGTAGTGGCGTTAGCGATGGGTGATGAAGTGAGTGGATTTGTGAAAAACAGGATAAGAGAGATGACGATGACTTACGCGTAGAGACTCTGTCTTGTCGATGAATGCAGCAAACGCTTTTGAAGCATCCACGCCGATCGTGTTTCCGCCGAGATAGATTTCTTCGATGTACTTGGGGTCGTAACCCTTCAAGAGGGGCTCGACATCCGCTTCTGTCTCGAGTTTGAGAGACTGGCCCCGGATGTCGAATATGCGTGGGTTGGGGGACATCGGTGGTGGTGTTGGGTGCTGATGCTGATGGACGGCTGTCGTTGATAGGCAATGATAAAACACATGTCACATGATCAGACACAGGTCACAAATTATCATTCTAACCATTCCGTCGTAGAACGTACAGTACTGTAATAGGTTAGCTTGAACTCGTTAAAGGTCCATTTGAAAGCTCTGCCTGCAACCCTAGAAATGTGCACTCTTGCAGCATACAAACACTCTTCACATCGGACGGGAGGCACCCTGCTCCGAGCTCCAGATCCTTACGTTGGTATTGGAGAAGGATGGGTATGAAGTCGCGAAGGCCAAAATCAGGCCAATAGGTATCGACCATGTGGATTTGAGTGTTTTCATTGCACTTCAAGAAGAGATTGGTGCAGCGGGGTGTGGATGACAACAATCAGCGTCGATATGGGGAAGCGGGGTGGGGAAGTATGGATGGGTGCAAGACGGCATGCGCACCTGCCATGTCAGGAATGCACTCAATCGTTTCACGCCACTAGTGCGGACAAACACGTCAAGAGGTGGACTGCCCACAAGACTAGTGGAGAGCTGAGCCTCGATGGTATCTTCGGTGATCGTGCTGAGGGTAGGAACAGTAAGCGGATGGAGCAGAGGTGTATGGATTGCGAACGTAAGACGCAAGGCTGAAACCAGGCGCATAAACAGAGTAGCAGAGGCGGAAGGTGCAGGAAGTAAAAGAGCAAGAATATGTACCTTCCGTCCATGTCCCCGCTCTCTAGGGCCTCTCGCACCGCACTCTCGACAGCAGTCGTGATTTCGTGCTTGGAAGAATACGGCGCACAGACATTCAAGATGGCACTGGTCGTCGTAAGACAAAGGACATTGAGCATACGGATGCTGAATAGACGAGCATATGGACACATACGCTTTGTTGTGACGCGTCATATACTCTGCTTTCTCGATAGCAACCTGTACATTTGGAGGGAGTAGAGAGCGCTTTCCGAGGACGTTGAGACGAACGCCGTATCGATCCAACAAATGCCTAGGAGAGTTCCAGTAAGACGGCACAAGCACGAATGAATACACGACGCACCCCTTCTCCGCAATCTCGACGAGTCTCATTTCGGCCATCTCCATAAGAGCATCGACCTCGTCTTTCTGGCGGTTGAAGTTGTCGATAGCGAACGCATACACGGTAACGCAGTGAATGCGGAGACGCAGGCAAAGTTCGAGAACCTTGGAGATAGTTTGGAACGCGTAAACTACGAGAATATAATACACTGACCCTCAGCAATGCTCGAAAGCCGTCTCCGTGACCCTGCTTGCCCTCCTTGCCCAACCTCCTCGCGTACCTGCGGTTGCCGTCCATCTCGAAGGCTATGTGCCTCGGAACTGGTCCCGTAGCGATGATGGAAAGAAGTAAATAAGTCAGCTGTCGTCGTACATAGTCGAATGGGAGTCGAACGAGTGCAACGAGCGCAAGCAACGGCCAAGACAGGTAGTACGACATGGAGGGGATGAGTTCATAGTGCAGCACAGCCACACCTACTATATAGGACCACTCAGCGGGACCCAGCCAGTCAACTTGTGCGACATGCACGACACGTCGACTGCCAACGACGACCAGGAAACACGTCGTCTGCTCGCCAACGTCGACGGCGACGTCGAAGAACAAGTTAAGAGCAATACCAAGGCCGAGCCAAGTCAACGCAAGTGGAAGAAGCCCGCCCTCGTTTCTCTCGCTTCGTTGGGGCTGCTCCTCCTTGGCGGGGTCTCCTACCTCTCTCATCAAACGAGTGCATCAGGGGGAGGCCCAAGGGAAGGCTATCTGTGGAACGGAACACATGAATTCAAACGCACTGTCATACTCGTTTCGATAGATGGATTGCGGTAAGCATGTACATATCCTCGACGCACAACCCTGACAGTCACGCACGATGACGTGTAGAGCGGATTACTTAGATAGAGGCCTAACGCCTCACCTGCTCGACATTAGCAAGCAGGGAATGCGCGCGAAATTTATGAAGCCCGTCTTCCCCGTGCGTCCTGTCCACAGCCATTCGTTGCCTTTACACCATTCACTTCTTACGCCATCCAGACTCTGACTTTTCCGTGAGTTTTGTACTTTCGCCTGGGGAACGAACCTGTTAATTCAATTGCTGGAACAGCAATCATTGGTCCCTCATGTATGTCCTCTCTACATACGTTTAGACACCCCTAATCTTGTATTCGTGTAGGACGGGGCTTTACCCCGAATCTCATGGGATAGTCGCAAACGTAGGTATCCGTCTTTACTATCCTATTTCCTTCTAGCCAACACTCCGAACAGTCATTCTGGGATCCCGTTTCGAATTCCATGTTTGTATACAACCACCCAGAAACATCGTTGAACGCGTCATGGTGGCTCGGTGAACCGGTACGTCTACCTCTGACTCTCGACGTGCATTTATGTGAAGCGAAAATATAATCATAATAGATGTGGGAGACTGCCGAGCAAGCAGGGTTGAAGACTGCCAATCTTATGTGGCCAGGTCCACCCGTCACGTCGACTGGTTCTTCCCCGACTTACTATGTGCCGTGGAGAGACAAGGTTCCATTAAAGGAGAAGCTCGATCAGATCTTTCAGTGGGTAGACATGGATGTAGAAGGCCGTCCGGAACTGATTCTGGGTGAGTGTTGGCGCGGCGTTTCCAGAGTTTGTTGTCAGCCCGCCGATGAGGATCTGACATTTGTCCTCTTGCTCAATACTTCGTGTCATAACGATACACCGTCTCCGAACGCCACCCATCACCAGCGTATGAGCCCTCGCTTGATCAAGCAGGACACGCCCACGGACCAATGTCCAAAGAGGTCAATGTAAGCCCTTGCTCCGCCCTTTCCATATCACTAGCCTAACTTGCAACCGGTCTTGATTCCTGACACCGATGCGAATCCAGGAAACACTCCGGTCTGTCGACAGATTTGCGCACTCATTACACCACGAAGTCCTCGCCCGGAATTTATCCGATATCGCGGACGTTATATTCGTAAGTGACCATGGCATGGCAGATACAAGGGTTATGGAGTGGATATTGGTGGATGATGAGAGCATACTTGGTATGTATGTGCATCTTTCCGCGCCTCCCTCCGTCCCGGTCCACGTACCGTCCAAGCGCTGTCCTAAAACTGATCCAACTGCAGGTTCACCCGGCGATGACGAACCAACGTGGGAAGTGGTCACTCACACAGATGGATGGCCCAACATGGGTTTAAGATTCCGAGCAGGGACAGATCAGAGGGCTGTTTTAAGCAAGTTGATGCGAGCAACGAGGGATCCGAGGCATATTGGGAAGTTTGATGTATTCGTGACAGCGGCGTACACCGGTAGGTCGGACTTAGGTGATTTTTTTCTCTTGGGGGCGTATTGATGCGTAGATTGGGTAACTGATACGTTGATTGGTGCCCTGCTCTTCCGCCTCCGCTGCGGGTATCTATAGGGGATGGCGAGGAAGACGTGGCGATACCCATGCCAGAACGGTACCACTTCTCCGCTAGCGAGCGGATTGCCCCGATTTGGATTGTGCCACGACTTGGATATGCGTTAACGACCAAGGCATTTGGCAAGGGTGAAAGCCATGGGGTGCGTCTGGATTCCATTCCTTTCTAGATTCGTTATTTCTTCTCTTACCCCATTCATTCGCCTTCCCATAATGTCATACGCTGACGCATCGACGCCATGAAGGACCACGGATACGACAATGACGAGCCGTCGATGCGTGCGATCTTCGTGGCGCACGGTCCGTTTTCGACAGGTGCGAAAGGGATCGCTTCGCGTGCGTTGTCTTCGCGTACGCTGGATACCGGGGAGCCTGAGACGGTGCGAGCTGAGGAAGGGGAAGTAAACGGGTGGCACTCGATAGCAAACAACGAGCACGTCATGCAGGGCTTCCGGAATGTCGAGATATATAACCTTGTGATGCGCTTGTTGGACGTTGACAATGTTGCGGCCACGAACGGGACAGTTGGATTTTGGGATGGATATCTGGAGGTATAGGTTGTGGAATGTTATTAACTTCGTTACCCAGGTCGACACGTAGGCTTGTAATCAAGGCGTACGATGCTTGCCGTGATATCTATTGCACCCTTCATTGTAAACTTATGTCCTATATTAATGCGGAAGGTGGCGTCTAAGTGTTCTGTTGCGGGATTCCAATCATTTCCCAACGGCAGTAGGCGGTTCCTAACACAATATGCAGCAATACATGATGTCGCGTAGAAGCTAGTGTCCATGGACTTTGCGAAAGGATACATACAGATCCCTCCATGTGCTGTGTACGGATACCTTACTGGCATCTAGTTATACCAGGGAAGCCCCTCTGCGTTTCGGGCCATTTTGTGCACCGAGGACGAAGATGTGTACCGCAACCCGTGTGAAGAGCAGTCGTCAGTGACTTCGCGAGACCTCATATCCAATGCGTGAATCTCATAAACGTAACAAGGGGGGCTGGTTGAATTTCTTAACACTTTGACGGACATGATTCTGTATACAATTACTATGAAACCTGCGTCCTGCCGCATTTGACAACGGCAAAGCAAGGTTGGCGCCGACGCAGGCGGCACTTCCCGAGTGACCGAGTATGCAATTATATTCTTACGCGCGTGAAATGGTGCTAACCAATGCTAACTATTGATTACTTCACCACGAATGCCAGCCTTCTATGCCTTACACTCATGATTCTCAATCTCATTTCTACTGGGTGAAGATAATTGAGGGTACTGAACCGTTCAGCATGCATGTTGGCTCAGGAATGGCGACCGAGTCAGTTTATTCCGAAAAATTTGCAGGTAGCGAAAATACATAGGGGAAGCCTCCACCGTTGGGGCGCAGCAGCCAGCGATCCGATCACCTGCTCCAAGTATGGTGGATGGCTGTCACGATGCCGCCTCTCCTTGCATTTTTTTTAAATAAGAGAATATTTGTAAGAATAAAGGTTCAAAGTACGTGCCATCATCGACTAGCCCGAACCAATGCACTCCTCTGCGAAACAAACCGGAGAAATTCATATCCTAGATATTCGCTCCAATGATACCTCGGCGAACGCGTCTATCACGGAGGAAATTGCCAGAGGCTTAGATGCCCCAGTCAACCTCAAGACTTTACCCACGGTGCTCCTGTACGATGAGCGTGGCCTAAGATTATACGATAAAATCACCACCGACGCACCAGAGTACTATCCGTTTGGCGCAGAGGAGGAGATCCTCAGAAAACATGCCTACCACATCGTGCAGCTCATGCATGGTCGTACGGATGGCGTCGTTCACGGCGAGGTCATCGTCGAGTTAGGTGCTGGGTGAGATTCCAATTAAATTCGGTCCGGCTTGATATACCTTGCAGAGCGCGTGGCTGCTGTAGTTATGGACGCCGATTCGCCCGTATTCACCCCCTGTCTTTCTTGGGGTATACTGCCGAGTCTCAGAACGCGCTGACCTGCTTTCTTAACGCAGGTCTCTTCGCAAGACATCCTACATCTTACGCGCGGCATCTGAGCTCGTACCCCAACCCTTACCTATTCCCCCCACAACATACTTCGCTCTTGATCTCGAAGAACGCGAGCTGAGACGAACTCTTTCAGAGCTAAACATGTCCGAACTCGGACCTGCTCTCTCCGGAAAGGTCGAAACGAAGGGGTTACTAGGTACATATGAGAGTGGTCTTCGGTTCATCACAGACGGCGGTCTTCCGACGTTTGACAAAGAAGACGAGTTCCCCTTTCCTGTCCGAGGCTATGAGAGGTCGACTCGTAAGCGCAATGGGTCTTCGAGCTCCTCGGATGCTACTACTGCGGAGACCGGCATGACGTCCCCATCTTCCCCAGACCAGCCACCCCTTCATTTATTGTTCCTCGGTTCATCCCTTGGAAATTTCGCGCCGGGGGAAGATGCCGAATTTTTACGTTCTTTCCCATTGAGGCCTGGTTCCGGAGATACCTTACTTCTCGGCCTAAGTCAGCACGCGAAACGGGAGGATATCGAGCTCGCATACAACGATCCCGAGGGCCATACCAGGGAGTTCATCATGAACGGTCTCAAAGCTGCCGGCAACACTTTGGGAGATCCCTGTCTGTTTGATCTCGACAACTGGGAGTATGTCAACAAGTACAACGAAGCAGAACGTCAGTTCCGAATACTTCAAATGGATATCTTGGCATTGGTTTGATACCTTTATTAGGTGTTCATGAGGCGTATTACAAGTGTGTGCGGCCTCACCAAATCCACATCCCACAGTCCAATCAACGTGTACAGTTCTTGGATGGTGAACTTGTCAAGATCGAAATCTCTAGAAAAGTAAGAATCTGTTGATCCCAGTAGTTGTCTTCTGTTGACCGTGACCACTAGTACTCAGAGAGTGATATCTGCAGGCTGTTTTCCCAGGCACAGCTTCGCTCCATTCACTGCTGGATTGACAGCACTGGTCGCCACTCACTCTTCCTTCTTGAGCGTCCACCATTCATGTTTCCGCTATTGCCTGCACCGACTGCAGACTCGGGCGCCTATAGTCCTTTCAGTATGCCTAGCACGGGTGATTGGCATGCTATATGGACTGCGTGGGATTTTGTAACATTGCGCATGATCCCCTACACAATGCTCCACCAGAAACCAATCAATCTTAGACATATCTGCCTTTTCTACTTAGGACATGTCCCAGCGTTCCTGGATATTCATTTGTCTAGACTGTTGAAGGAACCAAACACAGACCCAGAAGAGTTCAAGGTTGGTTCGCCTGCCGTGCAGTGTTGTCGTCCATTAATACTTTGTTGTGCGTTAGTACATCTTTGAAGTAGGTGTTTTCCTATTTCCCACTCTGACTAGGCAACTGGTGGTGCTGACAGACGTGTTTCAAATACTAGAGAGGCATTGATCCCAACGTTGATGATCCTACCAAGTGCCATGTAAGTAGCATCTTGTCCCGATCGTGAGTCTGTTGTGAGTGGGAACATCGCAGGATCATTCCGAGGTTCCGCGAAATGAAGAAGATTGGCCATCATTAGAGAGTATTCTCTCATTCCGACTTCGGGTCCGAGCGCGACTCCTCAAACTCTACGACGACATATCTTCCGGAAAGATACCGATGGCGCGCAACGTCGCTCGTGTGTTGTTCATGACTTATGAACATGAAGGTCTGCACCTGGAGGTAAGAGTTCAATCACAGAAACTCGCCCTTGACGACTCTCCGGCTTTGGCTTGCAAAGTGTCCGATGTCGGGTTCAGTCGGTCCCATTTGCTAGGTTTTTGCTTACGATTGTTGCATGAACAATAGACGTTATTGTACATGCTCATTCAGAGAGCTGGCACGGGGACGATTCCTCCCCCTGGTTTTGCCCCGCCGGCTTGGGAATCATTGTTGGAAAGTTGGAAGCATGCGCCGAAGCCTATGTCGGATACTGTCGTCATGGACACGACGACTGTCACGATTGGCATCGACGATGTCGAGAGTGAAGACGAAGATCCTGTCAAATCTCACGATGTGGCTGGGCATACGTTTGGGTGGGACAACGAGAGCCCAGAGCGGAAAGTTGCGGTCGGCGCATTCAAAATTGAGTGGCGCCCGATCACAAACGGGGAGTTCCACGGATTTTACTGGGGTACTGTTCAAGGCGAAGATGATGGGGTCGGAGTCGGCAAGAACAAACTTACCTTCCCGGCTAGTTGGGTCATGACCGACAATGGTGAAGTTGAAGTACGGACGTTGTTCGGTCCCGTACCTATCCAGGTTGCGTGGGATTGGCCCGTGTTGACCTCGTATGACAATCTATCGGTCTATGCGAGTGTCAAGGGGGGAAGGATTCCTACCGAGCCGGAACTGAGAATTTTCCTTGACAAATTTGAGTCTGGGTACGAAGGAGGCGCGAATACAGGGTTCAGGAATTGGCATCCTCTTCCGTGAGTACTTGATTTTTCTGGCGATGCTTCCCTTACTTCTTACGCGATATAATGCAAAGGGCGACAATGGGTCTCGCCAAGGATGGAGGGAAGGGACATAATGGGGGTGTGTGGGAGTGGACGTCTACCGTCCTTGATAAACACGAGGGTTTTGTAGCGTCCAGCCTCTACCCTGGGTAAGCCCCAGTCTCGTTTTCTTATGTCTACAAAGCTGCGTTGAAGACTCTTGGTTGATGTTAATCGTTCCGTCTTGGACAGATATACCGCCGACTTTTTCGATGGGGCCCATAACATTGTGGTACGTTTCCTCTCTCTCTTTTTTTTGCTTAGTTCTGACCCTGTATAGCTTGGGGGGTCATATGCGACTATTCCGCGGATTTCTGAGAGACGGAGCTTCAGGAATTGGTATCAACGTAACTATCCCTATGCGTGGGTCGGGGCGAGGGTCGTGTACGACTTGGACTGATGGGGGATGTGTTCGGCGAAACAGAGACACAGTGAAATCAGCCGCAGGGGAATCAAGAATTGAAGAATCCGCGTTCGAGGTGCATATGTGACTTTCATTTTGTATGTGGACATGATGTAATGCAAACTACTTACAAGTTTGTACGTTATCTACGAATAATGGTGTTGGTTATCTTCGGAGAAGATTCTGTGTAAATGGCCATCAGGAGCTGTCCATGGACGGATACTGCAGAACGACGCGGTGGTGGGTATGTGTGTAGAAATTGGAAGCCTACTACTTTCCGAACTGCATGCCATGAAACCGTTTGCGAGAAGGGGCGTGATAACGGAGGTTGTCAAGTGGACGCGAAACTATAATCTTGTTCTCGAAGTATCTTACAAAGTCAAAGAAGTAGAAACCCCAAAACATACCAGTATGCATTCCATGGAGTAACGTATAATCTAGCCTTCCAAAATCCCCATTTCTTTCCACTTGTCCCATAGTGCGCCGATTCCAACGGGTGCATTCGCAGCGCCCTTGACGTCCTTAAGGTCCAACAACTCATATTCTCTTCCAAACGCCAAGAAGTGGGCAAAAAGGGAGTTGAAGTGAGGTTCAGAGCGGAGGTGCAGGAGTTGAGGGTAGTGGGCGTGATAAATATGTGCAAAGACGCGGAGAAGCTGGCGATAGACGTGTTTGATTGTCGAAGGGAAGGATTGGGGGAAGTCGTGGCCTGTTCGGAGTTTGAGTGAGCCTGACGGTCAACGTGGCGGCTATATGCGTTGAAAGGATTTACCTGATTTGGTAGGGAAGACGTTTTCATCGTCGAGGAGGTTTTGAACCCACGTCATGACATAATCTATGTAGGTCGGTGCAGGTAAGTTGACGCTCTTGCGATCTTGGTTGATCCACGTGTAGCTGAGGCTGTGGGGGGAGACGATGTCAGGTGGGATAACGGCAAAGACGCGCAGCGTAGACACACCCCGTACCGGCAGACATGGTGGGGCAGGAGTGTTGAGTGCAGCACTCAGATATGACGCCGTAGAACTCGTTCAGGTTGGTGTAAAAGTCGAACACTACAAATCGAATCGCATAGTCGGACTCACGTCCACACAAAAGGATACAACGCACCGTTGACGGCGACCCATTCCATGATATCGACGTACTTTGGGAGGACGACAATAGTCTTGAAATTACCCTTTACAAGGGCGGCTTCGACGAATGGACTGCAGAGATAGAGGGGTTTCGAAGCGGGTGGGCTAACGGGTGACGGAGGGGGAGGCATATCTGCAGACGTGGGCGTTGGAGAGCGCTTTTGAGGACGCGGGTTGCGCGACATGGAACGCCTGTTAGTAGTCGTCGTTAGCATTCTGACCAACCACAAGCGGGGTAGCCTCACCCGATCGAGTTGAAGAACGACATGGCTGTAGGAGAGAAAAGAGTTTGTAACCGGCTGAGCCAGTCGACGAAACACATGATCTTGGTTACCTTATATGGGAATTCCCAAAAAGGGAGAAAACATGGCCGTGGGAATCTGAAGAAACAGGTGTCGCTGTCGAGCACGTCGAGCTCAGAGTTGGACGTGGACCATGGTGAGGACGAGACGGAAGAGCAAAGCAGTGGCTGCTGCTGCCGCGGCCGCGGCCATGGCTGCAGGCAGCGAGGACCATTTTGACGGGGCGTCGACGCAGGGCACAGAGGAGATGTCCGTCTCAGCAGGAGGTCGCCTGGCGATTCCCATACCCGTCGACGTCGACGTCGAGGCCCTTTCCAATCTCATCCCAGAGGTCTCATTCACTAACCCAACTCCAGACACCATCGTGTCCATATACAGACTCTTGCTTGCACAGGTCGCAGAGACCGATGCCACCCACAGAGACGTCGAGGAATTGCGCGCCGAGGTAGAACGGAAAGACATCGAGCTGGACCAGGCTGTTCAAGATGGAGAGTCAAAGTCAAAGGACCTCGAGTCCTCTCTTGAGTCTGCCCAAACCCAACTCAACGCATTGAAGACCGAACGTGACGAGCTCGGTAAGCAAGCTATCCATCGTCCCGCGGGCCGTCTGTCCTTACTCATTTCTAGTCGAGTCGAACAACGCTCTGGAGGCGAAAAATAACTTCCATAGCGAACTCACGAGATACCTCTTCAACAGAACTCGATCACCTCCGACACCGCGTCGAGGAATGTGAAAAGGAGAAGCGCGAGCTTATTGGCGTCGTCAGCAGACTCAAGGAAGATGCCTCACAACGAGACGGTAACTGCAACCTTCGGACACCATTTTACTGTTGTACCCATTTTCTTTCCACAGAGGAAATTCAAACCCTGCGCACCAACCTCCGACAAGCAAGGCAAGAACAACAGGCTCTGGAGTCTCAGGTTCGCGAACTACGGTCCGCAGACACCGCCAACAAGGTAGTACAACAATTGCTTCTCCCGGTGCTTTGTTCACATTGTCGGCGCCCAGTTCAAAATCGAGACCCTATCTCAGCAGCTCGGCCTGGCTCAAGACGAAACCGCACGCGTCACCACAGAACTAACCTCCAAATCCGAAGAATATGCGCGCTATCGTCGCACCAAACATGCTGAATTCATACAACTTCAAACTGCGCACGACGCATTGATACAGAAACACGCGTCTGTTGAGAGTTCATTCAAAGCAATTCAGTCCGCACATGAAGCCCAGACGCAGCAACTGACACAGGCGCTTTCTCGTGTGCAGGATTTCCAGGGTAAACTCGCCGAACAGGAAGCCGCTTTTTCCACAGAGGTTTCTGGACTAAAACGACTGGTGACCATTATGGAAGAACGCGAGAAACAGGCTAAAGATATCGTGGAGAGCATCGAACACGAGTGGGCGGGCGTCGGCGATCGTGCTGAAAAACGCGAGGCTGCACTCCGGGCCGAGACGGAGAAGGAGAGGCGTGCCAGGGAGGAGGTGGAGAAGCGACTAGAGCAACTTGAGATTGTATTGGAGAGGATCAATAGGGGCGAGCTACCAGTTGCTGGTCGTGGTGCGACCAGTGTCCCCGGAACTCCTGGACGCTGGCAGGATGGTGCTGCTGACCCCATGTTTGGCTTGAGTCCGACGGTTGCTATGGTCAGCAGGGCACAAAAGGGAGGCAAGACGTTCACCGAGGTATATGCAGATTATGTCCGCTTGGAGGAAGAGTATGCGAGGAAATGCACTGAGTACGATCACATGGATAGAACCCTATCCGAAGTTCTCGCTCAGATCGAAGAAAGGGTTTGCATTGGCATTTCAATTGGAATAGGTCGTCGCCTTACTGACGGATGCTTATAGGCCCCCATTCTCGCACAACAACGCGAAGAATATGAACGCCTCCAACTCGAAGCTACGCAACTCTCCGCCCAGCTTTCCGCTGCTATCTCCGACCGGGATGCCAACGCCGCCTCCATTCAAGAACTCTCACAAAAGATCAAAAAAGCCCACAACGAGAACGATCTTCTTCAACATCAGCTCACTGATCTTGGTCGACAGATCCAGACGTTGCTCAAAGAACTCGGTCGGCATGAAGACCCCTCCGTACCTTCTGACGAAATTCTGGACCAGATGGAACCCATACCTGCAAATGACATCGAGGCTGTCATCACGAACAACCTTGTCCTCTTCCGCTCCATTCCAGAATTGCAGGAGCAGAATCAACGCCTGCTTAAGGTCGTACGCGAGATGGGCGCCAAGATGGAGGCAGAGGAACGTGACTATCGTGCTACTCTCGAACAGGAACAGAGCGAAGCGGTGCGAGAAGCGCACGAGGCTATCCAGGAACTCGTGACACAGCTCGAGAGGCAGAAGAAGAGCAGTGAGATGACGATTCAAGCATATATGAAGGAGAGGGATACCCTCAAGGCGATGCTGGCCCAGTTGGAACGGGGAGTGCCGCATGTCGGCTTGAATGGTGATATTGGCGTTAACGGCGCTAGCACAGCGAGTAGATCGAACGCCCAGCCTTCGGGTGATTTGGCAATGGAGTTGGCAGATGCACAGGCCCAGTTCGAGTCGTACAGACAAGAGATGGGTGTGGATTCGTCGAAGCTCCGCGAAGATTTTGTTAGCGCCCAGAGGGAACTTGGTCGGGCAAATGCGGACCTGGCAAAGGCAAATGCCAAGATTCAGTATTTGGACGGTATGGCATTTTCGTAATTCTTATCCTCATCGCTCTTGTCCTGACCTGTTTGAGTAGAACGACACCGTATGTCACAAGAACAGCTCGCACTACAAAGCCGCGATCTGGATCAATTATCGATGCGTAACCAACAATTATATGACCAACAAATGCGTCTCGATATCGATAAAGAGCGTGTCATGGACGAGCTGGCGACTGTGAAGAGCGATTTGGAACAGCTCCGCAACGAGGCTGCAAACCTTCGTGCAGAGAAGAGGATCTGGGAGGTGAGTATGCCACTACTTGCTCATTAGTGGTGTTCGGTTGGAGTAATGGATTTTGTGCAGAGCGTACAGACGCGGTTAATCGAGGACAATAAATCTCTCTCTGTAGAGCGCGCTCAGTTGGCGGATCTTGTGGCTAATGTTCAACGTATCCACGGTGACCTTGAGCGTTCGGGCGAGAACGACCGTAAACGCCTCGAGACGCAGATACAGATGATGGAAAGCCAAACGTGGGTATTGCGTGGCCGTGCCCTATTGTTTTTTTTTTCGAGCTGAGGGGTGAGTTTAAAGGCAAGAATTGAAGGTTCAGTTGTCACAAGAGCGAGAGACCCTTCGGCACGTCACGCTTCAGCGAGACATCGACATGAAGGATTTGCAAGCACGTCTGGACAAGACCGTAAGTTACTCGTTACTGATATATTACTCTCCTTGACGTTTGCAAAACAGGCTGGACAGTTGGCTCAAGCCCGGGAATCTCTTGTTGGCGCGGAGACGAGCAAGACACATCTCCAGGATCGTGTAGAGCAACTTACTCGCCAGTTGCAAGGCAACGAAGAGAAGCTTGCTGTGTACGAAAGGAGAGTGTCTGGTGCTTCCGCCGTTACGACTGTTCCTGCGTCGGATTTGCCACGCGAGCAGCAGTTGGAGCAAGAAGTGGCTGAATTGCGGTAAGTCATTTGGCAGCAAATGATCAATGATCGTGAAGATGATTCTTTTCTTGCTTAGATCTGCACTCAAAGTTGCTCAGGTTGATCTAGCATCGGCGCGTACCCACATGCAACAATTCCAGGAAATTAGTCAAGCAAACGAGGCTGCACTGACAGCACTAAACGCTACTCACGATCAGTACAAGACTGACGCTGAAGCTCGAGCCGCCCGACTTGAGGTATTCCTGAAAGCCATTGCAATTCAAGATGTTGGATCTCACTTTTTTTGTTCACGTGCAGTCCGAATGCAGATCGTTGCAAGAGAAGCTTCGTTCGGTTGAAGACGACTTGCAACAAGCCAAGGCGAAAGTCACCGAGATCCAGCATACCCTCGAAAACGAACGTACAGCATGGGCAAACGATAAGAGGATTTTGGAGGGAACGATTGTCGATCTTAGTACTTCCGAAAGGGTTTCTGAGAACGACCGTACCACTCACGAGCAAGAAATCCGCGAGCTGGAGCAGCGCGCGATAGTATGTCTTTCGGAAACATCGTTGTATGCTTGTTTTCTCAAGGGGCTTTTTAGGCTGCGGAGGAAAGATACGCCCGCGAAGTAGTCACCCATGCTGAGTCCTTGAAGAACGTGGAGAACCTTAGGCACCAGCTCACAGCGGCTCAGGCTACGGCTCGCCAAAACCTTGCGGAAGCGGCGAGTGCCCAAGCGAAGTTGGAAGCTTCTGAAGGCAGCTGGAAACAGCAGAAGGAGGCGCTTGAAAAAGAGATCGCAGACCTCAATGCACGGTAAGTGAGCTCAAGTGTCCGTGCCGATGAAGATTACCCATGATATTCGGATAGTTATGACGATCTCTCCGCACAAAAGGCTCTCTTATACCAGCACTTGGACACCGTCAGCTCACAAGCTGCTCGCATCCGTCAGGTTGCAGACTCGTCCACGGAGAACACCTCCAACGAAGCCGACACCAACGACGACTCCGACGTTAAGTTGACAGAGTTGCGCGCTGTCATTGGGTACCTCAGAAAGGAGAAAGAAATTGTTGATCTCCAACTTGAGTTATGCAAACAGGAGAACGTCCGTCTTAAGGGGCAAACCGACCATCTTAGCCGGAGTTTGCAAGAAGCCCGTAGCACTCTCTCCGAGGTAATTATACTTCTAAGCGTGCGCCTGTTGCTCTCTCACATTTCTGTCGCAGGAACGTGAACGTACAATCCAAGCTGCTACTTCAGATGCCCAACATGCTGAGATGCTCGAACGAATTAACCAACTCAACATCCTTCGGGAGAGCAATGCCACTCTTCGTGCGGATTGCGAGAACTATACCAAGCGCGCAAGAGAGCTGGGTGCTAAACTGAAGGCCCTTTCTGTGGAACTGGAACCTGCAAAGGAAGAGGCACGCATCGCACGTGCTGAACTCCAAGCGCGCGACGCTCAAATCGCACTGCCTCGAGGGTGAAAGTAAGCGCTGGCAAGAACGTAATGCTCAACTTTTAAGCAAGGTAGGCCCGGGTTGCCACCCCCACTGCAGCAAGCTTTCCCTAATTTTGGTATACAGTACGATCGGATTGATCCTGCTGAAGTTCAGAGCTTGAAAGATGAGATTGACGCATTGAAGGCCCAGAAGGCTGAGGTGGAAAAATTGGTAACAGAACGAGATGCCAAGTTCTCAGAAGCGAATTCTCGGGTAAGAACAGCCGTTCGAGCATCATGTGGTGTGTTTTTCTCATGGGTTATGTGGGTAGGTTGAGGCGTTGGAAGATGCTCTCCGAAAACATAAGGAGGCAGCTACGAAGAACATGGAAGGGTTCAGGCAGCGGCTCGGACATGTGAACCAGGAACGGTCTCGAATGAATCAGCAGGTTAAAGAGCTTCAAGAACAAGTGAGGACCTTGACAGCCGAACGAGATACGCTTCATGTTGGTGCTGGCGCCAGCACCGATTCCGACGCCTCCAAAGAGCTCACTGCTCAACTCGACGCCCTTCGGCACGAGAAAGCAGCTCTCGAGAAGGCGCTAGCCGAAGAGAGAGCCAAACCTCCCTCGCTGCCCACGCCAACTCCTGATCAAGCCTGCACTTGTTGTTCGTAATGCAGTGTTTTTTCGTATTTTGCTTGTCTAAAACACCGTCATAGGCATCACTCCAAGCCGAAAAAGACAGGCTTCTAGCGGAGAAGGAAGCCCTATTGAACGCTGAAGGAGCCGACGCTTTGAAAGCTCAGTGGGCAGGAGAAAAGGCTGAACTTAGTAAAGCACGCGACGAAGCGGTGGCCCGAGCGAAGGTATGAACACCCTTTCAGACCATGTGCTGCAAGCTGAATGGTGGTTTTTAGGCTGCCGACGAAGAGGCTAAGAAGGCCGCTGATGACACTCGAAATCTTAAGCAGGCTAATGTGAGTTACTCGCACCGGGTCATTGCCGGCTCAGGTTGTAACGAATGTCGATAGGAAAAATTCCAAGTTAGAATCCAAGACTTGCAAAGAGCTAGGGATCGTGCCAATACCGAACTTGCGGCGGCAGTCGAGAAGGCGAAGAGCGAAATGTCAGCTGCGAGCGCAGGTAACGTGGAGGAATTGGTCAAACGGCATGCCAAAGAACTCGAAGACCTCAGAGCCTTGCTGAATGCCCAGCACGAAGCCAACCTCGATGCCGCCGTGCACGCTGCCACCCTGGCGGCGAAAGCTGAGGCAACCGTGGCTTCTAATGATGATGCTACGAAGGCTGCCATTGATGCCGCTATCGCAGCCCGTGAGCAAGAGTTCCAGACTAGGCTTAACGATGAGATCGAGAAAGCTGTCGAGCGCGGTAGAATGGAGCAGAGTGCGAAGTCGAAGCTCAAGGATTCCCAGCTCGTCCGGTCACAACTGAAGGTGAAGGAACTCGAAGCACAAATTCTTGAATGGAAGAAAGCAGGGATTGTACCCGACTCTACTAGTGCCCCTGCCACTACGACTATGCCCGCAACAACAACCACACCTGCAGCGCCTACCTCGACTGTTCCTTCCGAAGCAACTCCAGCGTCAGCCACAGAGTCGTCCTCGGTCCCTTCAACCAGTGTAAGTGCTGGCCCTGTACGAAGGCAGGCTACCAGCGGTGCTGTAATGCTGGTTCCCCCCGAAGCAGCCACCAGAGGACGGGGCCGTGGTGCCTCAATACGTGGTGGGCAGCGAGGCATCTCCATCAAGGGAAGAGGTGGTGCACCTTCACCTACTGCCACCACTGCTCCATCACAGCAGCAAGGAGCCATTCAAATCATGGGTGCAGCTGCCAAACGCGCTCGCGAAGACGACGTTTCTTCAGACGATTCATTAGCTAAAAGGATCAAGCCTGCTGAGGCCAGCACGAGTACACCTGGCCTTGCGGTAGGGACCAGCACCACTAACAAGCCTCCTGTAACGATCAGACGGCCTCAGCCGCCGGCATAATAGTCTGCGCAACATCCATCATGATGTTTGCTGTTATTATACGTTTGCATTTTGTATCATTATCCACACACTCGCCTGAACACTTCATCGTACGTACCGTATTTCGAGATCAATAACTACCAGTGGTATGATCAGTCATGAGCTCTGAGTAACAAGGCAAATGAGGTATGTCTCACTGAAGATCCAGCGTCTGGTGTTCCCGAGTAGTGCAGAGATCCCACCTATTTTCTAAGGCAACTAACAGTGTCAGCAAGTACTGCAGTCATTACAAGAAGCTAGCAAACACAAGAGCAAAGGATATATGATAAATGTAGAAAAGAGTACGTTATGCCAGCACCATCCTTTCAGGCCCATGGCCCGCATCCACGCAGCGGGCACTCGTCCCGATCATTTAATGTCCTCCCGCATCAAATACCATCTCATGTTCTCTCAGAGGCATATGTTCGCCACTTTCACCAGGAACATACGCCGCCTGCGGAACGCCCGTCTCGTCAAGACCCTCTGCTGCCTCGATGATTTCATACAAACGGGATGCAACCTCGGGCGGGGGAACCCGACCACCAAGGATATCTCGAGCTGGAACTGTAGATCCATAAAATTCGCGGTTAGCGTCTTTGCGTTCAATTAGAACCGTTCCCTCGAGGGATACGCCCGCAAACAGACCTGTCAGAATGTAGACTCAGTACCTGTGAGGAATAACCTTTATCCGTCGATAAACCTCACCCTTGCTCTTCGAGTAGGAAAACATATGCGCGGGGTGTGCAAGACTCGCTTGTACAGCTCCACCCGTTCCGATTGGACCAGCCGTAGCGCCGACATTTCCACCCACAGTGACGTTTCCACCCATGGAGAACGCACGAACGGCCTCCTCGCTGTTAAGGACGACGACAAAGTCTGTGATATCGGCGCCTATTTGGAGACCCCACCCGAGACCGCCTGTCGCAATACAGGAAGGGGCGGACCATGACCCGTCTGGGAGACGGGCGATGACGAGACCTGAGCCTGCCTTGCCCGAGAACATGAAACCGGCTTTGAGGACTTGGAAGATAGCGAGACCTAAACAGCATCATTTAGGCAAACTTGTGGAAGGTGTGGAAAGAATGATACACGGAGGGCACCTACCTCGTGCACGCTGTAAGACAGCCTTTGGTATAGAGTTGAGTGCAGACTCAGGACGGTCAGGGTCAGCTATGGGGATGGAAAGAGTGGGCAGAGGCCATCACGGAGTAACCAAGGCAGGGCAAATGAGCCTAAGTTCAGATTTATCATTTCGCGACACTAGCCTACCTAGAAAACTTTCCAGGATCTTTGCTGCCTTCTCTGCCTCGCCCGGGAGGGAGAACCCTTGAACAAAATCTCTAGAACCGGATGCGACGCGGGTAGAGCTTTCACGAACGAAGGCTGTCGCCTGGATCCCAGCTTTCTGGGCTCCGCGCCTGAATTTGTCGAACATAGACATAGTGGCGGGTCTCGTGCGATTAGTGGGTACGAGAAGATACGTCGTCGTGGTCGGGGGAGATTCCTGCTCACTGACTCCAAGACTGTGTATGTATTACGTAACTAGAACAGGGCCGTCGCCGCCGGCAGGCACCTTGTTTACCACGCCGGAGTATGCTACAGTCACTGTGGAAACGAGATTCTGTCAGTATGGTAACTAGACCATGGAAGGTAGTCTGCCTGTAATACAAATGTGGCTAACCATATTCCTTGACCAACTCTGACTGTCAGAAATATTTGGGAGATTTTCTGTACCAAATCCAGGCTTTGTAATTTCTGCTCAAGCCTTGGCAAAAATCTTGACATATGGTTTGGAGACAGATCACATGTCCATACTGGATCTGTCATCCCATCAAATCAACATATCATCTGTCTAGTGACTGTAAGGACTCCTTATCTACCTGGATGCTGTCTGACCTCCCAATAAGGGGATGGCTGATTTTCTGAACATCCAGGCATGCTTCTGCTTGCCTGCCTGTATGCCATGACACTTTCCAGACAGGTTGTTGACACTTTGCAAAATTTTCTTGAAGGCACTGTAGGGAATGTAATTTCCCTACTAGAGCATTCATTTTATTTTGTTTGTTTTATTTAGTTTTCATTTTAGGTGTTTTTTCTGTTAGTGGTACTTAGAATTTCGCTTTTTGACTGCTTAGTCAGCCCTACCCAGTACTCAGTGTAATTAGCTTTTTTTAAAAACAATACATGAGCCACCCCAAGATGAGAAGAGTTGGAGTTGAGCCCTAGACTGTCATAGAAGTCCCCAGATGTCACCCTCTATCATTTGCTCAGGCTATAGGAGCCCCTCTGGCCATACTTATTTCCTTCAGAGTCTGCTTTCCTCTCATTGTCTCTCAAAATAATAATCCTTCAGTGCTCCTCTCCACCAACCCCCACCACTAGCCACCCACTGTCCCTTAGGTTCCCACACCCTCAGATATATTGGTGAGTCATTGACACAAGTTGCTGAATGCATTGGTCACTGGACCTCTAGCAGACTGTGACAGACCTCTCTATTCACTGACTTCCAGGTGAGTTGTGAGATATCATTTGTCACAGACACTGGCTAACAGTCATTGATGACAGCACATACCACTACTTTGACTTTGAGTTCACCAACATCCACCACCTCATTGAGCACCCCCACATCCCCATTGACACCCCCACACATCATCCTTTGTCACCATCATAGATGGCTCAACATAGATTGTACATTGTGCACATATACTCTTTTTTTGAGTTTGTATGTGCCATTTCCACTATTTAACCACACACTTACAGATGCAAAGTTTCTTTACAAGTGTACTTGGACCAGAGTGATGAAGGGACAGTGTAGTGTATGTGGAATTTTCAGTAGGGAGGGTCCTGGGGGGGATTCATATAATCTGCCTATACATGAATTTGAATAAATCCATGCTATGACTATATGAACAGACCATCTGGCTGGATGATGACTGGAGAAGGGACAAGTGACATAGTATCTGTCTGTACTACACAGTCTATGAGCTGCTGTCTGTCAGAACTGGGGCCACCAAGGCTGGCTGGACTCCAGTCAGCATCAGAGAAGTGCAGCATTACATAAGTTATCTTGATGAAGGTGGATCACCTGTCAAAGTATGTTCTATCTATGGTCCTGTTGTCTGCCCATACAATACCTGGTACCAGATAAAATCTCATTTCCACAGTGAGTTGTGAGGTGGCTGGTGGGATTTGCTGTGCAGACTTGTTGTTGAGGCATATGCACAGATGTCAAAAAAAGTGTCTCAATTTTTGGGGTGCAGTGACCTTGTAAATAAGGTGATGACCCACAGAGCAAGCACTGCAATTTTGCACAGTGATAGAATTCAATTTGATATTGATTGTGTACAGTATTATTGTTATTCCTTTGGGAAAACCCAAGTACACACTGCATAGAGATATTCTCATGCATGTGTCAATGTCTAAATCTCCCAAGAATGTATATGCAGACTGCTCTCCTAATTGGTGGCTGGTGTCCTTTTTGGCCCATGATATTATCTTCACTGGGTGGTGTCATGGGCTAGGCACTTGATCTTTGGTCCCACCACATAATCAACCATGTCTTGTGGGACAAACTGTCTGAAGGTTGAACATTCATTGATCCATTGCCCAGGGAAAAGACATGTTTCTGTTCTGGAGTAGTGTTACTGGAGGGGTCCTCACATCTTTTTGTTGCAAAAGTATATGAGATTGCATAGTTCACCATGTGAAGACAACTGGAATGGGTGGTGACATTACTCAAGGGTCTCCCTTTTCCCTCCCCCAGGTGATACCTCGCTGGTGTGTATGCAATAGCTCACCCATCACACTGTGCTACTTCTTGCTATATCAGATTATGGTACTACTTGATGAGACCTTTCAAATGGTGTATAGTTTATATACTTTATTTTTATTTCTGTTGCTTTCCAATCTGACTTATGACTACTGCATTTTTGCCTTATAGTACACATTGTTGTATGCTTAGTCAGCACCCAGTAATACCTGTGCATACAACTTTTTGTTATACAAAAACAATAGGTGAGTTGCAGCTTAGCCAGAGATGACAGACAGTTGGAGCAGGCATCTATGGGCTCAGGGCCTAAGATAACAAGGGTTGTATTGCACAAATCATGTGCATGTCAGACTCAGAAGACACCAAACAACACTGCAAAAAGATGCAGGTGGTATGTGTTATGCTCCAATGTGGTGACCTTGTCAAATGGACTAGGCACAAAGTGAAGGAGGGGACACACTACAGGCTGAACTTATTGTAACCCCTGTGGATCCACTACTGATCCTGTTTTTGATTGGTTCCCTCTTGTTAGGATGACACCTGACACAAGAGGAACAAGAAGAGAGAATATATTTGAGGGGATTTGCAAGGTAGCAAAAAACTTGAGTTACAGAGTACCACACATCTATCTATATACCTCCCTAAGGAGGGCACACAATAACCCTGTAAGTAGTAGTTCACTGCAGACAGTAAGTGATGAAATAGAAATGAGTCAGTACAACTCTGTAGCAAAGGAAATGAAGCCCAAACCAGTGGTGAAATCAAGCACAGTGAGGGGGTGGACAGATGATGGGGGAATGAGACATGATGACATACTGTACAAGTATAAACATGAGATGAAGGTAAGGAAACATACATGAGAACAATCAAAGTGCAGCAATGACATTACAGAACTTCTGGACCATGACTAGCTCTTTCCATGGATGATGAATGACCCAGACCATGGCCCAAATGGTGACAATGATGATGGCAATGGTCTGGAATGAAAGAGCCATGATGACATAAGTGTCATGTGACCAGAAACAGAAGGGAGCTGGTTCAAAGTGTAACATCACCCCCCCCCCTCAAGCTTCTTGGACCCTTGAAGGAGGGGAGGATAGATGTGTGGTGAGGGGTCATTGTGAAGATGAACAGGTAGTGGGAGGCAAGGGAGTCAGAGGGGAGTTCTTGTGAATGACAGGGGTCCAGTGTGATCTGGCTTCATTGTGGCAAGACCAGTGACCAAGTTTTTGGCACTGAAAACAGGCAAAGGAGTAAGGGGGGTGGTCTTCTGGGATGTGAGTGCAGCCACTGAGGTAGTAGTGGAGTTGGTCAGTTGGGACAGGGAGGAAAGGGTTGTGGGGAAGCAGTGTGGTGGTTTGAATAGCATTAAAGTAGGCCTGGTTGCAACCTACCCAAGCAGCATTGTGGAGTAGAGCCTCCCAATCACTCTGATGTTCATGGGTAGGTGTGACACCATTAAGGAGAGACACAGTTTGTTTGAAAAGCTCACCTTTGTAAAGCCTATCAGCTGGAACTTTGGGTTCCCATGCCTTTTCCTCTTCCTTCAGCAAGTTCCACATGATGGTGGTGCCTGGCTTCTTTAAACAATTGTGGATCTGGAACATGGGCAAGGCTGTGAAGGCCTGGTCCTGCCAAGCTGTAAGCAGGTGATAGGTGGCATGGGTCATGGCATCCTGGACATCTCCACTAGACCATTCCATGATTCTGACAAGAAGTTGATTGACCAGGGGCTGCCCCCCAGTCAGAACCCAAACCCTGAGCTTCTGGACAATCATGTCTGATGCTTGGTAGAGCAAAGACAACATCTGTAGATAGCTATTTTGTTCTGGTGACCACCCATCAAGCTTGTCCCCCTCATTGTATTTCATAAGCAACCAAACCATGTTGAGGAAGTCACTTGCTGCAGCAGCAAGTAACAGATAGGCTGCATGATCAGCTGGGTTAAGCAAGGGGAAGGGGGGTTGGCTTTGGGGTTGACCACCATTGGAAGCAGCTTCAATGGAGAGGTGGGGTGGGGCTGCTCAGTTATTAGCATCATCCTTAGCTTTTCCTTTATCCTTTCACATTCCCCAGGTGTTACTGTCCCTTCCAGGAGGGACTCTGCATGATGGGAGGTAATGGTCCAAGAACAAGGAGAAGGGGTGAGAGTAGTTGGGGATCTCAACCTCTGAACAATTGGAACATCCCCCTGCCTGTGACAAGGGCAGGGAGATCAAGCAGACCATATTACAGGAGTAGGTGAATGGGGTGGGGGCATCATGTTCACTGGAGGCATCATAAAAGGATTTGATATCATCAATGAAGTCATTTTTAGTGTTTACAGAGTGAGGGGAGTCCATTAAAACTTGAGGTGACAAGTGAGCTTGTATTGGTTGAGCATGTCTTCAGCATGCTCCTTTATATTTTCTTCAGGTTCCCAGGTGTTTGTCATATCCATGACTCTCAGGCTCAATCCCAGTCCAGTCTGGACCCCCCCTAGCCCCTATCTCTGGTCAAGTCTGGTGTTTTACCCCTATCTCTGGTCCATTCCAGCCTCCTGGCCTTGTGCTGCTCCACCCTGGTCCTCCCAGGTCCATGTCTGGGTCACTTGGACATAACTCTGGTCTGTTTTCCTTTGTTTGTACTATATTTAGCTTGGTCCATTCATCTGACTTTTACTTACTGTACAAATCCTGTGTCTGACCCTGGTTATGCTGGTCACCCAGACTTTGACTATTAGCCTCAGCACAGCCCCTATGGCTGTCCACACTCTTGCTAATCATCTTGCTAATAGCTTATTCACAAGAGGTGGATGTTAAGTTGTATCAGAGTGTGCTTGGAGCCCTCATGTATGCAATGCTGGCCACTAGGCCAGACCTTGCCTTTGCTATTGGTGTCCTTAGTTGCCATGCTGCCTGTCCTGGGCATGAGCACTTCACCATGCTAAAGCACATCTTTTGTTATCTGCAATGCACTCCCAATGCCTGTCTCACCTATACACAAGACTTGAATGCACATGCAATCAGGTATGTTGATGCAGACTGGGTGGCTGATATCAATGATTGCCATTCTGTTACTGGCTACATATTCACTCTTTATGGTGGTGCTGTCAGCTGGTCATTGAAGAAGCAGCCTTCTGTCACTCTCTCAAGTACAGAAGCAGAGTACATGGCTGCATGTGCAGCTACCAAGGAAGCTGTTTGGATATGGACTCTCATTGGCAAACTCAAGACTGCCTCATCATCTGATCCTGCTCCCCTCCTTATCAACAATCAGTCTGCTATCTCATTAGCCTGAAATGTGATGTTCCATGACTGCACCAAGCACATTGCTATTTGTCACCACTTCATATGAGAGAAGGTGGACTCTGGAGAAGTTGTCATTGACTATGTGCCTACTGGTGATCAGGTAGCTGATGTCTTGACCAAGGGTCTTTCCAGGGAGAAGCATGTTCATTTCTCTCAAGCCATGGGTATTATTTTCTCTTAATTCTCTGACTATACTTGCTGAGGGGGTGTGTTGGAGTTTGACATATTTACCTTAGTCATGTTCCAGTGAGCACAGCATTATGTAATCAAAAAAGCGTACACTTTGCAGTTACTTATTTACCTGCACCTCAGCTTCAACCAATGTGAAGTCTGAGAATAATCCTTCCTTTCAGTCCAGTACTTGACTCCCTCTGCAGTTCATCAACCTTCAAAAGATTTTCCTTTTGGGCAATTTCTAGGAATTCTTCAATGTGTTTATGGAGTTCTTTGAGGGTCTTGGAATGGATGACAACATCATCCATATACCCAACTTGTTTTCCATGTTGTTTTTCAAAGGCCTTGTCCATATACCTCTGAAATGAAGGAGGTGAGTTACATTGACCAAAGAACATTACTGTAGGTTTGAACAACCCCCTAGGGGTAATAAATACTCCTTTCTACTCATCTCCTTCTTTGACATGGAGGTTATTAAAGCCCCAATGGATGTCAAATTTAGCATAATAATGGGATTCTACCAGTTTGTCAAAGAGCAATTGTGCACTAGGTAGTGGGTGTGTCTGGGATAGCACTTCAGGTAACCCATTTTCATAAGCATTTAGGCTGAAGTTTTTCTCCAAATTATTCAAGCTAAAAGCCACTCAGACCAGGTCATCCCAGGGACATCTGGCCATGTCCCAGGGCTATTTACAGTTTTCAGGACCTGGGATGTCCCATAATCCCAGCCCTTTGGTAATATATTTTGGGCTGTCCCATGGCTGCCTTAGGTGTCAGGGGTCCTCAGCTCAAAAAAGTGCAGTTCATATTCACATTGAAATGCCACTTCTGATCAGAAAAACATACATAGCTGTCATGATCATCCAGGATGATGAGCACACCTGTCAAAGTAGGGGGATATGTGAGAGTCAATCCTACTGTCACTTTGCCCACCAAAGCCCAACCTTCACATGGTGCAAAGGCCCATCACCAGGTAGTCAAACATGAGTACAGACCTACTTCCTGTGTCTTGTGTACTACTGTCTCAACCCTTTCCATCAGTGCAAGGTGGAAATCAGGATACAATTTCTGAAACACATGAGCCAATGTCAGGGGATGGTGAGGAGTCCCTGGTGTGTAGCACTACCTTTTTTTTTTTTTGCTTACTGACCACTGTTTTCAGACCCACAAATCCAGCTCTGTAGCTCAATGTCTCCCTCTCCAACCACACTCAAGTTGCAATTCTTCACAAGGGTTGACATAGAAAGAACACAAGGATCAGTACCTTGACTCCTTCTGGACAAGACAGGTTACACTCCAGAATGGTATGAAGCTTGACCACACTGTTGCCCTTGAGCAGCTATGATTGGGCATCATTTCTATGGAAGATATAGTTGCTGAGCAGGGTCACAAAAAGTGTAAGTGTGTGATCTATGTATGTAGCTGTATTCCTTCTCAAGGTTGCCACCAGCTGTTACCCCCAATGACAGTGAAGAGGATGAACAAGCTGTTGAGAGTATGGTGCAAGCTGAAGGTGATCTGGTCTCAGAGAACCTGGTGGATCATGATGGTCACCAAGCTGTTGAAAATATGATGGACTCCATTGTCATGATGATGTTGAGCATGAAAGTGCATCAGGTTTGTTTATTTGATTAAACTGCATTATTCACATAATTTACATGTGTCATTGAATAGACAGCGATTGGTCAGCTGACCAGAGGCATGACCTTAAACACAAACAAACCCTGAGAGAAATCTGTGCTGGCAATTATGATACTGATAACCATCCTTCCACACCCCCTCTCCCTTCTCTGTCCTCATCAGAAGAAGAAGAAGGAGCTGCTGATACCAAAGGCAACACTGACAGCTCTGTGACCAGGAGGCATAGGGAAGCCAAAGGGAAATCTCATGCCCTAGCCAACACATCCTCTGAAGATGAGGATGGACCTAGTGACACTGGAGACCTCCCTGATGGCTTGGAGATGACTGGGATGCATAGGAAACCCAAAGGATGACATTGTGCCTTCTGCAAGGTAGTAGTCACACCCTCTGCATCTACCCTAGCCAGTGACCTCAGTCAATGCAAGGATGCATCCAGTGCAGAAGCAGGCTTACTGCACTTCAAACCAGGGCAGCTTCCCTTGGAAGCCATACAAAAGGCACAGGCACTTGGCATGTGCACCACTCAAGAAGCCCAGGTGATTGCAGATGAGTATGGCAAGACTCTTGGGTCAATCATGGCTGCTGCTGGTCTTACCACAAAGGCAACTTGTGCTGAATCTGTGTGGAACATGGATCAGGCTTGGTATGCACATACCAATCCAAAAGCATCTGCAGGTCAGTACATCCTAACTTGTTGCAGTTTTGACTCTGCATTGATTCAATTGCAGAGGAAACAAAAGACTACTATAGGTGTCACACCAAGCACTATGAGGACCATAAAGATGAGGATGAACATCCTCAACTGTGGGCTGAGATCTGGAAGTATTGGAGTGAGTATGTCAGTGGGTCCAAGGACATCAGTTCCAAGGCAATGGTGGGCCATGTAATGGCTTGCCATGACTCCTTTACACAAGGGGTGGGTAATACCATTGTGATTGTTTGCTTCTTGAATAACCTCTTGTACAGGCACAAACTTGGTGCAATGTGGAGGGCATACATGTCTTTGGATGTGTAATTTATAGTGGGAGTGATGAAGCTGCATGTCAATCCCAAGGAATTTTTGCTGGATCCTCCCTTCTCATGCAGCTTGTGAGTGAGAGGCGGACCAACATAACACAATTATTAGAATACTTGTCTACAATTATCAAGTATGTATAACATATGCCATGTACAATTGCCCACTGACTTTTCTTTAGGTGTGAAATCCTTAACTCTGCTGCTTCAGTGCCTCTTCTTGACTTTAATGTGCTGTCACAGCCCTGTTATGACTGTGCACTGGGATTAAAACCTCAAGAATACAGGCATGATTGCAATTGGCAAGTTTTACCTACAATCATACTCCATAAATTCCATATGTCAATAAATCTATTTGATTCATATTCATCCTCTGAAGTGCTGCCACAGAAGAGAATGGTATCACACAAGGCCAGAGAAATGTTTCTTGGAAGTCATTGCTTGATCTGCTGTATGTTCACTAGTATACCATCACTGATTGGCCTGCTGGAGTCCCTGCTGTTGGTCTGGATTTCAATGTCAAATGCCTCAATGCTGATGAACTTCACGCTCTGACTGTTCCTTTCCTGAAAGAGTCAATGGGTGCAGATTACCATGCTGAGGGAATACCTTGTCCCTTTGCCAAATTCATCATTTTACCTCAAGTGGACTGATGGTGAGTTGTTGACATGAAATGGTCACCCTCACTGACATGAATAATCCAGATCAGATTGAGCTATTTCACCAGTCATGCAAGGATGTGTGACATCCCACTTGTGGTGAACACATTGAACTGGCACCTCCATGTTCTTTCATGATTCAGATGCATTCATTAAGGCCCTCCCAAAAGGTGACAAGTTTAAGGAGAGAAGTGCCCCTTCATCTTTCCCTGACCAACCTGTGCAAGGACAAGTGCCATCCAACAGATGTCACCCCTTGCCAGCAGCATCCAACACCCACCATATGACTGTGCCTTCTTTATCCCCAGCTTATAGATTACCCCAGCCACCTGTGCAGTGCCATGTGTCTCCCTCAACATCCCACCACACCCAATGACAGCAATCACCATCCTGCACACATCACCCCTCTCCTGCAGGATCACACCACCTGAGGTGAGGGCAATTGCCATCCTATGGACCTCATTCCACTCAGCCAGCATCCCACCACTCCCCTCTCCCTCCTTCATCCCCTGTCAAGGAGTTACCACAGTCATCTCCACAAGGTCCACCATTGCATGGTGATCATCACACATATCTTGCTCCAGCAGCTGCATATCATCATCACCCCCCTTCTGATAACTACTTTCTGACCCCATGTCCTTGCCACCACCCTTGGCATGAGTCACACAAGCACTATAGAGGATATCAGGACAATGAGAGTGATCATGGTGGTCCTTCACAACAGGGAAGAACTCACCAAGGGTATGTTGCTGGGTAGCCTACATGAACAATAAGACTAACATGCACAGTGTGGTTGAATACATTTATTGAAGCCCTCCCCACAAGAGACATTGTTGTCATGACTCTGATGACTCTGATGGACATTCCTATCACACCCATGATTGACACAACCACTACTAGGCATGTTTTCATCTTGATCAATCGCTTGCTACTGGCTCATGTACACCCCAGTTCAACATGTTTGCATCATGAGCATGTAACTATGATACCCTGTGGCTGTATCATCTTCCCCCTGCATATCCTTCCTTTGTGTAACTGTCTGCCATCATTCATTTCATCCATTATCCACCATGGTCTTTTTGTTACCATCATAACTACAATACCATTACAAGACCATTCATTTTCTCCTCACACCTATGCATATTCAATCTGATAGCATACCCTATCATAAATACAGATTGGATTTAGGTGTAAACTGCTATGTGTGAGATAGGAATGTGAAATCCATGGAACCAGACATCCACTAGAGCTATGATGTCCATGTGAAGGGCATGGGGCTCTGCCCTAGGCTTCAGGGGGAAGAGTTCTCAGTAGCTACCAACATAGACATGCCAGAGTTGGTTAGAGAATCCCCTGGACATAACATGGAGAATCCCCAGCAGTGCTTGGAGAATCCCCAGAGTGGGTTGGAGAATCCCCAGAGTCAGTTGGAGAATCCCCAGCACTTCCTGGAGAATCCCCAGCATTGCCTGGAGAATCCCCAGCAGTGCTTGGGGAATCCCCAGAGTCAGTTGGAGAATCCCTGGCAGTGCTTGGAGAATCCCCAGATTGGGTGGGAGAATCCCCAGCATTGCCTGGAGAATCCCCAGAGTCAGTTGGAGAATCTCCAGAGTGGGTTGGGGAATCCCCAGCATTGCCTGGAGAATCCCCAGTAGTGCTTGGAGAATCTCCAGAGTCAGTTGGAGAATCCCCAGCATTGCCTGGAGAATCCCCAGAGTGGGTTGGAGAATCCCCAGCATTGCCTGGAGAATTCCCAGCACTGCTTGGAGAATCCCCAGAGTCAGTTGGAGAATCCCCAGCAGTGCTTGGAGAATCCCCAGAGTGGGTTGGAGAATCCCCAGCATTGCCTGGAGAATCCCTAGCAGTGCCTGGAGAATCTCCAAAGTCAGTTGGAGAATCCCCAGGTCATAGCTTGGAGAATCCCCAGGACATAGCTTGGAGAATCTGCAGAGTGGGTGGGAGAATCCCCAGCATTGCTTGGAGAGCCTCTGGAGACAGGAGTTGGCTGGGAAATTCCAAGCATTGCCTGGAGGATCTGCTGCATACCCTGTGGATCCCCAGAGTGGGTGGGAAAATTCCATTAAGACCTGGACAATCTTTGACTCATATGCAATGGCCAAGACTGGAGATCACTGAAGACTTGGGAAGCATGGTGAAAGTATGTCTGCTGTGCCTGGGCAATCACCATCACTAAGTATATTCTACTCCCTCCATCAGATGTCACCAATCTTTCCTTAGTGGTCTATGGCCATGCTTTTTCACATATTGTATAGAGTGCTCAGATCAGATGCCATGGAAATAGGTACTTGGCATGATGCACACTCCTGTCAGCAACATGGAGACTCCAAATCATTTTGATTGATCCTTCATGCTGTGATGGTGGTCTATTTGAACTGGAGGTTCCCATGATCATCTTGGAATAGGTCTGTTTGGGCTGGATGCCCTGGGACCTGGTCCATTCAGGCTGGGGAAACCCCCAGGATGCACTGGGAACAGGTCCATTTAGGCTAGAGAATCCCCCAGGATGCCCAGAGAACAGGTCCATTTAGGCTGGGGAATCCCCCAGGATGTACAGGGAACAGGTCCATTTAGGCTGGGGAATCCCCCAGGATGCCCTGGGAACAGGTCCATTTATGCTGGGGAATCCCCCAGGCTGCCCAGACAACAGGTCCATTTAGGCTGGAGAATCCCCCAAGATACCCAGGACATAGGTCTATTAACCCACTGGGGAAAGCCCCATTTGGACCCCAGGCACTCTGTTATAGATGTAGTAATCCTGGAGAAAGTCCATGTCTGACACCTTGCTCTGGAGAATCTCCAGGGCCTGGCAAATCTCCAGCAGTCACTGGGAATACCCAGGTGGTCAACACCTATTAGGTGGATACATCTATAAGACTATATGAACCTAATAGGTCCCCTGGGGGGGGTGACTGAAGTGGCCCTGGAGTCCCCAGGCATGGTGCTGGAGAAAAAACTTTCCATGGCAGCAGCTGGGTATACCCAACCTGTTTAGACCACATAGGTATATAAACCTGTAGAAATATATAGATTTAATGGGTCTCCAAAGGGGATTGACTGAAGTGCCTGCAGACTCCAAAGCTATCATGGGACATCCCATTGGTCTCCAGAGAGGGGAGTGGGATGTCCCATCAGTCTCCAGGGAGGAGGGTGGGATGTCCCATGGTAGCCTCTGAAGCTATCATGGGACATCCCAATGGCCTCCAGAGCAGGGAATGGGATGTCCCACAGTAGCCTCTAAAGCTATCATGGGACATCCCACAGTGGCCTCTGAAGCTATCATGGGACATTCCACTGGCCTTCAGAGAGGGGGCCTGAGATGCATCTAGTATGATCTTAGTAAGGAGCACTCTTGCAGTAAAAACAGGAACTTACATACATAGGCACTCATGGGAGAGGTCTGAATACATTAAAATTCATTACAATACTGCAATGCTCACTGCCATAGGCATTGTATGAGTCTGGAAATGACACCACACACAAACACACTGATTGCCCAGTATTCTTCAAATCTGTGCATAATACATAAGTTGTATTACATGGTTTTGGAATGGCAGTGACTCTCTTTGACCTCTGGGCACCAACAGGGGGACCAACTTTGAAAGTAACAGCAGACAACCTAGTTGCAGGCATGATGAATTTGACCTGGTAGACACATAGTCAAACTGTGGGCCAGTGGAACTGTGGAACACATAGTCACCACACACTCTTTGCTGATGCAAAATCAAGTGAGATGGAAAGGAAAAGATGTTCAGGTAAGGAATGACTGGGTAAGGAAAGACTGGATTCAGGCCAAACATTGGTTAGTGGATGATTTATGATCTTGCACAAAGGGTTACACACCTGATTTGAAGTGAGTGAAGAAAAGAAGGCAAGGAAGAAGAGAAAATGGAGGATGAAACATTCACTACTGAGCTATTTATTTGGTCCCAGAAGAAGCCTACACACCTAATTCACACTAGCACCCTCACTTCCTTCTAGCTTGCACAATCCTATTGAGAAGGGTCAATTGAATGGAAATCTGGCATTCAGGGCAGAGGAAAAATGCAGCATGTCAACTGATATAGTAGGACTGTCATTGTCATTGTGAGCAGAAGATATAATAAAAACAAAAAGTTGATGACAAACCTACAGACAGCAGCTCAAGGGTGATATATTCTTTTGACAAATAACCATGGTAGGTGTCAGTGAACAGTTGATAACAATACAGGTACCTTGGAATATGGATGAGATCACTACAAGAAATTAGGTTCAGGGAGCATTGATATTAAACCTTATTTTGACATCTATTTCATAACATTCGTAGATTCAACAAAAAGATTTAAACATACCTCCTTGGACAACAGTACCAGATGGAGTGGGTAAGGAATGAGACAAGTGCCAATGAACAGGATAATGTATACCTGGTAACTAGAGCAGGTATATTCTTAGATCCAACAAACAGAGACCACTACACATACCTGATGACAACAGTGAACAAAGTTGACAACAATATGGGTACTTTGGACTACATACAGCACAGAGTTGGTGAGGAATGGATGGAGATCATTACCAGAAACTCAGTTCTGGGAGCATTGACATCAAACTTTATTTCTGCAGTGATTGACAGGTGCTAGCAAATGAGATGGGTACCTAGGGATTATGAGAGGCTGACCACATTCATAAATCAATGTAAACAGACCACAAGACATACCTGATAACAGCAGTAACTGTAGATCAAGAGTATGTAATGATATCCATAGCTCAGAATATGATAGCAGTTGGCCAAGTGAAGAATGAGGTGAGCACCAACTAACAAGATGATTTATACCTAGATATTAGAGAGGGTGATCAGATTCATAAATCTAACAAAAAGAGACTGACACATACCTGATAGTGATGATAAGTCAGCCCAACACCTGATGACAATAGATGTGCCTCTGACTGCAATACAACAAGGAGTGGGTGAGTGAGGAATGAGGCAAGCACTGATGGAGATAATTTATACCTAGATATTAAAGAACATGATCAGATTTGTAGGTCCAATGAAATGCAAAGGTAGGACATACCTCATAACAATGATAAGTGAGGATTGACAGTCAATAACTATGTATCTACCACAAACTGCAATTCAACATGGAGTGTGGTCGAGTGGAGATGAATGAGATAACTTATACCTAGATATTAAAGAGCATGATCAGATTTGTAAGTTCAACAGAAAGCAACAGTAGCACATACCTTATAATAATGATAAGTGGGGATCAACAGCTGATAACAATACACCTACTGCAGACTGCATTAGAGCACAGAGTGGGTGGGTGAGGGATGCAACAAGTATGGACAAATGAAGTGATTTAAATCTCATAGCTGATAATGAGAGTTGCAACAAGTACAGATTTGAACAAGATGATTGAAACCTCACACCTGATAATGATAATGAGTCAGGATCAACATCAGCTAACAATAGACATACCTCAGACAGCAATAATAGGCAGAGTGACAGTGACCCAGGAGAGAAACAAGATCAGCACTAATGAATGAACATAGGTGTTTAGAATCAGCTGGAGGGAATAGTGCTATAAAACATACCTTTGTGAGTGGGAAGGAGAGGATCTGGGGTGAAGGGCAAGACAAACTCCTCAAGGTCTTGAACCCCACTAGCAGTGTGGTGGTGCTGGGGTGACCTCAGTGACACAAAGTCAGCTGCAGCTCTGAGTGAGCAGCATGGAGCCAGCTCAGACTATCTGAACAAGTTCTGTTGGTTGCTATCTGCATGGCCAGGAGCACCCTTTCATTTGAAGTCCCCAATTGAGCTGGATGGCTCTGGCAACCAAGCAGCATACAAAGCCTTCATCTTGGCTTGCGAATTCTACATCCAAACTACATTTGATTATCTTGGGCATCAACCATCCCTCCACTGCATTTTTACCTTTGTCTGACATCCTCTGCTGCATATACTCTTTTTTTCTGTCCAAATTTGTTTAGTATGAGTATGTACCATGTTGTAAAGCAGGCTGAATCAATTCAATGATTCAGAATGTTGCCTGTGACTGAACCTTAATCTCATGCTTTGTGCTCACTGCTTTTTTTTTTTGTTGATAGCAACATGTTATTCACTGACACTCCCACTGCCAGGCAAGGAATGTTCCCATCCCCCTTCACTGCTATTGATACTTTATCTGCATCAAGGTCTGCACCATTTAATTCTTTGAGACTCATTCTGCTTGGTATGTATGACATCTTGATGATGGGGTTCCTGCTCACTGTGATGTTGATAGCAACTTTTGTTTTTAACTGCTCAAGACTTGTGCTCTGGTAAGTAGGATCCTACTTGGCTGTATGTGGTGATCTGATGAATTTTCTGTGTAGTTCTTCCCTTCCAGAGGTTCATCATCTGGTCAAAATCCCCTTGGACTGACACCCCCTGCTGACTTTGTGTCATGCTTTCCACCACCTGTTGACTTTGAGTCCCAGGTGTACTGCCATTGGCTTTGTGTCACAGTTTCCAGAATGATCTGAGATGGCTGTTCACCATCCCAAGCCTTGGAGGCATTGCAATGCTTCACCTTCTACAAGTAATTCTAATATTGTGAGTTTTCCCTGTCTTCAAGCCTCATGTTGTGCTCATCATTTCTCTACAGGCCTCCTCCACTTCATCTGTCCAAGCTGGTCTGGTACCCAGTGTACTCACTGACCATCCTTCATCTTTGTCTGGTAATGAGCCATCACTTTGTACTTCTGGCCCTTTGGTGTGTGCAATTTCATTATGGTATTCTTCATATCATCTTAGCTCCCCTACAGGTCTTATCAATGTCATCTGCCTCAACCAACTGGCTGCCTGATGTAGCCACTCCATCATCAAACAACTAAGTGTCACTTGGTATACCTGCCCCTTCAGTATGTTCTGATCCTATGTCTAAGAGGTTATACATGTTTATTTTTGGGTAGAATATGACACAGTCATTGTTTGTCCCTCCTCCCCTAGCTTGTCAACACTGCCCTTTTGGTATGAAAGCACTGTACCTCCCTGCACCTGCACCTGTCTTTGTACTTCCAGGCCACCAATGCCATGCTCAAGATACTGCTGCAATGCCACATCGCCCTCAGCACCAACCTGTTGATGTCTTCAATGCAGTGAATGAGCTTGAACTCAGTGAGGTTGGCTTGCCTTCATGTCTGAGTGGTTCACAGAAGTGCAAGAACCAATGGCAATGGTGGTCACAAGATATCATTCCAGCACTTCTCAAGCCCTACATGTGCTATCTTGAGGCATCCCAATCCCTCTGCATGGTGGTAGACCCCCCAGTCATCCATTGATGTTGCACTTGCACAGTGTATCAACTCACTGTTTGCTGTCTCTTCTTTGACCATATGTGACCCTTTTGTTGTTTGCTCTTGTGATGCTCATGTATACCCAGGTTTGGAGGATGTTGGGATAAGCTACTGTGCATGCACCCCAGCTTCTATAATCCTGGTGGAACCCATGCTTCAGAGGATCTAACAGCACCAGTATTAGAAGAGAATGACTCTGATGAAGGGGATGTAATGTCAGAAGGAGATGATGAGCTGTTGATGGCCATTGAAGAGATGGAACTGGAAGAGGAATGTCCCACTGAGCAAGCAAATGAAGGGGAATATACAGAAGATGAGGATTGGTTGGAGGACATTGGAACTGGTTATTTGCCCTCATCACCATTGCAGGTGCCATCAAAAAGGTGTAGATACTAGATGCATACCTAAGCCTCATCAATAAATAGTTTGTACCGAGACCAAAGATATGTATGAGTGATCTACATTCAATGTTACCCTAAGGAACTCTGTTTTATGGTGACCTGCAATGCCTTTGGCCTCCTGCTGGGTCAAGCATTATGATTGATTAAACTAACAAGAGAATGCACATAGTGCATTGGAAAATCCTCAGCATTGCTGGGAAAATCCCCAGAGTGGGTGGGAGAATCCCCAGCATTTCCTGGAGATTCCCCAGGACAGAACTTGGAGAATCCCCAATATAGCTTGGAGAATCCTCAGAGTGGGTGGGAGAATGCCCAGAGCAGGTTGGAGAATCCCCAAGACAGAACTTGGAGAATCCCCAGTATACCATGGAGACTCCCCAGAGTGGGTGGGAGAATCCCCAGAGCAGGTTGAAGAATACCAAGCATTGCCTAGAGAATCCCCAGCAGTGCTTAGAGAATCCCCAGCAGTGCTTAGAGAATCCCCAGGTCATAGCTTGGAGAATCCCCAGAGTCAGTTGGAGAATCCCCAGCAGTGATTGGAGAATCCACAGAGTGGGTTGGAGAATCCCCAGAATTGCCTGGAGAATCCCCAGCAGTGCTTGGAGAATCCCCAGAGTGGGTTGCAGAATCCCCAGCAGTGCTTGGGGAATCCCCAGAGTTGGTGGGAGAATCCCCAGCATTGCTAGGAGAGCCCCTAGAGACAGGAGTTGGCTGGGAAATTCCAAGCATTGCCTGGAGGATCTGCTGCATACCCTGTGGATCCCCAGAGTGGGTGGGAAAATTCCAATGGCACCTGGACAATCTTTGACTTGTATGCAATGGCCAAGACTGGAGATCACTGAAGACTTGGGAAGCATGGTGAAAGTATGTGTCTGCTGTGCCTGGGCAATCACCATCACCAAGTATATTCTACTCCCTCCATCAGATGTCACCAGTCTTTCCTCAGTGGTCTATGGCCATACTTTTTCACATATTCATATTGTATATAGTGCTCAGATCAGATTCTGTGGAAATAGGTACTTGGTGTGATACACACTCCTGTCAGCAACATGGAGACTCCAAATCATTTTGATTGATCCTTCATGCTGTGATGGTGGTCTATTTGAACTGGAGGTTCCCATGATCATCTTGGAATAGGTCTGTTTGGGCTGGATGCCCTGGGAACAGGTCCATTCAGGCTGGGAAAACTCCCAGGATGCACTGGGAACAGGTCTATTTAGGCTGGAGATTCACCCAGGATGCCTTGTATGCCCTCCCAGGGAGGTATATAGTCAGAGGTATGAGACCCTGTACTTAGTTTTTCATTACCTTGCAATTCCCTTGAATAGACACTCTCTTCTTGCTCAGACCCTTCAGTCACATGTAATCCAGAAAGTGGGACATCTGACATGTACATTTGGTCCTGAAAGTGGCGCTAACCAACATTGGCCTATAGACCCTGACGGTGGATAGGCCAACATGTTGGAGGGAGGTCAGCTGACCTCAGTGGGGGATGACCTCATGGCCTGGAAGCAGTGTCAGCTGACCTCATTGGGGGATGGACTCACCCTGGCAGCAGTGTCAGCTGACATCACTGGGGGATGGACCCACACCCTGGAAGAGGTGACAGCCAACCTCACTGGGGGATGACCTCACCCCCTGGAAGTAGGGTTAGCCAAACCCTGAAAATTCCCTTGGCATAATCAGTTGCTTGTCAATTTAGTTGTTACCAGAAGCATTGACTCTGGTGTCACTTCCAGATGGACATACCCCCTGAGACCAGTGTCAGCCAACCTCACTAGGGGGTGGCCTTACCCCCTGAATCCATAGCCATTCTTCACCTCTAGGTGATGTCAGTGATCTCACAGGGTTTGAAACCTGCAATGAGCATGGGTAGCCATATATAGGGATCCTTTTGATTTACACCATCTACAGTTTATCTATAGACCAAGACCCAGAGATCTCTTGGTTGGTTGATGAGCTCTAGTTGATTTCTTGCTTGCCTCTTCACCCTCCAATCTTCTGATCAACATCCCCACTGCCTCCCCTTTTTCTTTTCCTCAAATCCTTTCTTGTATTTCAGGATTCCTTCATGCCACCCTCCTGGGTGGGACAGGAATCCCCTGCACTGACCCCAGTTGTTTCCTGTGCACCAAGCCCTGTGCCTGAGCCACCAGAATTCTGCTGCAGTCTTGCAACTACCAGCCCTACTGCACCCATAACATTTTCCCCCTTGTGGATATCAAGACCTGAGCCTAGCAAAAAGCCCAGATTAGCAGCTTCAGGGTCATCTGATTCTATGTCCTGTGCTCATTTACACTCCCCCCACAACATACCAAATCCCAGTACAATGGTAAGATCTTTCTGGGTGGATGCAAACTTTTTACTTTGCAATTGATACAGTGCCTTCCAGAAGGAATCCCCATTGCCATGCATCTCCTGGGGAAAATACTGGGCACTCCAGGTCCAAGATGCCCAGACAGGCAAGTTGACTGGTCCAGCATCAGGTTCCTGTACAAAATGTTTGTTAACCTAGTGTTTGAAGGAAGTTTATCATTTACTGTCTCTAGCAAGCCATCTACAAGCTCAACATGTTCCTGGTACCTGGGCATGATGCAAAGGGACTTTAAATATTTCACCCTGTCCCCTTTGGCATGACAAGCAGGGCTGGATTCATGAGGGGTATCTTCAGATGGGGCCCTCCCAGAGTCAAGGATATCCTGGGCCCCTGATGAAGTTGCTATAGGGGTCATACCAGCCCCACCAATTTCTGCCCCTAAATCTGAGGGCCTGGCCCCCACCCCAGCTTCACTGTCCTCCCCAGGGCTCATCCACACTCTCTTTTTGGATGGAGCTTTCCTGTTCCAGAGCCTTCCCAATGGCTTGTCCTCCTTTTTGCACTTGATGAATGAAATGATCACCTTATTCTCCTCCTCTTGGGAATTCCAATGATTCCAAAGCATCTGCATGTCAGCCTTGGTCCATTTTGAAGGATCCTTCATCACAAATCCTTCTGGGATGGAATTGGAACTCAGATACTCCAAAGGGGACTTGATAAGCAGGCCCAAGGGAACCTTGGCCTTGGGCTTCCCTGTAAACTTTGTTATGTTTCCAACTTCCATCAACAACTGTAGATGCACTTGACAATCAAGAACATACCATAGGCAGCCTGGAAGACCATTCTTGCCAAACTCTGCTGGACCTTGAGTTTCTGACCAGTCCAAGCTGGTACCTCTGGGTTTCCTTCATCATCCAAGGCTATCTCCACCTTTGGATTCTCATCATTCAAATCTTCCTCAGCTGAGTATGGAATCAACCTAGGTACACATATTACATTGATCACCAATGTTCATCACTTACCAGCTTCAGTCAAAAGATAATCCATCAACATTTGCTCTCCCTTTAGAACCCAATCCTTGGTGGGCTCTGAAGATTCTGAGAAGGCCTTCTTCCCATCAGGGGGTTGTGTTTCAAAGCTAGGTTACTTCATTAGCATTGGATAGACAAGGAAAGGGGAACCTACACTGCCATCTTGATCTGAGAATCAGTAGTCTCATGAGCCAGAAACACCATTATATTTGACCCCATGGTCCAGTGGACTGTTTCAATAAACTCTCTGGCCATGCTGGGAAATTTTTTTCTCCTGTACCTGAATTATTGTGTGATTAGTATAAGACACTTGAAGTAGACCAGCACCAACAATTCATGAGTTTCTTTTGGAGCACGCAACTTGTTCCACTTGGAAGCAGCCCTCCCTGCTTCAGCCGTCTTGTCATCTGCCAGAGACTCCCACCATTGTTGGATGATTTTGGTCCTCTGACCTATAGTCTTGGGGTCCTTGGTGTCCCTCCTCTCCCTATCATAGGCATCCATGTCCTCTTTGAAGAGCTGCTGGGAAGCAGTAAAATCAGTGAAGGGATTTCTGTAGTTTCCAGCCTTGGTAGGTCTGGTCCTCTCCTCTCTGGAATCCTCATCCTTACCAGTCCCAGGCTGTTCCTTCCTCTTGTCTGATGCAACCAGGATGCTCTCAATGATGTGTTCCTCATCATCTCAGTCTTCAGGGTCTAGTTCTGGCAAAAACACCCTTCTGATGGCCTAAATACACTTGAGATATGTGAAACTTGATGAAAAAGATACTATATCACTCTCAAGTTCTGGGGCAATTCCACAGATCCTGAAGGTGCTTGCTGAAGGATCTGAGATGGGTGGCTGTGCAAGTTTTGCTTCTTGAACTGCAACCACAACCTTCCACATCAGGAAATAGTACAAACAACTACAAACAACAGATCATATCTGGAAACAACAACCTTGTGGTAAGTTGTTACACTTTGGTAAAATAAGCAACTGGCTGCTTATTCTTCAACCCCCCATACTGTTGGAGATATATTCTCCCCTGTCTTTTCTGTTCACTTTGGTATGATGTTTTGGCTGCTTACATAAGCCCCTAGAGCGCACACATACTGCAGTCATTACACTGTTCCCTCAGTAGCTTGGACACTACTGAGGGTAAGAACTTATTGTTCCTAGTATGTTTGCTATACTGATATCCTGTAGACTGCCTACAGATATTTCTATGCATACTAGACCAAAGCCACCACTGAGGGTGCTAAGATTACTGAGGTAGTGGGTTCTGTCACTGAGAAACAGTTGGTAAGTCATGTCATGGGCTTGAAATCAAGCAACTGGTTGCTTATCCCCCCCCCTTACTAGCCCACAACCCCTACTGAGGGTGCCATGGCTACTAAGGTGGTGGGTGCTGTGACTGAAAAAGAGTTGGTATGTAACTCATGTCCTGGCCTTGCAATAAGCAACTGGCTGCTTATTCTCCACCCCCACCTACTGGACCAAAGGCACTGAGGGTGAGAGTGCCAAGGCTACTGAGGTGGTGGCCTCTGCAACTGAGAAGGCATTGGCAAGTCATACCATGGGTGTAAAATAAGTGATTGATCACTCATTCTGATTTCAAACCTCATCTAGCTGATGAACACCTTGTGAACCAATTGAACCAAGCAGCAGGCATATAAAAGACCACCCATCTTACATTGACAAAGGTATGTCTTTTGAAAAAAATAAAAATAAAACCTAAGCAACCAGTTGCTTATGTGCTCTCACAGAATACCCAAAAACTCAACATAGTTACTCAAGAAAAAGATGCAGACAGTGTGATGGCATCTGCACAAGAGTATGGAAGAGGGGATGGAGTGGCAAGTAGACACAACATCTGTGCAAATAAGAATAAGTAACTGGTCTCTTATCTTGGCCAATGCAGCAACATCATGTGGCCCAGGCACCCAGGAAAGAAAAATAAGAATAAGATAGGGTCTTGGTCACACTACAAGAACATTTGGGATTGACATGCATGACAGAGGAAGTGTACTTCAGAAGGACAAATGAGGGCAGAAACCATGGAGGGTACTATGGATACCCCAGCATTGTCTGAGGGACAGGTAAGGCAAAAAAAATCAACAGGGCATGAATCCCTAACTTGTTTTCTGCATTTTTGTGTCTAGACCAATAACAAACATTGCAAACTCACTCAGACACCTGCCACTGCTGCTACCAGGGTGGGAGCCATGGAGGTGGGTTTTTTTTCAGGTGGGATCAACAGTAGTGGCACTCATTAGTATTGGTCTCAGAGTATGCCAGAACATGGCAACCAAATGGTAGTTCAAATGGTAAGCACAGCTTTGACTGGAAAAATTAGAGAGGTCAAGGAGCCCAAAGGTCCAAAACAATGGCTACACACAGTCATCCCCAAGGGTGACAATGTGGTTAGTATTCTGATCAATTGCACAGCTACATGTGCTAACTTGACTTGGCTGTAGGTGGCTGATATCAAGACCACAGAAATTGCAGAGGCAGATGCCTGCATTTCTCAGATTGAACATGCAGTGGCTGACATGTCATTAGGCTATGCACTAATGACTGTGATCCATGACAAACCTGATTCACAATGTGACCTGGGCTCTGGACCTCTTCTAAAGTTACAAGAATACAACCCTCAGGATGTGGATGCCAATCATCTCAAAAAATTACATGAAAATATCAAAATGCATTGCCTACAGAACCAAGCCATTTGGAATGCCATGGTGGTGGCAGTCCCACCTAGACATGGGTGAGTGGAATAAAAAATAGGTGACCTGTCACCTAATTTTGCTAACAAATCAATTCCCAATCAGACAAGTTGGGCTCTCATCCAGAGAAACAGTGGTTGCTGGACCATTTGACCAGCAACAACCCCATAGTCACCTTGCCAGATGATGATAATGACAGGCTATACCAAGTGTTGAACATCATTGCAACATTGGAGTCTGCCAAGGACAAAGAAAATTACATCAATGAAATTTGTCATCATACAGGGGGTTCAAGCAAGAGTCATCCAGCACACATCCTTTCAGATGAAGGAATCTATTCAGCTGTCACCCCCCTGTTCATGGGAGGAAAATTGGCAGGGCTGACACAGGAACAGGGTTCACTGCTTGTCAGCTGGACAGTTGGTGCCCAGCCACAGGTGGTGTAAGTTGTTAATCCATCTTCAAAACTTGCCTTGAATGTCTGACATATGGATAACTCTGAATTTTTCTGTGTGAATATGTGATGGATGTATTCACATTTTTGGCCACACCTATTGAAGTCAAGAGGCTTTCTACTGTGAAAGCCAGGCTGGAGAAGGCTCCTAAGGGTGAAGGGCAGGGGGAGATGACTGAAGAAGCCAAGAGCCATGCTCTAGCCAAGGAATTGAGGGCATATGCAAGGAAGTTGTTGGAACAAGCAAGGGCCTCACCCTAACATGCATGGGAGGTGGTGGATGAGTATGCAGAGAAGTGGCTAGAGGCATGGGTGCAATTGAGCAGAAAGTGTGGACATTCTTTCCCATGGTGACTTTGGGCCCTGGAAGACCCAAACTCTCAAAAAGTTTGGCAAGACTTAATGGATCAGTACTGGCAACAAATCCTAAGTGCTTGCACCAGAGAGGGGCATCAGGTCACCTTGGATCCCCAAAACAACAATGATGACAGGGTCTGCGTAGACATGGCAGTCAAGGTGGGCTGGATCAAGGCAGGGCTGTTGGTTTGCAAAGCATATCCCAAGAGCTTTGCAAGTCTTCCCATTGGAAATTGACTCCTCTTCCAGAATGTCCAGCATGTCTTTTCAGATACTGTCAGCACACCACCAATTGAGCTCACTGAAGTGATCAAGGAGGTGAGTTGAATCATTTTTGGCTCTGGAGTCAAGGAATGAACACAGGTTTAGGTGGTTACATGGGTTGAGCCTGTTTTACCCCTTGCTATGAATCAGAGAGGGGACTGTGTGTAGTGTGACTACACTCATGCATTGATGGACAATGCACAACACCTTACACAGTCCAGGCTGGCTAGAGTCATGGTGAGTTTAAGCAACTGGTTGCTTATTTGGGCCCTGTGCTAATAATCTCCTCCCTGCCCCAGAGGGTCTGGGGCCAGGAATCAACCTTGCATATGGAAGGTGGGCATCACCCAGGGAGTCAACTGGGGGAGTGGTCTGACTGCATTGCCAAGTGGCTGCACAGCCACTGGCATCAGCTCCTTATATGGAAGGCAGGTATTGCCCAGCTTGTTGATGATTTGGGCAGTCTGACTGTGTTGCCTGGGACCCCCACCACACAGCCACTGGCATCAACCCCATGTATGGAAGGTGGGCATTGCCCAGGGAATCAACTGGGGTGCCCAGCTCATCAATGATTTGGGCAGTCTGACTGCATTGCCTGGGCCCCCACTGCACAACTGCTGGCATCAATCCCATGTATGGAAGGAATCAACCTCACAGCCACTGACATCAACCCCTTATATGGAAGGTGGGCATCACCCAGTGGAATTAACCATGCCCAAGTCAATGTTGATGGGTGTCATCTGAGTGCTGTGGGCCAGGCATCAACAGTACAGCCACTGGAGTCAACCCCATATGTGGTGGTCAGGAATCACCCAGTGGAATTAGAGGGTGATTGAGGATTTGAAACTCACATTAGACTCTCTATCAGACTGATACAGGCAACATGACAGAGGGCAATGTAAGCAGCACCTTGAGCTCTGCTGCATAACTTGTTGACAACTTACACATCTCCCAACAGGAGTCAAGCAAGGGAAAGCACCTGCCTGATCAGTGTGTGACTGCATTAGATCAGGGGTGCTTGAGCATAGGCAACTGACAGTGTCTCCCAAGAGGACACTGACAACATCATACAAGCAGAGGTGAGAATTGCCCAGCAGCATCCTGCCCAACTTGTCAATGACTTACACATGTCTCCCAACAGAAGCCCAGCAGGAAGCCCACAACCCAGACAGCCAAGGACAAAGGACCTGTGGCAGACAAGGGTCCCAAGAAGACAGTAAGTGTATAACTTGGAACCCTGCACTGGAGGGGGGGGGGGAAGTTCAGTTCAGTCCATCAAAGGTGTGATACAGTCACTGACAGACAATCCCACAGCTCATGTGATACCTGCTAAGGTATTCTGTGGCTGTTCTGGACTTTTTGGCTGCCCCCATCTCAGTGGAGACACTGTCTACTGTTGAGTGTGAAGCACAGGCATGTGGGGTTGATGTCCATGGTATGAAGAGACAAGCTGTGAAGCAGATCCAAAAAGATTGGCAAGCATACACAAATGGGAAGAACCTGGAGCTCAAAACCTTTGTCAATGTCACTTATTTAGATCCATGGGCAAAGGCATTTGTGGAGCATGCCTGCAACACAAACACATTTGATTACTTTGGATCAACAGAAGCTGCTGACAAACAGAAGTATGACAGTGGCATGCCCCCCTACTGGCATGAGGTAGAAAAGACCTGCAATGAGATGTGGAAATCAGTGAAATAACCCATACCCCAGGATGAAAAGACAGTCATCATGCAACACATCAGGCAAAAATCAATTGGCTCAGGAGCAGATATTTCATGAAGGACTACTGCACATGGCACATTGCACTTCCCATGGCCAACAAGTACCTGGCACTGGCATTTCTATGGCTGTTCCTTGGGGAGAAGCCAGACAAGAGTGGCAGGAGTGGGATGGCAATGGCCATTGCAGAGGTAGGTGTCCAAGTGACATCATGGCAGATTGGTTCTGACTTATCCTGGGCAGTGACATGGGTGGAACCATTGGCAAGATACATGATTGAACAGTGGGACACCCAGGCAAAGGAAAACAGTCCACTGAAAGCATGGACCAACTACACCTTGGCCCTGTCCAATTATATGGAAGGTGTCAAAGATGGGGAGGATAAGGTGAATGTAACAACCCCATTGCAGTGGTCAGCTGCACAACTCATCAACAAGTTGTGCAATGGAGAACACCTGCTAATATGGGCACACATGAGTGAACACTACAATATGACCACTCCTATCTGCACTGTGTTCAAACCCCTTGATCTTGGAATAACAATTGAATTTAAATATAATACACTATGCAGATTTGTATTTATCAAAGATGGTGAAGAGTTTGCATACCAGTCCACAATCCCACCATAAACCATTCTCCAGTTCTTTTTTGGCATCTGTTACCTGAAGGGCTTTCTTCAGATACAAGATTATTTTCTTTGCTGCTTCCAACTCATTGGCCATCTCTTTCCTCATGTTGTCCTTCTCATCCATGGCAGGCATATGATCTGCATCTTTGGCCAACTTGTACTTCCTTTTCTTGCTCTCTATGAGTGATATCATGGCCAGCAATGGCCTGCAGTAAAATGTTTCTAGTGGAGGGAAATCTTTGCCGAGAGGGGCTGTGGTGATGCCATTTTAAGTAGGATGCAAGCAGTCCATGGTAGTGGAGGTGAGCAATGGTGCAATTGAAGGATCAGATCAAACTTTGATCTGTGACCTGCCAAATATGGAACACATGTCCTATACATTGATAATCATACCATAAACCATGCCATAAATGTTGCTGATGCCATGGATAGGTGGTTAGGACAACTCATATTCACATTAGGGGATTGGCCTAGTGATCTAATAGTCTGATCAAGGCTATGTGAACCCCCCCCTGTCATAGAAAGCTGGACGACTTTAAATGGTGTTTGTCCCCCAGACCCCATTTTCATTGACCTTGTAGAGACATGTCCTGGTCCATACAACATGATGAACACTGCCAAACACAGGTGAACACTTGCTAACATCAACTCAGCACAAAAGCCCCTGTCCAAATATAATGGGCCACCCTTGGACCTATTTTGAGCCTATGATTCATCTTCCTAGACCCCAATAGGTCTGTTCCAGTGCATGGAATACAAAACAACTAAATCAGACAATATACAAGTGCACCCTTCTGACCACCTTCCCTCAGAGGATGCTGAACCACTTGGGATGGTGTTCATCCCCCTGATGCCATTCCAATCAACCTTAGAGAGGCATTCCCAGGTCCATACAACATGAAAAACACTACAAAACATGGGTGAACACTTGCAAACATCAGTCCAGCACCAAAGCCCCTGTCCACAAATTTACTGGGCCACCCTGGGACTTGTTTTGAGCCCATGAATCATCTTTACTAGACTCTGATAGGTCTAGTGTAGTGCATGTGATACAAATAAACCACATCAGATAATATACATACCCCAAGAGCATTATTATTACAAAGTGGCAACCATAAATTGGGGGAAATGATGCTGGAAGTACTACTGGAGGCCAACATCATATCCATAGATTTAATAATACATGGCAAGAGAAGGAGATATCTCAGCTTCACAAACTTGAATTGCAGCTGGTGATACAGCACACAGAGGAGGCCAGGGTGGCTGACATTGGGGAGCTTAATGAGTACTTGAAAGAGTGTGATGACACACAGGAGTTGCTAGGGTTTGATGGGCAATGGGTAGTGATGATATACAACAAAGGTGAGATTATACTAACTCCATGTTCACTATCTCATGGATGCTGCATCAGAAACTGCCAGCACCATGTCCATCAACACCCACACCACCTGACACAATGCAATTGTTAACATGCCAAATATGGATCCTCCACCTGACCTTGCTGGCCTACTCTAATCTGACATTATCAAGTGTTAGTTCTCTTCTGTACTATGCATGCAAATACAAATCTATTCCAGACCTATATGAGGCTGAAAACAATCACAACTGCCCAACAGTCATCCAATACAAAATAGGAGATACATGTGTATCCATCTACACATACAATAAGTCATCGTCTATCCTTCTGTAGGCTGACAGCAGTCTACTCCATTGCAATCTCTCACATTCCTGCTCCTTCTTCATCAGGAGCACCCCCAACCCTCAGCACTTGTCTTTGAGTGCTGTAGCTGGCAAAACCCCACCCAGATAACAGGTTCTACCATCTAGGTACTGCATAGGCACACCACCACTCACTCTTATCATCTTTTGTGTTGGTTTTGGTTGGTTTTCACCACTGAATCACACTTTGATTCACAGTGTTCACACAGAAACAGATTGCAATGGCTTCTGAACCACCATATTCACCTTACTGTGGACAAAAACCAGCCTATCAGGTGAAGAAGCCCAATGGGCACAACAGAATGGTACTTCAGACCCACAAGCAGCCTTTGAAGCTCATCTATGAACAAACTGCCCTCCTATTGATGGCCCCCTGTTCACATACAAGGAGAGCCACAAACACAAACCACTCACACACTCCACATTCCTGCAACAGTTGAAGTCAGTGGCCAAAGCAGTGGGCTGTGAACCAATCCATGGGCACAGCATCAGAATCAGGGCCATGCTAGAATACCTACTCAGAAGTGTGCCCTTCAACATGACGCAAGTTGAAGGAAGATGGGCAAGTGACATGTTTCAACTCTACCTACACAAGCACAATCAGATCCTAGCCCCCTACATACAATCCATGACACCATTCCACCCTATACATCCCAAAACCATGAGTGAGCCTCCTCTGAACTTGACTGTACCTTTGACCTATCTGGAAATAAGCCCTTCACCCTTCTTTTTCCACACATACTCTTGTCCATCTAACCCAATCCTGTTGATTTTAGTCTCATCTGACCATATAACTCTCTTCCAGTCCTCCACAGTCCAATGCTGATACTTAAGAGCAAAGGCTAACCTCTTCTTCTTGTGACCAGTAGAGAGCGATGGCTTTTTCTTCTTCACCACAGCCTTCAATGAGGCTTCTTTGAGGGTATTTCTCACTGCCTGAGAAGAAACAGGACTATCAACAATAGAGTTGATGAAATGAGTGGCTTGAACAGCATTTTGGCCTTTCCAGTAAGGATTTGCTGAACAATAGCTCTCTTGTTGGTAGAGGAAAGCTTGGAAGGGTGACCACCATGAAGCCTAGACCTCTCTGGTTGGATTTCATGAAGAACCTGGGATACTGTAGACTTCCCTAGACCAGTCTGTGAGACAATCTTCCTAGTGGACAGGCCAAGAGAGGCAAGAGAGATGATGTTTTGTCTTTGAGAGGTGGGAATGGACTTCATGGTGATGATGAGAAAATGAACAGAGGGTGGTGGGGTTTATATATGTTGGATCATACTCATTACATAAAGGTAACATAATAGAACCCTTGATGAATGTATGTAACAATATAACAGCATGCCAGGGTCAATATATATAATCAAAACTTTAAGTCAAAAAACTGTCTGCATGACATGTCATTTTCAAATGGCTGCTATTCTATCAATGCCTATCCAAATCACTTGATTCATGGACCAATAGAAAGCCAAGAGTAAGTACCTTATTTCATACACTCATGGTTTAGGGCTAGGGTTAGGGGTTATTGCATTTAGTCATAACTAATGTAAAACATACACTGTACTTGAGTCTTATGTGCTGTTGTTTGGCAACAGTCCATCTAGCAGGATTGCTGTCAAAGTTCAGCTTCTATGCATGTCACATTCTCAGCCTTGGCATATGTTTGGTTGCTGCAAGTGCCAGCAATGGCCTCTGAGTCAATACCACTCATTGTACTATACATAGCAAATAGTGATGTCATGTGACTCCACTGTCACCAGATTTGGCTTCTATATACTAAATACTAAATTTTCATTTGACATTCTCATAATTGCAGTGTTGAGCCAAGCAAGCACTCACTCATGCCATTGGCTGAGCAGTAGTGGTAGCTACTCTTGGGACTTCACAGCAAATGTATTGTAGTAGCACTACTGGATCATTTACTACATGTAGCTGTTTATTGAAACCAGAAATCAGCCCAGTGCTGACTGACCACTCCATAAATAGTACTATGTAACATTCCAGAAGAGGTGTCTGAAGTACAGGTAAACAGGTGTGATAATCATGACAGCTGTGATGTTGTTCATGTCACAATTAAGGTTGTGTCAAGATTATCATAGATCCCACTACATGACAGTGTCTACCTGTCCAAAATCAAGATCTGTGCATCCAAGTATCCAGATTGACACAGTCTCTTGCTCCTCTCTTCCTGCCATGCAGTGTCTCCCTCACAGACCATCTTTGCACTGTCCAAGTCTCTGGCCCCACTGCATCTCAGCAAAATTTTTGCTATGTTGTGATCCTCTAGGTCACAAGGTCTGAATAATACTCACATAATGCACTAGCATGACATCATGAAATGATCTCTCCCTCAAGATTGTTGCATGTCACATTCTCATTCAGCACCTCTCATGCCTCTCCCTGTCTAAACACAATTGGTACATTGTCCCTGTGATGCCACATCTCCCTTCAAAAAAACAAAAAAGATATGCTGTTGCACCTCTCACAGCATCTTTATAACACTCACATCACACACTAGGATGCTCCCAGTGTTCTCAGTCTCTATTGGGCATTGTCCAGTGTCCCTGTACCACCACTGAGGTGGATGATGAAGGCTGACCATCCCATTGTAAGTGGTGTCACTGGGATAACCATCACTCAACAAACCATTGATATTAGGAACCTCTGGCAGATACAGGGGCACAAAATGACCTGCTGCTGACATCTCCAAAGGCAGTGAGCTGGGCAACAAGGACAGTGTTGATGATAGAATGCTTTCAGGGCAGATCTTGCCAAGGGCAATACAGACTTTGCCATGAATGAGATTACCATGCTCCTTCAAATCCTTCAAGATGCCACATCAATGGCTACATCTGATAATGCCAGTGTGAAAATGGTGTTGTCTGCACTGCAAAGAATGGACAGGGTCCCACAGTCTCATACCCTGACAAACATGATTGACCAAATTTGCCAAACAGGGGTGGACAGTAAATGCAGTGATACACTGAAGTTTTGGGCTTTGTCTAACTATGGCCTATGCCTAACTGAATTGACTGATGATGTATATGGGTTGGCATTGCTGGAAGACATGGATCATAAGTATAGAGCCTCATGGAGCAGTGCTTAGGATATGCTGGGGTTAGTTAGACTATATTTGTATTAGCATCTCACCTTGAGCATAAATGTAATGCCACTTGATCTTATTTTGCAAGAACTGTACAGTTGCTCTGCAGTGGGCTGAAAGGTGTACCATGCTTTCACAACCTGTTGATGAGCTGTGCATGTGTCATGTGTGTGCAACTCTAGTGTGTGTGTGTCAAGCATATGCAACCTGTAAGTTTGAGTCCTCATTCATGTTTGTGCCTGCAGACTTGAATGTGTTTGTACCTGCATTCAAAAGATACATTCGTACCAATCAAGTCAATACTATGCTTGCAACTTGAGACACTATTATAATCAAAGATGCTCTCATTCACATTCAACCAGTAGCTCATCCACTTCCTCCTCATCCTTGTCCTTAGTCCTTGCACCCACACTCTTGCTCACATTCAAGAAAAGTGTGTCCACATGCCCATTTCAAGCCAAAGTGGTCTATGTGAGGTGGGTGCCTGAAGTGGCCAAACATGAAGCAATCTTCCTCAATGGAAATCACCACCATGAGGTGATGAAGCTCTTGACTGTCCAATGGACCCATATGCAGTACAAAAAGGGAGTTCAGTTGACCAAGAGCATCTATGGTGTACAGCACAAGGACAAGTTGGAACAAAGGGGGTCATGGTCAAGGGTCAGTGGAAAAAATAAGTGACTGGACCTGACACTACAGGCACTCAACAGGGATTTCCATGAATACCTCTTGGGTACTAAAGTGGTGTGGGAGTTGTGTTGTGAGGTACAGCATCTCATGCAGTCTTGTGTTGGTGTCCCCAAGGACAATTGGACATGGTGGGATTGGGATACAGGAGCAACCAGATGTCCAAATGCCTATGGATGAATTTGAGACCTTGGCACCCATGGAAAATGAGACAACTGACAATTGAGCAGTGTGTATGGCATTGGAGCACCAACTGCACTTGAAGAACAAGGCCAAGCTGGCCACCATTGTGAAGACTTTATTTTCCAAGGGACTTGGGGTGATGAAGAATGGTCAAGTTTTGCCTGATCTGTATGATGCTGTGAAGAGATGCCTGGAGGTGAGTGTGTGGGTCTGAAATAAGCAACTGGTTGCTTATTTTCTTATTTATTTTACAGCTTGCCATGCTAGAGTCAGAGTGACATGTTGCCCAGCTGGCTGACCCTCAGATGATGTGGAGGGCATGAAGCTTTCCAACAAAATGTGGGAAACCTACAAAGTCAGGATGCCACCAAGGGCAGATGACAATACCACCACAAGTTGCTGGGGTCCACAGGAAGGTATGGGTCTGGACTTGTTTAGAAAAGCTGGCACATTTCTTCATGGTGACCATGAATTTCTGGAGGAAATGAAATTGAAAGCAAAAGAAGGGAGGCAATTGAAGAAGGAAATGAGTGAGGTGGAGAAAGCCCATGTGTTCCAATCCAGGGGGGCACATATGAAGAAGCTGAGTGCCAGGGTGGCACAAATCAATCAGAGGAAGAATGCACAGGATAATGATTGCTGTGTAGCAGACTTTGACAAACAGATGGAGGAGGAGTGACAGGCTACCAACACTGCAGCCAAAGTTCCTGGGATTATATACCTGTAGGGGAGTGCAACCTATGACAAACAAGGCACAAATGCTTGGTAAGTAATGAGTAAGAACTGTAAGCAACAAGTAATCATGATGAGTAAGCATTTGTGTTCTCTCCCCTGTGTTGCAGGAGGTGAGAGGGGCCAGTTCCATACCATGTCCTGGTGCCCCACTGATGGTTTTGCACCATAGTAGGAGTTGTCCTTGGTATTCTGCATAGTTATCCAACCATTGCTGGAGGGCTCCCTTGTCCCAGATCATCCTACCATCTCTCTGTGCTCCAAATTGGCCAGCAAGTGAAGGGTCACTGAGGAACTTGTTGCTCAGGGCATCACAATTGTCAAAGCAAGCATTGCTCCTGTCTGTCAGGAAGGAGTAGCCCACATCATGGTTGCCAAGGTCATCTGCTAGGCTCTCATAAGATACACATATCTTAACTTGCCAAAGGACTTTGTTCTCTGAGAGGCTGACAATGATGGTGGCACTGGCTGCAAACATGGAACAAAGTTGCTTCAAGTGGATTTTATGACCCTTGTAGAGTAGCTCCATCCAGTGCTTGTTGTCAGTCCACCAAATGCAAGAAAGAGACATTCTTTGCAGTGCAAGGGATGTGGCATGATGTTGTAGAGCTTGAATGTGACTGAATGGGGAGTTGGTGTGCTCTGTGAACCAAGGCTGTAGTTTGTCACATGCCAGCTCTTCCACACCATCAAATCTTGATTCCAATCATTGCCTCAGTTCCTTTAGGCATACTAAGTGAATGCAGTATGTGAGCCTGGTAAGGTAGTATGTCACTGCAGCAGGCTCCTTGCGCTTTCCATCTCCCTCCAAAGTGTACAGAGCCAGCATTTGCTTTGTGGAACAGGGCATGGCATTGCCAGTGGTCTTGGGCCACTTGGTCATCCATACTTCAGTCAAGACCTGGTGAAGGCTGGCAGAGACATCCACTCCTTCTTTGATGGTTGGTCCCAGGGCAGTGACCTTTGCAATGAGGCTGTCAGGCAAAAGTAGGCTGTATCTATTCTCCCACTGCACTTGCCCCAGCATATATCACAATGCAATGACTGGTGCAGAGTAAGTGTCCATTGTGGCCTCATTCTGGTGGTGATGGAAGGGAGTGTTGCTGATACCTCTGTGAGTCCAATGTTAGCACACCAATTTAGTATACATGTATCTTAAATCACTCACTCTTTGAGTGGTGCTAGATCTTCTCTTGAAATTTTTACCAAGTCACATAGCATCTGTATGTCATGGCCAGAAACATCCTCATGCCACCAGGTTGCTCAAAACTGAGGGCTGATGATACATTCATCCTGTTGCATTCCAGATGTGGATACCTGTTTCATCTCTTTCCCAAGATGGAGAATGGTGTCATTGATGGGGATGGAGGGTATGGGAGTGGTAGAATTGTGGTCAGGGAAGAGAGCATGTCCAGAACCTCCCCTACTGAGTTGCTGCATCTTACATGCAGGCCAAGATTTGGGAGTGGGGGTATCCTTGTGGCATTCCCTGTGATGTACCTGCATGCACTTGACAAATTTAGAGACAAATAAACACTGTCCACAGGCTAGCCCAGTTAAGACCTTGAGGTCTTTAAAAGGGAACTGACCCTAGCAAAGTGAGGTACAGGCAAGTGCTCCAGAAGACCCATCCCAGCCAATACTTGTTTGAAGTGCTCCATGTTCACTTGTAAGCCCTTGTGCTGGTTGTGGAGATGTGCAAGTGCTTCACTTTGAATGAGAGCAACTTGACATCAGTGGCACCAGATTGCATGCAAGGCAGGATCCACCACAAGGTTGATGTATCAAACCATCTGTTGGATCATATGTACCAGGTGCCTATATAACAATCAATATATTAGTCATCAGTGGAGGTTTGTGTACATTGATTTGCAGCCTATTTGCTTTATCCTCATCAACAGTGCCATCAAAAGCCTTCTGTCATGAACAAGCATTCACCACCCATGTATCTTAAATGCTTATATCTTTCAATATCATTGCTGTCTGCTCAGAGGATTCCTTATGATAACTTGGCATCTTTGGGGAATCTAAATCATCTTTTGTTGCCACAATCATCTTAGAGGATGAGTGAGTGCTGACATATTCACCAGTGATGAACCAAAAATATATATCTTAAATGCTTGCTGCAACATGCTGTGACTCTTCCTTTTCAGCAGACTGCTGTAGATGGCTGACTGTTTGCTTCAAGGAGGTCAGTTAGTGATGGAATCAGGATAATGCTTGTCTTGAATATTTACCTTGTCCTGTATTGTCCTTGTTGGTGATGTGATCAGTGTACATATATGCATCATAAATGTTTACCTTGTCCATCTGATGGTCCAATGCCTTGAGAGTTCAGTGAGCATTTCCTCCTTGCTGATGACATGTCATTGACTTACTACACTGGTGCTACCACTATCATTATTTACTTCAGGTGGCTGACCCCATGTAGACTTCACTTTCTTCATGTGCTTCCTCAAGGTTTCAATGTTCTTGTAAACTCTTTTGGGATTGGGAAATCCACTGTCTGAGAAATGGCACTTGAGATAGTCATCTTTATTCCTGTGCACAGTTATGTGCTGTCCCTGAGAAGTGAAGTGTTCAACTGGGGCAGGACATTCCCTTCTATGGCAACTATATTCATTTTTGCCTTTGGGACTGGTTTTGCAGGTGGGGCAGGTCAACATGCTGTGGAAAGCAACAGGGATACCAGAACAGTGAGGAAATGTAAGAGTAAGGTGTAAGAAACTGCTGGGAGTATAACACCAAACAGTTTGGTTGCAGGAGGTTGTGAGGTTGTGAGAGGATGGCAAAAAAGTTTGGTAGGCAAAATCTCCTGTCACATGATGCAAACTCAACTTGCTTCCTCATTAGGAAATACACAGCCACAGCATTTGGGGACTTTACAATAATTAGCCTTTATCAAACCCTTTCAGAACTGATGATGCATTATAACTTGGGAACTGCTGAGCACAATGCCAGTACTTTTGTAAGGATCTTCATCATACAGATGGCTACCTGTCTGAACAAGTGTATTGATAGATCTATATGAGTTTCCATGAGGATCAGTGTAACCAGTCATAGGTTATAATGGACTGAGGATATTGAAATAGCTGTTAATCTTAATCAAGATACACTTTACACTCTTCCCCAAGGCCAAGACTGATAAGGACAACATGCTGATGTGTCTCATGACCAAATAGAAATGAAGCTAGTGGCATGATGGGGCTGGTAAGAATACTGCTTCTGATGCTTTCCCAATGGATCAGAAAGACCAGGAAGGTACTGCTGAAGATAGTAACATGTGGTGGAGGAATCACTGTGGAAACAAGTTTTTCTCCAGGGAAGATTTAGATAGTGTCAAACTATCAGGAATCCAGTCCAAGTCCAAGGAGATAAGATAAGATGGAAAAAGGAAAAATGTACATAACATAACAATGATGTCCAACAATGTCCAACAATGGTTTCCTGGTTATCCTAGACCTTGGGGAAAGGCATAGGGTGAAGCACTGCCTGGTTGTGACCACATGATCAGAAATGATCAGAGGAATATTATGAAAGTGGCATTAAACAAGGAAGGATCCCTCAGGAGCTTCCCCAGTTGGTTGGTATGCATGTGTCAAAGTCACACAACACCCCTGACTTCCTCTTAGAGCAGAGTAGGAGCAGGTTGGGCCGCAGAGCACTGGGGTCAAAGTCTGGAGCAGATCCAACCACTGGGTGGTGGGATATGCAACAAACAATGAGCAGAGGAGTATGGAGGAAAGTTTTGGGGACAGAGGTCAGAGTCAGAGGTTGGAGGTTGGATGGGAGGGCATCAGGTTCAGCTAGTGTGCTGCCCCCCTGCATGAGCTCAGCCCTCATATTTCAGAGGCAGAGTGGACTCAGAGGAGTGGGGACAAAATTCCAGGGGGAACTCAGAGGGAGTCAGAAGTGGGGACTTTATTGTCAATATTCATACTGATCACATCAGAGTACTGTGTGGCCTTATATACAATGTAGGTCAAGGGCAGGGCAGTGTAGAATGCAAACTAATAAATGTATAACAGGTTAGTAGTACCTCTGACACAAAGAAAGGTTCCCAGGGTGTGGAAGAGGGCAGAGTAGATGTTAGGGGCTATGCTGATGTCATGGTCATGACAGCATGCTGGGAATGCTCTTTGAGATGGAGTCAATGTAGTTTTGTCTAGCTTCTTTGGTGGAAATCATGGAGAAGATTTTGATGCTTAATTGGAGTGAGTCATGTTTAGTGTCCTGGTGTACTGGCAACACACTGTTGGATGCCAGGTGTTATTTGAGTAATGCCCTGTCCTCATGGGCTTCAATGAAATCTGTAGGGGGAATTGGTCAGTATACTGGCACAACTCATTAATGAGTTATGCAACTCACCCTGGTCAAAGAATCTGACCAGCCACACCCCCCCATCCCTCACCACCTTGGTACCTGCATTGATTGCAGTTTGAGACATGTCTCACATCTTCTGTCATGACCATGACACCAGCATAAGCCCCTAACATCTACTCCACCCTCTTCTGTACCCTGGGAACCTTTCTCCACCCTCTTCCAATGCATTCCAATGCTCCTCTGACCCTCCCAACACATCTCCACACCTGTCTGGGGTCCCCTGTCCACATTCTGACCACCTCCACTCAACTCCACTCTCAGGCCAGTCACATGGAAGCCAGACCTTCATCTGTGCCTCCTCTGAAGCCTTGGTTGGCTCAGTGGGCTGTCAGACTTGTGGCCCTGCATTCCAGATAGGGTTCTGCCCTTGTGTCAGCTTTCTCTGTTCTTCCACTCCTTTGGTATTTACCCTCTCTCCCTCATAGTAGTTCCCTTGTCTCAGTAAAGGTCCCCATCATCCCTATCCTCTATCCCTTGTGTCAGAGGTACTGCTAACCTGTTATATGTTTATTGGCTTGCATTCTACACTGCCCTTCCCTTGACCTACATCATATATAAGGCTGCATAGTACTCTGATGTAATCAGTATGCCACTTCCAACTCCCTCTGAGTTCCCTCTGGAGTTTCATCTCCACCCTTCTGAGTCCACTCTGCCCCTGAAATACAAGGGCTGAGCTCATGCAAGGGGGCAGTGCACTAGCTGAACCCAATGCCCTCTCATCCAACCTCTGACCTCTGACTCTGACACCTGCCTCTGAAACTTCCCTCTGTATTCCTCTGCTCCTTGTTCATCACATATCTCACCACCCAGTGGTTGGATTCACTTTGGACTTTGACCACTGTCACACACCAAAGGTGTTGTGGACATGGTTACAGCTGACTCTGCCTAACTCATCAATGAGTTGCACACAATGCCCATGCCATGCAGATGAAGACTAAAGGCCTCATGTGTAGAAATACTGCTAGATGTGAGCAGTCATCCTTGGCACAAGAACAAGTTGTCAGTGCTAAAGAGAAAAGAGGAAGTGAGTTAAGTGCACATTAAAAGTTTTTAGTGCCCATGTACAGCATTCTGGTTTTTGTCATATCTCTGCCATTTCCAAAGATATTGACTCCATTCTCACACTTGCTTAAAGTGCTCAGCCACATGATTCTGCCTTCCAAATTTGGAGAGGATCCTTGCACCCTATGCATTTCTACAGCACTCCATCCATCAGATGCTCATTTCACTAAGTCCATCATTAATGGCTGCCTCTTCATTGATCATCTCACTTGTCTCATTTGCCAGAGACAGTGGCTACATATATCTGCCAGGCATTCCCACCAGCTTCCATCCTGAAGCCCCCTGGTTCATTCCATCATTGTCAGCCCTGACTTATGCCCTTCAATTCTGGAATTAATACTTCCCTATCTAGAAACACCATCCATCTGTCATGCTATCTTTGGATCTAGTGATGTCTCCACTGAGATCTGACTTGCATCACCACCCCCTAATGTGATATCAGTGTGCTTACTCAGTTTCTGACTCCATTTGACTCATTCTGTGATATTTTGACTATCCTTGACTTGTTCATTGCCAATACTTACCAATCCTCTTTGCCTGCTTACTTTTCAGTTCTTGCTTACTCATCATGATTACTCAGTCCTTACTCATTACTTACCAAGTGTTTGTGCCTTGTTTGTCACAAGCTGCGCTCCCCCCACAGTATATGAACCCCCATGTACTTAGCTACAACCCAAGCAATCAAGAGGCAATCCAGAAGTCACTCAGCAGTCAGTTCAGCTCAGCTCAGCATAACTTGTTGTCAACAGTTGAGGCTCCACAAAGGGGTCTAACTGCCTCCATCCTTTATCTGAAGCTTCATCCACACTTAGTCAGCAAGTATTGCTTAGTCATCCTCTCACTCCTGCATAACTTGTCATTGACTTGCACCAGGAGCATGTTTTTATCAAAGTCCATTACTCCAGAGTACTTTTGGCTGAACACCTTTGCTCTGTTCAGCATCCCCAGTCCAGTCATCACTCACTCATCTTCTCCTGCATAACTTGTTGACAACTTGCACCAGGAGTACTCCACTTGAAGTCCCCCCCCCCACATTAGATTTCTTCTGCCCTCCAGGTTCCATGGAGGTAAACCACCACTCACTCACATTTGTCTTTGGTGTTGGATTTGTTTGGTTTTCACCAGCTTTCCACACTTTGACTCACACCACTGTACTCCACAGCCCAACTCACTCCTACTCCACCCTAAGGTGTTGTGTGACTTTGACATCTTCTCAGAGAAGGCTTGGAGGATTTCCTCTATGGCTTTCTTGTGCTGGAGGAATGCAGTGCAGTAAGCTGAATGCTGCTGCATGTAGGTCACTTGATGGTTCCCATTGTACAGGATACACTTGGGCCCCTGGGCAGATGGGGTCCACTTGACCCTGTTGGAATATGGTGATGCACTTTCATTCTGCAGGCTTGACTGGTCAATGTCAGCCTTGTGAACCCCAATGTACAATGCATATTGGATGAATCAGTTTTGCAATCCATGACTCTCAACTCCCCTGAGAAACTCTCCCATGAATGCCTTGTCTATGTCCTGGAGGTTAATTTGGCAACAATCCATCACAGGCCCAGTGCCCAGATCATCATCATCCATGACTGTAGTGCACACCCCAGTGTTGACTGATTGACAAGTTTTTTGACAATGTCTTGTGGTCCTCTGATTTCTGTGGGGAGAACAGAAGCAACATTGGTTTCTGACAAGGCACTATTGAACTGGATCTGATCCATGTTCATGATGGAATGATTAGTGGCAACATGGTTGGTCACATTAGTTCTGGGAATGGTGATCTTGCAACTTGTGCATACAAGGCAGAGAAATTCTTTGTTGACAGCCAAATGGAGCATGCTGAGATATGGGATACAAAGATCCTTGCCTTCTCCACAGCCCTGGCTTCCCTGGCTCCTCTCCTCTCTTCCTTTGCATTCTCTGCCTTCTCCTTTTGTATAGTCTGATAATCAGACTTGAACTTGCCCAGGTGTTGAACACCCTCCCTTTCCTCTTCTTCTCCTTGTGTCCCCCAGCACTCTTCAACATCTGAATTGGTGCCCACCTTTGGAAGCTTGATACCATATGACATGAGCAACTCTTCATCCTCACCAAATTTATTCAGTACATTCTGTGAAGGCAGGGAAATGCAACTGAGATGATGCTCCAATTCTCTTATTGGTACCTAAGGTTTGATAAAATCTTTCATGATAAGCAACCCTCACAGATGCCACTCACCAAATGAAATTTCTACCTGTCTGATAGACATCAGGAGCCACCTTTCCATTTGGCAGCAAGCCCAACTTGAGAGTGAATACAAGTCTACTGTTTGCAGCCAGTGTTTGCTGTTCCAAGGTTGCATGGAGGGCTTCCTGAGGCCCCTTTTTCAACACTAATGGTGCTAACATTCCACTAACATTTGATGTTTTGGATGTGAGCCATTGGGAATGCAGTCACCTGCATCATCTCTACAATGCACCTAACCACTTGCTCCTTGGGTTCAATTCACTGAAGTTGACAGTGTAGTTGGGCTCAGGTCACAGGTAAGTTGGGGTTCCACTGACAGTATTTGTGGACCAGCTTTTGAACTGCTCTCAATATGCTTGCACAATGTCTTCTGCATGATCCAAAAAACTCTTCACCAGCACTTGTGGTGGGAGAGTTACTGGCATGTAGATCATATATTCTTGCACAAAGTGTGGTGCCTGCATGTTGGTATTCAGCATGCCCAAGGCAGAATGCTGCTCAATGAACAAGGTGGAAATCTGAAAATGTAAAAGCAGAAATCAGTTCAGCATGGGGCCCAGATGAGCAACCAGTAGCTTAAACTCACCATGTCTCTAGTCAGTCTGGACTGTGTAAGGCATTTTGCATTGTCAAACAGTGCATGAGTGTAGTCACACCACAGATGGTCCCCTCTCTGATTCATAGCAAAGGGCAAAAAGGGCTCAACACATGTAATCACCTAAACCTGTGTTCATTCCCTGACTCCAGAGCCACAGTGACTCAACTCACCTCCTTGATTGCTTCAGTGAACTTGATTGGCAGTGTGCTGACAGTGTGCTGGACATTCTGGAACAGGAGTTGATTTCTGATGGGAAGACTTGCAATGCTCTTGGGATATGCTTTGTGAACCAACAGCCCAGCCTTGATCCAGTCCACCTTGACTGCTATGTCTACACAGACCCTGTCATCATCATTGTTTTGGGGATCCAGAGTGACCTGATGCCCCTCTCTGGTGCAAGCACTTAGGATTTGTTGCCAATACTGATCCATCAAGCCTTGCTAATCAAGCTTTCTTCTCTTGGGTCCAGATAAGCAACCGGTCACTTATTTTGTCTGCTCTCAGTGGCTGTGCAGGTTGCATGCATGCAACTTGCCTAATGTGGTGGTTGCAAGCAGTGGCTGTGTAGGTTGCATGCAGTGGCTGTGTTGGTTGCATTCACTCACTGAGAGGTTGCAAGCAGTGGCTGTGTGCTTGCAACCTTCCTTATTTGGAGGTTGCATTCAGTGGCTGTGTTGGTTGCATGCAGTGGCTGTGTAGGTTGCATTCACTCACTGAGAGGTTGCATTCAGTGGCTGTGTAGGTTGCATGCAGTGGCTGTGCAGGTTGCATGCATGCAACCTTCCATATAAGGCAGGTTGCAAGTGGACCCTGGGGCAGGGTCCAGAAAGTAGAATATTAGGTTAGTGCACTCGAAACAAGTCATAGGGTGTCACAGTCAATGTGGACAGGGGCTTTGGTTCTGGATCAATGTTCATTGGTGTGGGTTGCTGTTCTTTGGTGTTCAATGGGGTTCGTCCTGCTGTATGGACCTGTGGATGACCCAATTAGGTCGATTGAGGTGGTCCGAGGGGGGACGAACACCACTTCAAGTGATCCGGCATGCTCTGAGGAGGAGTGGTCAGATGGGAACATTGGTATGTCTTAAGATGTATTTTAGTTGTATTACCAGACATGCAGACATGCAATAGACATAGGTGAGTCAGGCAAAGATGGTTAGTACACTCAGAACAGGTCTCCAGGTGTCCCTGTCAATGTGGACAGGGGCTTCAGTTCTGGATCAATGTTCATTGGTGTTCGTCAGTGTTCGTCAGTGTTCGTCCTGCTGTATGGACCTGTGGATGTCCAAATTAGGTCGACTTTGGTGGTCCTAGGGGGGACAAACACCACTTCAAGGGTCCAGCATGCCATGATGGGGAGTGGTCAGACAGGATCATTGGTATGTTATATCATGTATGTAGGTTGTATTACAAGACATGCAATTGACATAGGAGAGTCAGGCAAAGATGGTTAGCACACTCTAAACAAGTCACAGGGTGTCCCAGTCAATGTGGACAGGGGCTTTGGTTCTGGAACAGTGTTCTTCGGTGTGTGTTGGTGTTCGCCCTGCTGTACAGACCTAGACATGTTCAGAACAGGTCAATTGCAATTGAGCTAGGGGGGATGAACACCATGTCAAGCAGCCCAGCATGCTCCAAGGGGGAGTGGTCAGATGGGAACATCAGAATGTTATAAGATGTATTTTGGTTGTATTACCAGACATGCAATAGACCTAGGAGAGTCTGGGAAAAGTGATTAATGCATTCCACACAAGTCCCAGGGTGTCCCAGTCAATGTGGACAGGGGCATTGCTTCTGGAGTGATGTTCATTGGTGTTCGTTGGTGTTCGTCTGGCTGTATGGACCTGTAAATGTCCTAGCAAGGTCAATTGCAATTGATCTAGGAGGGACGAACACCACTTCAAATGGTCCAGCATGCCATGAGGGAGAGTGGTCAGACAGGAACATTGATATGTTATCCGATGTATTTTATTTGTATTACCAGACATGCAATCGACCTAGGGGAGTCTGGAAAAGCTGATTAATGCATTCCAAACAAGTAAACAAGTGCTCCAGTATGTTTACTCAGGGCCATCCATGCTGGACTGATGTTCACAAATGTTTGCCCATGTTCATCAGTGTTTGTCATGGTGGACGGACCAGGACATGGTACTACAAGACCCATGCAAGTGGGCCTGTATGGATGAACACCATTCCAAGTGGGCCAGCATGCTCCGAGGCAGGGTGATCCAGTGGGCATACTCGTATACTATCTGATGTAGATTCTGTATTTCATTGTAATACATGCAGTAATATAGACATACAGGAATCTGGGAATGATGATCAATGTGCTTGAACCAGGTCCCAGGGTCTCCCAGCATTTGGACATGGTCTGGATAGGGGCTTTGGTAAGGGGTTGATGTTCGCTGGTGTTCATCTGTGTTGTCTGTCATTCCCCATATTGTATGGACCTGTACCTATCAACCTGAGAGCAGAGGAAGAGGTTTCCATGGTATGAACACCATTTCAAGTGGTGCAGCATGGTCTCAGCAGGGGTGGTCGGGTGGGCACACTGATAGAATATCCAATGTAATTTATTTGGATTACATGAAAGTCGATTGACCTACCAGAGGCTGCAAATGATGTTCCATCTGCTCCAAAATGAGTGACAGGCTGTCACAGTCAATTTGGACAGGGGCCATGGTGCTGGCTCGATGTTTGCTGGTGTTTGCAAACAATTTCCCATTAGCAGCAGACTGACATGGGCCAAATTGTCAAGGACCATCCAACTGCAGCCTTGGTTGATCATGCAGGACTGGAAGTGGTCAGCCCAACTGTCCAGTCTGGGGCCAGTGGTTGGGAAACTTTTCGTTCTGTTTACCTGTCAGCTTTGGATCCAGTTGGATGCAACTTGGCTGAGAGGTTCAGAGGGAAAACCAGAGCCAACATCTTTGGAAGATGCCATTCAGAGTTGGACTCTGAACCAGACCTTTGTTGATATAGATTGTGGTTCCCATTCCTGTGGAACTGAATCCCAGTGTTGCCTAGTGTAGTCTGATCAGGTAGCAACATGTTTGGCATCTTGGGATGATACCTGGCCCAAATGTGAACCCCCCTCTTCAGCTTTGCTCCATCAAAACAATTCCAGATCAATCCAGCTGTCCATACCATGTCTGTGCCACTCGAATGACATGGCAGGACCATTTGGATCACACCAGAAAGGACCCTATGTGTCATTCCCCTCCTCTTATCCTGGGGGTGCTAATCCTGTAAAGTTTAGGAAGCATGAAAGCTTGTCAGGAATGGTTGTCCTGGAGGGCCTGAAAGTCACAATGGATGATGACAATGGTTGCAGCATTTCTAGGTGTCAGAATATCCATGTAAGATATGTTACCCTGCCCTCCCCATGTTCACTCCATCAAAACAATTTCAGAGATTGATCTAGCTATCTGAATTATGTCTACCCCATGGGTATGACATTACAAGAACATCAGAATTGTGTTACAAAGGTCCCCATATTTGTTTCATCAACATACCTCATCCCCTCCTCATACCCCAGGGATGGCGATCCAGTAACATCAGGAGGGGGTGCCAGCTTGCTAGGGATGGATGTCCTGGGTGTTATCAATCCCACTGAAGACAATGGAAATGATTTCCAGCCTCCCAGAAGTATTTCCAAAGAGATACCACTTTGTGGTCTGACCATCCTTCTACCCCCTGTAGATTTTTTTTCCGACCGCCAATTTCATTCAAATTTCACCTGGGACATCCCAATGGACATATCTATCGACTCCCAGCATTATTTCCCCCAAATTATGGTCGGGAGTTTGTAATTATAATTCCCCCAGGGGCTGTATAGTCCCCTTTGCTGATCTTTGCTTACTGTACAGAACCTGTGTCTGACTCTGGTTATGCCAGTCACCCAGACTTTGGCTATTAGTCTTGGCACAGCCACTATGGCTATCCACACTTTGCTAATCATCTTCCTAATAGCTTACCAACAAGTCTGGCTTCATGTTTGTTACTCTGGACTGGCCTTGTGTATTTAACCCCTGTACATACTTTGTAGCACTCCAGTCAGAATATCAACTTAGTATTACCCTCAACTCTGTATTACCCCTCGAGTCTACTTTATAGCTAAGGCCAAGCCTTAAGCTATCCCCAGCCCCTGTCCTGGACCTCTCCCTGGCTTGCATAAGGGTACAGCACATAAGCTGAGACCAAGGGAGGTAGATCCAACCCCAGACTGGCTTTCCCCTGTGCACACTCTAAGACTGGTCAGTTTCCCATGCTACCAGCCTTGTTCCCACACTCCCAGCCTTAAGTCTGGTCCTCTGGACTTAGCCCCTGACCTCCAGCCTTAACTCCAGTCCAACCAGACTTGGCCCCTGTCTCCCAGCCTTGACTTTGGTCACCTGAGGGTAAATCCATACTTAACACTTGCCTTTATCATGTCCCTTGCCCTCACCACTCACCCCACCACCACAATGACCTCCTCCATTGCTATCATCTCCCTCTCCCTGCACCTTTCCCTTGCCTTTATCTGCAGCACTGCCTTGCAGATGTTCTTTGTATGTGTATCTGATTGTTTGAAGTTAGAATTCAGTAGATGGGGAAAGACAGTATCACCATGCTTACAGTCAGGGTCCTCATCCTCCACTGGATCATAGAATCCCAGCATCATGTTGATCAGTCTCCATGCCACATCCAGAGTCTTCATGTCCTCATCCATTTCAAACTGAGTCAGGCTCCCACACCACATCTCACCCAGGGAGCACTCATGGAGAGCCCAGTCTGTGGTATAAGTATGTGAATAGCAGAAAAAGGATACAAGGAAATTGAAACACTTACCAACCTTTGCAATGCTGGTATGGTTGATGTTGTGGTCATTGTTGCATCTATAATTCCTTACCTGGGTTGGTTCATGGCACTGCACAAAATATTCTATCAACAAGTAGTTGTCAAATGTTGGACTGTGCCAATCAAGTGTGCAATCTCCACATTTGACTTTCTTCACCTCCACAACTACTTGAGCAAAAACCATGTTCATATATGTGAGTATCATGGTCAGGTTCTCCACCAGCAGCTCTTCCACCTCCACCTCCTCCTTGAATTGAAGTACCAGCTGGATCATCTTTTCTCTCCAAGTGAAAGCCTGAATAGGCTTGTAGTAGTAATGGGGGAGATCCATGATGACTTTATTGGCAGCATTGGTGACCTGGCATGGCCAGATGGACCCTTTGGAGCCTCCTGGAGCCAACCTAACATGTTGATCCTTTTCCAACAAGGTTTTGGGATTGTGGATGAATCTGAGGGAGGACAGGTAGTACTGGGTAGCCATGGTAGTAGTCAAGATCAATTACATAATCTATCTGGAATGTATTGTAAATTTACCTCCATCATTGATTGCTTATGTAAGTGGAATGTAAGGCAAATAGTGCATGTCATGCACCATATACATATAGTGAGACTGACCTCAAACAATCATGTCCAAGGCACAAAGATTCCTTGTCCTGATAGATGGATAGGAAGTATGCATACATACTGTAATTGACCAGTATGTAAAACTGGTCACAAGGTGATTTGGCAGAAGGATGGCAGGTCAGCCCTCACACCAAATACAGTAGTATACCTGTTCAGCACCATTACCATCAATTCCCCCTGTAAAGTGGTCAGGCAGACTATCCAAAGTGTTGAAGGCCACAGAACACTGATCAGTTTCAGCATGACCACCTGACTTCCTGCTGTAGATACTTTGCTGGACCATGTGTTTACCACAACATTAGTCAGACAGCATAAGGTGGTAGAAGCCTTGCAAACAAGGTATTGGAGGTATATGATAAGTTTCAGTATGGCCACCTGACTTCCCCCAGTCTACATTTTGCTAGACCATGTTTGTCATTGTTTGGCATGTCCTAACAACCTTTACCAATGTTAGTAAGACTGCCAAAGGTGGTGGAAGCATGGCGAACACAGGTTCTGGTGGTATATGATAGTTTCAGTATGACCACCTGGCTTCCTCCTCTCCATATATTTGTTCATCATTGTTCAGCACATCTTAACCTCACTTACCAATGTCAGTGGGTGATTTCAATGTGGTGGAAGCCTGCAGAGCACAGTATTTAGTGGTATATGACAAGTTTTGGTATGTCAACCTGACTTCCCCCTGTCTATATTTTGCCAGGCAATGTTAGCCATTGTTTGTCATGTCTTGACCACCTTTACCAATGTCAGTAAGACCATACACAGTGGTAGAAATCCAAAGAACACTGGCTCTGACAGTATATGATAAGTTTGAGCATGACCACCTGACTTCCCCCAGTCTATTTTTTGCTAGACCACATTCACCACTGTTCCTCATGTCTGAAACACCTTTACCAATGTTGACAAGACTATCCACTGTGGTAGGAACCTGACAAACACTTGCTCCAATGGTATATGATAAGTTTGAGCAGGACCACCTGACCTCCCCCTGTCTATATTTTGCTAGACCATGTTTGTCATTGTTCATCATGTCTTAACCACATTTACCAATGTCAGTAAGACTATCCATGATGGTGGAAACCTGATGAACATTGGCTCTGATGGTATATGATAAGTTTGACCATGACTGCCTGACCTCCTCCCTGTCTATATTTTGCCAGACCATGTTCATCATTGTTTGTCATGTCTTAACCACATTTACCAATGCCAGCAAGACTATCCATGATGTAGCAACCTGACAAATGCTTGCTCTGATGGTATATGACAAGTTTGAGCATGACCACCTGACCCCCCCCCCCTTTCTATATTTTGCTAGACCATGTTCCTCATTGTTCAGCATGTCCCACCCACCTTTACTGATGTAATTAAGGCCATCTAAATCAGTTGGATCCAGTTTTCATCTTTTGTCCCTGATGCATTCTGCCTATTATGCCTCATGTGTTTTCTATGTCATAATCCATGTAGAGGGGCCAGGTGTTATGGTGCCAACAGTCTGAAAAGTCTTTGAAATATCACATATTGGTGCATGATCCCACCACTGCTCTCTATTCAGTTCTACCACAGCATCTGACACTACCAATGCAGTCTTTAGCCTCCTGATCATCACCCTGGCCTCTTCCAATTCCTTTGACATCTCTTGCTTCATCATATCTTTCTGTTCAATGGCTGGCATTTGTTCAGGTTAGGGTTCTACAGTCAAGAAAGAGCCTACATTATATGTAACACTCTCTGCCTTTTGCAAAACAGAGGGAGCATTGATAATATACATATGACTTCTGTGCCTGTTGGAGCAAGTCACTGGTCATATGATTTTGCAGACCAGTTTCAACATCCCATCTCTGCCTGATCTGTGCTGCTCTGACCTCCTCCCACATACTCATCATAACCTCACCATTGCCCACCACACCACCCTCATTTCCCCTGCATATTGGAATGCACAGGACACACACCTGAATATCCTGCAGTGAGAGACCTGTCCCATTAAGGACTTCCTTTGTGATGTCCAGGGGTCTGGTGCTTTCTTTTGCAAGTTTCTGTAAACAACTGCAGTAAAACCAATTTTTGCAGGTTCAACAATACCATTGTTGAGCTTTGTCTGGGTTATATGGTTTTTCACAGACAGAGCAAGCATGGAAGGGACCCTGATGGGGTGTAGTTTATGTCAGGAGTTTTTCAAAATGGGTGTCATGCCATTCATCCATACCTGGATGACTTGTTTACCATGTGTGCTCACAGTCCACCATGTATACATATCCTTGGGTCCTATCAGAGGACCAAAACACCTTTCTGCACTGAAGGGTGTGATGTCTGCCAGCACTATGCTCTCCATGAGCTTCCAAGCTGTATAGAAAATTCAGGGATGACTTACACACAATGGCCTGTAATTCAATGATGTCATTGTGGTCCAATAGAACCAGCTCATTGTTGCCAATGTATTTTCTCATTCTGTTTGTGAGTGAATCAAAGATACAAGGAACTCAATGACAACTGGCTCACTTTTTGTCTCCTATATCACTCCTGCTGTAGTACCACTGCACTTCAATCCATGCCTTCTGTACTGCATGTCAGAAGGGTGGACACCCACATGGCACTGGAAATCTCTCACATTACTTTTCTTCAAGCATTGGACTCTGATGTCCTTGATCACAGCATACCACAGGTTGCCATCATTGCCATTTACAAAGATTCTAATTAAAGCTTCCATCAGCAAACAACATACCCATCCAGTCTTTTCTTACTTATCACCTCTTTGGAAGGTGTGGGTCATGTGCTCTGGAACTTCCTCCCTTCCATCCAGGATGTCTTCACCTGCACCTGTGAGGTTTGTCACTGGCTGGATGAGCTTAAATGACTGCTGGTGTCTAATTGAGACTTACCACTTAGCTTGGAGGATGATGGAAGGGAAAGAAAGGTCTCATTGGATGGAGGGGCCAATTCAGGTTGGGAGGCAAAGTAAAAAGTCAGAGGGAACCCATGACATTGCTTGCAACTCTCAGTTAGCCAGAGCAGACCCTGAAAAATTTTTGTTGCATTGGGTGTAGCATTATGTGTTTGGGATCAGCAAATAACCAACATTCCACTGCCATGGCACCCCAGACATGTTCCCAGAGAGCCCTCAGAGCTGCTTCCAACACATCCTCCACTGATGAAAGTGAAATCAGACATGCATTTGACAATGTCATGAAAGCCATTTCTCCTCCATCTCATCATTCAGACTCAGCATGCTCTTCTCCTCTGTCCCCATCCTATGGTGTAATAATGGGCAGTCTCCTTTCCAGAGTAATGACTCCTCCAGAAGATCCAGATTCCTCTGTTGATGAGGATGAAGTGAACCAGATACACAAGAAGTGCCAGGCCATGATAAACCACTTGAGTGGGTCAGATGAGGAGTGTCAAAGCAATGCCTCTGGTGATTCCTTGGTGAATGTGCATGGCCTATCACTTGCACCATCACATCCACCCCATCAAGACTCAAGTCAGGAGTCAGGGGCACCTTCTGTACATGGTATCATCAGTGAGTCTCTTCTGTGCTCTTTCTCTCTGTCTGCTTATGATTGCTTCTGAAAGTGTGTCCCATGGCCAGGCCTACCACATGGGTGATGGCCTACCAGACTCTAGGGACACTCTGGTATGAAACTTGGATCAATGCCAGCATCCTCAACTTTCATCTCCTGTCCCAATGGTATGCCATCCAGGGCAGGATGCATGTCCACTATGCTGACTTGTTCTCTGCCATTCCATCTGTCAGTGGGGGCACCCATGCCTTACCAGATGCACAGGAGATTCAATTTTTTCATCAACACCATCTCTTCAATTCCCATCCTGCTGATCCATCTGTTCCCATTGCCTTTGTGGTCATGCAAAACAGTCACTTCTTTGTTGCAGTCTTTGATTATTGGTTGAACCTTGCATTCATCCTTGGAAGGCACATCAAATGCATCCCAGAAACCCCCCATCCATACTATGACCCACTGCACCATGACTGGAATACATGGAATGGCCCTTTCTACTGGACATGCATAGCATCTCTTCATGGATTTGATGCCATCAACCCAACCCAAGTTGATGTGCAGGTGTACAATTGGTCACAGAACAGTTTCAACTGTGGGCCCATTGCACCCTTTGTCATGGAGTCACTCATGAGAGGAGGGCTATCTGGTGATGGCAGGCCTAGCATCCACATCCCTCCAATTCCTTGTGGTCATTGTCTCCACCTTAGAATGCTTGTCATGGTGAAGGAGGGCTGTTGAAGGTGCTGGGAGGACTATCATTAATTGTCCACAACCACCCTTCCCCCTGGCCACATATGGACACAGTGGGATGACACTGAAGCCATCAGTGAAGACATCCTCATGGACATGGAAAACCAAACATCTGGAGAGCAACATGCTACCATCATCTGTGAGTTGAATGTCATTGGGGCAAACTGCCTTCACTGCCAAAGGGAATATGACTCCAGCAATGTAGTGAACCCCTATGTGCACTCCAATGGTGACTTTCCAACTGACAATGAAGATGAAGGTGAAGACCATCATTTGCCTCTGGATGCCAAGTCTCAGTGTCTCAGGGACCTCCTTTGGCACTACCCTTATGTGAGCAGGGCCAGAGCCAGGGATTGACTTCCTCCTCAGGCTGCCCATGGTCATTGAGTCAAAGAGGAATCCACTCCAGATGATCCCCTTGAGATCATCCAGTGATGCAAGCATGTCAAGGACTGGTCAGCTGGAATGATGTACCATTTCCCATGTCCAACTCCACCAGTATACCTCCCTGCATACCAGGGTCAACAATGGAAGTGTTTTAATTGCAAGTTTGATGAGTATGAAGGAGGACCTGTCTTGGAAAGCTTGCACCAGGACTGCAACTGCAATGAGATTGTGGAGGAGCCCTACTATTGGCCTGGGATGTGGACATCCTTTCAAGATTATGGCTATCATCTGCTGAGTTCTTTGAACCAGATGTTCTACTTGGGTCCCCCCATCAGATTGTCAGACCATATCCTCCAAGTAGGTGTTCCAGCTAACTACAAGTCTTCTCATCAAATCAGTGACCATGTTACTGGTGAGTGATCATATTCTGCCCTGGTGCCCTCTTCTGATTGCTTTGTTACAGGAAATTACTCCCTTGCCCTGCAGGTGCCCCATCCATCAAGAGTTGATGTGGATGATGTGGTCATACTGGGTGCCTCTCAGATGATTGAGATTGGCTCAAGCACCTCAGAATGTCTCATGAACACCTTTGTGAATGGGTGGCACAAGGATGGACATCACATCTGCCTGGACCTGGAGCTGGATCACAAGTTGGTGACTCCAGAGGAGTTGGAAGTCACCATGGCCAATGACAGTCTCATATGGGTGATGCATTCCCTACAGTTCAACACACCCCTACCCATCTACCTTGGTCCCATCATTGAGGAAAAGGCTCCTATGCACAAGCACAATCATGTGTACATCAACATCCTTGTGCCTCAGTCAGAGGCAGATTCCAGTGCCATTGGAAGCCATACCAAATGGTTGACCATGGCATTTCCTTTGTGTGGAGTTCCCCACACAGTGTTTGGTGCCTTGAGCAATGCTGCTGGCACCATGAATGTCTACATTTGCTTTCCCAGGATGATCCACAGGGATGAGATGATGCACAAGCATGCCAATCACATCCCAAAGGAGGTCCTTGACTTTTTCTGGGAGCATGTCCTACTTCCAGCATCTGTACACATCCCAATGTTTCAAGTGCACCATATGTCTCTCTCACTCTGAAGGAAGTGCAGTTCAAGGCATGAAAGGGTGGCAAAACCAAGAAGGCTGGTCAGCCAAAAGCAGTCCCCTTTTCTATGCAAGTGCTGAAGCAGATCCAGAAGACCATGGAGGCAATCATTGGAGAGGACCCTTCATGATTTGCAAACTATGGTTCCTTCTTCTTTGTCCTGGAATGCAAGGGAATCAAGTTGTGGACAAAAACCACCCTGTTGGGAGCAGCTCAAATGCCAGTCCAAGCTCTCTTCCATGGACTTGCAGCTCTGGATTGGTCCCACATGGTAGACAGGGCCAATGGGGAGCTCTTGGTTGACTTGAAAACCAGCATTCACCCCACATGTGATGAAAAGCTTGTGGGACTGTGGAGACTGGATGCCCTGGAAGCTTCCTTTGGGGCAGGTGGATAATGCTTGGAGAGTATGGGGGGATCCAAGCAGTGATGTCACAGGAGTGAGCAAGGCAAACTCACATCACATTCAGAAGTGCTTATAATCTGGCCTATGAGGTAATCCAACCCAATGACAACAGCCCCACCTTTGTCATGGACAAGGATGCTTATGCCCTGAACAACAACTTCATCAGGGAATGCATGCAGGCCATCAACATGTATTCTGGAGATGCAAAGAAGAGGTCATATGGGGTGTGAGACAAGTACAGGATGAGTGGGGCTGCTATGGAGCAGGCAACACTGGTGGTGCCACAAAGGGTGATGCATTTCCAAGCTTGATCATGGTCATATCTGATGCTTCCATCTTTGCAGATGGAAGAGCTTTTAGCCTCCAATCCTATTCTCTGGATCCCAACCAAAGTCTGGTTGGAATTTATGGCTGGATGCATCAGTGCCCTCCAGTTGGCTCAGATCTCTCTCAGGGAACTGGAACCACCCAACCTTGGTATTCTGACTGGAATCATCTGCCACATGATTCAGTGCATGTCCACCACTGCAATAATCATTGACTTCCATGTGAGAGTTCATGGCCCTTCTCCAGGTCTCCAGGGTGTGTGAGCAGTTCAGAATGTTCTTCCTTTTGGACCTGGACTTGCATCATGTTCCCCATCTTCCAGAAGTTCAGGATCATGATGACCTGGAGGTACTCAAGCTGATGGATGGAAAGTTGAAGAGGGGCAACAGACAACCTGCCTGGCCAAGGATTCCCCCTCTGGATGAAGTGGAACAATTTTCCCATTGGCAGCAGACTGATGTGGACCAAATTGACAAGGACCATCCAACTGCAGCCTTGGTTGATCATGCAGGACTAGAAGTGGTTGGCCCAACTGTCCAGTCTGGGGCCAATGGTAGGGAAACTTTTCATTCTGTTTACCTGTCAGCTTTGGATCCAGTTGGATGTGACTTGGCTGACAGGTCCAGAGGGAAAAACAGAGTCAACATCTTTGGAAGATGCCATTCAGAGTTGGACTCTGAATGAGACCTTCAGGACAATACATGCCTGTGAATTCAAGGCCTGCAATGCAGAAATACCCAGGAGTGGAGGGGCTGGTCACCAACAGTCAAGCTTTTCAGAGAGGGTCAATCTGTTTTTTGCAGGACCCACAGCAGGACAACCTTCACAGAGGTCACCATGGAGTGTCTTCTGGACGAAGCCTGGCTATATTTGGGAGTATCACCAGGTGATGAAGAACAGGACGCCCCTGGAGGAGTTTGAGGTGCTGGACCACCTTGGCAGGATATTTTCTGTCCTTCAGACATTACCTGATGCGACCAAAGGGAGTGAAAAGAGTCCTGGGAAGACATGGCAGGTGGAGGGTGAGAAGGTGGTTCTGGTGACAAATCCCAAGTTCTACAAGATCAAGGGTATCTCCACTGAGAAGGAACAGCAGCAGGCCAGGAGATGAGCATCTCAAGTGGTAAAGCCCAGGAATGCACTGCAGATGGAGCTCCTGGAGCATGCTGGATATGACAAACTGCTGGCTAGCAAGGCCCTCATCTTAGAAAGGCAGAGGCTGAAAGAGGCACAGACAAAGAAGTCATCAAAGGCAAAGAATGCTCAAGAGCCTCCAGCAAGAAGAGGGAAGGCCTTGCATAGGGTGGAGGGTTAGGGGACCACCTCATGCAGGGAAGCAGAGGGATGGGGAGGGGAAGGCAAAGATATGGGTACAGAGGGTGAAAGTGATGAATGCAATGTTGATATAGATTGTGGTTCCATTCCTGTGGAACTGAATCCCAGTGTTGCCTAGTGTAGTCTGATCAGGTAGCAACATGTTTGGCATCTTGGGATGATACCTGACCCCAACATGATCCCCCCTCTTCAGCTTCACTCCATCAAAACAATTCCAGATCAATCCAGCTGTCCATACCACATCTGTGCCACTTGAATGACATGGAAGGACCATTTGGATCACACCAGAAAGGATCCTATGTGTCATTTAATTGACCTGCCTGTTCCCCCTCCTCATATCCTGGGGGTGCTAATCCTGTAAAATTTAGGAAGCATGAAAGCTTATCAGGAATGGTTGTCCTGGAGGGCCTGAAAGTCACAACAGATGATGGCAATTGTCACAGGGTTCCTAGGTGTCAGAATATCCATGTAAGATATGTTACCCCCCCCTCCCCATGTTCACTCCATCAAAGCAATTTCAGAGATTGATCTGGCTGTCTGAATCATGTCTACCCCATCTGTATGACATTACAAGACCATCAGAATTGCATTAGAAAGGTCCCCATATTTGCTTCATTGACATACCTGATCCCCTCCTCATACCCCAGGGATGCCAATCCAGTAACATCAGGAGGGGGTGCCAGCTTGCCAGGGATGGATGTTCTGGGTGTTATCAATGCCACTGAAGACAATGGAAATGATTTCCAGCCTCCCAGAAGTATTTCCAAAGAGATACCACTTCATGGTCTGACTGTCCTTCTACCCCCTGTATATTTTTTTCCAACCACTGATTCCATTCAAATGTCACCTGGGACACCCCAATGGACACATCTATTGATTCCCAGCATTATTTCCCCAAAATTATGGTTGGGAGTTTGTAATTATAATTCCCCTAGGGGCTGTATAGTAAGCACTTTCAGTAGCTATACACAGCTTTCAGCAGCAGTGTGATTTTTTTGGTGTCAGGTCATTGCAACTCATCAATGAGTTGTGTAGTTGCCTTGGGCAATGCACAACTTGTTTCCATATATGGTAGGCACTTTTGTGGCTATACACAGTTTTCACCCATATATGGTAGGCACTTTCAGTGGCTATACACAGCTTTTGGTGGCAGTGTGATTTTTTTGGTGTCAGGCCATTGCAACTCATCAATGAGTTGCATAGTTGCCTTGTGCTATATAAAACCTGTTTCCATATATGGTAGGCACTTTTGTGGTTATACACAGCTTTCATCCATATATGGTAGGCACTTTCAGTGGCTATGCACAGCTTTCAGTGGCTGTGTGATTTTTTGCATTTTTTGGCTTGCACAAGTCATCAATGAGTTGTGCAATTACCATATATAGTAGGCACTGGAACTGGGCAGACAGTTTAGCCAGGAAGTAAATTATTAGGTAACACTGCAAGTATAACCATGGAAGGGCATTCAACACAGCACTACTGGCTGAGGAGGCACCATGCAGGTGTTCATCAGATGATTCAGAGCTTGTACTCTCAGAACCACTGGAATTGTTTGAAGGTTGATGAACTGCAGAGGGAGTCAAGTACTGGACTGAACAGAAGGATTATTCTCAGACTTCAAGTTGGTTGAAGCTACTAAGTAACTAGCTACCTGAAAGGAAGGATTATCCTAGGTAGATAAGTAAATGTCCTGTAGAAAGAATGTATGAGTCTCACCTCAGACTTCAAGTTTGTTGAAGCTGAGATGCAGGTAAATAAGTAACTGCAAAAGTGTACGCTTTTTCGATTATGTAATGCTGTGCTTGCTGGAACATGACTGAGGTAAATATGTCAAACTCCAACAGAATTGGAGTCAGAAGAGGTTGGGGGATCAAGGTATGAGTGAGATTCAGCAAGTAGAGTAGCCAGATAAACATCAAGAAGGGCTTCTGTAGCTTTCTGCCTCTCTGTGGTGTGAGGCATATGGTTTCTGATGACTTGTTCAAGATAATTAACATGTTTTATCTACACATATTCAAACCTCGAAAACTGCCAAAACGGGGGATATCAAAGCAAACTGCTGTTTTCGGCCTTACCTGGTCAACTAAAACGGCATCGAAAACGCATGAAAACGACGCACGAAAACACGCTGTGAATTCCCTTATTGTGAACACGTGCACGATTTCAAGGTCCCTGTCTGAATCGTGTCCATGCGTCCTCTGTCGACGTCTGTGTTGAACTCCTGTGCGCTGACCCTACAACAACCCACAATCGCAGATACATATGCTGCCAAAGAGCTTCCAATCGCGCAGGCTGGGTTACTTGCTAACATTGGTCCAGATGGGGCGAAATCGTCAGGTGCATATGTGAGTCTCCGAATCCTCTCGGTGAAGTGCCAGGTTGTGCCTGAATGCTAATGAAACGTCCGGTGGTTCAGCCTGGGGTTGTCATCGCTAGCCCCAGCACTTCTAACCCAGACTATCTCTACACTTGGACGCGCGACTCTTCTCTTGTGTTTAAGGCACTTGTTGATCAACTTATTGCCGGTGGCGGTCCTGCCGGGTCTATGTCGAGCCTCATTGACATGTTCGTGACCGCCGAGGCGAGCATCCAGCAAGTTCCTAACCCAAGTGGGAACATCACTACAGGTGGACTTGGCGAACCCAAATTTATGATTAACAAGACCGCATTCACAGCTGCATGGGGCCGTCCTCAGCGAGACGGACCGGCATTGCGTGTGACAACTCTTCTAACTTATGCAAAGTGGCTTCTTCAGCAAAACAATACCTCGTACGTGACAAGCACGCTTTGGCCCATCATTCAACTCGATCTGGATTACGTCGCTAGTGGCTGGAACTTGTCCACGTGGGCACCGTCTGGGTTGCTCTTGGGGTGATTTGCTTATGTTTCCCTGCCCTCTAGGTATGATTTATGGGAAGAGGTTTATGCCCTTTCTTTCTTTACCTCAGCAGTGCAGCACCGTGCCCTTCGCGAGGGTTCGATATTGGCTATGACTCCCGGGCATTCCGACCTTTCGAACAGCTACTCTTTGCAAGCCGATCGTTTGCTGTGTTTCTTGCAGGTGAGGGGCAATGTTGCCCATTTATCGGATTCTCACGTACGGCAGTCGTTTTGGAACTCCACATCAGGGTACATCGTTGCCAATCCTGGAGTGCAGCGCTCTGGCATCGATGCTAATACTATCCTCGCTTCTATCCATACCTTCGATGTCGATGCTAGTTGTGATGCTACGACGTATCAGCCATGCTCTGACAAGGCACTGGCGAACCTGAAAGTATATGTGGACTCCTTCCGGAGCATGTACACTATCAACTCTGGAATTCTGGAAAACGGGGCCGTTGCGACCGGCCGGTACCCCGAGGATGTGTATCAGGGCGGTAACGTGTGTCGATCAATCTATGGTCTTGGATGAGGTCTCATTACTGTGTAGCCTTGGTATCTTACCACATTTGCAGTCGCGGAGCAGTTATATGATGCACTTGTCGTTTGGGACAAGCAAGGGTATTTGAGTGTGACAGATATATCTCTGGACTTTTTCCGCATGTTTGATATGTCGATATCAACTGGCACATACACCACTTCGAGTTCGGTTTACGGGACGCTGATGTGTGCCATACGATCCTTCGCAGACGAGTTCGTGGCTATCAATGCCAATTACACGCCTTCCGATGGGAGCCTTGCGGAACAGTACAGCCGAACCAATGGAACTCCTGTTAGTGCGGTAGATCTTACATGGAGCTACGCGTCCGCGTTGACTGCATTCGCGGCACTTGAAGGACAAACACCGGTGACTTGGGGAGCCCAGGGGTTGTCGGTCCCCTCTATGTGTTACATTCCCGTTTCAGTCACGTTCAATGTTGATGCAATGACCGTGTTCGGGGGTACGTGCAATTACACTGGTGTACTGAATGGGGTTGCTAATGACATTAGTATAGAGAATATATACCTTACTGGTTCAGTTCCGGCTCTCAGCAACTGGGACCCATCCACTGCAATCCCGATGTCTTCTGTTAACTATCCAATCTGGAGCAGTATGCAATGTCATATCTTCCCTTTTCTGCCTTCCTGACGTGTATGTGTTCGACAGCAACGGTTTCACTCCCGGCAGATACACCCATCCTGTACAAGTATATTCGTAAAGACGCAAATTCCGTGATGTGGGAGTCGGACCCGAACAACGCGTTTACGACGGTTGAGTCTGGTTCTCAGACTCTGGATGATGTGTGGCGATGAAGAAGTTGAAGAACAGCGACCTTCAACTTGCAATATCCCAAGTCAGGCCAGTCATTTATTATGTCTGGATAGAATCCATCGTGGGCTGGGCTCGGTAATATATGTCCATGGTAAGCTTTTCAGTGACTGGAAGTGCCTCGCGGCACTCGGTGGAAGGTATATTTCAATGAGTACATACAAAAAGTGGTATTTGGTGTGTCCTGAGACAGTTGTCTGCCGACTTCTAACACGATCAACCTGTTGTCTCATGTACTCTCGTATGGTGATTATTCGAGAACCGCCGTCAAGTATGCATCTCCTCTACAAAGACCTTGACCACATTGCAAACCTCCAACTTCATGAGAGGCGTTGATGCCATTCCTAAATATTCAATGGTCTCCCGAATCCTCCGTTCAGACTTCACACCGCGTTATTGATCTACTTGGTAACCGTCAATTTCCGGACCTAGTACCACGAATTATTGGCACAGATTATTACCAGTTTTTACATATACTTCCCAGGTATTTCTGATCTGAATGAATCCTAGAAGTTGTCATCAACAACATGCCACAAAATCCATTGGTAGAATTGTACTACACATCATACCACCCGGTATAGCAATGTCTTCTGCGGCGGTCCTTCCCATGTAGCAATAATATGTTCTCGCGACAATCTCGCAGTTTGGGTGACGCCGCGGCGGGGCGCCGGTGAAGAAACTGCGAAGGGAGACTTCTGTTTGAATTATAAAGCCCGGTAAGCTATACCGGTTCTTGAGGTGACAATGGGGGTACTACACACCTTTGACGCGAGATCGAGACAAGTATATAGGTATGTGATTGTGATTGGGTCTGACGCGGCGCTGTCAGTCCGGTTGTCATCCCAGAAAATTGGCACTCGGATCCAATACTGTACACGGTGCACTCCACTCGCGATACTTCCCTCACATCCGCATAGCACGCTTGCCGGTCTTTACTCCCACAACATTCCTTGGACTTCCGCTATTGTTTGATTCCAACTCTGTCTCTCTTTCTATGCATTCCGTTCTGCTGCGTTCTCTTGTTTGTTCTTTATGTTCGTTTTCGGCTTTCGCTCTCAAGATCCCCTTCTCAACCCGCACTTCCCCACAAACCCGTGGTCTTCCCCATGCCCATGTGGCACGACAGTCATCGTCTAGCCATGTTCTTCCTGTAGGAAATACGCAAAACTCATTCTACTACACTAATATCACTCTGGGCGGCCAAACGATATCTGTCATGCTGGATACTGGAAGGTATGCTTTCAGCCAATTATGAACCCACCAATGTGTTGTTCACCACTCACCAGCTCGGATTTGTGGGTGACTGGTTCCGTGCCCAATGCTCAAGACACCGGTAAATCCTTGACACTATCCTACGCCGTTGGAAATGCTGCTGGTACGTTTTACTGGTTACAGAAGATTTATATACTCAATCACTTGCAAAGGCGACGTGTATACCGCCCCATTCTCCATGGCTGGTTACAGCGTAGACGACCAAGCATTCCGTTTGTCTCAGCCTCGTCGTTCTCGAGCTCGTTATACTAACACGTTTTTCTTACAGTTCTGGTCGCAAACACATCGACCTTCTCAACAAACATCCATTCTGAGGGCTACGACGGTCTCATCGGACTTGGTCCCAATTCTGGTTCCGCTATTTACAAGAAACTTGACGGTGACGCGGGAAACAACGCAATCAACCGAATATTTGAGCAAAACTCATCTTCAATAGACGACTACATCACTCTCATGCTTAGTCGCCGCAATGATCCAAGTAGCAACATCACAGGTCAATTTACCATTTCGGAGCTCGTCCCAGGTTACGAGAACGTAACCTCCATGCCTCAGCTGGCGGTGGAGATGGTATACGAGGTCACTGATCAAGACCAACACTGGCAGGTATTGACGGACAAGAGTGTGGGTGTGATTGGACCAGATGGACAACCAATAACAATCAGCTCTATCGTGCCGAAGGCGCCGAGTGGTCAATTGGTTGCCGTCCTTGACTCTGGTTTCACGCTACCACAAGTCCCTCGCTCGATGTCAGATGCCATTTACGGACGCGTACAGGGTGCCGAATGGTCCACTTCCCAGCAAGCTTGGCTAGTACCGTGCGGCCAACTGATCAATCTGACATTCACATTTGGTGGGATTTCGTATCCGATCCATCCCCTAGATGTATCTTCCAGTGATTTCGGAGTCACGTTTTCCAATGGAAATCCTGCTTGCCTTGGAACTGTAAGCGGTTTCTCCTTCCGAAGTTTCAACGAACTTCTATGTGACGCCTTATGTAACAGTTCCAACCCATCAGTTCGGCGTTCAGTTTGCTGGGTGAATACGACATGATTCTTGGCATGGCATTCTGTGAGTATTGACAGACTTTCGGAGAACGTTATCAACCAATTTGGCACGTCAGTACGTAACATCTACACGCTCATCAATTATGGAAACCTCGTCAAGGACGGATCTAACTCCAATAAACCCTATATCCAAATGCTACCCCTCACGGACCAAGCGACCGCCGTAAACGACTTCATTGAAACACGGACTGGTGGCCAAAACCTCATCAATTCACCTCAGTATACTCTCTTGCCTTCCTCACAGGAGCAGCACTCTCCGGAGACGGCTGAGGAGAAGAAACAGCAATATGAAGAGAAAGTTCTGAGTCGATGGCCATATATCCTCGTTGGCTGTCTTGCGTTCGTGTCTATGTTGGCCGGGTGCTGTGTGTGGAGATGCTGCAAGCGTAGGCGCATGAGAAAAATGGCAGCACGGCAGAAGCAAGGGGTCAACCCTCCGGACACCGACGGAAACGGTCCATATTCACAACTTCACGATTCCAACAGCACTGCAACCCTGGTCATGCAGCCGATGCGAGCGTCTACTCTCGAATTCAAGGAAGAATACGGCAAGGACGCTTTCTCACGGAGTCCATGAGTGCGAATAGAAGGCTAGAATGGGTGCGTAGGTAGGCCCAAGCCTCGAGCAGTTTTGTCAGATAGAACATGAGTTCAAGGTAGCTGGCTACTTGACGACTTTTTTTCGCAGAGCTGCTTGCCCTTGCCAAATGTATGTTTTTGGGAATGACTCTTGCAGACAGCTTGGTGCTGAGCTTGAAGGCGATTTGACCCTTCGACGTTGCTATCTGCAATATTGTTGTGAGCTGTAGTGCGTAACGATCGGCGTGTACGTAAGAAGGTTTTCTTCTCGAAGAATAATCTCCGTTGCCTTGAGAAGTCGAGAGGGAATCTTCCAAGTACTGTTGCAAGTAGTCATAGGGGAGGGCTGTACTGCATTTACCCTATACTTGTCGAATTAGGTACAAAGTACAAAGGTGTACAATAAAATGTCAAACCTCTCAAAATTCCGCTAAGAACTGCTTAGGAGCAGACCGTCAACCTCGGTCTGCGCTGCTTGCATAAACGCACTTACACTTGGTGAGGCTACAATTGGCTCGGCATGTAACGACGACGGAGGACCAACCATAGACCTCGTCCGCCGATGAGGAACGGTCGATGGCGGCTTCACCGTGCTGGTCTCGGTGATCTCGACCTCGCCTATCTCCTGTGTCCCGAGATCCATTTGTTCGGGAGGCATCCCTCCGGGTGTTTTTTGCTGAGAGGTTTCCGCTGGAACTGGTAGTTTCGCAGCAGATGTAGGAGCGTCACATGGTCTTTTTAGTTGCGAGTGGCCTTGCGGACCGTTCAGCGCCGGCTTTTCCCCAGTGCCGTTCGACTCTCGTGAATTTGCCTCACAAAGAAACACCCTAGCCGCTGGTAAGTCAGCCTCGGACCTCACTTTCAGGCACCCGATTGCTACGAACAGACAGTTAGCAATGGCAGTTGCATTTTTGCAACCGAAGCATAAAGCTCACGGTCCAGCTCCAGCTCCGTTTCATGTGCAAATTTACAATCATCTCCGTCCTTGCAATATCCAGTAATAAAAGCGTCACAGACTTTCCCTGCCAACGATCGAGGCACGGGTGAAAAATTTAGGCACATTTCGCCTCGAAGACACTCACGTTCACCACCCATCATGACACCGCCGCCAATGACCCGCCACGTGATTGGGTAGAAATCCTTCGATTGGCAAAGATTTTTTCTTGACTCTAGTTCTCTGGCATCCACGCTCGTGGAGGTATTAGAAAATTTTTCAGTCGATTTCCTTGATCGAGGGTCGTGTATACTGCCATGCACGATTGGTATCAAGAAGTCAACGATGCTATATTGAATCTGCAGACTTACAACGTGCATTTATCCCCACTCTGACACTTACCCGTTGCCACAAAATATCGACAAGGCTTCGCTAAGCAACGAAGGGTCAGCGCGACCAGTCTAGATGATCCACCATCCCAAAGGAGGAACAGACTCACTCTGATATGCAAAAGGCTTTCGCGTCCGTGGCATCTGTTTGTCCTGACAGGAAACCGCCGACTGCACAAGCGAATGTGCCTCGAACGGAGGCATGACAAAACGTCCGAAAGGATCAACCTTCACATTGCAAGACGTAAAGTAAGTCATCCATTCCGTGGAACTAGGTTCTGGATAACGAGGCACAGCTGAAAACTGTCGGTACAGCACCACCGGTGGTGGTGAAGCAGGAGGATTAGAATCTTCGAGGTTCCCAAATGCAGCGTGCATATCATGATTGATGAACTTCACGCACAAGGGTGACCCCTCAGAGGACGAGGTATCGTGCGGGTCATCGCGTAGAATGGGATCTGCGGTGGTTGTACATCGCGGAGCACACACAAGAGGAGGTGACGAACTATAAGCTGGGTGCCACAAGGAAAATGGGAGCGTCGATGCACTCTGAGGGTAGTAAAGTGGTAATTGAGGAGCTTGTGATAGGGGAAAGTCCACTAAGGATGTCAAGAAAGGTCACGATTACTTATCGTTGTGGATCTGCTAAGGTCTCGCCAAATAACTTACCGCGATTTTGAGATGTGCAATTTCGTAGTTTACGATGCGAATGAACTACACGGAGTAAGTCAGTCGCCATCTACTCTCTCGACATTGACGATGGAAATCAGTGGACCAACTCGACTTGTGCGAGAATGGGCACGAAGTACCCCTCCGACAACATCCAGCTTGATAAAATCGACAGGTGATGTTGCAGCGTTTCTGCATAGCGTCAGCGTATGCACTGTCGAATGCCAAGCGGACGTCTTGATTGACACCACAAGCTAAACCTCTTCCGTCAAGAGTGAACAACGATACTACAGTAGGGACCTACTTTGCTTCATACTAGTGGACATTGCCTTTCGATCTCAGCATCTACTGGTGACTTGGGAAAAGTGGAGAGACAGAGATGCGACAAGGAGTAGAAGAACACACTCGTCAAGACGGAGAATAGTGGTCCTTGTTCTTGTCATGGACAAGGAGAAAAAGTGAAACCTCGCGGTTTGAAGTCCCAAGGCGATGAAAGACAAGAGTAGGGAAATATCCACATGAACGTGCTTACCTTATGAATCGTGAAATAAGTCGACGGGCAAGTGAAACAATGACGGTCCGAAACCGGTCTAGTGCCAAGGTGTTGACAGCTATATCTACGTTAGTATTTGCGTCCCCAACCCCTTTCCGCAAGTATTGACTTTGAACACACGTGTTGAGGGGGTAAGTGTAGATAAAGCAACTGACTGTGTACGAGGAAACGTTTCTGCACTCATATGTGCTCAGTGAGGACACCCTGGCGCGTACGGCGAGCCTAAATTGGTACTGAACAATAAGAACATGTGGGTTCGGCAGTACGATGGCTTCCGGACCAATCCTGGAGCCTCCCCCTCTGACCTTTACAATTGTTCAGTACTGCTGTCTGGTATTTTTAGTGGTTGCCCTCCATTCGTACCTGCAACTCTTGACATTGTTATTGTTAAAGACGGAAATGAAGTGTGCATGCGACTGCAGCACCCTTTTTTCCAAATAACGTTTAACAATCTCACGGTGACCCCACGATAGCTAAAACAAAGCCAACTGCCGGTCGTTGGGCACGCTTGCTCACCTCCTCACACGAGTTAGTTTTAAGCCCAAAAATGAAACAGAGGGAGGGTTAACACATCATACAGAGGCTACAGTACCAGAATCATTTCGGTCATGAAGATACAACCCGATCTCGCGAGGGAAGTAGTGGAGTGTGTTCTGTCGGAGGGGCCGGATCCACAGCATCCTCACCCTCCGTTACCACTGCAGACGGACTCGGCAGCTTGGAGGTATTCCAAGGTTGGGTTACATCAGCTTTGCAGACAGGACACTACAAGCAATGACATCATCAGGTTGGGACCGCGCGTACCTGAAATCTGCTTACAACTTTCTTGAGGTTGACGAGCCAATTGTCAATCTCCTCAAGGTGAAAAATATGATGACAGGGAAGTTCACGAACACGGTCGCCTTTTGAGAACCCGGAGATACAAATCGCGCATTCGATTTGCGTCTCATACCAGGGTATATGGGCGTCTTCAACTGCTTCGTGAGATGAAGCCGAGTGCGAGGCACCAGACTCGAGATCCACCGTACTCGATGATAGGGCGGTTAGGTGAGGTACAGATCCCTCATGTTTTTCCCAAGTCGTCCCGTTCCAAACTCTCCAAGGGAGACTCTTGACCAGATGCTCTGGGGCTCTGTCGCGCAGAGCGGCACGAGCGATCCGTACACGATGAATGAGAAGAGTGACAAAAGTGAGACAAGAAGGGAGAAACAGAATGATAACAAAGGTCAAAATTGGCCTGTACAGCCGTCAGAAGTGCTCGCATGAGAGGGACAGATACGGACGAATACCATTCCCAAGCCGGGTACTCTGCGGTGATCAAAAGTGAGAGTGTCTTCAGGCCGGCGTGGGAGGTAGTCGAAGATCCGATTAATACAATTAATTCCTGATAATCCGCATATCTGATATAGGTCGAAGGGACGGTAACGTCGGAAGCGTCTTCTGCGAAAACTTAGCTGAGCGATGCGAAATGCGAGATACCAGACGGACCTTTACTGTACATGCTAATGAGAGTGTCTGATATGCCACTGATGTCAGGGTCTTCACCGCCGACAACAACGGCTCTGGCACCTAGGCGCTGCGACTCCCGGACCTAAGGTAATGGTTGGCTAGAACATCGGACCATGATCGATGGCTTACCTTGTCGACGAAAGGGCACTGACCACGTTGTACAAGAGCGATCCACGATTCAGTCGGATCCGGGTGGCGATCGCCAGACGAACAAAGCGGTGGACAACCAGAATTCGGAGGTTCGGCCTTAATAGACGTATCATTGGTAGGACATGAAACCGTAAACGACGATAGTGGGATAACGTATCCAAGCAGAGGGTCTTTGAGCTCGAGGCCAAATGATGCAGGGCGAGAATGATAGGTGACCGGGGGGGAGCGATCCACGACTGAGACAGAACTTTCGACGCCCCATACCCACCCCCACAACCAACTTCCTTCTGCCGATGTGGCCGAGAACTTGTTGATGATGGCCGAACACTGCGAGTGAGCCCGGACGCTGCAAAGAAACGCAAGAAGGAAGATTAAGACAAAGAGGCGGGCCATATTTCAGGCCCTTTCATGAAGTAGCAAGGGCGAAAATAATGGTGGGCGCAAGAAATAAAGCTTCACTGAGGACGATGTCAAATTTCTCGAGTCTTCCCGTGGCGACAGGTTGGCCTCGCGGGGGACATGAGACATCAGAATATGGGAATATGGGATCTGGCACGAATTATGTCATCGTCGCTTACTCATCGGCTTTTGCCGGCTTGTTCCAAGCCGGTTCCAAGTACTACAGTTGCAGTACAAGTGGGTGTCTGGTCTCCTGTGCAATTGCACGAAACCAAAAGCAACTGTATCGATGGATTGATGACAAGGAATAGCCCTCAGCGCTCAAGCTGGATGTTCAAACAGAGGTGTTGTTGATCTATCATCTAATGATTCCAGCCTCGCTTCCCGATCAGACGTTTGGGCGGCGGTGGGTGGCACCAGTTACCCCTTGCTGGGCCAACCTGTGTGAAGGCCTGTTCAGTCACCGCCCCTTGGTCTCTGACGGCGTTGTCAGGTTCCTAGCCTAGAATGCAGTAGTGCGTGACTTGATTCATCAGGTATATATGTATGTATTCCGCTGTTAGTATCGGTTTCGTTAACTCAGCGCTCTTCCCTCACATCCAATAGCTACGCATCCCTTCTGCCTGGGAAGCCTCATGGCGATTATCATGGATCCAATCCTCTTACCAGATTATTCCCCTTCCATGCCAGCACCAGATTATTCTTCGATGCCTTTACCTGGAGAACATTGCATCCAGCGAACGCCTAGACAGACGCTGTACGAGCGTGGAAGCGTGGGGTTCAGCTACCAGGAAAATGGCATGTCTCTCATGCTTCATGGATGTCGGGAAGAGGAAGGTGCTCCAGTCTTTGGCCTTTGCAGCACTGTTCATGGCGAGTTCGAACCCGCCGACAGAGAAAAAATCGTTTCTGTGTCCGCCAAGGTTTGTGCTCGCTCCTAATATACTGTTCGATCCTGAGCGTCAAGCAGCTCCAAGGTCATATTTTTATCAAAGAAGGAACGCGGGTATCTTCTACATTGCTTCTTTCCCAGCAACGTACATTATGGGAGATGGACGACGTAGAAACTGTTTGTCCCGGCATGCTACCACTTTCAGTGTCCTTTCCTGCAAATTACTGGGACAAGGAAAACGAGCGTTATATTCGCCTGCCTCCTTCATTCTCCATCACGCGTCCACGCCGTGCTGCCGTTGTTTATACGTTGAGCATCCTCCTGCGGAAGAAAAGAGGTTCACTATTTTGCTTAAGGACCGCAAGGTTTGCACTCCTTGAATGCGTTATGATGATAAGGAGCTCACGACCCACAAAGAGACCTGTCGATGAATGTTCATCTTCGATATAAACCAAGAGTACGGCCACCACGACCTGCCCCCATATACTTTTCGTCCTTGAAACAATGTCCAGATGAATGGCAAGAGGAAATATGGTCGATAAATAGCGATTTTCTACGCAACAACGGCTCTCTTTTTATGGCGGAGTGCTATGTAAGCCATCACTCATCGACAGTGCGTGCTATGTGGGACTGACGTGCTGCCCAGTTTTTCCTTCCATCCGTAAGGGTGTTTTCCATGGCAGAGAGCATACCATTCCACCTATCGTTTTGCGGTCCGATATCCTGCCTACGAAGGGCGACAACTCCAGAGAAGGATGACGAGGGGGAGCTGATCGTTGAGCCGATACATGTCTTCTTAGTCCGCCAAACGACGGTGCGTGGACCAGACTCAAAAGCTGTGCAAGAAGAGATTCTCGGAAGAGGATCTCTGATCGTCGGCGATGAAGCGAGACTGGACAAGATGCTTCCGCAGGATGCTGTATGTATGAGCTGGGACGGTGAACTGCGATGTGATATGTCTCTCACATGCAGCGCGTTCAGCACGCCTATCCTGGAGGTCAAGGTCTGTTTCTTCTTGTAATCTGAGAGTATATTAAAACATGGCTGTTGCACAGGATTACATCGTCCTGTCATTAGTCAATCCCCTTCGGCCAATGAAGATGATGGAGGCCGACGTCCACTATGCTGTTCCTATACGACTCGTTACGCACCCCTGGATCGATAGGTCTTGACTAGATAGGGCACGCTTCCCCTAAGTTATGAAGGTATTCTAATTATAATATTTACGACTCTCGTCCTAGTATGACTTGTACCACATATCCATCACTTTGTCATGACACAGTATCATAATGGTTCTTGTCTTGTGTCCTAAAACAAGCCCACGCATTGCATTATTAAAATATCAAAACGATTGCTGGTGCCCGCGCTCAAGTGCTTACCGCCCATGTGTACCTACCGGATTACCTAAGAGGTACTGTGTCAGTCTGTGACACGACTGGCACCGCCACAGCTGGCCATTTGGTCATAGTGGTGTTTGGGGCCCCCTCAGCGCTGAGCGCAGTCAGCGTCCGGCTTGCGGAAATGGGGCTAAGCAGGTATCACCCACCCGCAGTATGCGGTGTACACCCTCTGCGGCTTTGAAACCTATCTAATTATTGTTGCTCCTCAATGCCTTGTTCGTCCGCTATCACGTCCAACATGACCCAGAAGCAGACCCGTCAAGTTTCGGACAGAGTCTACGCCATCACTCATTCCAAGGAGACAGTCACGACTGCCTTCGCCTCTTCCCAGGACTCTTCCCCTGGTCGAATTATGAAGAAATTGTACCGCGACTACCGACGTCACAAGCACAAGGACAGGGGTAGCAGCTGGTCTGTAGGGGTGCAACAAGACACAGCGACGAAAGAGGAGCACTCGACACGCGAGAAGTACCATGTACAACCAGACCTCTCATCACTCTCAACCGAACCAACACAAGCTGACCTCGACAGAGCTGCGGAATGCGGAGACTTTGGTAGACGACCAAGCGATCTGTTCCTGAAGGTGTGTGGTGGTTATCTTGCACACCCTTACCTCTAACAAGACCTTAAAGATGTATGTGGACGTACTTGCGGCCATCGATAAGGAGCTGTGGTCAGGTGTCGTATCACCCCCGTTGCTTGGTTCCAGGGGCGTCGTCACCATGTCCGTTATATCCGTGTATGTTTCTTCAGGGAATCCGCTTGGTGACCAGGGCCGAATGCCTCGATATTTCGCAGGGACTTATTGCCTTCTCTAGGATACCCGACATCATGCAACATCATTATGACTGTATTGTCGCGGCACGGCACGAGATCTTCCTCGCCACCAACTTTTGGCAGGCATCCACGTCTTCACAAAAAATATGTCAAGCCCTGAAAGAACTTTCAAGACGCGCGGAACGGAGGGGAAAAAGAGTGGTCGTGAAAGCCATGTACGACCGGGCACACTTCAAGATGTTCACTCACAACCGTGTTTACGTCGAAGAAGAGGAATGGTTGAAGGAAGTGGTCATGTTACCGAAACGGAGTGAAATACCATGGATAGACTTCGAGCTTGTGAATTATCATCGGTGAGCAGATTTGGGTTGAACGATCCAAGGTGTATTGTTTGATGGCGCCCACAGCCCGCTGCTTGGAACGTTTCATACTAAGTTTATGATCGTAGACCGTAAGATTGCACTGGTAGCATCGAACAACATCCAAGACCGCCCAAACATGGAAATGATGGTGCACCTCGAAGGTCCCATCGTGGATAGCTTGTACGATATGGCGCTCCTCTGCTGGTCTAAACCAATGCATCCTCCATTACCGTTGCTGAACGAGCCATTCCAGCCACCCATGGGCGGATATAAATTTGGAATGGATAACGAATACTCGACGCTTCACAACCTTGATGGTTCCAAGGGTGCTGAGCTTTATCACAGGTTTGCACAGCAAGATCATCCCATCAATGATACGCCACCCGAAGCTGACAAGGTTTTCATCTCCGGTAGATATCAAACTGTTACGGAACATCTAAGTAGGTGTCCTTTTCGATAAGTCACGGCATGCCGCATTGAGATCCAACATAGACGCTGGCAACCAACCGAACACACGTGCCACCTATGCCACTGTACCGCAAACGCCAGCTCTGGCCGACGAGTATACACCACACGTGCTTCACGCGATACATGACGAATGCCCGATGGCACTTGTGAATCGTGGTCCGAGAGGATCACCAACGAACCCGCGCCAGGCATTGCACAATACGCAAGATATCGCCTGGTTGGCTGGCCTAAAGTATGCCAAAAAGAAGGTCTTTATTCAAAGCCCGACCTTCAATGCTCCGCCAGTCGTCGAAGCAGTGTTGAAAGCCGCTCGGCGGGGCGTTGAATGCACCCTCTATATAGACGTCGGATTTAACGACGGAGGGGAGGCATTGCCTGATCAAGGTGGCACAAATGAACAGGTTGCCAAGAAGATGTACGCAGAGCTTGACGAACAGGGAAAGCAGAAGTTAAGGATGTTTTGGTACACTGGTAATTACTTACCATTCCGAATCTTTCGATACTGACTGATTATCTTCCCCTCTCAATTCCACTTGACGCAGGCAAGGATCAGAACAAGCCTATCAATGCGTCTGCAAGAAAACGAAATTGTCATGTAAGCTACTACATCGGTTCCAAGTGTTGTGGCGGGATCATCTCAACGTATTGCAGATAAAACTGATGGTCATCGACGATATTGTAGGCATCGTCGGCAGTGGGAATCATGGTAAGTCACACGTATACGCTTCGAGTCTGACACGGAGGAGAAATAAAATTCCTCCTTCTCGCACCAGACACACAATCGTGGTTCCATAGTCAGGAGGTAAACGTGATGATTGACAACCCCAAGGTCTGTGAGGAATGGCTTGATGCCATCCGGAGAAATCAAAACACACACCTCCACGAGCTACAAAAGGACGGTATATATCGGGATGCGGACGGGAACGTGCTTGCGGATTCGGTGTACATCAAACCAGGGTTTCTTGGTGTCATCAAGGGAATGCGCAGTTCGATTGCAAGAGTGCGCGGGAAGAGTGGACCATGAGCTGTTGCATCGTGCATCTCTTCCGGGATTTGTATTTCTACGTCATCATATGATGACCATGTATCCTATGTATTATTTGTTCTCGTGAAGCAAGTGTTGCTGACAGACTTACGGCATCAGTAGACCACTTTGTGAGCTGGTAGTCCTAGGGATTCTGTCCAGTGCTGGACAGCTCTGGCCAGCTCTGCAGCAAAAGTGATTTACTGATGGGGCACCGTGAATAATGACATTCACGGGTCTGCAAACTCACCCAAACGAGTGATGAACGAAGCATATTAGTCATCCGTACCATATGGTGGATTGGGCCGCAGCCGGTTCTTGACGGCACATAACATCAAGCGAGCCAAAATCTCATTTCTACCACTGGACTCGCCAGGCCATTTTACAAACGTTTCCAAGCACTCATATTTGACAGACCAAGGTAGTTGAGAATCGGAGGAGAGATCGTTGGTTAATGTTTGATACGTTGAACCGGTCGAATGTCATCCGAGGAATAAAGGTGAGCGGAGTGGGAAGGCTGTTTCAAGTATAGCAGGGACACCATATGGTGAATGCAATTGCCCATAAATCACCCGACCGATCCATCTGTCCAGGCGTTAGGACGCCGGCAGCCCCCGCGACCAGCCACGTCCACCATTTTGTACTTCTTCGCTTCAGGCAGAGGAACATTGCTTAACCATGAATGGTCGGCTGAGACCCAACAGACTGCCCGGCGAGTTCGTCAAACAGTCAAAGAATGGTTGTGTAACCCTGAGATTGTCTGGGCAAGACGAGCAAGCTTCTTATCCTGTTTGTGGTCCCGGTACATTCATCCAAGGGCGTGTAGATGTTTACAAGACTGAAGGTGTTACCGGTGTAGAAGTCCAGGTAATGTTGATTCGGCGTGCCCCTTGGGTATCAACAGGGGTAACGGAGTCTCGTGATTCGCACTAATTTTTTTTTTTTCAGATCGAAGGTGTATTGAAGCTGGAGCAAGTGGCTGGTAGTGGGACGACGACGTACAAGTTATGCTCGTACAAAAACATTCTCTGGGTGAAAGACCGGCTACGCAACTCACCTTGCCCAAATTCCTTGCGTTTCAGTCTGTTGCTCCCCACGACTTTTTCAGATGGCGAGAAAACGTTTGTGAGTATTATTCCAATCTTTTCATCGAGCAGCCCTCATTACCCACGTAGCCACTACCCCCAAGCTATGAAGCACACCTGTCGGGTCTTCCTGGTTTTCGTGCTTACATCCACTACGCACTTACAGCACTAGTGGTAAAGCCTGATGACGTGCCTAACATAGTAAAGTCCGCTTTTCTACGGAAAGATGACTGGTACGTAGTCGTGCACACGTCCAAACTCCGTTGAATATGAATCCAGTCAACAGGGCCATAGTCACACCTGTGCTATATCGTCCACGGTCCCGGCCCCCATCCGCAATACCGCCTCCATTGGTGACTCACCCGCACCACGGCTTGAACGAGACAGTTCAATGGAAGGTGACCACTTCTACGATACTGGCTAATCGATTGCGGTCAAGACGTAACTGTGAAGGTGTGGAATCCACCCAATGTTTTTATATGCGCACTTCGACATTCCGTCTCATCACAGCTACATCTCCCTGCCACACGAGTATTTTGCGTTCAACTCCCTATCCCGTTCTACCTAAGTTTCCACGCATCGTCTACTACTCTTGCTTCGTTCAGGCCATTAGCACCCTTCACTTGCCCTTTCGTGCGAAAAAGGCAGATTACACGGATACAGCTAATGCGACAGACGACGGTAGACATCTGGTGAGAAAACATTTTGAATTTTATTGATCTACGTAACCAGGAGGCCGACGTTCTAACAAATTTTATCAGTAACGCCTTGATGTTTGGCACGAAATCGGACATGTGGACAGTGGATTGCATCGGAGAAGCTGCCTTCAAGTACATCGTAGGTCAACATCATGTGCGTGAAACGACACTCATCGGTGACGGTTAACAGGGAAAAGGCTCAGATTGGTTGGCCTACTCAGGGGAGGTCTTCATAGCCGACCATATAATCCTTGGTGGGTTCAGAGCAGGAGGATTCTCAGTGCGAGTGAGATACGACATCTTTTCCCGTGCTTCCCGACGGCTCACCGAACGTTGAAACTTTTTGTAGGATTGCCTGGTGCTCACGGTAACCCCGACTGACCTCACTAAGTCGCCTTTCAAGGAAATGAGAACGGTTGTTCCTGTACAGTTTGCTACGGACCGGTGGATTGGGGACGGTTCTGGTCTGACGCTTCATGGCAACGGTCTAGAAAAAGTTTCGGATGAACTCGACTTCGTATCCGAACTACCTTGCCAGTGACCCGTCTAGCAACCCTGAACTTGTCACCACCTATGGAAGATACGTCCCAATTGGAAGCAAATCTCTCTGGTAGATGTCGCGCATTTGAGGGACATTGTTTCCTGGATGCAACATTTTAGTACACATCCAGCTTGAAGCACCTGTAAATATATTCCAACTTTCAGCGGGGTACGCATGAGGTCTTCGAATCTCGCCAATTGCGCAGGGTGTAGCCAATGGATGCTTTACATGCACCACTGAAGCCCACCAGCGTCTTGGAGCATCCTTCAATATCTATGATGTCATGACACGTGATGGAAACATACTTAAATCGACGCGCAGGTCGGTACTCCATCAGCTTGAGCAGACTTCTTACTACCATTTCGCCGTTGACTCTTTGAACGTTGTCTATGAGTCTCCCGAACGTAGCACCCAGACTTGAAGCGACTGGGGAGAAACAACTTCCGCTACCTTCCTCGCATGTTGCAGAGCCCACTTCAGTGACGACTGCGTCACAACAAGGTGAGGGCATCTCTCGTCCCAGAAATGCTCAGAATTAACCACGATATGTTCGGTCGGTCGTCGCTCCCACGCATACATTCTATAAATGAAGCTGCTGCAGGTCCTGGTTCCGGCCACGAAGTTCCTCTGGACCAGATCCGGAAACCAGAGGAGGTCGACTGGGATGACCCGAATATTCGTGTCGTCGAGCTACCTCCGCAGAGGAAACCATCATTCAAAGAAAGGGTATACGGTAGGTGTTGGGAATTGTACTGGTAGCTCCTCTTTCGAAGTTCTCACTAGGCTGAATCCAGGTTATGCGAGGGTACGTTGCCTTTTATTCGAGTTTCGGAGCAGGCGTTAACTGTGCATTGTGAACGACATACATAATAGGTCATTCGAGGAAGTGTAAGCAGGCGATTAGAACTTTCGCTGATGAAACCCTGACGTAACATCATCCAGGCACTTGCTGACCCAAACGTCAAGGAGCAAGGAGAAAGAGTTCTTCGCGGAGAGGAAACGATTCCGAGGCGCAGAGGATCGGCGTCGGACTAGACGTGTCGGTGAGGGCAGACTCAAAGTGGTTGAACCCATGGAGGTTCTTCGAGTGGTGGTGGTTCTGCACTGTCTTTTTGTAGTACTTGTGCTACTAGTATTTGTACTCAAGTTGTCGTGCTTGGATGTTTTGGTTCTATTCAAAATCGGGTGTGTCGATATTGACTATTAAGATTGCGTCAACTTGTCGACCCTGAAAACTGCTGAACAGCGGCTGGACTCCTCGAGCACGTGAGAAGGTTAAAGCCAAAGTATTGAATGCCTATTCAAGTTATAACCCCTTCGTCACCAGGGGAAAATATTTACTGTAAAAAAAAGCGAGGCGTCCTTGACGATAACATCCACGCAAGTACATGTACCAAGCAGTGAAGACAGTCGATAAAATCTTGCGAAGACTTTTTCAAGATGCGGTCGCGATGTTGTCTGTGACACTCTCTACTGCAATTACCAACTCTCTACTTCGCAAATATTACCCCAGGGGCAAAGCATCGAGTTCGATAATTCTCTTGGAGCCAACGCAGCCACTGTCGACGAGCCCCGTCATTTTCAGTGCTGAGTTTGCGATGGTTGTACGTGATCCAGATCATTTCTTTGCCTTATCCTTCGTTTTTCCCATACCTCGGTAGGAAACCAACGTCGTTCGCGTCAACCCGGAGGGCATAAAACGCGCCGCAGCCTACGTACGTCCCGTCCCGTCTTCATCTATTCCGTAAGAAGCAGCGTGTAGACGCCCAAACACTGACTGAACATGATTCTAACTCCTAGATCTCCTACAAAATTGCCGCAGAACAATACACTCCGCGCACGTGGCGAACCCAGCCACTGCACGTATGCCCACCAAAACCCTACTCCCCTTCGGATCCCCTTACGAGGCAATGCCTAAACTGGATATTTATCATTTCGGCGCTTAACTTTAGCTTCTGGTCCGAAAGGGAGGGTACAGCCGAACGGTATGGCGTCGAATGGCGCAAAGGATGGGGTATGGAGGAAAGAGTCGTGCATACCGGCTATTGGAGTTTGGTCGCTGCTGTGAATAGAGGTACGTTCCTAGTCAAGCTTGGTTCATCCGACTGCTATCATTATAACGATGTTAGCGCTGGAGGAAAACATTCCTATTACGGACCCTGCTTTTTACTCCTCCGAGGGCCTTTGCCCAGATTCACTCATAGCCTACGTCTTTCGAGCTTCCACACAATGTAGAGAATCGATCCCACTCCTCCAAGAACGCATCGCAATCATGCGTGAGGTGGGGTCCATATTATGCAACGTAAGTCAACACCAGTCATTTCGATCGGTCGCCTCACTGGTGCTCATACGACTTCCTCTTGTCATACGCCTGTGGCATGAACCAAAACCTACGGTCTGTCGATCGCGTAGAATTTCAATGGATCATACCTTGGCTTCCTCGCATCCTTCCATAACCGAAAATATGGTCAAGGAACAGCCCTTGACCTCGCTGAGATGGTCACTCACACCTTCCCTTCTTTCAGGGATGAGCAATGGCTCAATGGTCGCAAAGGTATACCATTCAATCCCCTTATGTATTCTCTGTCACTCACCTATCACTTCCCATTTCACACTTCACTTCCGACTTCATTTCCGCTCTGACTTCCATTCTCGTTGGGTCGGTCGCTGGTTGGCTATTGGGTGGCTGGTTGACATCTCCGGAAATCAGTCCTCTTCTGGAAACGTGCCCAAATTCTGGTGGCAGAAACATGGGCAGCATTCTACCCCGAAAATTCTACTTACCAACACCCCATTTTCCCCAATGGTCCCGCCATCACTACACTCTCAATGTTCGCAGACTATCGCGTTCCCCAGATCTTGCATCATTTGCGGATCTTGGAGTACCCAGATTCTCTCGCACACAAGTTACGAGCAGGGACGTACCTCACGTCGGGGTGTAGAGAGGAGATCAGTTTGCGAGCGGCAAGCATTGTCGCTGTTGAAAGAGTAAGGAACGAAATTATATGTTTGCGAGAGAAGTCACACCAGGGGTCCGGTGAAGCTGGTTGTGATGACGCCATTGGCACCGGCCAACACGATGAAGAAGTCAGCAGTGTACTCATTGATTTTTACCTTTGGGATTTAGCAAAAAAGATAGAACGGGGCGAAGAGCGGATAGAGGGTGTAGATACGGCAGATATGGTCCCAGTCCACCGTACGAGAAGTATTTGGTACTGATAGAATACTCACTCCGAGGTGTATGAGAAAGGATCCAACTTGGAACAGACGTATTATGGTAGAATGATTTGATATGTAATGCGTATCAATGCGGGGCTAGGTGTTATCCATGCTGGAGAAGTAGCAGAAGTCACCGGCATTCACTCCTGCAGTGGTACTTTCCTCGGTCGGCCTCTCTTCCTTCTCCCGGGTTGAGCAGTCTCTACTAGATCCACCCCACTTCGGTGGTTACCTGCCGAATCTGTACTCTGATCATCTACGCTGTTCTTCTTCGGTCGGCCTCTCGGCCGCTCTCCCGACAGAAATGTAAAATTTCGTCTTGCAGGATGGACATAGTCCATGCCAAGCTCGCGGAAGATCACTTCCTCGCTCTCCCCATACAAAAATTCCCACTTTCCCTCGCCCTCGATCCATTTCCACAAGCCATACTCGTCAAATCGTAAGCCGAGCCGGTGCGCTCGGGAATTGACATCCCGAAGAAATTCGATGTCTCCTGTTAAGACAATACGTGCAGCGCCCTGACATTGTTTCGGTACGAAACTGTCCTCGTGCGGTTGATGTTAGAGTGAAGAGGAAGGAGAAACGAGAGGTTGGAACGACCACGTACAAGATTCCCAGCCTTCTATAATCTCCCTGCTGATCCCTGATCTGGCTCAACCGCTCTGCACGTCCCTCCCACTCTCCACCTTCCACACATTCCGGAATTCGCACGATACCTCTCCACCTTTGTGGACCTCCCGAAATGTTTGCAACTATTAATCCCCTACTTTCAAGGGGCGAAACCACGTCCAGAAAGAGTGCTGTGCTGTGCACGTTTTGAGAGAAATGGACGAAGGTGTCGCCTACGGCATAGAATTGAGTGGATCTGGGCTTTGGGGGTTTTTGGGCAGAGTCGTATGAATCTTTGGGTGGTTTCAACGCTGGCTCGAAGGGGTGTACGATGAGGAGAGTGACGTCGTTTGAGGAGGGTTGGTTGCGACGGCTGGTGTCAGGACGTGTAGCGTGAGACGACTTGATGGTCCGAAACGTTGATAAGGAAGCGAGGCTTGACTTACTGGTCGCCAACCAAAATGACCTCATACTTGTTTGATATATTCTCGGATACGAATTTCTACTCACCAGAAAAGCTAAGGCAACCTGGTGACAAGATTACACGCATAACATACGCACGTGCACAGACTCGGCCTCTTTAAGCGTTACCGTCGAATTCATGCAGCCAGCGAACCGTGCACAGATCTGCTGTGCAGGGGTTAGCAAGTCGAAAAATTCCGGCTTGATCAGGTCAGAGAGGGATGTGCACCCTGCATGGTAGAGCGTCTCAGCGCGTGTTCTCCTGCATGACGGGTGCAGTCCCGGAGATTAGCAGTACTTCGAGATGAGAGAGACGAATGAGGTGGTGGCACATACCCAATACCGGGGACGAGTTGAAGAGCGTGTATGACATATTGACTGCGTGCACCTTTGTCTTTGTGCCCGTCCTTCCCATCATCTGAGCCGTTGTCGGCGACCGCGGATGTGTGTGATCGTTGGGTCTTTTGTGTGGTGTTCGTGGGGACCTGAAACCCGGCCCCCCTATTGCATGAGGGGAATAGAATGAGATGAAAAATGAAAGGCGCACATATGACACGTTCGCAATGAAAGCATCGATACGCTTTGCAATGCGGTCGCCTACTCCGCCTAGCTACGCACAGGGTACATCATGATCATCATCAGCATTGTTTCACATGCAGCGTCCAGTTCCATTCGTCCTCACGTTCATGCGCCTACACACGCAGCCCTTCTTGACGAACGTGTGCAATCACGCTCGAACGCACGTGCCAAAAGAGACGAGCAGCAAGGAAGTGAACGAGATAGCATGAACTCACCCTTTTCACTTGTCCGCCTGATCGAACAGGTTCGTCCATCCCGGCGACGACCTTGATAGCACGCTCGTACGCGCGCACTTTGTACGGGTTCCTTGCGTCGCTTGCTTCCGCCTCCGCCTTGTCTGCGCATGGGAAGGAGGAGGAGGGGGAAAGGAATCGTGATGAATTGAAATAAGTCCAACGGCAGTAACGAGAACGCGAACGAACTTACACCGCGTTAACAATTGGATGAGATCATAATTTGGGCCGGAGGTTGATGTACTCGAGTGCCTCGGTCCCAGTCTCAGTCTTACATGTGGGGGCGTTCGTGTGATGCTGCAGGCCCATGTCTGTCTGAGCACCACCGAGAGCATGGTGGCAGTCAACAGTAATAAGATTACATAATCCCCCGTGTTCGCTGCTATCCCGTCTGTGTCGACACAGACTGCGACGAGGACACACCAATAATTATGACGGACACGCCAAAGCCGCAGCCGTCGACGACGCCCTACCCAACTACCAACATGACGAGTCTGACCGATGCCCAACTCCGCCAAACCATCACCCAACTGTCTAATGCGGCCAATACGCAATATCAACATTATCAGCCCGCACATGCGAGCTCGAGTCAGACTCCGAGTACCCCAGCTGCCAAAGGTGAGCGTATTTTCTGTGTCTTTCTTTGTTTTCCAATTCGAATGGATGGCGGGATCCGCACCCGGAACGAACACTAACACTATTGCCCAGCTTACCTTAAAAACATACATACATGGTCGACGTCAACAACGCCAAGAGGATCCACGCGCGGCAGAGGCCGCACCAAAACTGTACCCGTCGCACCTGCCTCGGTGCCCGCACCACCTCCCTTCGCAGCACCGCCGGCGCTGTACGCACACCATCCCGTCCCTGTCCCAGGCTCGGTTGTTGGCGTGGGCGTAAGTGGAGCATCAGGATCCTCTATGCCCGGCCCCGCCGCCCCAACTGCTTTGCCCCTCCCGGCCCCGGTGCCACCAACCGGCCCTCCGAATCCCCCTAAGCATCCTCTCCCCGTAACTCTCCAGGCCTTCCATTCGACCTACGCGTCCCGTTTACGCACGGGTACAACCCTTCTCATGCAGCCCATCCTCTCGGGCACTTCTGCATCCACATCCACCGCCGCCGCCGCCACCACTACCACTGCACTGGCGGCCCGTGCGTCAACGCGTCGCACTGGAATGGTGAACTACGCTGATCCAGGATCTGGGGATGAATTTCCAGATGCCGGTGCGTTGGACTCTGATGATTCAGATTTCGTGGCGTCCGGTGGGACGAGGACGGCTGTGAGACAGTCGAGAGCGGCAGCAAGGATGGGTGCAGGTATGAGCAATGGAATGGGAGTATTTTATTCAGGGAATGGGGCGTCGGCGACAACACAGGGTGGGAGAGGTGGTGTGCCTTCGACACTGGGGATAACCAGCACCATGACGACGACGGCGGCGACAGCAACGGTAGGGATGGGGACGACAGAAAAGGTGGAATTGGATCAAAGTTATTTGGGGATGATTCCCCCTTCCAAGTTTATCAAGGCGAGGCCCGTAGGGCCAACAGCATATGAGTATCCGTAAGTTATCTTTCCTGCATGTGCCAACTCAAGCTACCCTCTCCCTACTTCGCAGCTCCCTCGATACTCTCCTCACACACGCCCAAACCCGCACCTCTCTCGTCCCTATCCGCGTCGAATTTGACACCGACACTCACCGCATCCGTGACTGCTTCGTGTGGAACCTGTGCGAACCACTGGTGAAACCGGAAATATTTGCGAAGATATTTTGTGCGGATTTGGAGTTACCGGTTGTGCCTTGGGTGGAGACAGTGGCGAATCAGATTAGAGCACAGTTAGAGGAACACGAGGGGGTTGCATCTTTGGACTTGGGGGTGGAGGGGTGGTATGGGTGTGACGTTGGGTTTGAGTTTGGATGTCGGTACGGGTATGCAGATGGGAATACATGGGATGGAAGGGATCAAGTAGGGGGGGAGAAGAATTACCCAAACTGGGAAGAGCCCTCTCCCGAAAACGGCGGAGAAATTCCAGAGTGTCGTGTCATTCTGAGCGTAGGTTTGCGCTTCGCTCGTTTGTTCATCGTCAACACTCAAACACCACCCGTCTCAACCTACAGATTGACGTCCAAATCGCAACCCACCACTTAATGGACCATATCGAATGGGACCTCTTATCGCCACTGACACCGGAAGATTTCTCAAAACAGCTCTGTGCGGAACTCGGATTGGCTGGAGAAGCAATTCCGTTGATTGCACACGCTGTCCACGAGGAACTTATCAAGCATAAGAGGGATGCGATTGAATGGGGGGTTATTGGGGGTGACTATAGGGAGTCTGTTGTGGGACGGGGTGCTTTGGCAGGTGGCGGAGGAAGTGAGGACGCGGAACGGAGGACCGCTGTTGGCGGTGGCAGTGGCGGTGGCGTACTCAAGGACAAGACTGGGCTGGGGCTTGCGTGGGGTCGAACGCCGAGAGAGAATAGGGGACCCAAGACATTGCGGAGTGTGTGGAGGGAGTGGTCCGAAGCCGAGGAGTTCAGAACGCGGTTTGAGGAGTTGACAGCAGAAGAAGTAGAGAAGAGGGAGATTGAGAGAGAAAGGGCGAGTCGGTGCGTTTCTTACGTGTGTTATTTCGGTGGTGGGTGGGTACTGATTTGTTTTGGGTATCTAGACGATTGCGGAGGGAAACGTCGAAATTCCAGACAACGAGAACGAGACGAAGATGAATGGGCGTTTTTTTGTTTGTTTATTGTTCACGTATACGGTCTAGTTGTTTCGATGCTTATCGCATAAAACACGCGCTGCGTTATCTCGCAGGCAGCAATGAATTTCTGAAGATACGATCTGTCGCCTAGAAGAGAAGATGTTGATGTTCTCGACCAGGTGAGTGGAACGATAACAGACATATGCATTGTGAGGTGAAGGGATGCACGCTATCTCAGGAAGACACGAAGGCGTGCAAAGTGCTGATAGTGAGTCTGCGTGTATAAATACCGAGTGTCGTCTTCTTCAATTCGATTGCATTCGTATGAACCTAGTTATATGTATGTATACATGAACCGACCCTCGATCATGTATGGTGAGCTTCGACGAATATGAATATGAAATGGGAGATAGGATGGACAACGATGATTGGTAAATCGTATTTTATAGTGGGAAGATGAACTGCATAGGTTCGCGTGTCGCGCTAGGCCTCCATACCCGCTGGGGAGTGCGAGAGGTGAGCACATGACGTGAGCTACCGCCGTGGGGGGGGGACTGTCGGTGACGTGGAAGGGGACAGTAGTCTGGCCACTGACCTCCGCGGGAATGGGCCAGGGGCTAGAACTGTGCTGTAGGTCGATATGATAATGATCGCTCGACTACACACTACTAAACTGTTGACTCAGATCGCGACATGTAGCATCATTCCGAGATATCCCGTGATGACATGAACTGTTTTAAGAGGGGGTCTCAGAACAAATGGATAGACGGAGGTGAGGAGATCCGACAGGTTCCGAGGTGTGGGTAGGAACGTGTGATCATCCTTTGAGAAGAGAGAGACATGAGCCATACACGTTGATGGGGAGGGGAGTGGAATTGGATGCGGGGAATGTAAAGTTAGTAGGGTGTATTATGTAATGGCACATCTCCCCCCAATTGACAATATGACCGGTCCGGTGCGCGATCAGCCAGCGAACAAGGACGATACCACCTGTCTGCCAAGTGTGACGGTCGAGTTGGACCCGAGGGGGGGCGTCTAAAGGGTAAGTAAATACTAAGCACATGCACAGCCTACCTATTAGTACCTGCTGAGCCAGCTTGTTCCCTTTTTGTGTCTTCCCCACGTTCTCCTCTAACCCCACGTTGCCGTGCCCTGAAGGCCTGACTCACTAGTACTGCCAACTGCACACGTCTGCCTCCTGTCTGCTGCATTCCAGCCTCCACGCCCGTCCGTGTCTATTACTAAAAAAGAAAGGAAAAAAGAAAGAAAGAAAAAAAAAAAAAAACAACAACCACGACACGACTCCGTCCCACTACACGCCGTCTCGTCCATCATCGTTCTTATTTGATAATCCCCATCTTCGCCTCTAGAACACCCCTCTTAGACATACCTTTACTATCATCCGCTTCCTCAACCTTATATCTACCCCATTCACACTCCCCCACTCCTCCTTCGCATTCAATCCCCCCATGGATAATCCCCATCCCGGTCCCCTACAAGACAAGACTGCTCCTCGTCCTTACAAATGTCCTTATCCACTCTGCGGTCGTGCTTTCAGCAGACTAGAACATCAGGTGCGTGCCACGCGTCTGCTTCCCTCACTCTAATCACCCACCACGCCTCCTCACTCCCAGACGCGGCACATCCGTACGCACACGGGAGAGAAACCGTTCGTGTGCACCCATCCTGGCTGCGAGAAACGATTCTCCCGCTCCGACGAACTCACCCGTCACTCCCGTATTCACAACAGCGACGCTAATGGGACAGGACCCGGTACCAAAGGTAGAAAACTCAAATCAGAACATTCCACTACCACAACCACAGACAGCCTCGAATCCGCTATCAGCCTCCACTCCCTGATAGGATCTGAATCCCGTATCGACGATACCACCGTCCGGGTCAAGAAGAAGGCGAAAAGTAGAGCAAACAGCGACGATGAGGTACGTCGGACCCACCCATCATATGGGTTACTCACTTATGTAATCATTCTTCCTCTCTTATCCATACAATACAATACAATACTTACACCGTAGGGTGAAGCCTATGCACGACCTACCTCTATCGGGTCATACGATGCAGTATCCCATCGTCGTTCCCAGTCCCATCTCCCGCTTCCTAATCCATCGCCCTTCTCAACTCTCTCGAGCGTTGCCATGGACGAACTCTACGCCCTAGAACGTGAAGAAGCACTCCGGCGCGCAGAATACGAAGCTCGCCATGCAGAAGCACTTCGTCGTGCCGAATACGAAGCCCGAACCAGTGATGTGATTTATATTCGTGGTCGACCTAGCAAAAGTGCGACCACCAGTCCTGTATCGACCCCTTATCACACCGCCGCATCCCTCAAACCTGTCGACGGTGTTTCGCTTGGAACTACTTGCCATCCGAGGAGGACGTGGCAAGATGATGATGAAACCAGTAGAATGATGGATAAAGCGGCGCGCGTTCAGCGTAGGCTGAGTGGTCCTGCGTGGCAGATGACCCCGGTGACGCGTAACACGTCAACGGGACAACCCCCGGCTGGAACTTGCATGGAAATGCCAGCGTCGACGACCACCTCGTCGTCAAGTACCACCCCTGATCAAGTTCGGAACAGCACCCTCGTCTCTCGGCATCTTTCTACACACGAAGACTCACCTTCTCCACTTAGCTCCGACTCGGACTCTATCCCTCCCTCGCATCGTTACTCCACCCATCCTGCCCATCTCACTTCCTATCCACGTACACGTCCCATCGCCAATTCGAACTCTAGCGCTGGACCCACTGGCACAGGCAATGAACTCTCCCCGCGATCACGGTCCGCCTCGAAACCCGAGTTTACATTTACCCCTTCGACGAGCCCGTTCCTTGGTCCATTCCGGACACTCAATCTGCATTCTGCGAATCCGTCTCGTGCGCCGTCGCCTATCCTACTTCCGCCCGCATGTTCCACGAATGGGTATGGAAAGAGTGGAGAGGGGTCAATGAGCCCTGTGGACGGCTCTTTTCATGGCCATTTACATGGGTTGTCCGCAATGAGACAACGCGATCGAGGGTCCAGTATTGTCGGAAGTCCGCCTCGTTCTCGCGTAGCTGCAGGCTCAGGTGCGAGTGCTGGAGTTGGAATGTTCGGCCCTGGATCTCGGAACAAGAGTTTTGGTGATATCCCGTACAGCATGTCAACAATTCCACATGTGCACACGTACCCGGGACAGTTATCCCTCGCTGCTTCCCAAGCAAATAGGAAAGATGCGGATAGGAAGATGGCCGGTGCAGGTACCGGAGCAGCACCTACGCCACAGCTGTCGAGCGGCCCAAGTAGTTGCAGTAGTGGCAGCAGTCCGGGAAGCTCGGTGTATCCTATGGCGAGGTCGACTATGGGAATAGGGAGACCAACATTTGAGATTGGCGTGCCGACACAGAGTCCATCTGTTTCGAGATCTGGGTCTCCGCACCATTCGCCGCGATCCGGGCAGTATACGAATGGGAAATACCCACCGCAAGCGCAGCTGTCACAGACCCAAGTGCCCTCGCAGGTACACGGTACATATCATCATCACCATTATCTGGCACATTCGGTTCGTTCGGCGTTTGGAATGACACCTATCCATTCCAACTCGATTTCCGGTGGTGGTGGGAGCAACCATAACGGCACCAGCATTCCGCAACGAAACCCATCTTGGCCAGTTCCCTGTCCTCATCCGCACGCCGGCCCCGTACGTTCCGGCTCGTCCCCAGGTGGAATTGTCACTCCACAAGCGACACACTCTTACGGCCAAGGTTATGGATTCGGGACCCTTGGTTCTGCCTCCGTTCCCCCGTCGAGGGCTCCATCTCCACCGATTACACTTCCACCTTTGCGTTTGAGGACGACGTCCCCAAAATCGGTGTCGATGGGTGATGGGGAGAGTAGTGATGATGAGGATGGGAATGAAGACCAAGATGCGAATATGGAAGGTGAGGGCGTCGTTATGAGTAGGAAGAGGGATAGGAGTGGAAGAGGAGTTGCGGTTGAAAAGGAAAAAATAGCGTTGCCGGGATTCAAGGAAATCGAGGCTGTTGCGAGAGGGGAGAAGTGATGACCCCCTGCTCATTTGCTGATCTGGCATTCAACTGAAGATACTAACATCGACGCATGCTTTCGTTCGTCCCATACTACCTTCCCCCCGCATCCCTATCGCACCAGCTCTTTCACATATCTATTTCTTGTCACTTCATACTCTTAGATACTTTCCCCCTTTTTCGTTCGTTCGGTTGGTTGGACGTCAACCCCTCTTAGTACCTTCCCACAGCATTGCGTGTGTGTGCACCGCCAGTCTCATTACCCACCTCATTCCCGTCGTTATTTTTGGCACGATACGATCCCCCGTTTCTCGTTACCACACCGTTTTCCTTTCGACGTTTCTCGGAACTCATCACTTCCCTCCCATTTTTTTGTCCTCTCGAGACGCTGGAGTTCACGATGATCACGTCACACTTCCCAATTCGCAACACGCACAATGCACTAGACTGGCTAGTTACCTCTTCGAAGGGCGAGCCACGTATTTACTAGGCGTTTATGATATGACTACCCAGATAGATTTATGTATACGTGCTTGGTAATGAGTATTGTGTCGTTCAGATCGGATGTTTTTTTTTTTTTGTATATGCCCAGGAGGGGAGAATGTAGTCTGACACTGGTACATATCAAAGGCGTACGTCCATAGGGACGGGCGACCTAACGATCTGATATGCTATCCAAGTCATTGATTAGGCCTTAGACCGACAGGGTCGTTACTTACTCAGTACTAGTAGCACAGCTCGGTATTTTGTTGGGCGCGATGCGTGGGGAGTCGGGACTGATTCATTTCGGCGACTCTAGTTGATACTTCATAAATCAATAAATCCTGAAGTACTGCCTTCAGAATTGTTTGCTGCCTGTTCTAGGTGTAGCTACGGACTGAACTCGAATGAGTCGTGGCAGGCCTTAGCACATTCCGGGCTTCTTGGATCCCAGCTTACGCTGAGAGACACCGTATCCCAGGCTTCGTCACGTCGCGTTCCGTTACCTGCCTGGACTCTACGTCACCAGCCACGTAGTATTGAGACCAACCCCGAGTACGCTACGGTTCGCGTGACAGACCTGAGAAACGACCGGTCGCCCAACCACGCTCTAGTCCGATTTCTATCTGCATCATTGCATATTCTGCCCTTTATACGTATGCAATCACGCCCTATCACGCTCTCATATTACACACACCGTACCTCGCACGGCCCTCATCAACCAAAATGGACCCCACTCAACCCACCCATCCGCATCGCCGCAGGCGATCGACGACGGGACGCATATACTCTGACAGCCTAGCTTCGAATATGATAGAGCGGACGAGAAGAGAGATGTTCTACCGAGCGTGTGCGCAGGGTTTTCCTTATTCAAGGTGAGTATTTTGTCTTGGGGCGTGCCGTTGTGTTCGTGAGTTATTGTGTACGTGTGGATCTGTTTGCTTGCTTTTCGTTTTGTTTGTGTGGGTGGGTCGGGTTATCTGAATGGTGATGTCAGGCGGCTGGGTGGGTGTGTGCGGTAGAGAGAAATTCCTGGGTATGCTGGGTATCACCGCTGTTTATCCTTAGCTATGGCATTCACTGGTTTCCGTTTCGGCCATAGAAAAACCTTTGATTGCGCATGATTCGTGATCGTCGATGACGCTACTGACCGTTTCTTGTAGACAACTAACGGCGCACGTCTCATGTGTTAATTATCTCATGTTCTCTCGTAAAGGTGGCAGATGGTTAGCCAGTGCTGGGGATGGTACGTCCATTCTCTCCTCTTCCTACTGTCTTTGCGCAATGGACTGTACTTAACGATTAGATTTTCGTATTCTCCTGTGGGATTTCAATCAGGAGGATGTGAGATCTCCTTCGGGATGCTACTCTGGTCCAGCGGTACGTTTTCCCGTTCTTTCTCTGGATATAAAAATAACACCCCCCTTTCTTCATGCTGCCTGGTAGGGAAATGTGTTATCCCTTGATTTCTCAGCTTCGAATCAATATCTGATAAGGTTCGTGATACGACTCGCAGACATGTTTCATCGAGTGTGCGCTGATACGTCCCATTCTCTTCGGATCTAGTGGAGGTGCAGATAATCTAGTACTAAGGTATGACGTATCGAGACTGGTTTCGCCTGGCGTACAATGGGCCCCAGAGAGGCCGTTGCCTGCGCTGAGCGTGTATAGGCGACATGATGTGTGTCCAACGATTTTGTTCATTCCCATCTCGTTGACGTGTTACTTTTTGATGACGGGTCCAATCGAACTCAGGACAGCGTGCGTTCCGTCAGTGCTCACCCCCACCATGAAGAACTCTTCTTCAGTGCTGGGTAAACCTCGATCGTGCTCAGATAAAGTTCGTGTATCTGACAACTCATTTCGACCAGCGAAGATGGAAGGATCATTCTTCATGATGCACGTGCCGATAGGAGGTCGTCGAGCGCACAAGGAATATATCAACATACTACCGAGTTTACAGGCGTACAAGCACATCCTGTCATGGAACATATCTTCGCGACGAGCGACTCACATGGGCAGGTGTGTCTTCGTGACACGAGAATGGCGTTCGGACCGCTGTCGACTAGGTCCAATGAGGGTATTGTGCAGACGGTATGTCTTTATTTGTATTCATGGTCAAAGTTCTCTATCCCTATTGTCTGCGGCAGTATGTTACAAAGTTATCCAAGAGGTCTTTGGGATATCTCAGTAACCCTGAAAGCAGTAGTATCACATTCGATTGTGATGGTCAGTGGCCGGAACCTTCTGAGCTCGTCTGCGTTCTAATATGCACTTCTTTTAGGAGGTCGATTGGCGGTGACCATGCTGGTATGTTCTATGTACACAGAGGCGTAATGTTCATTTATGGTCATGTGAACAGCACTGGTATCCGACGATATATGCTCTTTCTGATCCATATCCACTGGCTGTGTGTACTGGGCGCAATAACCCCGATGGAAATCCAGTTCCTGCTGGAGAGCGGACGTATTCGAATTCGTGTACAATGAAGGTGTGGCGTCCCTACGCCAGCTGATGGACTAAATTGATATCAGGATCAGTCAGGTGCATTTGGAGGCCCCGGAATTGGCGAAGATGTTCTTTACGCAATGGGCTCTGACGATTTCAGGGGATACGTTTGGGAGATACCTGAGACGACGATATTAACGAGTCTCCGACAGGAGATTCCTACAGAGGAATGGTATACACGAGAGTGGCACGACGTCGTAGGTGCGTACCAAGTGAACGACAAGTTCAGAACCTGACACCTTTTCTTCACCTTCGACTTGCAGGTTATTGCGAGGGATTGTCGGCGACTCGTTATGTACCTTCGGAAATATCGACCCCGTTGTGCCGGCTGAATGGTAAATTCTATCCATGAAGTTCGTCAGAATTCAATCTTTAACTTACCGAGGCCTTCTTTCATCATAGGACATCGTTCTATCGTGAACGCGATTGCGATCCACCCTTCACAGCTTCACATCGTCACATCAGGCATCGAGCGTCACATCGTGTTACATAGCCCTATGCCTTCGTCGGCTATCGCGCAGGATCTCTCTCTGACACCATTGGAGGTGAGGAAGTTGCCAGAATACAGCCCTGAAGACGAGATGCGCTTCTTGGGAGCACTATTAGGCACACACTCGACCTTACATGGGGATGCGGGTCAATCGGACGATGAGAGTCAAACAATCTTATTATTTGACCAGTGAGTACAGATACCCTGTGTTATACAACATTGGTCTTACAAACATGGGAAACAGTATTCTTGGGGAGGAAGGTGAAGGGGATATTTTCGAGTTGAGGCAGTGTAAGGAAAATGATGATGACGAAGATGATGAGGATGATCATGTGTTGATTGATATCATGAGGTCCCCATCAGCCTCTCCACCTTGATTTGAGGTTGTCTGTGTAAGGATTCACTGGATCACCTGGCCAGCAAATGCTAATTATCTACTTTGTAGACCCTACAGAGTCTGAGTGTGCAGAGTATGAAGGCCAAATGTGTAGACAGAATGTGCAGAGTGTACAGAGTGTGTAGACTGGGTGTATAGATTGTGTAGACTGGGTGTATAGATTGTGTAGACTGGGTGTATAGATTGTGTAGACTGGGTGTATAGATTGTGTGTACAGAGTGCATAGGCCAAATGTGTGAACTGAGGTGTAGACTTACACAGCCACTCCTGTGACACAAACAAATTAAGTCTGAGAAATAGGTAGAACTGTGTCATGTGAAACATGAGTTTGACACAGCCCTGATTAGGTTGGGTGGCATATCCACTATGGTTTGGGATAGACAATCTTTAAGACCTTTTTTTTTTGAAACTGCAGTGGATGCAGATGAAATGCATTCTATGCACATACAACAAGGAATTTACTGCCTGTTATGGTAGCACCTCATTATGCAGGCCATGTCACAAAGAAAAGTCACTCATCTGGGCTCATCTGCAAGTTTTAGCTGAGAGATTTCAAAGTAGTGCCAGGCTAAATTCAGTGTATCTTGGACATCATGTCTCGTTAATGCATGAATACAGGAAATGTCTGCAACAAATTTACAAATATCATAGACCCCAGCATCACTATTTGGGTGCACAGCACAATTTTTTGTCTGCAAGCAGTTTGGCACTCGATTTTAGCAGTCAGTCCACAGGATCCTTGCCTGCCGTGGAACGTGAACATGAGAGCTTACATTATCACTTGTCAGTGGCGAATTCTGGACATGATTTACGACGGATGCCACTGGGCCGCTGTTCCGTTGATTGTATTATATAAGCATCATTTTTGGTCACCGTGGCGTCCGCTCTTGTTCTCAACTTCAATCGACCATGTCCGACGATTTCAGCCTCTGCTGCTGGGTACGAGGTACCCCCGTCGCTGCCACCTTCATTATCACGATTTCACGGACTGAAACCGTCTATACCCTCAGAGATCTTATAAAGGAATCCGCGTCGCTTGAAGTGCCTGCTCTAGCTCTCCGACTATTCAAGCTCAAGGATCCCCTGCGAAGACCCTATAAGGAGACTCTCAATGGTGTCACCCTCTCGACGCATGGGAAACTCTTGGATCCTTCGGATGAGATATCAGAGGTGTTCGCGGCACCACCACCAAAGCGCCACATCCATATCATAGTAGGTACGTAGCAGCTGCGATCCAGGCTTTCCCTGGTCATTCATCCCTGATTTACAGATGTACCATACCCGAATATCTACTACTATTTTCGAGGTGCAGATGCATCGGAGGAAGGAATGGTTCGAATCCAATCGCATGAAGACGTCATGACATTCAAACAACAGATCCAAGATCGTCATAGTAATCTCAGTGATTTGCCCTCTGCTTGCTTAAAGCTCTTCAGGATCTCGGAGGACGATGTCCAGGAGAGTCTTGATCAGATGGACGGTGGTACGGCTCTCACCGGGAGACAGAAGATATTCGAATGTTTCGCGGATAGTCCAGTTCTCGAGAATTATTGCGTTGTTGTCCAGCTTTCTTCCCCTGAGTGTAAGTAGCTCTATGGCCTCTTCGAGTTATACTGAACTCAATCTTTGATAGCGATAAATAAACGTCGTGCGGTGGCTAGGCGCCCAGTTATGGATGCAAGGGGCCCCATTAACGAAGGGGATTTGATTATGGTGGCGCGGAACAACTTCCTGAGAGACCGTCCCAAAAAATCGCCATCGAGCAGTGGTCAACCATCGTCGTTTCATAACCTACAAGGAAACTTGAATACCCGGATACCCTGCGGTCGTCCTCGCAATAACGAAGAAACCATTCCTGCAACGCTTTTACATCCAGTCTTCGGCCAGTTCCTTGATGGCTGTCAGACTGAGGAGGTGAAAGCAGAAGATAATGAATTCATTCAGAAGCTGGCAAATGTGATGTCGGACCTTCATAAAGACGAATCGGTGCGAATAAAGGAGGTTAACAAGGTGCTTGAAACTTACGGACTCAACTTTAACCTGGGCGTCAAAGTCAAAGGAACCGACTATGTGATGGATGGTGAAATGAGCACGAACGACTATCGATACGTGATTGCCGAATTCAAGAACGAGACAGCAGCCGCAGCTTCGGAGCCTTATATGCAGGCTGTCACATACTATCTGGAGTCAACCAGCCAGCAGGCGCTTCAGACAACCGGATCTGCTTTACCTTGTTTTCTCTTCCTACTTTTTGGTCAGTATTCAGGCTTGACGACTGTAACATTGACATCCAACCACTTTTCCCCCCAGGACCGTACATTGTCTTCGCCGGTGCTGTGTGGAATTTACGTCCTATAGTGCAGGTTCTTTCGACCCCACTGGCGTTGCACTATCATTCCACCGATACCGACAGTCAGATCAACGCGGCTCGCCACATGGCTGCATTCCGGAACGCCGTTCGATCACTGGGGGAATACTATGAAGGTCCCCAACCTGGGCCTGCTACCACCCCCATGTTGTTCCCATATCGCACGTATTTCACGTCTCTCGACGGCTCTGAGAAAAAGAAAATATTCCGTTACAAGCAACAGGGAAAGGACGAGCGGAAGCTTATCTTTTTCGGAGCCCTAATCGGGGAGTCAGGCTCTGAAGTTCCGATCTGTATTAAATTCGTCCGGCGTTATTCACGCGAGGCTCATGAGCACTGTGCAAAATTAGGTTTCGCGCCGACCTTGCGAGGATGCGAAACGATCCCTGGTGGGTGGTTTATGGTGGTCATGGACGACCTTCAAGGCTACGATACATTGGACGACGTGCCCAATCTCCCGGAATCGGTTTTCAGCGAAATCGAGAGTAAGCTGGCCACGCTGCATGCAGCGGGCTTCGCTCATGGCGATATCCGTGATACGAACATCATGGTGAAGCGGGAAGACAGGACGACGTTCATGATCATCGACTTCGATTGGGCCGGGAAAATCAATGTGGTGAAATACCCACCGTATGTGAATTTTGTGGACATCAAGAGGCCAGGCAGTGCGCGCGATGGGATGCCCATTCTGAAAGCTGATGATGAATGGATGCTGCAACAAATCATTAGTCAGAGGAGCAAGTAGGCTTACCCTGGGTCTGACACGAGATGTAAAACCATGTAGGAAGTATACTATACCCTTTTCTGTAATTGTGGTTAGCATTCTAGTAAGGTTGTGGTAAGAAATCTAGGAGCCATAAGGAATATTTCTGTGATGTGATCTATATAAACATGGATGTTATGTAAGAGAGAGCTGCAATCCAAGTGCATAATGATGGAAATGCTGAATATCAATGTGTGTGGAATGCTATCTGGGTGAAATAAATAAACCTATGTGTTATGCTCTGATCTGGTGACTTCATCAAATGGACTAGGCATGAAGGATGGAGGGATATTCTATGGGCCAAATGTGTCATAACCCCTATGGCTCACTACAACCAACCCTTAAGGCCTACAGATGCTTCAGGCAACCAGAGCTCTCTCCCAAAGATACTGAGGATGAAAGTAGTATAGATTGGAGATGAGTTGCAAGGTAGTGAAAAACTGCATCAGTAAATCACTTTGAGCTGTGGAGCTCTCCACAGTGCTCCATAATACACAGAGTCCCCTAGCTAGGTCCAGGCTGGACAGATGCACCCAACAACACTTTTTGCTATGGCTAGTTGCCTATTACTATGGAATGGTCACATTGTTGTGGAACTTTGTCCAGTATCTTACTTACTATGGATTGCTATGGAACTTTTGTGCTTAGATATCAGTATACAAAACTGGCCAGACTGTATTTTCCTTGGGGTGTTGTCCAGTACTCCCCATCTCAATGTTTACTTTGCAGACATGTGATCACTCCACAACTATGTATGTAACAACAGGTACAATAGGAATAGGTATTATGAAATTAATCAAGGACAGCCTGAATGTACTGGTACCTCTCTCAACCTCTTGCAGTGCAGCCCTGATGCAAGGAGTCAGTGCAAGTATGACAGATGCCCCAGTACTTACCATCCTTTGTCCACCCACTTGTTACATATGCCTTGAGCTGCCCCCTTACCATTTCTGGTCACATGACACTTACATCTTTTTGTGCCTTGGCTTCCAGGGGGTTGCCATGATTGTTACCACCATTTTTGCCACTGTCTGGATTTTGCAACACCTGCAGAAAGGTGGACTGGTCTAGAAGAGTTGTACAGCATTGTTGCTGCACTCTGATTGCTGCTTTGTAGGTTTCCCCAGTCTCATTTCCTCATTTATCCTTGTACAGTATATTTGATGTCTTGTTTTCATCATTCATCAGGAAATTAACACTTTACTATTTTTGACCTTTTTGTGCCTTTTTTTGACTATACAGCCCCTGGGGGAATTATAATTACAAACTCCCGACCATAATTTGGGGGAAATAATGCTGGGAGTTGATAGATATGTCCATTGGGATGTCCCAGGTGAAATTTGAATGAAATTGGCGGTCAGAAAAAAAATCTACAGGGGGTAGAAGGATGGTCAGACCACAAAGTGGTATCTCTTTGGAAATACTTCTGGGAGGCTGGAAATCATTTCCATTGTCTCCAGTTGCATTTATACAGCCCCTGGGGGAATTATAATTACAAACTCCCAACCATAATTTGGGGGAAATAATGCTGGGAGTTGATAGATATGTCCATTGGGATGTCCCAGGTGAAATTTGAATGAAATTGGTGGTCGGAAAAAAAATCTACAGGGGGTAGAAGGATGGTCAGACCACAAAGTGGTATCTCTTTGGAAATACTTCTGGGAGGCTGGAAATCATTTCCATTGTCTTCAGTGGGATTGATAACACCCAGGACATCCATCCCTGGCAAGCTGGCACCCCCTCCTGATGTTACTGGATTGCCATCCCTGGGGTATGAGGAGGGGATCAGGTATGTTGGTGAAACAAATATGGGGACCTTTGTAACACAATTCTGATGGTCTTGTAATGTCATACCCATGGGGTAGACATGATTCAGATAGCTAGATCAATCTCTGAAATTGTTTTGATGGAGTGAACATGGGGAGGGGGGGGTAACATATCTTACATGGATATTCTGACACCTAGAAATGCTGCAACCATTGTCATCATCCATTGTGACTTTCAGGCCCTCCAGGAAAACCATTCCTGACAAGCTTTCATGCTTGCTAAACTTTACAGGATTAGCACCCCCAGGATAAGAGGAGGGGAATGAGACATAGGGTCCTTTCTGGTGTGATCCAAATGGTCCTGCCATGTCATTCAAGTGGCACAGACATGGTATGGACAGCTGGATTGATCTGGAATTGTTTTGATGGAGCAAAGCTGAAGAGGGGGGTTCACATTTGGGCCAGGTATCATCCCAAGATGCCAAACATGTTGCTACCTGATCAGACTACACTAGGCAACACTGGGATTCAGTTCCACAGGAATGGGAACCACAATCTACATCAACAAAGGTCTGGTTCAGAGTCCAACTCTGAATGGCATCTTCCAAAGATGTTGGCTCTGGTTTTCCCTCTGAACCTCTCAGCCAAGTTGCATCCAACTGGATCCAAAGCTGACAGGTAAACAGAAAGAAAAGTTTCCCAACCACTGGCCCCAGACTGGACAGTTGGGCCAACCACTTCCAGTCCTGCATGATCAACCAAGGCTGCAGTTGGATGGTCCTTGACAATTTGGCCCATGTCAGTCTGCTGCCAATGGGAAATTGTCTGCAAACACCAGCAAACATCAAGCCAGCACCATGGCCCCTGTCCAAATTGACTGTGACAGCCTGTCACTCATTTTGGAGCAGATGGAATGTCATTTGCAGCCTCTGGTAGGTTGATTGACTTTCATGTAATCCAAATAAATTACATCAGATATTCTATCAGTGTGCCCACCCGACCACCCCTGCTGAGACCATGCTGCACCACTTAAAATGGTGTTCATACCATGGAAACCTCTTCCCCTGCTCTCAGGTTGATAGGTACAGGTCCATACAATATGGGGAATGACAGACAACACAGATGAACACCAGCAAACATCAACCCCTTACCAAAGCCCCTATCCAGACCATGTCCAAATGCTGGGAGACCCTGGGACCTGGTTCAAGCACATTGATCATCATTCCCAGATTCCTGTATGTCTATATTACTGCATGTATTACAATGAAATACAGAATCTACATCAGATAGTATACCAGTATGCCCACTGGACCACCCTGCCTCGGAGCATGCTGGCCCACTTGGAATGGTGTTTGTCCATACAGGCCCAGTTGCATGGGTCTTGTAGTACCATGTCCTGGTCTGTCCACCATGACAAACACTGATGAACATGGGCAAACATTTCTGAACATCGGTCCAGCATGGATGGCCCTGAGTAAACATACTGGAGGACTTGTTTACTTGTTTGGAATGCATTAATCAGCTTTTCCAGACTCCCCTAGGTCGATTGCATGTCTGGTAATACAAATAAAATACATCAGATAACATATCAATGTTCCTGTCTGACCACTCTCCCTCATGGCATGCTGGACCATTTGAAGTGGTGTTCGTCCCTCCTAGATCAATTGCAATTGACCTTGCTAGGACATTTACAGGTCCATACAGCCAGACGAACACCAATGAACACCAACGAACATCACTCCAGAAGTGATGCCCCTGTCCACATTGACTGGGACACCCTGCGACTTGTGTGGAACGCATTAATCACTTTTCCCAGACTCAGACTCTCCTAGGTCTATTGCATGTCTGGTAATACAACCAAAATACATCTTATAACATTCTGATGTTCCCATCTGACCACTCCCCCTTGGAGCATGCTGGGCTGCTTGACGTGGTGTTCATCCCCCCTAGCTCAATTGCAATTGACCTGTTCTGAACATGTCTAGGTCTGTACAGCAGGGCAAACACCAACACACACTGAAGAACACTGTTCCAGAACCAAAGCCCCTGTCCACATTGACTGGGACACCCTGTGACTTGTTTAGAGTGTGCTAACCATCTTTGCCTGACTGTCCTATGTCAATTGCATGTCTTGTAATACAACCTACATACATGATATAACATACCAATGATCCTGTCTGACCACTCCCCATCATGGCATGCTGGACCCTTGAAGTGGTGTTTGTCCCCCCTAGGACCACCAAAGTCGACCTAATTTGGACATCCACAGGTCCATACAGCAGCACGAACACTGACGAACACCAATGAACATTGATCCAGAACCAAAGCCCCTGTCCACATTGACAGGGACACCTGGAGACCTGTTTTGAGTGTACTAACCATCTTTGCCTGACTCACCTATGTCTATTGCATGTCTGCATGTCTGGTAATACAACTAAAATACATCTTAAGACATACCAATGTTCCCATCTGACCACTCCTCCTCAGAGCATGCCGGATCACTTGAAGCAGTGTTCGTCCCCCCTCGGACCACCTCAATTGACCTAATTTGGACATCCACAGGTCCATACAGCAGGACGAACCCCATTGAACACCAATGAACACCAACAAACAGCAACAAACACCAATGAACATTGATCAAGCACCAAAGCCCCTGTCCACATTGACTGGGACACCCTGTGACTTGTTTAGAGTGCACTAACCATTATTATACAGCCCCTGGGGGAATTATAATTACAAACTCCCGACCATAATTTGGGGGAAATAATGCTGGGAGTCGATAGATATGTCCATTGGGATGTCCCAGGTGAAATTTGAATGAAATTGGCGGTTGGAAAAAAAATCTACAGGGGGTAGAAGGATGGTCAGACCACAAAGTGGTATCTCTTTGGAAATACTTCTGGGAGGCTGGAAATCATTTCCATTGTCTTCAGTGGGATTGATAACACCCAGGACATCCATCCCTAGCAAGCTGGCACCCCCTCCTGATGTTACTGGATCGCCATCCCTGGGGTATGAGGAGGGGATCAGGTATGTTGATGAAACAAATATGGGGACCTTTGTAACACAATTCTGATGTTCTTGTAATGTCATACCCATGGGGTAGACATAATTCAGATAGCTAGATCAATCTCTGAAATTGTTTTGATGGAGTGAACATGGGGAGGGCAGGGTAACATATCTTACATGGATATTCTGACACCTAGAAATGCTGCAACCATTGTCATCATCCATTGTGACTTTCAG